CCGCAGGAGGCCCGAAAGGGCGCTGCACCGATAAGGGCACAACAGCCAGGGCCTCGCGGGTAAGGACAGCTGAGGGCGGTTTGGGGCAGGCACTGCACATGGAAGGGCACCGAGGCCCCACGGCGGGCCGCATGAGGCCCGCAAATTTGCTGCACGGGAAGCACACGGGGAAGGGCAGCTCTATAGGACATTGGGAGGCAGCCGCCGCCGGGGAAGGGCAGGGGCCACAAGCGCGGGCCGCGCGGGTAAGACAGCCGCATAGGGAGGGCATGGGGAGACAATATTTTTAGGTACAGCGCGGGGAAGACCAGCCGGCACTGGGAAGAAGTTACGCCGCGAGACAGGCACTGCGCGCATCCCTTATCACCTTCCGACGATCCAGGAAGCTTCTACTTGCGGCTGATTGCGGCCAGTTTTTTGCCACCCCCTGTCCAAGCTCAATCACCCGAAGCCGTGAAACCAGCGCTCCACCGTGCTCATGAACTGGCGCATATGCGAAGGCAGGAACTTCAAGATGAAGGCTCGACAAGCCCCACTCGGGGTGCCGCACGGGGAAGGGCAGCTGCATGGGGAGGGCATGAGGTGGCAGACACTGCACTTGGAAGGGCAGACAGGCCCCACGGTGGGCCGCAAGAAGCTCTCAAGTGCGCTGCACGGGAAAGCACATGGCGAGGCCGGTGCAGCGTGGGGAAGGGCAGCTGCATTGGTTAGGGCATGGGGAGGCAGCCGCCGCCGGGGAAGGGTTGGGGGAGGCAAGCGTGCGCCGCGCGAGTAAGGACAGCCGCATGACGAGGGCATGGGGTGACAGGTAGGTAAAGCGCGGGGAAGGGCAGCGAGGCCCCACGGAAGGCCGCAAGAGGCCCACAGAACGCAAGAATGGGACAGACTCGGGGAGGCTGGCGCCGCGCGTTGAAGGGCATCAGAGGTATGCCAAAGGAAAAGGCAACAACGGAGGCACGCGCCGCGCGGGGAAGAGCATGGGAAGGTTATCACTTGGCGTTCAAAAGCGACGGATCTACGTCTACATAAGAAGGTAAAGACCCGGTAAATGGCTTAATGACGGCACATGCGTCCTGAAGCCCAAACCGATGATGATTGAACCGCCGAAGCGACACACCTTGCACCGCGAGCCAAAAAGCTGCTGGCCTGCACGATACGTGGCACTCTGCTTTTTCGAGTATAGCGAGTTTAGCGACGCTAGCAATTTTTTTCCTTTTTACCTACAAAAATTAGGAGCCACTATTGCGCTGCACGATTAGAAGCCTGTGAAGCGTTGACCGGCAGCAGCGCTTTGGAAGCTATACTGACCCGTGGGTCTATGGACGGGACGAGCGCCAAGATCTGCCCTCCACAATTCACCGCTTAAACAATAGCCTTAAATGTCCCAAATTAGAAGACGCTTTAATCAGCACGAATTACGAAGCGCGGTGATGCCGTTAAAAGTTCGTGAAGGAAGCGTGACAGCAATTGCGGGCTACGCTGAGCACTTCAACATGAACGCCGAGCCGTGTATATGCCGACTGAAAGGATCCCGTTGAGCGTGACAGGAACCGGGTATGCTTCCCTTCGCTTCGCTCCTCCGAAACCGCATACTGCGTATATACGTTTTCTCGGAATCGAGCTACGGGGAGGCGTATACGTTTTCTCGGAATCGAGCTACGGGGATAAAAAGTAACTCCTAGCGCTCTTTACTCTGGAGATGTAAAATGGGAAATAATTAGTGGTGTCCGCAGCCTCTATTGTCATAGCGCAGAAAAACGCATGTGCGCGCAGTTCTGAAGCAACAATTTAAAACCCTGACAGCACAGCAATCACGGCCTCTGCATACTATACAATCTTGATTAATGTCAATCCTAATTGTGTCGGCATACACACTAGCCGTACACTACGACAGTGCTCGTTGGTCGTACACCAAAGTAACATGTAGCTAGGGACAGCTTTCCTTGCGTCCACAGTCTCCGAACCCAAGCAATGTACGCCTTCAATCGACATAAGCGGCCGGTAAAGCGGCCGGTAATATGTCCCCATGAACCCGGTAAGCATGCAATAAGCAAGACATGGTCATGGGTTTGTAACGGTTGGAGCTCTTGAAGACAAGCAAAGTAATCCGCTAAACTATATCTGCATAGTGCACACCAAGTCTAGAATGGTATTGGACCAAATCCTATCTAGGCAACAGCTTGGACGGGAAAGTTACCTTTGATGGCCGGTTGATACCTCCGGCCGACACCTATCTACAGTGTTAAGCTACCCTGCAATGGTCACCTGCAAGACACCTGCCTGTCCCTGACACAAACAGACATGTCTTCGTGCACAGTCCTCCAATCAAGTAACACGGCTTAGTTCCTCAGTCGCCATTGCCGCCGCCAAGCTACGGTTGTGCAGTGCCAGCAGCGGCTAACGACGACGGCGGCGGACCTAGCCGTGCTGACGATAGTCGTGGCGTGATGCCTGTAATGACGGCGCCGGCACTGTATGACGTCGCGAGCCTAACAGGCCCCATTGTCGCCGCCGCTGCCGCTGCCGGCGTTGCAGCAGTCAAGGAGGTAGGGGTCCATGCTGCTGGCGTCGGTGCCGGCACCCATCCCAACCAGGTCGTACCACCTCCGTCGGCGACACAATCGCCATGCTCGCGAAGCGTTTCGCCTCCGCCACCACCGGCATCGTTGCTGCCGCCAACCGCAAAGGGCGCAAGCGCTGACCGGAGCTGCTGGGTAGCCATGGAGCCACTTCGTTCCCCCGCATCGCTAGCCGCTCTGCATGCACGGCTGCTACCACCAACGCCGCCACCGCTGCCAGTAGCGCGAACGCTGTGGAGATCGGGATGCACTTTAGAAGTCGCCAGCAGCTGCAAATTTGACATCCCTCTGAGGCTCGGCAGCAAGGAACTTGGGGAAAGCGGGGGCTCAGGGCTGGTATCTCCCCGCCCGCTGCAGGTGCTATAAGCAGTAACGGCTTCATCCCCGGCGGTAGCCCTAGCGTCGCCAGCATCATCGCCGCTGCCCCTGCCGTCTGCAATGCTAGCGCTGCTGCGTACGGAATCGAGCGCAGATGTGCTAGCAGATCTGTACAGCACATGCGGTTGTACGATGAGCGCCAAGCCCTTATGGTCTCCGCTTACATCCTGTCCACCGCCGCTGACGTCGTCTGGGTGCAACGGCACGCCGAGGGCGCACCAGTAGCGTCCGTAGCTGTAGCCGTCACATTTCTTGAGACCTCTGCACAGCCCGAAGGCAGAGGTGTTGGTGTTGCTACCAGTGTTTGCGCTGCTCCTCAGCTCTAGGAGGTGCCGGGGCACTTCCAAGCTGTACATTGGGACATTGATTGCAGGGCTGCGATCCTCCGCGCCTGCTGCCTGCAAGCAAAGGATACGTCGGTGCAGGTTCACCAGGCTTGCATGAAAATGCAGCAACGCTACGCAAGGTAGTTAGGTTGCCAGAGAGGTCCAGACGTCTTCTTAAGCCTAAGCAGCATGTATGCTGGCGTCGGCTTGCCTGCTCACCCGTTGTGCTAGCACCACTAGCCCCACAGCGACTCTCAGCTGTTGCTCGTCCTCTCTCCGCCAGGCCTGAGGTGGGAGAAGAATGAGGCAAAGGCTAAGGACTTGACAACGGGTCTTCAACCGAAAAGGGCTGTCGATGCCCTAAGCAGTCCTAAACGCCATCTGCCATCCATGGCTTGCGGCATAGGACAGTGGCTGCACATCAGTGTCGTACCGCCTAATGCGTTGGGGCCACGCTGCTGGGTGTAAGCGGGGCACCAAAGCCTTTCATTACCAAGGAAGGTTTAAACCCTTCCTCCTTGCCTGATTTGTACCCACCTTGATGCTCCTCCAGGTGATCAACACTCCTAGCGCGCATAGCGCCATGCCCTGCACAGACGGTGCAACAGCACGCATGTGGCATCATACAGGGGAACAGCATCAACAGGTGACTCCCGATTGTCGCTGCACGGTCGGTGGTGACGGCATGCATACCTTCTAGGTCGGCGACTTCAAGGATGCGTGCATGAGTGCGATTTCCCTTGCCTCGTGCCGCTTCCACGCCCCCGCCACCAAACCCCAACCGCCACCAACTGCTCTCAACAAAGCGACTGTATTGCAGCGCTAGCAGGGTCCACACTATGTCTTCATATAGTCGTCCTACATACATCGACGCTACGCACCATGCCGAGAATTGGCCAAAAGAGCGAGGATTCGCGTCCGTACAGACTGAAAGCGGGTACAGCGCTTGCCATACCCGCGAAGACCAGTAACGGTCCGGAAACGTACGTTGAAACATTGAATATCCCGAAAAGGGATAAATTTGAAGCAGCAGGCATTGCGAAGTATGCCAGCGGCATTGTTTAGGCGAGGCGGATCAACGACCCGTCAGTTCCAAGTAGGCATGAAGTGATCTGCACCGGCCGCTATGAAATATGGAATCAAGTGGCTAGTGAACGACTTTTGCAGGCTGTCAGTGAAGCTCGTACGTGTCTCGTCTCGGCCGTTCTGGCCGTTGCCCTTCCAGGTGAAACCGCCGACAACCGCTGTCTGGACATACCGGTAGCCGAAGCCACTCGAGGCGCACATTGTCGCAAAACTTAGCGTCGTTAGTGAAGCTACGTTGCATGAGCAAGACTCCTGCCGCCTGACAAATTGCCGATCCGGACATTTGCAAGCTTGGAACTTGATAGCCCTATATACTTAACATTCACCAAAAGAGGCTCCCCTTAGCACCTAGCAAGCTTTACCACTGCCATATATCCTCCTCATCCAGCTGTAGTTACGACCAGCTATGCCGTACCATCATCTCGCATCCTTCGCAACACGCTCGTCGGTTGCCACGGGATTGGCCACCGTTCCTGAGTTGTACCGAAGCCGATTAGTGGGAATACTGCCATCCCGACTCGTCCCTCCCGCTGCTACGGGCGTGGACGGTGCAGGTAGTGAAAGCCAGCACATGGGTCGCACGAGAGGGAGGCTGTGCCGTGTACGGCAGCCAGATAGGGCGCGATAGGAGCCGCCAAAAGGTTTACAGGGTTAGCAATCTAGCATACCCGGTACACGGTATACCACAATGATTGGGTTGCGCGCCCACGCTGCAGCTCCCTCACAAGTGGCCCCTACTCTGCCCATGTAGCGCACTCTGCTGCCACACAGGTGGACAATGCAAGTACAGCGAACGGCAACGCAGTGCCTCCTGCAAGCGCGTCCATGAATGATTTACACCAAAACGATTGATGAGATGATGACCAACCGGTATACAAGCAAACGTAACCACGAGTCCAACCAAAACACAGCCCGGTGTCCGCTCGACACGGCACCCGCCCGCAATGCATGTGCAAGTATATGCTGCAGCCGTGGGCGATCTCCGTGTGCCCCCTTTTGCGGAGCCATGTCGCTTGACCCCTTACGGCACCGCTCTGTGTGCACAGCTCAAGGAAATCAGTAACTCGGCAACAAACATAACTGCCGAACACTAAACCAACAGCATATGACTCTGCAAGACGGTTATACCACCTGGCCTGCTCATCGTGTACCGCTGCCTACCTATCTACCGCTATACACTTCGTTGCAGTGTTCGCTTGCTGTTTCGGACAATTAAAGCCCTAGGAGTGCGGACAGGGGGACGCTGGGGTTGCGGCTGGGTGCCACCCACCAGGCTGAGCAAGGTAGCCGAGCGTTTACTTGGCTCATACATGCGTTACTAACTTGCTATGCAAACACGCCTCCCTCTGTCCAGCACGGCAAGATTGCATCGGGTCGTCAGCTTCTGTCCCCATCGGATTGCACCGTGATGCCCATCCAGTTCAACCGTCCTGCCTCCGTCGGCTGCCCATGCCCCGGACGACCAACGGTGAGTGCCTCGTGTTTCAGGAAAGCACATACCGTACTTCGCCCTTCCGGGCTCTGCTCTAACTCAGATTACCTGACCCGGGCCGCTCATTGATTTGGGTCATTCCATAACCACGCCCTTCTTAACCGATACCCATCCGTGTCATCCCAGCAGCTCAGCCGCCCGGCAGCCCTGCTCAGCTCCGCATGAAGTTGTCCGCTAGGTACTCCAACACATCCCGGGTGTGATGGAAGCGCGCGGGGTTGCGGTTGATGATGGCGGCGTGCGCGTGCAGGTCGCGGCAGTCCACATCCACCTTGTGCCAGGGCAGCTGGTTGAGCTGGGCGGGTCGGAGGGAAGCAGGAGAAGAAGGGATTCAAGGGACGGCAGACGAGAAACTAAAAGAGGCTCGTGTGTTAGGGCAGAAGGGATGGCTCGAGCTGGCTCAACAAGCAGTATATTTGGGGCCAGCATGATGACTCCAGGGGCCGCCGCTACTCATAAAAGGATGTCATCGTCATGCCGTCCATGCATGTCCTTGCCCCTTGTCCACCCTCTCCCATGTCCCCTCCTCAAGCGGCCGATGGTCCTATGCCACAAACAAAAGGCGCACCCGCCCTCCTGATCCTCCTCCCCCTCCGCACCTGCTCCACCAGCCACTCCTGCACTCGGTGCAGCTGCGCCGGCAGCTCCACCACCCCGTCATGCAGCAGCACCTCAACACCCTGCTCCGAGACCACTACCTCGTCGCACCCGTCGTCAAGCGCACCAGGCGCCGTTTGGGAGGCGGGTGCAGCGCTCGAGGAGGCGCTGCGAGGAGCGACAGCGGTTGCGGAAGAAGCGACGTCCTTGCCGGCGCCGGCAGCAGGTGGGTTTACCGGTAGTTCAGGTGCGGAGGGGCATTGGATGTCGCCGCCGGCAGCGTCGTCGGGGTTCAGTTGCTGCTGGCTGGGTGACACGCCGGGTCGTTCCCGGCCGCCCGGCGCGCCCTCGCCCTCGATGTCCCGGCGGCGGTTGTAATGCCGTTGGATCCAAGAGAAGTCCAGTGCCGTACGCATCATTTTGCAGTGGTGCGACCGGCCGGCAACCACCATGAGCGCCAGCACTGGAACTGCAAGCGGCAGACAGAGCACCGATATCACCGGCAGGTACTTGCTGCGTAGCGGCCTCCGCGGCAGCGGCTTGTGCGGGTGCTGGTGGCCGTGAGGGCCCCCCTCCGCTTGCAGCCCATGCGGCGGTTGCTGCTGCGATGCGCTCTCCATCTGCGGATCGAATTTTTTAGATTGCGGCTGCTGCAGGTGTTGGGGTGTGTGATGTGGGTCGTACGGCTCCTGGGGGGTCCCATGTGACCCAGAACACCCAGTTCCAGCGCAGTCGCCGTTGGCGGCGGTTGGACCGTGCGGCTGAACAGCGGCTGCTGTTACTACTGTAACAGCGGTTGCAAGTGCCGCGGCGTGCGCTGCGTTGGGAGATCCAGCCTTAGCAGCGATGTCAGCAGCGCCGGGGTCCGTACTCTTCGTGTTGGCTGGCGATTTGGGTCCTACAGCTGTGGCGGCGGGCCCTGCAGCACCGGTAGAGACTGTTGCTGCAACGGCTGCAGCGGCGGCGGCGGCGGCGGCAGCAGCAGGCGCCGTGCAGACGATGGATGGGTACTTTGGGTTGAGGGCGACCGGCAGGCTGCCTTCGTACGGGTTATCTAGCCGTATTGCTGCCGTGCAGTACGGCACAGGCCGGTCGTGGAACACGTTCGCCAGCAGCATGAGCTTCTTGAAGGTGCGCAGGGCGCGCATGAAGGGAAGGTCCGGGTGGCTCAGCAGGCAGAGTAGTGGCTTGTCCCATAGGTGCTTGTCCTGGAGGAGGAGAAAAGGCCGAGAAGAGGGGCGGGGACAAGGGTTCCGGTTGGCGACAATGGTGAGTGAGATAGCCCTTATGGTGACCGTCTGTGTCTCCTTGTGGCTCCTCCGCTGCGGTCGTTGTATGGCATCAGCATGCGCAGCAACAGACGGGGAACCCTTAGGGTCCTCCGATGGTGGAATCCCAAGGGCCAGGCCTCTAGACCCGACCCAACCCAACCCAGGTCGGCGCCCAGGGAGGCGTTCAGCGCCCACCTGCAGCACCATTTGGTAGCCTGAGCGGCTGGTGACCACCGGGACCATGTAGTTGAAGGCCCTGCAGCAAGGGAAGCCAGGGTGTGATGACGTGGCGTTGCGAGGTACTTGGCGGTTTGCAACTAGGCCGCGTGGCTGTGCCCTGCTGAATCCCTGACAGCATCCCCTCGGTGGCCACACCTGTTGTACCATGTGCTAGGCATCCGCCAAGCGCCCAAGTGTGGCGTTGCAACGGTGATGAAGTTCACGGGAGTGATGGTTGCAAAGCGCCCCTCCGCGTACAGCTTTCCAGCCACATATCGGGTCACAAGGCCACCCATGGAGTAGCCAATCATGCTGATGGCGTGGGCTGGCTTGCTCTTGGCAGCAAGGGCCTCCAACCTTGCAACGATGAGCTCATGCAGCCGGTCGCCACATACATCGACTCCATCATACGTTAGATTGCCGCAATTGACGTCGCTGTTTATGATATCATAATCATCACCAAGGCGCTCGCGCAGCAGCGTTGCTAGGTAAGCAGTATTTGCCGGTTGGCCCCATAGGCCGTGCTGTATGACTACAAGATGCATTGCATAGGTATTTAATCTCGATAACCGGTTGTGTCCGCGCTGGCGTGCGGATGCACTCGGTAAAAATACTGGTCTATGTGAACTTGTAACACGGAGACGGCAACGGGTTGATGTAATAGTCCTGTGTAAGAGCATACATGAATTGGGTGAAAGGGCAAAGGCAGTCAGTATGGCAAAAATAACTTGTTGGGATTTGTTCCAACCGTGCCGTGGCTCGTCCCATTGCCGGGCGGGAATACGAAATGTCACTCTTCATGTAAAGCGGAGAAGCATCGTTAATTGCGTAGCACTCTTCGTGATCAAGGGGTGGAGATAGCCCGCAACAGGACTCACTGCTTCTCAGTCCTAAACCGCATCTCGTTGTCTGCCGTAGTAAGGGTTCACCGACCCACAAAGCACATGCAGTTATCTTTCTAGCTGTCGTTTCCTCCATACGAACCGATAGTGATGTCTGAACTACCGCCAGAACAGTCCGGCTTCACCGCCGAACCGATGGATGTTAACTTGTTGTCGGTGCTGTTGAAGCTCCTCGTTGGTGAGCTGTCAGTCCATGTGCCAGGTCCTTCTGTTTTCCTGTTTCCTGCCATGAACGAGCTATGGGGGTTTCTGTTAACCGATGTGCCTTCTACCTTGTTCGTGTGGTTCTTCTAGTCGACCGCCATATACGCGAGCGGCACCACAAGGAACAGCTTCTCGTTCAACAACAGCAGGGCATGGAGCAGCGCGGTGGCAAGCGGCTGCGGCCTGAGGCTCCCGAGGAGCCCCACGCTAGCGCCGGCATGCAGTGACGATGGCAGCAAAGTACCGGTACGGTACCGGTAGCAATAGCTCGGCAGCATTCCCCTTCAAGTTCGGCGCCTAGTTTCAACCTGTCACTTTGCTACGGTCATGACGGTCATGTCCTTCGGTATGGTGAAGATCTGGTTGCCCATCTCTATGAGCGGGCAGTGAGGGCCGGCAGCGGAGCGGGTTAACGGGATCATGTAGCGGACAACGCATGCTGCAAGTACATTAGTCCTATCATGATCATAGCAGCTTATAGTGTAATTTTATGTGCAGTAGCCTTGTAGATGGGCCCGGGAACCACCATTGGTCCTAAGCTCTTTGGGGCCTGGTGTACGATAAGCAGGCTTGCACGACAGCGGCACAGGCTATGTGACTTACTGATGTTCTGTTTGGCGAGCTGCTAACGTTGACCATTGTGGCATGACGACGATATGTTAACAATGTCGTCCCGAAGCATGCTTGGCGGTCTTGCTGTTGAGCCGCTGGCCTGGAAGCACATGTGTCTTTGACGCGTTGTTGCTAAGCGCATAGCTTTGGGAGCAATACGCCTTGAGCAATGAACGTTTTCACCGCAAGCGTGGGGAGTGGTATGGTATGATACACGCTTCATACAAAGCTCGAAAGCAAGTGGTGGTTCAATCTCGCTTGCATGGAGGACGGCGTTACTTGGCGTGCCTAGAATAAGACGTTAATAGGCATGGTTATGGGTGGATACGGCGCTGTGAGTGTGCGGTTACCTAAGCGCGATGTTAACGAGAGGAGCGAATGTAGAGCATAATTATTCGTGATCGTTTCTTAGTACGGCACCTTAGCGACCGGTTCGTTACCAGTTTATGAGCTCGTAAATTGTGTTAGTTAACATTATACAAGCAGCTACCAGCAGCTACTGTGAAACTGTGAGTCAAGGCTGGATGTGAACGTGGCTGGTAGTTGCTTTAACGACCCAAAATCCTATGGCCAAAGAAGGCATACTTAGGGGCTCATGAGTGTAACCATTAGTGACGACACGCTTCCGTGAAATGGCGGAACCCCTTGCTGCGCTGTCGAGCCAAGGACTTTCTAGGGCTCACCATGTAGCAAGTAACGGAAGATGTGGCCTTCCGCTTCCTGTTAAGCCACGTGAAATTTATGGGCGACAAGGATGGCGGCCTCGCCGCCGTTCCTCATTCGTGTTGGGCCACCCCATGCCGGCATCGAGCTTGTTCAGGGCATCTTTTAGCAAAAGGCGCCATGCAAGTTCGCTTAACCGGGACAATGTCTTCGATACCATTTCGCTTACGGCCCGCGGCGCAGGAAGCGAGGATGTGCATGCAAGTATACTCCTCGGGGCAGCCTCGACCGCAGCATTCTCCGCTGCCGTCTTTTACACCGCTACTGTGTCACGTCCAACAGCGTTGGTTGGGCCCTCGCCGCTTCCTTTCGCATCCATTTCTGTACAGCAGCGTCACCAACCGCTGCAGTCCCAACGCCTGGACTTCGGAGAAGTCCTTGCGTTTGTGCAGTACAAAGTCCTCCAGGTAATGCCCTGTGAGGTATTTGGTCAAGCTAGCAACCTCCTGCACAAGCAGCCCAGGGGGAGCGGCTCGGGAGAAGGCTTGGGCTTGGTCCAACCCATCATCCCGCAACACCGTCCTCCCCTCATGCTCACTCGCCTTCCTCCACCTCGTCCCCGGCCCCCATCAGGCCCTGCTGCTGCCCACGCTAGGTCGGCTGCTGCTGGTGGCGCTGGTGGCGCTGCCGCTGCTGGCCGCCGCAACAGCCCTGCTGGTGGCCGCCTCGGGCGAACAGTTCGGGGAAGCCCTGAGGCGATGCTACCAAGTCCTCAACAACGTGCCAGGTAAGAAGGGTCAAGTTGAAGAAGCAGAACGAAGTCAGGGCGTGCCATCCGTAGCAGCATACAAACCCACCCGCTAAACGGGTTACTTATGCAGCACCGGGCTAGCTATGTGCAGGGAGGGTACAAGCATGGAGCATGGAGATGTTTCGGCTGTTTCGCTGGCACCTCTTTCCACGTGCGTGCTCCCACGCACCCATGCATGCATGCAGGTACCGACCTGACGTGTGAGACAGACCCGCGGGTCGCGGTGCTGCTGAACGGGCTGTATGTTGCCGGGCTGCTCAGCTTCGCGGTGCTGGTGGGCATGGTGGCGGACGACGTGAAGGGGGCGGTGGAGGCAGCCAAGTTGTGAGTGGGTGCGGGCCGGGATTGTCTAAATTCGATGGAGGACGGGGAAGCGGAATACCGTATGCCATGCAACAGTAGGCCAGGTGTCGAGCAGTAGAAGGGAGTGCGAGAGGGGAAGCGGTGCGCAGCGCCGAGCCCATTCTCGCAGCAAGCTACCCGTGTGCGTCAACCGTTTTCGCAATCTCAGTATGGTGATCGTTTTACTGCTTACGTGGTCTTGGATCCCTTCCATGCTGGGTGCTGAATGCTCCTGCCATTTGCCCTGCCCCATGCATGGACCACGTGGGCCAATCGGGATTCCAGTGGCAACTCCCGTGTTCCCGAGCGCAACCACGCACTGGTAGTTGGGCACAACCGCCAACTGCCCGAGGTATTGAGGCAGGTGAGTCCGTCTGTGGACTTTTTGCGGAGGAGCCGGGGTGGAAGGGAAGAGGCTGCTAGTTTTCTGCATGGAGCCGTAGCTGTAGTGTGGTTGAGCCGTGCCACCTTCCTTGGCAACGATTATTCTTCCACAACCGCATCTACCGCCGGTTGACTTGCACCGGTATACCCCCAAGCAGCCTCCAGCCTTCTGTCTTGCCTCCTCCTTCAACGCCCCTCCCATCCCGCCCTCTCCCCGGCAGATGGCCCACATCCGCGCCGACCGCGGCCCCCTCACCCGCCAGGGCCCGCTGGTGGTGTTGTCGCCGCTAGCTCGCGAGGAGCTGGGGGCGCTGTTGGAGGAGGAGCTGGGGCCGGCGGGGGCGGCACGGGTGGTGACGAGGCAGGGCAGCGGACTCAAGGTGGGGAAGAGCAGGCGGGTAGGGGGTGGGAGAGGAGGTGGGGCGCGGGCGGCGCTGATGATGGGGGCAGCATGAGCCCTTGGGGTTGCCCTCTGCACCGTCTGCTGCTTGAAGGACGCGTGTTCGCATGTTGGAGAGCTACCGGTGGTTACGTTGGGGAACGTAGTTGAAGGGCGGTGATGCTGGCTGCCGCTTGTCTGCTGCGTGTGACCCCACGGCTTCTGCCCCTGCATCGCGCCGCGTCCTCTCTGCTCGCCTCCCTCCTGCCAGGTGGCTGACCTGCAGCGGGTATCCGCGGGCCACGCCAGCACCGTCATCTTGCTAGCGCCGGACGAGGAGGCTGCAGAAGGGGGCGAGCAGGAGGAGGAGGCGGGGAGCCGCGGCTTGACGCTGGAGGCTCAGCAGGTGTGCGTGGGCGCGGTTGGGTGCGGAGATGAGGAGCGGGCGCGGCGACGGTGCTGGGGACTATGGTTTCTGGGGCAGGGCTTGAGGTCCTTACGTGCATATCAATACCCCCCCCTACCGACCTATCCCGCCGCCCTTATCGCCGCCCCCTCCCCCAGGCTGTCACTCTGGCCTCCCTGCAGCACCTGCGAGGGACGGCGCTGAGGTCGGCAGGCGGTGGGGTGCTGCAGCGGAAGCCGCAGACGGTGGTGGTGGCCAGCGGAGCGCATCAGGAGCACAGGGAGCAGCAGGAGCTGCAGGAATGGGAGCAGGCGGATGGGGAAGTGGAGGTGAGGAGGCAGTGGGGCAAGAGCTATGTAAAGGAATGGAGGTAGGGAAGAGCGCATAAAGAAAGAGGAGCGGGCGAGGTGCAAGGGGGGGGGGGTCCGGTTCAGCATGGACGGGTGCTGGGATCGGAAGGGTGGCTTGCAGGTTTGCATGGGTCTGTATAGTGTGGGTGGGAGTATAGATAAAGAGAAGAGGTCATTTCGAACGATGGGGTCTTCCTGGCTTGGGATGTGCTCGCGCTCCCTATAGCGGTAATGGTCCCATGAGAGATGCGTTGCATTTCTGCTGACCCACCATCACTTGTGTGCCAAAACAAGATCATGACCGGCTGGGCTATACCTCGAATCCTTTTCAGTTAAAGTCATACTTACCTGGCCCGTTTCTCGAGGTGGTCCAGTTGGCCTCGGTTACACGGTTGGACTTCGCCTTGCACTCTGCGAGGGCCTTCCGTGGTCGGCCCTTCGGGTGTCCGGCAGGGCTTAATTTTTGTAAGGCTGAGGATCCGCGCACTGCGCGACCTCGGCACCCACTATAACAATAATTTTAATCAATTCCTGTAAATGATAAAATTACCCGGATAGTGTGGAGGAGGCTAGCGAGCAACCGCTAGCCTCCCGGATAGTGTGGAGGCGGCTAGCGAGCAACCGCTAGCCTCCCGGATAGTGTGGAGGAGGCTAGCGAGCAACCGCTAGCCTCCCGGATAGTGTGGAGGAGGCTAGCGAGCAACCGCTAGCCTCCCGGATAGTGTGGAGGAGGCTAGCGAGCAACCGCGGATAAAATTACGTCTGTATGTTCCTATTTGCATCCGTCGCAATCACTCTGTGCTACCATACTTCTTCACATCACTACAGGTGGCACATGTTTCTCCACTCCGCAACTTGGCCCGCATACGCGCTCAGTGCGCCGCCCAACCTGGATTGGGTGCAGTGCTGAGCAGCTTGCTGCGGCGGCAGCCGGGGGCACCCACGTTCCATGTGCAGGTGTGGGGGCTTGAGTAGATATGGGTGACTGAGGGGGTGCATAGCTGCGGCCTGTTCTCCTCTACCCTTGATAACCGTGTCTCGTATATGGTAGTTGACCAGCATATATGTGTCGACAACCCTCTTCCTGACCTTCTCCTTAACCATGCATTTCCCATCTTGGAACGCGTGCTTTTTACTCCTCCTTGCATTCTTACTTCCTTTGCTTGTTGCTTCACACACCGGCTTTACAGGAAGTAAGCAAGTCCTCCCATTTGGTGGGCCTCACGTACGGCGAAGCTCGTCGCCACTTCCCATCAGCCGTACTTTGCGGCTACTACAGCGCGCCCTCCTCCTCTGCTGCTTCCCCTTCCTCCCTCGCATCCACCATCCCTACTACCCCCGCGCCCGCCACCACTACCTCCGCATCCGGGGACGCTGCTGCCGTACTACTGAACCCAGATGGCAGCACCCTCGTCCAAGAAGACCACGCATTCATCTTTCTGGCGCATCAAGAGGCAGACCTGCGCCCCTCAGCACTACCACACCCGCCCACGGCGCCTCCCGCCGCAGCCACAACCGCCGCCGCCGCAGCAGCCACAGCAACAGAGGCGAAGCACGAGCAGGAGGTTCTGGATGGTGCGGAGGCGGCCGCAAATCGACGTGTGGTGGTGCTGGCGTTTGACGGGCGCTGGCCGGGAGACCTGATAAAGGCTCTTGGGGAGTTCTGCCCGGAAGGATCAGAAGTAAGCCGTTTGCAGGACACATGCATACCATGTGAATGCTGTAGAAACGGAGCAGTGACCGGTATTCCTGCTGTTTGCCTGGCCTCTTCCTTGTATGTTTCCTCCAGCCAGCCTGGGGTTACGCTGTAATTGGCTCGTTAGGATTCGCCGGGTGCCCCTCCTTTGTTTCGCTGGTTTGCAGGCAGTTCTTGTGGCGAAAGAGGACATGGCGGCTTTCGCAGGCAGCCGGACCCGTAAGAAACAGGCGCAGCTGAAGGTGTCTACGGTTGTGGGAGACCCACGGACCCGTGGTTCTCTCAGCGAGGCGGAGGTGCAAGAAGCGGATGCTGTGATTCTGACAGGTGGGGGCAGCAGGCGGTGCGCTTTACCGTTAGTGCACACTTTGGGAAGGGCTGCACTAGGGAACCATGGAACCGCCACAGGGGCCTGTAGAATACCCACAAGGCGCAAAATTTTCATCAATACGATCCTTGTAAGGTTTCCAAAGCCTCCTTTGCGCATTCTCCCTTATCAGCGGCTTGGGCAATAGTCGCTGACGGCTTTCTTTCAACCCTGACCCCATCGCCACTGCACAGGCCTGGACGACGTCCGTCCTGACCTTGCGGATGCCCAGGCGCTCTCCACGCTGCTGCAGCTGCAGGCCCTGCTGCAAACCCAGCCCGCACAACAAAGCCAGCGGCCACTGAACCTGGTGTGCGGCGTGACCGACCCACGGGTCCGTGACATCATGGAGTGCATCATTGCGGTTAACTCGTACGGCGGCGGCAGCAGCAGTAGCGATGGTAGCGGTGCGGTTGCTCCTCGGAGGGGCCTGATTCTGGATAACATAACGCCGCATGAAGTGATGGCTGGGGCGCTTGCGCAGGTGGGGGAAGGCCGGGGAAGGTGAAGAAGCGGACCCGGGTTGGGCGATGGCGGATTGGGCATTGCACATGTGCTAAAGGCAGCGCAGAAATGCCTTTTTTTCTAGACTACAAAGTCAAAAACGTCCTTGCCCATGCCCGCTCAGTTTGGCTTTACTGGTTCCGCGACTGGTTCCGCTAATCCTCGATGGCCCGGCTTGTCTCTAGGTCGCCTCGGAGCCGCGCCTATCCGGCGTGTTCCAGGACCTGTACTCCCCTGAAGGCGTGGAGGTCTACATGAGGTCCCCCGCCGTACTGGGTCTGCCGTACAACCAGCCGCTGAGCTGGCAGGAGGTATGTGTGGGCCTAGCGCGAGGAGGAGCACATGCCGCTTGACCTGAGGCAGATCGAGGTGTTGTTCTACTCGTACTTCATGCCTTACACTTGATTATCGCTTCTTTTGCTTAGATGCAATGGTGTGGTCACGGTGCTGTAGAGGGCAAAAGGGAACATCACATTTCGCTTCATTACGATCCCCACAGGTCCAGGACAAGGGCCGCATGGGAAGTGTAACCGTGATAGGAGTCGTGCGCGGAAGCACCCCCATCCCCGCCCCCGTAACCTTCACCAGCACCGTCGCCGCGAGCAGAAACAGCAGCAGCGGGGGAAGCTGGGGCGGGGGCAGTGCCCGCAGCAAGGATGGGGGCAGCGCCCCGGCCGACCCCCGTGTGCTGCTGGGGGTGCAACAAAGCCTGGAGCTGCGGCCAGGTGACCAGCTGGTGGTTCTGGCGGAGGAGCCGGAGGGGTGTACGAAGAAGGATTAACTGCTCCAGAAAGGAGCCGGCATCGTGAAGTTAGTAAGCAGGGCAAAACCTCGACCGTTATTGTTTTAGCTAGCTACACGTGTAGTCATATTTAGGTATTGTCGGGGCTGTAGCTGTTTAGCTGGCCTGAGCTACGATAGTGGAATTGCATGATGGCGAGCGTGCGAGCTGAAACCGACGAGCGTAATGGTGGGGGCGGGGTGAAAAAGAACAACAAGAGAAGAAACGTAGAGACGCGCGGGCGTGCTGCTTGGTTGGATGCCTTGCATGTTTAGAGGTGGTGCCCTGGCTAAACTTCCTCCTTGGGATGTGAAGCGTGCGCGCACGATGTAGGGTTAGCTCATACATACTTTCGGAAGACGTTAATATGCATGTGACGTGTTACGCTGGGAGTGCTCCTAAACCTAGCGGGTTCGGAGCAGACAAGTGAAGTGGTAGGTTTACAGCAGCGAAGGTGAGTGAGCGCGGGTGCGTTCGTTTGCATGGGGGGCGTTAGTGCAATCAGAAAGCGCTATGTTGCTTTCCCTCCCAGCTAGACGCCTAGAGCCCGATCCCTCTCAGTGAGAGGCTCTCACATAACTGCCCTCCACAACCCACCTACTACCGACGTCCTTTCACCATCGCACGCCCACAAACCCAACACCGCTCCCCTTCCCACAACATCATTCCCCCAGCCCTCCAGCTCTCTCAATTCCCTCCCTCCTCGCCGCCTCGCAACCCCCGCAATATTGCCTTGTATTCAATCTTGACAAAGCCCGGGATGGGTAGCAGCAGGGCGGGTGCGAAGCCCAGAATGGCTAGCAGCGCCTTCAGTTCATCACCCTCCAGCACCCCGTTGCGGTCTCGGTCCAGGAAGCCGAGCAGCGCCTCCGCCAGCAGCTGTGACCCGCGGAACATGCATGGGACACGCAACAGCGTGACAGGGAAGGGATTCGGGAGACGCTACCGGCCTACCGCTAACGACTGATATAGACCCATGCGCCAACTGAGATGGCACAGGTGTACGGTTATGATTCATGGAAGAGCAGAGGGCGTCCCTGTGCAAGGCACATGCTAGGTACCCGGTACCGCGGATACGGTACGGCAGGGTGGTTGGTGTGACGGACGTATAGCCAACCACCCTGCGGCCTTACCAGCGGGTTCTTCTTGACTCGCTCGGTCGCCAGCGCCAGGTAGAGAGCCAGGAACTCGGAGCGAGACAGCGAGCCGCTGCCGTCGTGGTCGGCACGGCGGAAATGGGGTTTCAGATCAGCAGCGGTGTACGGAGTGTACGGCACATTAGTCAGCATCTCAACCGCCTGGCGGAACTCCGGTGAGCTGAAGACGGCCTCGCATTCCTGGTGCGGTTGCGCATGCGGCGAGGGGGACGAAGGCAGGGAGGGATTGAAGGTACGAGGTACGGGGTGAAGATGGTGGTGAGCACTATGGAAGTTATAGGCCATACGATGTGGGGACTCCTGGGGCGGGATGGCCCCGAGAATGTGCCGATGTGGCAAGCATATGGGTATGCGGGTAAGCTCCCGGGCTGTGGCCATGCGGGTAACAAGGGGAATAGCTGGGTGCAGTCTAGTGGTTTGGGTTAAGACGACAGGGCGGGCGTGCTGCCTGAACACGTTGACGGGGCCTAGCGGGGCCCCGCACGTTCGCCAAACATGATAGAACATGATAGAATATAATGGCGCGCTGCTCACCTCCATAGACAGCGACCCATCGCGATCCTCATCATACTTGTCCCATATTTGCGAAGCCTTAGAGAGGATTGAGATGGTGTTGACCAGTGAAAGCGGTTGCGACTCTTCTGCACGGCACAGGACTAATGGTGCTTTTCTCGTAACTAAGCGCTTCCTGGACTGCAATTGGACGGAGACGGCCGCTGAATTTGTTTTGGTGGTATGGATGTAAATGCGCTGCTGCGCTAATACACGTCCCGAAGCTTTCCTTTCACAACACAACCTCGGCCGAGTCATCGGAGCTTGTAAAAGCATATTGGTCATCAAGCTTGACAATCGCTGCGCGCGTGTTGTGTTGCGAACCCTACTGTTTTACGGTGTTTCCAGAGAGAGTCAAGTTTTTACATGTTGGGAGAATACATAAATACAAGAGAAGCAAGATGATATAGTTAACCATGTTAGCATTAGACCTCTATACATGAAGGCAGTCACCACCCCATCCAACTAATTCCATGACCTAGCCCCCCCACACCTATGTTCGCATCCACCTGCGTCCATAACCAACTCCAAAACATGAGAGTAGTATAATCCAACATACATTGCTGTCTCCTAGCGGACAACGCAAGGAGATTATCCCATGACAGTACCAAGACACTGTAAGGTACGGAAAGCCCTGGCCGTCTGGCCCATACCCACCGCTGTGGCAGACAGGCGAGAGCCCCACACAATGCGCAATCAAACAGCTTACTTACGGTCCAACACGTCTCTCTGCGGTCAATAGACTGTCGCCACACCTTCTGCCGTATGCCGCGTTGGTCGCCAGAGGGTCCCAGAACACGTATCACAGCGGCAAGACGACACCAAAACACACACGCAAGCCATTGATATACGAAAAGATACATAAGAGACGCCTGTTGCAGGCGATGTGCGGGAGCATACGTTGGCCCCGCGCCAGGTATGCATGTCACACGACAGGGATGCAAGGAGTCACATGACAGGCCTTATGTACGACCCCAACATAGCTACAGTACGTACTCAATTTTTTATTTCCTCTTCGCCGATCAGTGACAACGACTGTTAACCAGTCACGTCAAAAGGATAAACCACATGTACAAGGACCAGGACCATGGGCACACAACGTGAGGATTTCCAGAGGCTCTGCAAGCGGCGAGGACCAGGCCAGAATAACCACTGCACTCTGCCTTGTGGTCACCGGCATACAGGCATGCCGGATACCAAACAGCAACTTAAGACGAGGCACGGGCACCTGGCCCGGAGTCCTGCTCCGGGCTGCCATAGACCCAGGAGACACTCGGCAATCTACGCAATGGCAGCCCATGTAAGCCATCCATAGGTCCTGAGCACGTCCCCGGCTGTACAAAGATGAAGCCTCTTGAAGGCTCTAGATCAATACATTCATCACGATTGTCCCGCAATGCCGCCCATGCATGCAAGCCCCCATGTACATATGAAGCTGAAAGCGGGCATGGTACGCGTCCGCACAAAGGACGAGCACATAAGCACCCAGAATGGAAACATGACAACTAGAATGGTGCCAATAGGGCTCACGTGCCTTGCAGCTCAACGCCAAGTCGGCAGGTCCGGACAATGCGCCTGATGGTAACCCAAGACGTGGCATCTCATACCCCAGCCGCGTCCTCAGCAGCCGTTGCAGCCAGGCCGCCCTTACTGCTTCTGCTCCTACTCCTCTTGCTGTGGTGTTTGCCCTTGGGGCGGCGGCGGTAACGCTTGCAGGTCATCCGAGGTAAGCACCTCCAACAGCATCAGCAGCTCCTGCTGGGAGAAGTAAGGCGTCACCACCACCCCGCCCACATACGACTGCTGGCCGGCCTCACCGCCTGCGGTGCTGCATGCGTTTGCATGGCCCTGCCCGGCTAGCCCACCCTGGAGCTGGAACTCTGGGGGCGTGCTGCCAGTCGTTGTGGCGAAGCCGGTGGGAGACGGAGGAAGGATTCTGTGGGGATAGGATGAGCCAACGCAGGGATTAGGTAAGTTATGCGAACTGAGGCGACGCATGCAGTGAAAGCGGCACGCGCTTCCGGCACTAGTAAAGCATTAGCTGCAAAGGAAGGTTCCGTACACAGTACCGGTATGATATCACCGTGGGCAGGAGCATCGTTTGCACGTACATAGCACCGGAAACGAGTTACCATGCCCCACCATTCCTGAAAACATGACCCATATCCCTCGGACCGATACATCACCCCAACGCACCTGAGCCCGCTGCAGTCTAACCGCTGCTGCGTCGAAGTTGAGCCTCCAACGCCGTTGCAACCACCGCCCGCCGCGCCGCTGGCCCCTGGAACGCTCCCTTCTGCCGCTGCGGCGCTCTGTATGAGCTTCGTGAGCAGCTGCCGGTGCCCCGCATGTAGCTCCATGCCCATAGGCGACGTCATGGAGAGCCCCCCCGCCAGCCCCATCCCAGGTCCTGGTGTGGTGCTGCAACCCGCACCGCATGGCGGCGGCCTGCAGTCCTCCAGTTGCTGCTGCTGTGATGGCGGCAGCGGCGAAGGACTCGGTCCCGGACCCGTGGAAGCGGAAGCCGCAACAGCGGCTGCGACCGCGATTTGCCGTCGCATGCGGCGTGACGGCATTCCATCCGCCAGCGGCGGCGATAGTAAGCTGCTCGGGCCGCCAGCGCCGCCGCGGCTCAAGGGGCTGCCGCCATCTATGAGGAAGCGCGGCGTGAGGCCGGTGCCCAGCATGCGCCCCTCCTCCTCGCCTCCTCGCCCGCCACGAATGCTGCTCCCGAGACCGCATGGCGTAAGTCCTAGGCGGCTCAATAACCGCGGTGTGCCGTCATCAGCGCAGGGACCACGGGGCGTAAGGCCTGTCTGGAACCACTTCAGGACGTCGTTGAAGTCACCTAGGCCGCCGCAGCCGGAGGTACCTGGGGACATGAGTGCGGAGACTGCGTTCTGGGCTGCTAGACGGCTGGTGGTGAGGGGTGGCTCGCTGCCGGCGCCTAGCAAGCAGCCGGTCATGGGGCCCGAGTTGCGGTTCTGCAGGGCGGCCGGGTCGTCGTCCAGGTTGATGTGGAGCGGCAGCTGCATGTCGTTCAGCTCCCGGGCGTATTGGATTTCGCATGGTGTAAGGAGGTCCTGTGGAATGAGCGGAAAAGCAGGCTGACTTGTTAGACCCAAATCATTGCATAAGCTAGACGCCAGTCAGGGTCCGCATTAGCAAAATACGTAAGACAGGACCTCCCTATCAGCAACCGCACCCATTCCCATGCACGGCCCCCGGCTACGGCACGAAGACCTGCTCCGGTCTATTACGTCATCACAGTGCCACTGCAGCTAGGATACTGCACCCCGGCCGCTGACCCAGATCACACCTTCAGCACCCGAATCTCAATGCCGTACAACTGTGCTGTTGCAGAAGCCAGGGGCGGCTGAGCAGCTGGTTCCGCACTGGCAGCGTTGGGGATGTTGATTGTGAGCGGGAGCTTCTTTGGTAGCGCGCAAGCAGGGCCCGCACCTCCGCAGCTGCCGCCTCTTACGCCGGCATCCTCACTGCCTTCCCGCGTGCCCATGCCCTGTTGCAAGTCCGAGAAGCCGATACGCCCTGCTTGTATCCCCGGCCGCTGCTGCTGCTGGTTGTGTTGCGGAGCTGCAAACTCCTGAGGCGGATCCAGCAGCCGGGGTGTGCGTGGCGACGCCGGCGCCGTCAGCAGCCGACCAACTGCTCCGCCGGCCGCAGCACCGCCAACCGACCCTCCGCCACCGTACGAAACAGCTCTGCGCTTCGACGGCGCGGCTGCCACGTCCAACTCAGGCTGCAGCGGCGGGCTGCCTCCACCTGCGCCTCCGCTGCTGGCCATAGTCCGTCGGCGACCCAGAACAGCACTCCGACCCGCGCTGGAGCCCGCTGCTGGCTCCACCGCTGCCGCAGCCGCTGCAACGGCACGAGGAGGGCTGGCGGCACCTCCAGCGCTGCGTCCCGCTGCTGCTGCTGCTGCTCCGCTGTCCGCTGCAGCCCCGGCCGCGTGGTGCTGCGCCTGGGCCCTGGTACGCCGCGGCGGAGGGCTGGGCTCACGACTAGAGGAGGACGAGGACGAGCGTTTAATGTCCTCGTTTTCTTCCGAGTCCTCATCTGGGTCAATGTCACTGGCCGCGTCTGAGTCGTAGGTTCGTGCCTTGCGGGCACCTCGCCGAGCGCCGCCCCCAGCGGGTGCCCGTTGGCCGCCGCCACGCATGTCACGCTTGCACAGCGCTGCATACCTGTGTGGCCATGGTCGCATGGTCATGGAGAACCGACAGAGGTTAGGGTAGCCGAGGAAGTGGATATGTTCACGGCTTGTGCGATAAGTGAGTGATGCGGGTGCGCCAGCCTAGGCCATTGATGAATCACCAGCTACGCGAAGCTTCGGGATAGTAACAGGGGATGCTACAGAACCCCTCGGCCGAGGATTACACAGCGTGAATGAAGCTCCACCCAACCCAGATTCAACACCAGGGGATTGGAGGCATGCTTACCCAAACCGTTGTTGACTGGCCAGCTTACGACAAGTAGTAAACCCGGCACCAATACACCAACCGATTCGGCTTCCAGTACCAACCTACCTGTTCTTCACAGCGTTGTCCGTCCGTCCTCCTACCATCTTTGCTATTTCTGTCCACTTATTGCCGTAGAGCCGATGGCCCTCCATAAGAATGCGGTCCTCCTGCGAGAGGTTTAAAGGTTAAAACCTGAAGAAACCTTACGACCCTTCTCCCTCAGTTAGTGTGCACCAAAATCGATGTTCGGACAGGTGAGTCAACTGGCGCGACGTATCTAAGGAGGGCACTCGACTGCGCATTGCATTCGATGGGCTTCGAGCCTTCCAACTACACGCCGTTCCAATCTTACATCAGCTGACCAGCCCCCAGACTTCAAGTCTGCATTCAGGTGGTTCTTCCAGCGGCGGCGGCACTGCGCGATTTGATGCAGGTAGAGGGTAAGTCTTTGGGAACACGCTCCGGCATTCCGCAATAGGGCAATAGGATACCTGTTTGCTGCCCTTGGTCTTTAGCTTAGCTGCGATAATGCTCCACCTCTTTGGCCCATACTCCTTTACCAGCTTCCGCAGCTGTTCGTCTTCTGACGCAGACCACTGCGCCATGGTTCAAGGATGATTCGGAATAGAGCTACAAGGCATACGATAGTCGTTTCCTTCGAGGAGTTAGTTCGGTCCAACTTGCGTTGTCCTGCCTGGTAGCTCCTATGTAACGTACTGACAGCCCTAACGACACCAATTTGTATTCAGGAACGTAGTGGAAACCGAACGAGCGCTCGAAGTGAGCACAGGGCAACGTTGTGTACGGCAGATTTGCATGTGCAAATTGTATAGAATGCACGCAGGCCTTCATCTATAGCGTCAACCTCTTATATATACATTATTATTGCTTTTCGGCGACCTTTGTGCTATGAGCATTTGGTACTCGTCCGTCGCATTGTTGACACGCGGTTGACAATCGTGTGCACGTTGCAATGTATGCGCTGGCAGTTCACCAAGGTTCCTTGTGGTAACTTTCAGCCGCTGAGTTATGAGCCCAAAGCTAAGCATGTACCAGGTTACTCGACTTCCCTTGCCAACCGTACCAAGGCAGTCTTTACCTACAGCGGGCAATCGCGTACTTGTAGCCTACCTATGACCTATCTCTCTTTCCCAATTCCCATCTTGCTTACTCATGTTACCCCATCCAAGAGGCATTCTTGCGTTAGCCAAGCCCTTGTAACATGCCTGCATGGGTCGCGTCTATCCCTGGTTCACTCCACCTCAGAGCAGTCAAATCACTCCCGACCATCTCCGTTTTCCTCGCCGCTGGCCCCTGCTCAGCGGAACCACCACCACCACCGCTGCTGCGTGTCTTCATAACACTACCTGCTACCTGCATGTCCTGCCCCCCGCCAGCGTGCCGCATGCACCATGTCGGGAGCAGACACCAAACAATAGACGATACGTGAGATCCTCGCACAGCAGCGGCAGCCCTGCTCCGGGAGCTGACTACCCTCCAGTTCCTGTGGTTTTGAAAGGACCACACTGCACGTGTGGTCGCCCCTCCCGCGACACTCACACCGTGCCACGCATTGCCAACTTGGCGCCTTCCCAGCCCACAAGACCAGCGCAATGCCCGCCCAACACGCACCGCGTCGCCTTCGCCTTGTGCTCGTGACACCGGCGAAGGCGCTAGTCGGCAGTGCACGCCACGAGACACAGGTCTAGCCGGGTTAGTGGCCCTCAACCGTGGATGGCAGCCAGGACACCTGACGCCGGTGTTACAAGCTGTAATACCTGCATATAGCGGACGTGCATACCGGTATCAAGGGCAGGGCCTTCTGCTAACCTGCACCGCCTTAGCCCTATATGTTGGGATACGTATTAAAACCCGTGATGCTTCCCGTCAGAGCAAAGAAGTTCGGCTGACCGTGCTTGGTGCAGGTAGTTTGCGGCCTTTCTGTCGGGCCTCGTATGCCCCCTGGGGTAGGGCGGTCAACGCTCTGTTGGAATGTACGTCTAACGATTGGCCTGTACGGACTCCTTACTGGTTGGTCCTCCAGTGTAATCCTCGCTTCCTAAAGAAGTTCAGACGAGCAATGCCAATATGGGCGAGACCCGCTCTTTCAGGCCAAGCGGCACGTGTGCGTGTATGCCAGATATGCGCGTGCGTGTGTTGTGCGCATGCATGCGCCCAAGTTACTGCCTGGCAATACGCAAATAAAATGTCGGGCTGCGCGATAGATGTTGCCAAGAGCATGCGATTTTTACAGGGGAGTCCGAACGACTCAAGTAACAGGGGCGTTACACAGTGACGAATGTCACGGCGGTAGTACGGCGTGTCTTACTGCAGAGTACAGACAGTGGAGAAGGCAGGATTCGCGCTTAAGAGCACGCAACTTGTATCGCCTGGTGTCTTGCTTTCAACTAGAGGGTTAATGGCGTTAACGGTGCGCAGTTACCACGCTTCACTTTTCGGCAAGCAAGAGCGCTCGGACTGCACTGTGTCATTCTATGTCGAGAGGAATGATACATGCTGTACCCGGGCAGAGAAGCAGCAAAAGCTTGCAGCAAACCAGTGCCCTGGCACGGCTTCCACCCGAGTAGGAGACCTGCTGCCCGCACACCAGATTATCCTATGCCCTGGATCAGCCTATTTCCAAGCACAGCTGGATAGGTGGTCTGCGGAGCATGAGCGGGGCAGCAAGCCGCTGTTGCGTGTAACGCTAGGGAGCAAGGAGGACCTGCCCCATGCTACTAGGGCAATCCGCTTTATCTACACCGGCGAGCTGGAAACAGCCACAGCCAGCGACCTGCTGCACGTTCGGCGGTTGGCTTGCTTCTTGCAAATCGATGACTGCACAAGCGCTTGCGAGGCAAGCCTGCTAGCGCTGATCGCTTCACCACAAAAGGACAGCAACGGTGCATGTAGCAGCAGCGGATTGCTGGCTGGTCTTTCGGAGTTATACTCATGCCGCGAGCTGCTGCCTCAACCGGACGAAGATGCGGGCGCGGCAAGCTTCTTGGACCGACTGTTTAACGCTTGTCGGGAAACGCTATCGCAGCATTTCCGCAGCAGCGCTGGTGCAGGACCCGCTAGCAAGACCGAGCTCCTCATTTGGCTATACCCAGACGCGCCCTATGTGCTGCGCAATCCCTCCGTTCGGCGGCACGTGCTTTCACTGCCCTTTAGCGCTATGTTAGCGCTGCTGGGCAGCACGGCCTTCGCAACCGACAGCGAGGCTTCCGTGCTGCTGATGCTTTCGGAATGGCTGGAAGACAACATCCACACCAAGAAGTACGAGTGCATCGCGCTTTGCAAGCTGCTCCGGCTATGCCAGCTGGATCGGGGCTTCCTCCTCGGAATCCTGCCGGAACTCCGGTGGTTCCCCATCACCTTGTACGAGTGCTACTTCTTGCAGCAATATGCCATGGCGGCCGAGGCCGTGCGCTATATGCTGGCATCGGAAGCAAGGGGGAAGTACGATTGCACCTCGGCCTGGTACAACCCCGAGCCTCGGCCACGTCCAAGCTTTGGCGTAGCACCTAGCAGCACCACTGTCACCAGCAACGGCACCCACTGGAACTATGGCCCCAGCAGCCCCAGCTGCTGGAACTATGGCCCCAGTAGCCCCAGCTACTTGGACTATGCTCCGTACTACAATCCGTACTACAATCCGTACTACAATCCGGGCATCAGCTTCAGCAGCAGCAGGCGTTACGAGTGGTACATTAAGCAGGAGGACTTGGAGAAGCAGCTGGCCGATATGGAAGCTGGAACTTCCTATCAGGTTGGGATTGTTGGCAGCTTCAGCAGCGGCGTATCTCACCTGGTGGTGAATGGCTTGGCGCTGCGCCCAGTCCTAAAGTACTATAAAGGCGGGTCTGGGGTATCCGTGGTCGTGGAGGGCTCTTTCCCTGCCGGCCTGCGCCTCCCCAACCCGAAGGAGCTGGTGGTCACGCTGGACCCCTTTGCGGTCGGCATGGAGGTCTACCGCTGGGCCGAGAACGGCAGCCGAACGGATGCCTGGTGCACAGACATTACGGTGGCTAACGTGCCGCTGTCTGGCCTCAACGGTAAAGCCGGTCAGGAGTTTGGCTTGCTTGGTGGGGTTCCGCTGCTCGCTGCTGCGGGGGCGGCAGCGGCTGGAGCAGCGCCGGTAGCTACTGCTTCCGCTACGGCAGCGGCTGAGGCGCCGGCTGCTGCTGAGGCGGCCGCTGCAGCTGAGGGTTCGGCGGCCAACGGAGCCAATGCTGCCGGTGCTGCCGGCCTGCTGGCGCGGTGGGCGCCGTACCTGCATGAGGGCAGGATCACGGGAGCTCTGGTGTGCAGGTGGTAGGGGGTTGCTGTTGGATGGGGGAGGCGGTGTAGAAGCCCATGTGGTGGGACGTGCATGGTGCACAGTGCTTGAAGTGCAGTCCTGGTGTGGAATGGCTGGTAGGTGCCTCGGGATGGGCCTGTAGCTGCTGACAGGGAAGGCGAGCCCGCAGGGGTCAAGGGAAGATGAGTGGGGTGCATGGGTGGTGTATGAGTGGTGTGCATGGGTGCTCTTGGTGAGGTAGGCAACGTGCCATCGCAACACGGTAGAGCGCGCGTTTGGTAGGCTTCATTACCATCGTTAAGAGTACCAGACGCAGGATGTTTGCGTGGTGCTGGCAGCGTAGCTTGAGAGCTGCATGTGTGTGCGTGGCTACTGCTGTTCATTGGGGAGCGCTTCTGGCGATCTACCTACTGGACTTCTAGGTAGGGTATAGCTTTCAGTCTGGGCTTAGTTTAGCTTAAATATTTTGGAGGACTTGGAAATTGTCCAGTTGCAGAGCTGTTGCTGAGATGTATTGTGGGGATGGTGGTATTGTGCCCTGTATGTTGAGTAGCTGCAGGTAGCCAGGTAGACAGGCTGCACTGTTAGGTAGCATCCGTGAATGAAATCCTTAGTCGGAAATTCTAAGTGTGAAGCAATTGGTGTGCGCCAATGTGCATCACCAAGAGCGACCGTACTTGCGTCACTAGTACGCGCAAACGTCGTCATGCATTGCCATGCATGTGTACTTATTTAGAGGGTTTGATCAGAGCTGGTTAATATACGCTTCGGCCATTATCTGCCAGCTAGGAGAGTTACGCATTAATCGTTCACGTGGAAGAGTGGGGTGGACGTTTCAGGGAACTCCATATTCAAGCATTGGGCTGTGTGTTGTTTGGGTGGGTGCGTAGAGTGGTGTTTTGTGCGACGAGTGTGGAGTGCCCGGGGACATGGTCCCTACACAAACCTGGCTGCAAACGCTTGGTGGAGAGTCACGAGGTCCTGTGAGGATATTAGTAAGCTGAATACGGAGACGCAATCCATGATGACGATTGTTACAAGTTGGCCGTACAGCAGGGTACGGAAACGGTAACCTCTTACGGTGGTAACGGTATTAACGTCTTTAACCATGTTGACAAATACGCCCTCCGACTAAATCCTAACCCAGGCCAACCAGCACTTTACCAGCACTGACCTGGGCCCTCATAGCTTCATAAGCCAAGGATGCCAAGGACCATGCTTAACCTACGCAGCGAGTTTGTTTCATGCCAAGCAATACAAACGAACCGTATATGCCGTACAAGACCCGAGCAGATCGGGAGAATAAATAAACTTACTGTAACACAGCGTTACAGTGGCCACAGCAGCCAATGGATTAATAAAATTTACAACACTGCTGCCTTTGGATTCCGTGCAGTACGGAACGACATAAGAAATACGACAGGGTTCCGTACAACACGGAGTACGGACATGGTATACAATTCAACGTAACACAGTTTACGGTATACAGGGCTGCAGTAGCCAAAGAAATAATCAAAGCTCGGCACACATGTTTAGAAGGTGCCTTATTTCGGATTCCATGCAGTACGCATAGGTGGTGCTGCTTTTACTTAACCACACCATAAGTGCACCTCATCAGCTGTGCTATGGGTCAATAGCTCAAGACTCAGAAGGGAGCCCTCCAGTAGGTCCCCGAAGGTATTCCAATCAGTAGCCAGTCTACTTGCTTGACCAACCGACCGTCCATCGCCGTCCATCGCCATATAATCCACATGTCGCCAGAATCGGATCAAAATGAGAACAAAAGAGAACGTGATACAATTGCTTCAAGGAGCCATAATACCCAAGTGCCCAGCACGACACCCTTGCAGCCCTCACGGCCGTGTAATAGCCCCGCCTCGCAGGTCGAAATAATATTCCTTAGCAACGAGAGAGACCGCTATGCGGCCAGACCCGTCATCCCATAACCAAACCCGTTATTTGTATCCTCCCAAGTCCCAACACCTTGACCCGCATCCCTTGTATCCCTCTTCATCCCCAACTTACATGCCGTTAAATCTCATGTTTACCTTGGAAAACAACCGTACAATCCTCCGTACAATTCACCGAACGACGTGTGGCAGATTACGCCCAGTAAGATAGCTGCCCCTTACTTCCGCGCCCTCTCCTTGCTGCCGGTCTGCCCCGCTGCCCCCCGCAGCTGAGCCCCCACTGCCACAGCAACCACCACCGCCAAGCCACCCCTCCACCAGGCGGCTGCATTCCCAAGACCCTCACGCAGCCCCCTCAACCGCTTCCCCGGCAACACCACCATGCCGCCTGCCGGTGGCCCCATCCCCTCAGCACCCACCACCACCGGCTGCTGTTGCTCCTCCTCAGCCTGCTTCTGTCCCTGCTCGGCCAGCCTCTGCTGTTGCAGCACCCACTCCCGCATGGCTGGGTTGCATGCCGGGGGCAGCGCCGCCACCGCCGCCTCCCAGTCCACCGGGCAGCCCCCCTCCAGCAGGCAGCGCAGCACCGGCAGCGGCGAGTTGCCGCGGACGCAGGCAGTGGAGGTCACCCCGACCGGTCCCCAGGGGCAACCCAGCCGCCGCAGACAGCGCAGTGTGGCCAGGTCGCCGCGCTGAGCGGAGGCGGTGTAGGGGTTGCCAGCTACGGGTGCCTCCTGCGGGTGCGAAAGAGGGGGTGCCGATACAGGTCACCGTACGGGTTGGTTGGAAGCAAGGACTCGCCGTAATGGGATGTAAGGATGTAAGGAGAGCGAATGGCAGCCAAGAGGGAGGTAGGAACGCAAAGGGAAAACAACTCCAATCCAACCATGCAACACGTGAACCCGCTACTTGCAATCCACCACAGCCCAGGCCTACCGTAAACGGTCCGTTCCTACCTTGAAGGGAAACCCATGCGCCTCAAGCCACTCCATCGCCTCCTCGCACCCCGAATCCGCCGCCGCCCAAGCCGCCATGCCCTCCCACCTGCCGCCGCCTCGCTCTGTCAGCCACGTCAGCATTTCCACACTGCCCGACCGCAGCACTCCCGTCACCACGTTTGCGCGCCAACCATCACACCAGCCAGCCACGTTGTCATCTCCCGCCCACTCCAACAGCTGCGCCATGCCCTGCACGTTGCCCATCCGCGCCATCTCCGCCATGGCAAACGGATCTCGGAAGTCGTAGTTGTGGCGGTGCAGCAGCTGCAGCACCTCCAGTCGGCCTTGCTGGGCTGCGCTGAAGGCCATGGCAGGGCTCGGCAGCGGCCAACCCTCCGATAAGAGGTGCTCGAGCAGGGCAACGTCGCCCTTTGCAGCAGCGATGCTGCCGACGCCATGACCAACTGGGTACTCCCGCTGTATCAGCCAGGTGACGCGCTGCAGCGCGTCTGCCTGGCGACTGGCGCTATCGCAGACCTTCTCATCTCCGATGTAGCCCTGCGCCTCCAGCCATTCAATCTTGGCGCGCCAGTCGGGTGTGGGGCTGCCTGCGGCTGCCGCGATAACCGCTTTCTTGGCGTTGAACTTTAGCTGTTGGCCTTTCAGCAGCGTGCGGTGCCAGTGCTGGAGAGTTGCGAGGTCGCAGCCAACCGCGACAGATTCCAGCATGCGGCGCTTGCTGATGGGTTTGGTGTTGGGAGGTTGCTGCTGCAGGAGACACTGGACGACGTGCCGCTGCCCGCCACCAACCACAAAAATTTCAAACGCTTATCGTAGGCCATTCTGCGCATGACGCCTTGCTTACTCCAGTACCGCGCAAAGGCATGAGGCGGAACTGGCTGCGACAGCCGAACAACAACATACTGAGGGCCAGTAAAAAGTGAATACGTGGCCTTGTCAACGAGGCGTAGTGTACATGCCACGTCGTTGTGTGGAAGGAACTTGGCGATGTGCTGGACGATGTCAGGAATCCATGTTGAAGAAGCGTTTGCCGGGGGCTCGGGAACGAAGCAGAAATACTCGTTAAGTGAAGGCCCTAATACACCCAATGCCGCGGTTTGCAATTGGTGGGCCGGCATCTCAGACGCGCATCCATGCACCTCGGTTAAAGCAAGGAGCGAGGTCTTCCAACCTGACCAGTATTAGGGTAAATTGGCATGCAGTACATATTGACAGTAATGTATAAAGCTGGAATGACTCTGTCGCGCACATGATGGCGCATGGAAACAAGTACAGCCTGGGTCCTGGCAACCCACAAACGGACGGCAAAAGAGCGGGCCCGGCTGGCGCAGCAATGGTGCGATGGCAGAGCAGAAACGATCCTACTTACCAAGCCGCCCAAGCCGCATTTGGACGGTGTCACTCTGTTTCGCACACGCTCAGAGTCTATCCGCCACCGTCGCCACCCAACTTTCAGAACTCGATGAGATCCCCTTCGATGAGATCCCCTTCAAACTCTGCTGGTTTCTGTTTAGCCAAGTGTGGCCTCCATTTTATTCCCGGTTGTTGTTGCACTGAGCGCAGGCCTGCTACGGTTAATATGCACAGCAAACGCTATGTTTCCCAACCCCAACTGATTCTGTTTACAGTCGACTGTGGACGTCCGTAACAGGCTTGCACATGACAATGCAGAGCTTCCGAGCCAGGATCTGTACCGATACCGTAATTGCAACTGGGCCCCAAGACTCCCCTCATATTCCTTACAACTTGTGCACACGGTTCAACTTCTAAGGTGGCCCTCTGCCCATGGCCCATGCGTGGCTCACATAGGCATCTGTCGCATCTCGCCCTCCAGGCTAGTTCTGTCCTACTTAGGAACGTCGCAGACCGGGTCCGGAAGCAGCATGATGTGGCTAAACAATCTTATGGCGCAAAGCTGCGCTGTGTTTGATGCTGACAATAGTTTACAATGTTGTCTCGTCAAAGAAAATTTCAATTTACCGGGAAACCGTCGTACACGTATGCGGACTGCCGAAACGTCTGCCATACTACTCGTATTGTGCCCCATACTTGTATAATACAAAAGGTTACTCTCCGAGTCAAGTGGCGTGCGTGGGCAACGGTCATTGCATATGTACGGTAAGTAGAAGGTATTTTTGTAATATTGCAGCAAGCTTGTTAATGTGTTCTGTGCTCGCGATCCATGAGCCTTCTGGCTCGGACGGATCTTACGAGCTCGGTACGAAGCTTGTAACACATACATACACATACATACATACAGCAAGCTCTTTAAAATAGATTGAAGATATAGACAATATACCATAATATTTCGCAGATACATACTGATGATTATATGTAGTGTACTTCCGTCGCCCGATGGTCAATGCAGCATGAGCCGGCGCTGAACGGTGCTTTGCAAACGACGATGTGCGCTGGTAAGGAACCAGCTTCGCACCCAGCATGAACAAACTCGCATCTAGCCGCACCTATGCAGAGACCACAGGCATCTCCACGTGGGGCGGGGCGCCAACCACACGAGAAGCCCATGAGATCGGCTTGACCTGGTTCTTGCTATTATAGTGTATTGGCCCCACAACGTACCATTGCGTATTTTTTCACAGGAATATGGGACCGGCCTGTTTCGCCGTCCTGCATCTTCGTCCAACATTACATATCGGAGGAGCCGAGACACTTACTCCTCTAAGCGCGGGTCTTGCATCTCTCCTTGGAAAGCCTAGAACGGAGGGTCCCAGGCTAGTCCGGCTATGCAGCTTGGTTCCTAGTCAAGGCCCCTTCGTAACCAACATCCGTGAGGAAGTAGCAGGGTGCGTGCCACACACACTCCATTCAACATTGCCGCGACAGCAGCGTAGCAGCCATGGCACGCCTTGTGCAGCAGCGTTGCTGGTCATTAGCAACAGTAGCAGCCCTGCTCGTGTACTGTACGGCGCTGCTGCTGGTAGCCAAGCCAGCAAGTGGGTGCCGGTACTTTGGTAACCACCTGGAACCGCTTTGCAACGTCTTGTTGTCACTGGAGCACTGTGCTGCTGTACAGACCGTACCTCCATTAGGTTTTCTATGTTCCAGTGGCTTCACTTTTTAGAAGCTTTACTTTTTAGAAAGCATTACTTTTTAGAAAGCCGTTTACGATAGATGCCATGGAGAAGGTCTTGCTAGTGGCTTTTGTTGCTGCACTTTACAACGCCAACTTGTGGGAAGCCATTTGGGGCTCCGCATCTCCACAACCTGCATTGCCGCTTACTTTGCATGCAGGTGGTGCCGCCTGTGCCGCTTACGCTGGCTTAGGCGGGCAGTGCGGCTCAAGCGACGGTGACAAGTGCTGCCCCAGCGGCCAGTGTTGCTCCCGGTACGGCAACTGCGGCGTTACGACAGCCCATTGCGGTACGGGTTGCCAGGCGGCGTACGGCACTTGCACGGCGGGAAGTCCGGAAACCAGCGGCGGCTGCCCCGACGGTTGGCTGCCGGCGGTTGGGACTGTGTACGATAGCTGGCCCAAGCCGGGAAGCGTTACTTGTGTGCAGTACAACCGCTGTGAGCGGGCTGGTCAGTTTACCGCCATCAACGACGGCGACGCGCCTCCATGCAAGAATGGTGCGCAGTGGCTAGACGGCGGCGACGGCGTCATGGCTTGCAGGTTTCCGGAAGCAACCGTAAAGGCCTGGAACCTGGCGTCTACGTATGACCTTGACGCAGCTCTGTTTGGCCGACAGCTCGAGGTGATGGCACTGGGCGCACTAGCAGGTCGTACGGTGGTGGTGAACGTCAGAGATGTTTGCAACGACAACGAATGCAGGGGCTGCTGCAAGCACAGAACCGGCAACAAAGCGTGGAAGCTGATTAACATTGAGAAATGGCCTGCCAGTCAGCTGCTTGGTTTTGACCCCACGGTATCAGGCTTTGACGTCAGGAGGTTGAAGTATCCGTGGGTTCCTTTGGGGCTGCGTGCTGGGGCTCCGGAGGGTTCGGTGATGCCCCTGTGTTACAGGGACTTGGGTCCGGCGCCTGAGCTTCCACATGGTGTTAATGGCTTGCAGGCCCCAGTTGATGAGCAGGGCGTGGCTTCGGAGTAGGCACCAGAATATAAAAGCATGCGCGGTGTTGGGTGCATCAGGCGATGCGCTCGTGGTAAGAAGCAGGACTGGGTTATAGCAGAGGTCCTTTATTGTACTAGTGTGCAAGGCCCGTTGACACATGCCAGCTTGGGTCGTAGAAGCTGTGTTACTGAAGAATTAGTTTAGTATGACGCTAAACCCAGTACAATACCGGAAGCAATGTTGAGTCGCCATCCAAGACAAGAACACGTGTCCTGCACTGTTAAAGCGACGTGGTGGGCGTGGGTGTTTGCCGCCTCCACGAGTGTTGTTCGTGTATGTGAGTATGCCCATGGCGGTACCTCTAATTCCTCACGTCTTAATGGTGCATAGTAATAATAATGTGTTTGCTTGCATTGCTCGTAGGAGTAATGGCAAATTTGTATATCTGTATTGCATTGCGGTTGTGTATTTAGTTTGGACGAGCCGGGGTTGTGGGTGCGTCGTGTATGTTGCCCAACCAGGCTTCGCCTGTGTGCGAGGCTGCTGAAGTGTGGTGTGATCCTATAGGTGGTTTTGGTCTGTTGATTGACCCCATAGCCATGTAGCGTATCGATTCGAGGAAGGTTTCGGGCGATGGCGTGATGGGTTGTGACGTGAGGCAAGGGACCCACGGGTCACCACGGAATAGCAACACATGCCAGCATTACAATGGGTAAATTTGCCGTACACAATAAGCAACGAAGTGTCAACCTGCCGAAACTGTAAAAAAAAGGCAACGACAGCATCATCCTAGCCAAGCTGTCTAAGCAATGCACGAAACCAATCTACATGCATCGTGGCCAAGCGATGAGAGCCGTAATCAACAAACATAGCCAGCCAACTGAACGCCGTAACCAGCAACCATAGCCAATCTCTTAGCCAACTTCGCGCTCTAACCAACAACTACCGGTACCCAGCAGGCCGCATTACGCCAACTTCAAACCTTTGCTTCAATTCGCTACAAGCATGCATGCAACTGCAATGATGTGCTGTACAATAGCAGAGCAGGCCACCATGTACGACAACTGACCATCCAAGGGGCTAAGTACGTACGGCAACTGACCATCAATGGCTACATGAGCGCTACCAGAAGACACGCACAACGGTAACGTCCGGGCCGGTGATGAGGCATACATCCCCTCCTAACTTGAACCAACAAACACCCCACGTAGGCACCAGCTTATCACCCAGCAGCTGCTTACCCTGTATTGGCTAACAATCCAAACAACCAATCAACGCCCTCAACAGAAACCTTAACTAGCAGCGAGCCGAGCGCCAACCGTAAGGCTGCCCTGCCCACGCAGTCCCTCCCAACCAGCAGCGCCTTATGCCATGCAGACTGCACCCACAACCCCTCATTCTCTTCCGCTCGGGCAGCTGCAGCTGCAGCCAACACAGGTAGGGCAGTCCCCCACGCTGCCGCCTCATCCCCTCCTCAATTCCACAGCTACAGCATGCATCGACAGCCGCCATCGGCCCATGCTGCCTGCCGCATCCCAATACCCATTCCTCGCCCTATCCCTCGCACAACTCCATCAGCACCCCCTACCCTACTTCATTCCCGCTGCCATCCGCAACCCGCCTCCCGCCGCTCCCACCCTACTCCGGCAGCTGCAGCAGCAGCAGCGGCTTGGTGCAGTGGCGGGTGAGGTGCGAGGCCACGGAGCCGTGCAGCGCCTCCGCCACAAGACCCCGCCGCGAGTAGTTCAGCAGCACCACCAGCTTGATGTCCAGGTTGGAGGCGGCCATGGAGCAGACCTGGAGTGGGGGAGGAGGAGGAAAAGGCGAAGTCGTAGTAAGTATGACATCACAGCCCATCTCTTCACCGCACGCGCACACATATGTCCTTCCGTGTCCTTCGTACGAGTTCCTGCCGTACTACTGTGTATGTTGTACGACACCGCCCCTGCCGCCCACCTGCTCCCCCAGGTCCTCCGGGTCCCCCGTGCTGCTGTACAGCTGCCGGTACGACACATCCTTCAGCCCGCGCCGGCGCATCTGCATGGCCAGCGCGGTGGGCAGCGAGGGCATGCCGCTGACGCTGGGGCCCGCCACGTGCCATATGGAGATGGAGTCACCTGGGGAGAGAGGGGGGAAGCGGGAGAGGGTGATGGGAACACGAGGGGAAGGAGAGGGCGTTGGCGGAGCTAACGGGGGACGTGAGTCGGCGACGGGACTGTGATGGTGGGCATGGCAGCGGCGGTAATTGAAGATGGATGTTGCTGAGGCAATGGTGAGGGGCAGAAATGGAGGACAAGCAGGTTAGATGGGCCAAAGGGAAGGTGCAAACGGGGTCGAATTGGCAGAGGCAGGCGGCGACAAACGCTGAAGGGTAGAGAGCGGCTGCTGCGCACGCACGCAGGGCAGCACACGCCGCCCGGCACCCAGTGACAACGCACGCGAATCCTCCATGTCTTCCGCAGCTTGGCACGCAAGTCGCCATCCTTCTTAAGTACCCGTAGTCCAGGGTGGTCATTACACTACATTACCTTTGCGCGCGCAGTTGTCCGCCACCCACTGCCACACGTCCGCCAGCTCCTCCAGATGATTCACCACAAGCAGGATCTCGCTGCCGCCGCTGACGGCACCGCCACCGCTAGCAGCGCCGCCGCCAGCCACCGCCGTCGTCACATCCGCAATCGCAGTACCCACATCCTCCGCCGCCTCCATAGCCGAACCGGGCGGCGCAGGCGGCGGTGGAGCCGCCGCCACCGCCGCCGTCGGTTCGCCGCCTTCAGCTGGCACAGCCGCCGTCGCGGTGGCGGCGGCGGCGGCGGCTGCCGCCGCCGCCTGTGCCGCCTCCGGCGGCAGTGCCTGTGCGGCGAGCCTCGCCGCCTGCGCTGCCGCCGCCGCCTGCGCCTCCGGGCTGGGCACCAGCAGCAGCGGCACGGGCGAGTGCTGGTAGCAGTAGCGGCTCACGGAACCAAACTCCGCCAGGGCGCCTGTGGGAGGCGGTAGGCAGGTAGGTAGGTAGGTAGGTGCAGCAGGCAGAACGCAACAGGCGGGACAAGGAGCGCAGCTAGGTATTGCAGCCCTCCCCACGCCACGCCAACCCCACCCGAGACCCGACCACCCCCGCACCTGGTCCGTGGCTGGCCACCACCAGCAGCTTGGCGTCGCTCCGCTGCACCGCCTCCAGCAGCGTCTGGGCGATACCGGCAGCGGAGCGGGCAGCGGGCAGCTGGGGCAGCTCGGTCTGGGGGGGAGGGCGGGGGAGGAGGGCGGGCAGGCCGGAGGAGGGGTGAAGAGGGGTGCGGAGGGGTGAGACGCATAGACGGGAGAGGCGGATGATAATGGGCGTGGCGGAGCTGTTCAGCAGTCGTGGTGAGGACATGAGACGTAACATGGCATAGACAGAACGGACGTGGTCAATAGATCGCATGTGTGCTGCATGCAAGGTGAACAAGCCAGCAGTGACGTCGCTCCTTGAAACCCCCTCCATCTGCTGCTCCCACTGCTCCCACTGCTGCTGCTGCTGCTCCCGACACGCACCTTGAACTCTATGCCCATGCGCCTCAGCTGCTCGCAGCGCCGCGCCACCACCGCCTCAGCTGCCTTGCCCAGCCGACCCAGGTAGTCCTGATGCGGGGATAAAGAGGAGGGGGTGAGGGCAAAGGAGGAGAAAAAGAGAGGAAAGAGTGGAGGGAGAGGGCAGGGATGAAAGAGTGAGGAGAAGAAAGCTGTTTGGCCAACCTAGTCAACACGACTTCTTCCCATGCCTCCAATGCTCCCCGTTCCCACACATCTGCGGCCCGTTGTCAGCCCCCTTATCAGCCCCATTGTTTCCTTGTTCCCCTGCTACCCCCTCCACCCACCCCCGATCCCATCCCCCCCCCACCTGCAGTCCGAGCTCCCACGATCCGTAGCTGGCCCCCGCCGGCCCCAGACCCAGCCCCAGATCCAGGGAGTCCATGGAGATGGGCCGACCCGTGGGACTGGTGCCGATGGAGGTGAGCGAGTGCAGCGCGCGGGGGTCGCACACCACGTGTACGACACGCAGCTCATCCACTCCTGTCGTACATGGGAATATAGGATCACGTCGTACGTTGGTGAAATGGGGTGATGCCGTACGGCAGGTTGGGAAAGGAGGAGGAAGAAAGGCAGATGGAAAGGATTCGGCCGAAGAAGCGTGGGGAGGTGTTGAGACAGTACGTAAGGAGCACGCGAAAGGGATGCTGTACCTGGGCTGTACAGGTTGCGCGCCACCCACTCCACCGCCGCCGCGGAGTTGTCTGTGTCATCTAGCGCCACCAGAATGGTTCCGCCGCGCGTGCTGGGCTCGTTGCAGCTGAACTCGTGCGGATGCGAGCGCAGCTCATCGATACGGTGCTTGGCGGCGGCAGCAGCAGCGGCAGCTGCGGCGGCGGGAACGGCGGCAGCGTCGCTGCCGCTGCCAGTCGCGGTGGCGGCGGCGGCTTGCGCCGCCGCCGCCGCGGCGGCACCGGGAGGCTTCTGTACGGCAGGCGGCGCCTCCGGCGCCGCGGCGGGGAAGGAGCGAGGTCCTCCGGAGAAGCTCGTTGGCGGCCCTAGCGGCGGGATGGCACCTGATGGCGTGTCGGGGGAGGTCGCCGCGGCTGTCGGCGGCTCCGATGCCTGTCCGGCGGGGGAGTGAGGTCCGCCGGAGAGGTCCTTGGGAGGGCCTAGCGGCGGGGTCGATAGGGGGGATCCGCGCGCTGCAGCGGCCTCTGCTAGCGTCGCCTCCGCTGCGGCGTCGGCCGCGATGGCGGAATGGGGGCTAGCGGTGAAGCTGGTTGTGGGAGGGCGGGATGCTTGAGATGGTGGGGCCTGGGGCGATGGCGTGGTTTGCGTGGACTGCTTTTGCTGTGGCGGCTGCTCCTTTCGTTGACGCGGGTGCTGCGGCTGCGAGGAGGATGATGGTCCTCCAGCGGAGCCTTTAGCCGCGTGTGCAATGACTGCTCGCGATCGCGAAATCCCACTGTCCAAGGTATTTTTGCTACAAGAAGAAGTACCGGCTACAAATGTAGAATGCGGTAGACCGACAGCCTGAAGTCCGAAGCTTCTTGAACCGCAGCTCCGGCGGTATGAGGGGCTTGAGGAAAGTAGGAGGTTTTGTGCGGGTCGGGACGGGCCCGAAAGGCTGAGAAGAGGCGTCGCGCGCATCTTGGACCCAGGCGCTCCTCGTGAGCCTGGTCTTACTTAGGAGGTTGCTGTTGGTACTGATGAGGATTAACGATTGTTAAGTGCTTGGAGAGAGTTTAGCTCTGTGTGCGTTGGGGATGTTAGGCTGCTAGCACTTTACAATGATGACGAGGTCCGTGCGTATGGCGCTAGGATGTCCTATTGAAGGGGAAGCAAAGCATATGCAATGTGCTGTTGTTTGTCCTTTGATGGTTTGTAATGGCGGAAAGGTCCGCATCTCAAAACGGGATGCAAAGCGCCCCCTTCCGTACCTCTGCTGGGGTCCAATCAGCCAGCAGGCGCACAGTGCTCCAAGGTTGGGTTCTGCAGCCAACCATTTTCTGTCCCATACGTTGTTTTCTTACTGCCACAAAGCTCTGTCATTGTCGGCGTGCATGTTGCCAGCTTAAGCCTGACCCCTGGGTCAAGTCTTTCTCATGTGTGGTCACACGTTAACGCAAAGGAGGCTTCTAAGATTGGGAGTTAACACATACACTGGCACACGGCTCATAAATGGAAGCCCGTCGGACGCTTACCAATTTTGGACAAGACGATGCGTTCTGTATGTGGGTGCTTTCCTTCTTTTTGCCTTTGTTTGCATCCCTGATATGTTCACTCTTGCTCTCACACTGTTGGAAATGCTGGCGTTGCTGGCATTGCTGACATTGCTGGTAAGATCCACGTAACCGTACACCCCTTTTGGTAGGGCATGGCGCTAGATGGGCTGCCTGGCATACCCTGAACACATATATATTAACATTGCAATCCTGCTTTAACGCCCCTACGTTGATTTCGCGACAGATGAGCTGCGGAACAACCAGCTAGAGGTCGTAAGCCGTAAACCATACTGAACGCTAACCGCTAGGTGACACAATTTTCTTGCGTTCTGTTTACTCAGGCGTAGGGGTAAGGTAGGCGTATAAATACGGGCCATGAGCAAGCGAAAGCGCCATGCTGGCTTTCTGCTGAATGACGAGGTTCCCGATCTTCATATAAAATTAAAAGATCGGGATGCGATAACTCCAGTCCATAGCGAAGTTCTTTGCCTGTTCAGCAAGCTGGTCAGGGACATGCCGAAGGTCCCCGACGGCAATCCAACCATTTGGGACCTCAGTGCAGTTGTTCTCGAAGGGATGTCAGAACCCGTGACGGGCGCCACTGTGGATCTGTGGCTAGACTGCGTCTACTCCTGCGTCGACAGCTCGCGCCGCTTCAAGCTGACGTCAAGCAACCTCGAGGCAGCAAGGCCGCTGCTGCATTTTGCCGACTATGCTGGCAGCGCCACGATTGTCTTTGAAAAGATAACAAGCAGCCTTGTGGACAACCCAGAGTTGTGTCTCACGGTGCTCACGGACAGCGAGCAGGGATTAAGCGAGGACCTAGTGCTACGCGGCTATCAGTACTACTTCTTTTCCGGCGATCTATATGAGGTTCAACTGTCAAGCGGCAACGCCGAGTCCGGACGAAGCGTTACCATGGAAGAGCCTTGCCGGCAGCGCTTCACCTCGGCCGTGTGCAGCAAGCTGGAGGAGTGGCTCTACCTGGCTGGGCGGCTGGCTCTGGTGCCGCTCGTGGAGTTGCTGCTGGCCTTCATTAAGCTGCAGCTTTTTCCCGGCGACTGCTCCATCTTTGCCGCATGCATTGGCAGCGTCTACAGCCCGCGCGTTCTGCAGGCTATACCCACCCCGGTGCTGCTTGCAGGCTTTCTGCGGGACAGCCTATGCCACCGACCCAGCGACTTCAACCTTACTGCCAGCGACGTAAAGGCTGAGGTGAAGTCCGCTGAGGCCAAAAAGTGGTTTGGCGATACGGCCGACACCAAGTACCAGCTGCGAAGACGCGCAGATGGCTGCAGCATAATTGACTTAGCGGATGAGAATGTTGAATGTGTTCTGCCCGTCCGTGTGTTGGTTGGCGGCATGACGGAGGAGGCAAGCGCCAAGGTCGTGCAGGAGGTGCTCTCCAAGGTGCAGGACGCGGACTGAGGCGCACCCGCACTCGTGGGGACGCTTGCGTCAAGGGCCTTACTTGCCCTAGCATACACGAGACTGTATGACTGCCAGTAAGCGTGTTTTGAGCTGATATGACTCGTACAGGGGCAGCATACATGCGGCGGACGGGTGTTGTGGTGTGGGGTGTACCATAGGTTTGAATGTGCGCTTGGTGCAGTGGCTCGGATGATGTGCTGTGCAAATAACCTCGTACATGCTTTATACTAAGCACACATAATTGTTGTTGTACTTATCTGTGCGGTGCATTGGCTATGGTAACGCTACTAGGTAATAACGGCGTGCTGTTAGGGGTATGCATTCCATGTATTGTACGCACAAACCTGAGTTTTGACCCAGCAGTTCCGTCAGCTGTTTCGTTAACGTTAAAACCGCAAGTCATGGGCGGGGTTCGGAAGTCGCCGTGAAGATTTGGGCCATACGTTGTCCATTTGCAGTACAGCCATTGTAGTCGATAACGTGTTGTCGTGTTATGGACCATTGCAGGGTTTCACATGCCAGCCACTCATTGCCGTACAGCTGTGTTGTCAGGCTTGCAGGTTGTTGCGCTACACCGGGCGCCTTTAAGGAATGGACGTGGGCTGTGTGCGTAGTTTAGTTGAGGTAGTTGCAGGTGGGGCGTGCATGGTGACAGTACCTGCAACCGTCATACATTGTCTTATCCTAGTATGTCCGAAGATATTTTAATCTACCCGCTACATCCCGTCAATGTATTCCCAGCTCCTGACACCACCACCGATTACTCCAGGAAAGACGCATCCTCCTCTCTCCCAACTTGCCCATTACGCGCATACATGGTGACCAACCCCCTCCTCCCAACGCAAGCATGCATAGCCCTGTTTATCCCCCAGGACGCCCTGCAACCCGCAGCAGCAACCTGCGTTCTTCTAAAGGTCCTGGACCCGACACATTTGTGTCCTCTATACAAGCTTCTTTGGTCAGGACAGCAAATGCTCCAGGCCACACGTCGAATGGCACGTATAAGAACGAGGCTTCCTGCGTCCAATCCATCCAACAATCCTACAAAGTGCACAAACCCCAAAGCCACTCCGAGGCCCCTTTCCCCAGCCTACTCCACAACACGAGCGGCCCAGCGCCTCCCTTCCCAGCCCCGCCTGTGCTCCTTGCCACTGGGCGCTTCCGATTTTCCTCATCCCTGCATACCCAACCTTATTCCCCTTCCTTTGCAGAAGCGCGGCCGTGCCCCTACCAACCCTTGCCACCATACCTTCCCCCTCGTTTTCCCCGCCTCCTGCACTCCTACCCCATTGCACAGCCATTCATCCAGTCCTGCCCTCGGCCGCCCCCTCACTTCCTGCTCTTCGCCCCCGCCTCACTCCCCACAGCCACCTCACTTCCTGCTCTCCGCCGCCGCCGCCTGCTCCACCTTATCCTTGATGAACAGCGTGCCCAGCGCCAGCAGGCTTAGCAGCACCGCAGCAGCGAAGGCAGCCTCCGTGTTGTACTCCTTGTAGGCGCTCTCCACGAACAACGTCAGCGTCTGCGTCTTGCCGATGATGTTGCCTGAGGCGGGGTGGGGGGAGAGCGTGGTAGGCGCGGGGGCGGGTTGGATTGGGGTGTGGATAAAGAGGCAGGCAAGCGGCGGATTGGGGTGTGGGGTTGAAGAGCTCGCGACAGGGGATGGAGGGGTTGCGTAGGGTAGGGCAGGTAGGGTACTACACATCGCTGCTCAGCATGAGGCTTGAATCCGCCCCGTGCACACTGATCCGGTGCCGCCCCTCGCAGCCTCCAGGTCATAGAGCCTCCCGGCGGCTTCCCGGGTTCAAAGCCGTCCAACTTTCACTTTGTGTCCTCCCCCCTTCCTTTCTACCGCTGCCTACTGCTCCTCTTTCTCCACCTTCCCTCCCTCTTCCCCCCTCCTCCCCCCTCACCCGAGATGACCGACACCGCCCCGAACTCGCCCATGGCTCGCGCATTGCACAGGATGACTCCGTACAGCAGGCCCCACCGGATGTTGGGCAGCGTCACGTTCCAAAACACCTGGGCGGGGTGGGGCGGGAAGGAATAGGGCATAGGATGGGAGATGAGATGGGGAGCAAGGCGGGGTACTAAGGCATTGGATGTTGCGAGCATGATGGGTGATGCGACAGTGCTGGGTGACGATGGTGGCTGATGGGAAGGTGTGCGTACGGCGTGCATCGCAACAAGGACGCTTCATCGTAGAACGGGCGAACTAGTAGTACACAATCGGAGTTGCAGCGTCAGCTCAACGCTGCTCACAGCCGGGCCGCTCAAAAACGCATCCCCGCCCCGCCCCTCCCTCTCCCCCTCCTCTCTCTCCAAGGCCAGTGTCAGTTATCCTAATGCGGCCAATTGACTCAACCCCCCCCCCACCTGCCAGTCGTTTGCCCCCAGCGTCCTCGCCGCCTCCTCCTGGCTGAGATCCATGTTGTCCAGGATGGGGATCAGCTCGCGCACCACGAAGGGAAGCGTCACGAACATGGTGGCAAGCGCCATGCCTAAGCGGCAGGCAGGCAGTGAGGGAGGAGGGCAGGGAGGGAGGGAGGAGGGAGCGGGGAGAGAGCACGAGTTTAGCTCGGGTTGGGAGTGCGGACGTGGTGCTCAACAGAACCGCTTAGTTGACAGCTGTCGAGGAGGGTAGGCCCAATTGTGACAACCATTCACAGCATGGCTTTCCTCGTTCCTTCCGCCTCCCCTCCCCTCGCCACATTGGAATTTCTTTTTCCCCTCCCCTCACCCGTGAATGCGAACACCACGTTGATGCCCGTCACCCGCAGCAGCCCCGCGAACCAGCCGGTGCGGCCGTACAGCAGCGTCAGCATGAGGCCCGTCACCACGGGGGAGATGGAGAAGGGCAGGTCCAGCAGCGACATCAGGAACACCTGGGAAGGAGGAGGGCATGGGGCAAGGAAGGGACGGGCAGGGGATTAGTAGAGATACATGTTCCGCATTAGGCTGGATAGTTGGGTTAGCATACAACTGTGGTAGGGGCGGGGGCAGGGGCGGGGCCGCCATGGCGGGAGCGGGAAGGGGAGAGGTGGCGGGTAGGGCAGGCTGTGGTGCAGGTGATGTGTGTGTGTGTGCCTGCCACAACCCTGCCGCCGCGCAAACCTCTCCATGGCGCTCCTCCGTCCCCATTCTGATCCCTACGATCCTCGTCACCGCTGACGTCCTTCGTTTCGCAACCGCTCCCTCCACATGCCGCTTTGCTCCTATGGCTGTCGCCATCGCTGGTCCTCCACCTCCTACCGTGTCCCTCCCCGCCCCGCCCTGCCTCCCCGCATGCCCCGCCCACCTTGCCGGGGAACTCGTTGCGAGTGAGGTTGATGGCGGCCACCGTGCCAAACACCGTGTTGAGCGGCACCGTGACGCCAGCCAGCAGCAACGTCATTTTGAGCTGTGTAGGGGGAAGGGGAGGGGAAGGAGCGGTCCAAGGTAAGAGGGGCCCAAGGGAAGAGGGGTCGATGGGGGTAGCAGGTGACTGGGGGTGAGGGGTATGGGTTGGGGGCTGTAGGGAAGGTGGTGTGGGGCTGCTCTCCATGTGCTGCGAGGCACAAGGCGTGTAGCGGGGGCGGTTCCTGTGGGGACCTCCTTTGCTGCTCAAAGTGTGCAGTGTGCGGTAGGCCTTCCGGTCGCTAGCTGTCACTGCCGTTACTACACATCTCAAATCTGTTTTAAACGGCATGCGACCAGAGCCGTACAACAGTGTGTGCGCAGCGCCGTACCGCGTGTAGAAAATCCGGATCTAAGCAGTGCTCCAGGAAAGGTACGATACCCTTAGCAAAGGCCTGCAAGGAAAAAGATGTGGGGCAAGTACTGAGTTAGTGTTACGGGTGGTAGCGGGTTAGGCAAGGAGTGTATAGACGCGAACCGTCCACAACGCTGTGGATATCTAACGGGCCGTATGCTTCGCCTTCCCACTTTGCCCATGGTCGCCATGGATGGAAACCCTCCTTCCCAACCCCATCACCCACACATTCCCTGCGCCACTGCCAGCCCTCCAAGCCTTCACGTCCCCCATACACATGAACTACCACAGTAATGCGTGGGCGCTGGTTGTGACGGTGTCCCTTCCCACCTGGACGAACACGTTCACGAATGGCACCAGAACCACAAGCGAGATGTACGCAAAAGCCAACCCAACAAGAAGTCGTCTTGGCCAACTGTCAGCCTGGCGCGTAGGCATGGAACGCAGTGGGGTATAAAGTCAGGCCATGCGAAAATGGCCTGGTGAGTACTTTTCGGTCTGCCGGCTCACCGGCTCCCCTATACCGCCTCCGTGAGCGCCCATTCCTCCTGCTGGTCCCGCATGTGCAATTAGTGAATCGGTTTGCCATTTTCTCGAGCAAGGCTCCGCAACCCGTGGTAATCCTCTTCGCCGGGGCCCGCTTTCCAATGCTCCAGCTGATGTTTGTCCGCAGTATTTAGAAGTAGATGGTGCGCTGCTATGTGAACAGCCTAGCCTTACTAAAATCGGAATAGGCTGGTGTACAGGCCTAGAAGCCCCAATTGCAACCGGATTCGCCTGTAACGATGCCATTTTTGTGGTAGACGATAGGCAAGCTAATGCTATAGGAATGGAAGTATGAGCGCTACGTTTCATGCGGCGGCCTTGCCAACGAACAACGCCGCAATGCATCAGCATACGGCAACAGGGAGGTTGAAAACGCAAAAAAGGTTACTTCTTATTATTTGGTTGTTTTCGCGTTTTGTGCTCGCGATCCATGAGCCTTCTGGCTCGGACGGATCTTACGAGCTCGGTACGAAGCTTGTAACACATACATACATACACATACATACATACACTTCTTATTGTAACCCATCGGCTTCTATACTCAACCAGTACTGAGGAAATGCGACTCTATTGCGTTTAAGACGATATCTTCTGGAACCTAAAATGAACTTGAGAGCGGCGTTGCTCATTGGAGTAGTCGCACTCCTGTTCAGCTCTGACCTTCTAGCGACTTTTGCTGGGAGCAAAGGGCCGCGCAGGCCTGCCGACCCAGATGGTGGCCTCTCGCTTGGCGGCAAGCTGCACATAGCTTTCTGTAGTAGCTGAGGCATGCGAGGCGCGTTTGGGCAAGTGTACCAGCTTACTCAAACGCGGTAAGGTTTGTGCCTTTGACGCAGCGGCTTAGGTTGGCTTAGCATGGGCCACAAATGCTGGGTTGTTGGTGTACATGGCTAGGCCAGAGCAGCGTTAACGCTTCTCCCACCTTACCCCGCAGCTATCCGGGTTTGGAGGTAATCGGCACGCACTACCCGGTGCCAGCATGGAAGTACCCGTTCATCCGGGCAGCGCAGTTCGCCCAGCTGTCGCTAATAGCTGTTTGCATCTTTGGAGACCGCATCTTCCGGCACCTAGGTATCCCGCCGCCGGAATGGTACACGCGACACGTGGTGACCAATCGCTTCGGTGCCGTGTTCGGTGTTTGGTTTGCTGGCAACTTCATAATGACCAACCTGCAAAACACGGGCGCCTTTGAGGTCTACTACGACGGACAACTGGTAAGCAATCCTAATCCATACTAAACACTTCCTTTACCTGCGCCACTCCTACCTCCAATCGCCATTCCTCTTTTGCCACTTAGCCCCCTTCATGTACCGTGCTCCCCTGTTCCTAAACCCCTGCCCTTGTTCTTCCCTTCCCACCACTCCCCTTCCGCCCCAGATCTTCTCCAAGCTAGCGGAGGGTCGCATGCCCACCCTCCAGGACCTCGTAGGGCCCCTAGACGCACTGCTCCTCACCCCAGCTGCCGTGGCCGCACGCGCAGCTGCTGGTGTTGCTGCCGGTTTGGGTGCTGCTGCTGGCGTTGCGGGCATGGACGGGGCGGATGCTGGAATGGGCGACTTTGCCGGCCAGGTCAGGTAGCGGGAGCGGCGAGCTGGCAACCCGGGGCCTCACACCGGCCGGCGGAGCTGCCTCTGCTGCTGCTGCTGGTGGTGCCGTAAGCTCTAGCAGCCGGGAGCAAGCAAGACGTCATGTGTGTCGTGGACATGTTGATAAGTTTGTCAAAGGGAGTTTATGGGCGGCTTGCAGGTGGCTTGCAAGTGGGAAGCCGGCCCAGCACGTACATGGTTTGGGGCGCATGGGACATGGGGGAGGCGTAAACGCGCGCATGCCTTGCAGTCTTTGCTGCCATGGACTGGAGGCCTGCGTGCGGCTGCCGGCGGCAAGTGATATGACGGCGGGCACCGAATCTCGCAAAGAGAGGTGCCCCGCCTGACGGACTCTTGCCGTACAAAACGAGGTCATATACCTCCTGAACTGCCTCGCCCGGCCGTACCTCCTTACATGCGCCCATGCGAGCTGCTGTGTGCGTGTAGCGACCTTTGACTAGGGTGTTTTGCTGTGACATAATGGCCTGTGTGTTCGTACACAAGGCAAATTGAACACAAGGCTGCGTTTGTTGGTAGACTTTCGACCCCAGTTTGACTGCGGAAGGGAAGCTTGTTGGACCGAATTAAGAGGCCTACAGGAGCAGGCGGGCTACTGGTGTTTTCTCTTTTAAGTTATTACCGGTATGTCACTATGTCCTGGCAGCCAGTGCCTCCAGTGCCTCCAGGATGGCTCGCTCTTACCACACATGTCATGGCTGTGCATGGAAGGCAACGTGAGGACTCACGAGGGTGCCATCCTGCTTCCCAGCTAAGGGTTCCAGGCGGCTCATGTCAGTAACGGCTTTCTAGTACCGTACATAGAAACGCGCGGACAGCATTAAAAGCGTAAATCCGGGAAGCACGCTAGGTTGTCGAGGAGCAGCGTACACGACACCCGTTTGCAGTTGCGCACCGTACCGCACCTTCACACAACGCATCACACGCACAGCCTTTGGCATTGCGGCCACAGCTATGAAGCACACACCCTGTCAGCGCGAAGAGGCACCCTGAAGTAGGAACACGCTGGACCCCAAACACCCTTCAAACCCACCACGTCACACGCACCCTGCCGGTCCCGTAGGTCCCGTACAGCACCAACCCAGTCGCATTGGCGGAAAAAGGTTGTGTGTCAGCTTGCATGGGCACCTGCAGCCTGCTCCACCGCACCTGCCCACCTCCAGCAACGCGGAATCCCCCACCCCCGCAGCCCAGGCAGGACGAGCCTCTGCAGAAGCAGCTACTAGCCAGCTCAACCCTTGCCTCCCGCCACTTCCTATACCGCATGTCGGCATGTTCCCTCCTCTCACCTCTGGAGCAGGTCCTCCTGACCCTTATCCCAGCCCCCATTCCTTCCTCCTCTCCCCTCCTCCACTCCCCCTAATGCCTCGCTCCACCCATGCCCTCCCCCTGCACGCTCGGCATCCCCTCTCCAACCACCCCACCACCCTTCTCAACCCCTCCTCTCCCCTACTACTCCAGCGGCAGCGCCGCCTGCAGCGCCCCCAGGTCCTTCCCCTCCACCGCGCCCATCAGCTCCATGTGCCCCGCACACGCCAGGCTGGTGCGCAGGTAGGCCCACACGTGCTCCGCGCCCGCGTTCAGCCCCAGTGCGCGCACGTAGTAGGCGGCGGAGCGCGGGTAGTCACCCAGGTTGGCATAGGAGATGCCCAGGTTGGTCCAGGCGCGCATGTAGTTGGGCTTCAGGTCCAGGGCCTGAGAGGGGCGAGGCGGCGGAGGAGGACGAGGGAGGTGGGAAGGTAGTGTAAGCAGGAGCGGGGAAGTGGGCAGAGGAAGGAGGCAGGAGGAGGAATGGAGGTGGAGGTGGAGCCGCAACGACTGGGGGCGGACGCAATGGCTAGCAGAGCACCGATCCCCGCGCCTCCTAGTCACTCTAGTTCCTTAACCGTCCTAAACCGTCCTTTTATGTTACACCTATCACCACAAACCGTTTACACCACACCGTTACCTTTTGGTAAGCCGCCAGCGCCTGGCCGCTGCGTGCGTTGTTTGCCAGCGTGGCCCCCAGCTTGTTCCACAGGCTGTAGTCGCCGGGCCGCAGCTGCAGCGCGCGCTCAAAGGCCGCCACCGCGTTGTCGTACTTGCGCCCCAGGTGGTGCAGCACGCCTAGGGCAACATGCAGCTCGGGGTCGGAGGGCGCGGAGGCGGAGGCGGCCTCGAACATGCGGATCTGGGGAGGGGAGGGGGGGTGGGTGGGTGGTTAAAGGGGCGTGTTGGAATTGGGTGGTTGGGGAAATGCTGGTGGAGAAAAGAAGGTAAAAGCAGGTACAAGGAAAGTAAAAGGTCGTTTGCATGGAGCTGGCATACTCCAAATGGACCTTGTCAGTTCCACCTTTCTCACCCCATCCAGTGTCTATTGCTCTGTTTCCACTACCTCCGCCCCCCCCCGCTTCCTCACCACATGGCTCAGTCGCTGGCTGCTGTCCGGCGCCTGCCCCGCCGCCGCCTCCAGCTGCCGGTATGCGGGCTGCGCCGCCAGCCATGCGCGCAGGTGGCTGACCGCCTGCTCCTGGGACAGCTCGTTGGTGTGGCTGACACCCAGCGCCAGCAGCACCTCGGGGTTGGAGGGGTCGGCGGAGTGGGCGCGCATCATGGCGGCGATGGCCTGGGGGGTGGGGTGGGAAGGAAAGAAGAAAAACCAATGTGTTGAATGAGGATAGCAGACACGCCGACGAGGTGGGTGGGGTGGGGTGGGGTGGAGGGAGGTGTTGTGCATGGGGTTAACCGCAAGGGAGTGGAGAGTGGAGAGGTAAAGAGGAAGTGAGTAACTAACAGTGTGGCAAAGGCAATATCAATATCATGGGCGGGATCATGGAGGTGGGATGGAGGTAGAGGAAGCGGGGAAGAGGTTCGGGGAAAGGAAAGGACTGGTAGTGGAAAGGACGGCGGCGGGGGCAAGGAAGGGAAAACTGACGTACGGCAACAACACCCAGGAACAGTCAGGGACAAGCAGTCCGAGCCCCGTCAGCAGCCCCCCGGTGGTGCCCCCTCCCTCCCCGCACCTGTCGGTCGTCATCGTTCTCCGCGTGCACCGTACCCAGCAGCCGCCAGGCCTCCGCGTTGTTGGGGTGCGCGCGAACCTGGGGGTGAGGTGAGGTGATGGTGGGGGCATGCGAAGGAGGAGGAGGAACGCGGATCAGCGGGGAGGGCGTCGGCGGCCAGGGAGGGCAGCAGCAGCGACAGCAAAAGGACAGCCGACGCAGCCGCATTAGGTCCGCCAACATACCGGTACGCCCCGCTTAACACCACCCTCCTCCCTGCATCCCTGCCTTCCCCCTCGCCCACCTCCGCCTCCAGTGCCAGTGCCGCCTCACTCAGGATGCCCTGCCTGCATGGCACATGGCACATGGGGGACATGGCACGACATGTCAACTTCATCAGGACTATGGAGAATGTAAGAGGAGTGGGGTACAACGCAATGCATGGCTTGCGTTGCATAGCAGCTGCAGGCCCATGAGGTCCACTTGGCCTGAAGAGCGCATGCCGGTATGTTGCAGCCGCAGCAACGGGAGCAACCGGAGAAACTGAGGCAGCACTGGACGCGCCACTGCCCCCTCCAAGGCGCAGTGTGATCCAAAGCACAGCACAGCCCCCGCACGCACCTGAACAACTCCTTGCCCTTCTGCTGCGCATCCGGATTCCCAAGGAAGGGGTTGTGCTCCGAAAACACATACTCGCCGGGCGCCGCAGCAGCAGCTGCACCTGCGGCGCCCATGGAGGGCCCGGCGAAGCTGTCCTCGAACGCGCCCTGCCCGTATATCCGCTCCCACTCCTCGTACTGCTTCTCATCGCCCTGCGGTACCACCACGTACGGCATCTGCTGCTCTGTGGCCTCATGCGGGTCATGCCTTCCCTCATCTTCATGCATGATGGCGACAAAAGACATGACAGGCTTCTGAGGCTTTAGGCATCCTCAACACCCAGTCTTACCCGTTACTCCCAACAGCCTGCTCCTCTCCCGCCCTCCCTGCCCCCCACCCCCCGCTCTAATTCCCTTCCTTCCTCACACCCGACCATCCACACTGCCCCCGCCCACCTGGTTGAACTCCTGCGCCCAAGTCGCTGCCTCCCCCGCCCGCCACGCCGCCTCCAGCTGCTCCGCCGTGCCCGCATCCAGCCCCTCGTCCAGCCGCAGGTCGGCCACGCCGCGAGCAAACTCATCCACCCAGTCCTGCAGGCACAGGCACACACAGGGGGAGGAGGAGGAGGGCGGAGCAGCAGACGGCAGCCCCGGCAGAGGTGAGCAGCGCGAGGGGGGGGATGTAGGATGGGGAGCCGCGTCAGGGGCACTAGCGAGGGAGCTTCCTAGGAGGCAGAGGCGGGGTGTAGGCAGGTACGCCGTACACCAGGCGGCGGGGACTAGGGCCTTACGGTACCATTCCTTTTACGCCTTCTCCAAGCAGTCCTACGTACTTCTATCCCTCATGCACCCACGCGCCCACATGCCTCCAACCACCCCCATCGCTGCTGCTACCACCACCAGCCACATGCATGCCATGCCTGCATGCAAACCCGCCCCACCTGTTGCCTGGGTCCCACCGGCGCCTGCTGCTGCGCAAACTCCGCCGCCCAGCTCCCGCCCGCCGGCCGCTGCTGCTGCTGCTGGCCGCCAAACTCGGCAGCCCAGGCAGCTGCCTGAGGCGTGCTCTCCACCACCTGGACAGCACACATGAGAGCAGCACATGGGCCGTGTGCAAAATGTGCGACAGCAGGCGGCGAGGAGCAGTAAACTGGTGAGGGGGAGGTTTCTTGCTGCATGTGCGCACCAACCTAGGGGGATGTCCGTGCGTGAGGGCGGGTATGGCAGCGGCAAGCACTCGTGTGTTGCTCCGGCTCGCGGCATGCGAAGCACCAATCCCCAATCCCCAAGCTCCAACGTACCTTGTTATCTTGGAACGTCAGCTCCCCGCGACTCATCTTGCTCACAAACTGCATGAAGCGAGAGTTGCGCATCTTGGGGTTGTCGGAGCGGCCAAGCACCTCCGCTAGGGCCGCGGAGGTGGCCCGTGGGTCACCGCCGCTGCGCTCCGCCTGGCTCTGGTCCGCCTGCTCGGCCGCAGTGGCTTGCGCTTGCTTTTCTTGCGCCGCAAAGTCCTCGGCCCAAGCGGATGCCGGAGCTGCTGCTGCAAACTCTGCAGCCCATGCGGCCGGCTGGGGTTGCTGGGGCTGCTGGGCCGCGAATTCGGATGCCCAACCGGTGGAGGCGGGGCGCGCCAGGCTGCGACCAGGACAGCAAGAGAGGGGGGGTAGGAGGATGAAGGGGCCGGGGAAGAGAGCCATGGGCGGAAGGGGGTATCAGGACAGCGCTGGAGCGGTGCAAGAGCAGTCCGGCCGGGCACTTGGGTGGGCGGTGCCGTGTCCGGTGGGTGCTCGGTGCTATCAGTGCGGAGAAAGAGCATCTGTGTGCCACAATGGCAGCTCAATAAACAAGGAAACGTCGCGCCATGTGCCCACCACACACTGCTTCATGCCTCTCCCTTCACATATACGCACCCGCTTCGCAACCTCACCTGCCCGCCGGCCCATGCCGCTGCTCCCACACCGCATCCCACTGTGCCGGGATCTGCCCCGCCGCAGCTGCTGCCCCCGCCGCCGCCAGCTCCGCCGCCACCGAGGGGTGCGGGCGGGCTGCTGCGGCGGTGGCGCCCGCCCGCCACGCCTCGTGCCAGTCCGCGTGGTGTGCGTGACTGAGCTGCGCGGGCAGCTCCCGCGGGTCGATACGCAGGGAGGATAGCAGGTGGCTCACCTGGGGGAGGGGAGGGGGGGGGGGTAATTTGGAAACAGAATCCGCACTAGGGGTCGGGTAGGGGTGGGAAGGGGAGGGAAGGGGCGCATGCCGGGTGGGAAGGGAAAGGGTAACGTGTGCTTGGTTACGGATGGCGAAAGGTACGGTCGCGCCTCGTAACCGAACGTCGACCTTGCAACCCGCGTCTATGCCGCGCCGAAGTGGCTACAGTGACACCTACCGGTGCCGCGTTCTCCCCTCCCCTTCCCTTTCTCCCCCCCCATTGCTTTGCCCTAACTTGTGGTTTCCTATGGTTTGGTATGGTCTTTGACCCCCCGCCTCCCTCTCCCTCCCACCTGCGCATCCGCGAACTGGTCCCCCTGGTCCGCGTACAGCTGTCGCGCCATGATGGTGGAGCGGTCGCGGATGCGCACCTTGTCAGCCACACTCAGCTGCGCAGCCAGCTCGGGGGGCAGCGGGCCGGAGGCGGAGGAGGGGGAGGGACCCAGCGCGCTGCGGATGAAGGCCTGGCGGGGGAGGGAGAGAGGGGGCGGACGAGGAGAGAGGGGGAAGAGGAGGAGAGGGGCGAGGGGGACAGGGCCGGAGTCGGATGGGGGTGCGATGCGGGAGAAGGTAGTGGGGTTCCGCGCGGGTAGCTGCGCAGTTGACATGGACAGAAAGCGTGATGCGTCAAGATGCCGTCGGGGGGCTCGTTACCCCGTAGTTGGGTAGGATTACCTTTCCTTGGGGTGGAGGGGCTTAGACCCAAGGACGAACGGACCCGAGTCTCACCTGAAAGTGCGGAGCCAGCAAGGGAGGCGGTGCGCCCGGCAGCCCCATGGGCGGGGGCTGCGGCGGCAGCAGCGCTGTAGGACCCATGGGTCGCGAGTCCTGCGCATTTGGAAAATTGAACATGAGGCGGCGAATGGGGATATGTCACGTTCAGCGATCCAATAGTTCTAAACGCAAGGCCACACGGGTGCCCCACCCGCCAAACCCTCATGTCAATTTCTCATACTCCGGCCCTAATCCCGCATGCCGAAACACAGTGCCGTGATAAGCCACGCATCGGACCCTCGCATCCTTGCCTCTCCCTCGGATCCTTGCCCCGACCTCCAGCAACCCCAGCCTCGCACGCACCTGGCCGTGGAAGATGGCGTCCCACTCCGCGGGTGCCGCCCCTGCTGCAGCGGGGCCCCCCAGCTGCTGGAACTGCGGAGGCGGCCCGGCATGCAGGCTCTGCATGAAGGACTCCGCCGCCGCGTGATTCTGCCGGCATGGGTGTGGGGTGGGAGCAGATACGGGTTACAGGTGTCCAGCTGTTTAGGGGAAGGGGAAGGGTTAGGAGGAACTGGGGAAGGGAACTGGCTGGCAGCACCCCCTGTGTCCCCATGCCTGACTTACCAGTCGGGGAGGCCCCAGTCCGGGAACCTGCATGCCTGCCCCGCCGGCCAGAGCTAGTTCGGCGGCGGAGGGTGGGGGCGCGAAGGAGGTGCTGGGACCCGCTCCGCTGGGCCCCGCTGCTCCCGGCAGCTGCGGAAGGAAGAGGGAGGAAGAAGTTGAGGGAAGGAGAAAAAGGAAACAGGTAGCAAGGATTGGAGTGAGAGGACTGGGCTGGAGAGTATTTGCAGAGTGTCTAGCAAGGTGCGTAAAAGGTTTGGGCAGTGATGTTCTAGGCAACATCCGCAAGGGTTTACATCCATCCACAAAAGCAAGCTCGCGATCTAGATACAGCGACAACACACCCACCTCGCGTAGCTGCTCCTGCGTCTTCCCCGCGCCTCCCAGCAACGTGTTAACGAGGCTACCCAAAGCATTTGATGGTCCGGCTCCATCGCTGGGAGTACACATATCCGAGCCGGCCACGAGGTCTCGAAGCGAAGACATCCTGCTGAACGCTTAGCACGTTAGGGCCCAAAAAGGTTCTAGAGTATCGGGGCTGAACAGATAGCTCAGTGTCCAGCACTGCACAGGCCCTCGTTATTAAGGACTATAAACCTAAAATGAATGCATGTAACGAAGCGTTCAATCCATCTGTGCAAAGACAGTGTGGAGCCACGTTGCGAAGCCTAAAGGGCAACGCCGTTGAGACGTCGTCACACTCTGAACAGCATACATAACCAAGCTATTCGTTCAAAACCAAACGCTGCAGCGCAGCGAAGTGTGTGGAGTCGAAAGTCGGTTGTCCCATGCGGCGCGATCCAGCTGTGCCGTGACGAAATTGGGGAACGACAGCAAGCGGCCCGTGTCCTCTGCATTTTGCATCATAACTTACACATCTCACATTTTGCGACTTGATATATTCGTGTTGCCTAAACCTTTATTAAGCAGCTTCCTCCACAACCTATTCGGCATGCCTACCTCATAGCAAAGAGCCTAGAGTCTCCAGGTAGCCGAGAATCATGAGCACATCATCTCTAATTAAAACTCTAGCCCAGCAGTCTGAGGAGCTTACCAGAGACATCGACAGCTTCTCAGACCGGGCGTTCGAGCTTGCTCGGCTTGCTAAATCTTTACAAGAGCGAGCCGCACGAACATGCGTGGATAAGTCAACACAGGTGGAAACGGCAACCGTCGGAGCGCCCACATATCGTAGGTGGGGAAAGGGTTTAGGTCGTCAGAACCCCTTACGCTAAGGTAGGTTATCAAATTGTATGTATAGTAAGCTAGGGAGCTTCCCTTTTGGCTTTCTTCTGGACGGCAGAACTTCGCGTGCGTGCAAGTCCTTGACCTTTTCCTTCCTCCTCTCACCACCCTGGGTTGTCAGACCTCGAACGCGCCAAGCGCCTAGCTCCCTTCTCCTTTACACCATGCGACCGCAAGCTGAACTGGCGCAAGCTGCGGGCACTGAACGTGGAGCGAGTGGTAGGTCGGGGCCTCCCAGCTGCCCCCAGGCCCGGGCCGCTAGCAGCCAGCCTAACGGCTGGTATCCTCGCCTCTTACCTTGAGCCCTCCCGCTCTCACCTGTAGGTCCAACTTCATATCAATCTGTTTATGCCGCACACCCCTGCCTGTTGACGCCACCTGTACCCATGGTTCCCTCAGCACCTTGGCATGCTTCTATGCCCTCTTACCTTCTACCCAGCTTCTCCCCGCCCCCTCACCACCGCATGCTCCAGGTCCGCGACACCGACACTCGCAGCCTACAGGAGCTGTTCGGGGAGGTGGCCTTTGCGGATCTGGAGCGGGAAAGCGTGTACGACATGACTGAAGCAAATCTGCTCAAGGCACGTACGGCACCGCACGGCTGATGTGCGTCGTGGTTCGCAGCGGGGCATACTGCCTGTGCCCCGGTTGGCTGTACCCCTACGGGACAACCGCACCCTTGCTCCCGCCTTCCGCCCCCACTTTATCCAACCTCTTCTTCCAATCCCTTCCATCTTCCTCTCGCCCGTCCTTTCCTTCGCAGCTGGTCCGGGTGTTGCAGCTGTTGTTGCAGCACCAGCAGTGGCAGCTGGAGCAGCTGCAGGGGCAGCGGCAGACGGCGCGCGAGGAGGCGGCGGCGGCAGCGGGGCTGCTGGGGCTGCTGCCGGGGCTGGAGATGGGGGGCCTGGACGAGGGGCTCACAAAGCTCAAGGGTGCGTGAGGGGACGGGAGGAATGTGGGGGAAAGGAGGGGCAGGGAGGTAGCATGGAAGCCCCGCCAGCGCCAGGAGTGCAGTTGGTGCATCATTGGGTAACGAGTATGAGCATTGGCCGTTCCGCAACTTTGAAACCCGGACCTTCCCACGTGGCTCTTGCGTTTCATAAATGCTGCCCTCCTTTGATGCCACCAAGCAGTTCCAAACAGGTCCTTGCAGAACTCTTCCGGCTTGGTCAACGCTAAACCTGAGGGCATGTTATGCTAACTCGCCCGTTGCCACCCGTCACCATGCACCCGCTACTTCACCCCGCCCCGCCCGGTTCCCTCCCTGCCTCCCTGCCTGCCTCCCTGCCCCTCAGGCGACTTCTACCAGGTGGCGGATGCGGACATGGACGCCATGTTTGCGCAGGTGGGCGGCACCTGGGTGGGGGAGGGGGGAGTAAGAGAGAGGTGGAGCGGTGGAGGACGAGGCGCATGCCGGCATGTTTGGCGAGAGCGTGGATGCGGGCATGGAGAGGACATGGAGGCCTTACCCTTCTGAGGGAGTAGCAGTGGTCCGTGTCAACCATGAGGGCCGTAGAAGGCTTCGTCCTTGCATGCGAAGTAGGCACCGATGTGGCCCAATGCATACTTCGTCTCCCGCGCATCCCGCTTTTCACCCCCTCATCACGTCCCCGCCCGCACACACCCCTCCATCCCAGGTCCGCATTGAGGAGCGCACCGCTGCCCGCGACACCCTGTCCGCCAACGTGGACCAGGTCAAACAGGTGTGCAGGGGGGGGGGACGGAGCGGAGGGTAGGGAGGCGGAGGCAGGGGGGGATGATGGTGTCAGCTGGCGGGCACAGCGCTGGTGGCCCTCCCGCCCATGGGTCCTTGGGTATGGATGGCGCTGAAGCGCGGATGCGGTAAGGAAGAAAGCAAGAGCCCCCTAGTCCCTCCCATATCCTCGCTATCGTCATAACCGTACTTGATCCTCCTGTCGCGCTCCTTCCCGCCCGCATCAACCGGTAAAACCAGGCACTGGATCTGGGTAGTTTCGGGCCCGCTGGCAGCGTTGGAGGAGCAGGAGGACCACCATCAGCAGCAGCGGGCGGGCGGACCTCGCAGTCGGCACTGGCCGCTGCGGCCTCCGCTGCTGCTGCAGGGTCCTCCAGGCCGGCGGTCGTACTGCCCGCGGCGACAACAGCGGCGGCGCCAGGCGGACGTGGCTTTGCTCGGCTGTCGGCGGCATCTCAAGGCCTGGGCTGAGAAGGGCGCGGGCTGGTGGTGGTGTCGCTGCCTTGGCAAGCACTGGCCGGTGCTGCAGCTGTGGCCAACAGCAGAGGGCTACCGTCAAATGCTGTCATCGTATCATGGGAGCATGTGTGTGGGTTGGGCCCTTCGAGCGCTGCTCCCGCTGCTGAGGGTGCTGTTGCATGCGTCATGGGGAACGGCGCTGCTATACCGTGTACGACCCGGCGGCTGTTATTGGCCTTTGTGGTTCCGTTCGGGTGGGAGTAGTGCACATGGTTGCAGTGTTGCGTAACGTCCAGAACAGCAGCATTGTGTGGGATGTCGTTGCTAGGTCAATGATTATTCTATAGAGGAGGGGTGGCGGCGGGTTCCCAGGTCCCTGCCAGATGCAAGGTCCCATGCAAGCCGGGAGCTAGGCGGGATGTTCGCTCCCCTATCCGGCCTATCACTCTTCAACAGCGTTGAGGAGCACCTAGCTCGCATCGCCATGCGACAAACTATACCGCGTCGTCCCCTATGTAGTCTAACCCCAGCCTTTAAAGTATACCGCGTCAGCAGTGGCAAGGCTCCATGGGTAACCGAGCCTGCATGCCTCAGCACGCGTGTACCGCCACGCCCCGGGTCACTAGCGCGCAAGCCCGCGCGCCCAGCGCAACACCGCATCCCTAAGACTGATTGTTCAGGACTCCGCAACTGGCAGGTTGAAACGCAATTTGAAAGCGGTATTTGCACGTCAAAACGTTCCACAGCAACTTTCCTACACCGCACGCCACTCCATGATGTAGATCCATGGACGGTGCGACCGACCAGCGACCGACCACCATGGTAATCGGCCTCAACAGCATTCCTTGTCAGCAATCCAAGGCCCAATGACACCACTACCTCACCATTAGCGGACCCTGTAGCTGAGTCAGAACCCATGTTCACAACCCTGGCGCCCACCCATGCCACCGTTTACCCATGCCACATGGACACCTGCCTTCCCAGCGCTATGCAGCTCACCAGCACTACCCAACCCTAGCCCGAGCTGCTCCCTCCCTGCTGCCGCGCGACCCCCCTACCCGCCGCCTGACAGTCAGCCTTGTGTCCCCCCTGCCAGTGCTGCTTCTGACACTCCACGCTGCAGTACTGTACGGCAAGGCAGCCGGCGCACCTGGAAAGCCGCAGGTCGCCCTCGCATGCGCCGCTGTAGTTCCCGCACCTCGGGTTGCCGCACATCTTAAGCTTGCAGCGCACCGGCGGCATCGCCACTTGCGGCGGCAGCATTGGGGCCACTGCCGTGCGGCGTGCGCCTCCGCCGCTTGCGGTGCCGCATTCCCTCGCGACCCTCGCCTCGACGTACGTCAGCACGGCATCGTTGAGGCACTCCCCTGCCCTTCCTTGCAGCCGCTGCGCCACCCAGTCCAGCAGCGCCCCCCCATCCGCTGCGGCCGCCGCCCGCCACATCGCCTGCAGCGCACGTGCCCCCGCCGTGTCCCAGCCCGCCAGCCCCTCCAGCAGCATCACACCGGCGTTGTTCCATGAGGCACCAGCAGCCGCCGTCACACCTGCCGCCTCCGCCGGCCAGCCCAGCAGGGCCAACGCATGCGCACGCGGCGACACAGCCGGACCTGCCGAGCCTTCTGCAGACGCCGCCAACTCGCTGCCCCTCTCCTGCCGTACCTCCCCCAGCATCGCCGACAGCAGCTGCCGTGCCCGCGCCAGAGCCGCCATAGCCGCATTCCCACACGGCTGCCAGGCATCTGCCTCCGCCGGTGACAGCCCAGCTGTAACCTCCGCAATAGCCACCCTCATGCGGCCCAGCATCACCCCCAGCGCCGCCAGCAGCCGGTGCGGTTGCGCCGCCAGCAGCGCCGCCGCCGGTACCTCGCCGTACAGCAACGTCAAGGCTTGCAGGCCAGAAGTGGCAAGATTCAATGCCAACTTGCACGTCTCCGGGTCCTGCATTACCCCACCTGGCGTCTCCGCCGCCCGCAGCAGCAGCGGCACCGCCAGCACGCATGCCGCCCGGGTCACCAGCGTCAGCGCCTCCGTCAGGCGGGCGGCGGCGGAGGCAGGTAGTACGGGCGGCGCGCGTTGCCACACCGCCCGTAGGCCTTTGTTCGGGTTCAGCGCTACTACGAGCAGGTCGCTCAACCATGCTGCCATCGGGGATACCACAGCTGCTGCAGCTGCGGACGGCTCCGCTGGCGGCCCCGCAGGCTCCGGTGCCACTGCACGTGCACGTGCCGCTGCTGTTTCATCCATACCAGCCGCCTCTCGCAGCGCTAGCTTGCTGATCGTGATGAAGAACCCGAGCTCCCGCTTAGCGTCCCATGGGTCGCTGTCGGCGCCACCACCCCGCTGCTGCTGCTGCTGCTGCTGCTCGCGCCTGCTGCCACCGGCCTCCGGGCTACGTCCGTCACGTCCACCGCTGCCCAGCTCCTGCGCCGTTCCCTGTTGTTCCGCCCAGGTCTCCAGAAGCATGTCTGGGAGCACCGGCCACAACACCTTGGCCGCGCAGGACAGCACGGAGGGCAGGGAGGGAGGCACGTCCGCAAGCGCGGCTGTCGGCTCAGATGCAGACGTGGACGTAGAGGCAGATGAGGCGGACACGGCGGCAGGTGCAGCGGCGGTTAGCTCAGCACCAGCGGCGCGGCGGACCAGCGTGTCAAGGTTGCACAGCAGGTGTGTCCGGCCCAGGCGCAACGGCAGACTGCGGCGCAGGTTGGCTGGCAGCTGTGAAGTGGCTCCTGTGCAGGGCGACGAGGGGCGGTAAATGAAGGAAGAACCCAATCACCCGAGCTAGGTGACAGGCAAGGCTTGGGGCACGACGCCCACTTGCAGGACGACGTGCAAGACAACGTACTGAAGAACCATCTCGGGCCCCTTCCCATGCACGCAACAGCTCGCCCATGCACACTGGCCTACCAGACAGCTCAGTCAAGGCGTTCACACTGCACCGCAGCTGATAGCGCCAGGCCTCGTCCTGGGGCCAGCGGTGCATGTGGATCTCATTGTCAAACGCCAGCCCCCAGGCAAACGCCTCCAAGCTGTCAATCAGTGTCTCTGCGTTAGCCGGCTCCAACTCTAACAGTTGGATCCGAATCCCCACGGCCTCCAAGCAAAGAGCGAAGCTCCCAGTCACATCATCTGGTACTGCACCCGCCGCCGCCATGTCGTACTGTCCGTCGACACCGCGGCCGCACGCCAGGCGATGTAACGCCCGCGCCAGCCGCAGTGACAGCCGTACCGTGTCCGCGGCGCTGGGGCCCATGGCATGCGGGTGTGGAGAGTCGTGGAGTTGCTTCCAAACGGGGTACACGCGACGCAGCACCATGGCATGCACCTGCTCCAGACGCGCGCATCCTGTGTAGGTTGACATCGCCTCAAGGAGCGCCCGCCCTGCCCGAGCGCTTCCGCTACGGGCTGCATCATCACTGTCCCCGCCTCCTCCATCTGCCACCACTGCCTCCAGCAGCCCTCGCTGCAGCTCCACCACCTCCGGTGCCGCCAGGACCTCCAACAGGGCCTGCCTGTCGGTGCCAGCTGACGGGCCCTCGGATGTCTCAGAGAATTCGCAAATCAACTTCGCGAAGCACATCATCCTGTAGCTTGCGCGCTGTAGGTCTCCCACGCCCTCTTCCAGGGCCGAGGCGCCAGCGGGCAGGTCCCACAGCTTCGGCGCAGACGTTAGCGCGCCGCACATCGCCGCCATGACACCGCTCTGTCGCAGCATCTGTGCCAGCAGGTGCAGTGGGGACGGCGGCGGCGAGCCCGGCTGTTGCTGTTGCCGGCCGCCACCCGATCCCTCGCAGCAAGACCCCATGCAGCACAGCGCTCCCGCTACCGAGCCCACAATCCAAGACGCCATGCGCTGTACTTGCAGCAGCAGGCCCGCCATACCGCCTTGACCGGAGGAGGAGGCGGAAGCAGGCGGCGATGTCGAAGGCCGAGAAGATCTCCGGGCGCCCGTTGAAGCACGCTGCGCTGCGCCGCCTCCGCCCCGACGTCCCTGCCCAGCCTGCTCCACCCGCTGCTGGCCCACTAGCGGCCACACCTCCGACTGGACGAAGCGTACGGCAGCGGTCATGGCTCGTCCGACGGTGACGTCACAGAGCTGCATGCACACGCGAATGCGGGCAGCTGTGAGGGCGGCGGCGGTTAGGTTGTTGGCGCCGGCGGTAGCCGGGTCTCCAGCAGGGCTGGCTAGGAAGGCGCAAACGTGAAAGACCTGAATCAGGATTGACAATTTATCCGTTGCGCTCGCCAGCTTCGGAAGCGGGAGGTTTCTGGGTGCACCTGTTGCCACAGTGTCGGGGCCGGCAGCGGCGAGAGAAGTTGCGGTGGTGGAGGAGCCCGCAGAGGTAGAGGTGTTGGAGTTAGACGCTGCTGCTGACGTTGTTGCTACTGCACTTCCCACGTGTCCCCCGCCGCTACTGGCTCCCACTACCGGTACTGACGGCAGCAGATCGGCTTGCAAAGCTGCTGCTGCGCGCGGTACGAGTCGTAGCTCAGATATCAACCGGACGAGCTCTGGTGACCTTGTAACGTTGTCACTTTGAGCCATGACTTGGTTCAGGATTTCCTCCAAGGTCTTGTAGCACGCTTCGATCTGGTCCTGGGTCTGGTTCGGTATTGTGGTGTTCTGTGCTTGGCGGGAGCCGGAATCTTGCAAGGTGACTATCTGGTCCAATGCAGAGGAAGCTTGGCGCAGCAATGTGCCGACGTCTCGTGTAGCCGACATTTTTTGCAGCTTAACTCAGGCTGTCGGCAACCGAGCCGCCTAGGACATTAGGTTACGGACACGCCACGAGGAAAGATACTGGGCGTAGAGAGCGATTAGCGAGGATACACTGACTTTGTGCTTACGTGAAGCCGGGTGAAGGTAACTACTGGGATAAAAGTCGAAAAGCAACGCGCAGTACGTCTATGACGCCGATCGCATCCGCGTTCGGCAATGGCGCACAGACATCCCCACGCCAGCAAGATCAGTTACCCTGTTGCAGATGAGGTGCGACGTACAGCTGCGAATTTGTAGTGATTTTGTAGCGAATTTTGCAATCTGGCGAGCACCTCCATGTGACACTTACGCGCATGTCCTCAGTCCAGCCCTGCATTGCACCCGTTGTCTTATCCGTTTCCACGCCCCTCGCACACCTCCCATACGAACTACTCCAGAACGCCGCGGGTGTCAACCACGTCGGCGTAGATGGAGTTTGCCCCACAGGTGAAGTTTGTGGGACAAAGAATGCATTGACTGCTAGTGGGTGGAATGGCGTTGGCATACACTGGTGACCCATGGGTCAGTAGGTGCGGGGCAACAGCGCATAAAAGGGATGATTAGTGAATTCATGAGTTATGCAGGCAAGGGAGGTAAGCACCACCTACACATCCTTGACTGGGGCTTTAGGGTGACATGCATTGCTGGAACACGGACAAGAAAGCAGCAGCGTAGGGAATAAAGGTGTTGTGGTCTACAAGGCTGTGTACCCCGCAGATCGCTTCAGGAGGCTGTACGGCAGGGATGTCGTCCCAAGCGTACAGTAACCCACCTGATGGCCATACGAGGGCACACTCCCGTTCATGTACGGCTTCCATGACATCCCCGTCATGCCAGCCTTCCCTCGCAGCAACTTTTACAACTCATGAAGTAAGCACCATGCTTCCAGCCGCATACCAGCCGCTATTCGGTAGCTACACTCAGGATCGGTCGATTGGCGACTGAGTCACACACCTCTCAGTCCTCGCGGCGAGTTCTGTAAACACCTGTACACACCTCAAGCTTGACTTTCCTCCTCCCGGCAGCTCTCATTGCCCATGCATCCCACGTCCTTCACACCCAATCCACACACCATAACCGCTGTGGCCTTGCGACCTCTCCGACTACATCTCACCAGGCACCACCACCCTCCCCAAGCACCTGCACCCAGGCGCCCCCGTCGAACCCACCCATGCACCAACGTTGTGGAGGGTACGCACATCCACCATGCCCACTTACGACCGCTCCCAATCCTACACAGACAAGCGCGGGCAACTTGAGCAACAGGAGGCACGCACCGCGTGGGGAAGGGCATGGGGACAATACTTGCTGTCTTGGAAAGCAACGGATCTGCACTGCAGGCGCTGCCGTCCCCGCTAGAGCAACGCTCACCATACCGCCCGCAAAGCTCGGATGACCAGGGCCAAGGGACACACCAGGTGGCAAGGGTGCCACATGGGCCGCACTAAGCACACCGGGTAATGTCGCTAACCCCGAGCCCAACCCGCCGGCCGCTGCCACAGGCAGCACTGCCGTTGCCGCTCTGCCACCTGACATCCCGTCCGTCTCTACCGTAGACGCTGCTGCCTGCGCCAGTACCCCGTCCACAATTCTGTCTGCTGCGGATGCCACCTCGCGCTGCTGCTGATGCGCTGCAGCCCGCTGAGGTGATCGTACACGTACATGTCATCCGCGCTGGTTGCAAGATCCACGGACCCAGCTACACGGACCTGCATGTCGTACGGGGTACGGCAAGGCGCAGCGTGAGTTTCTGTACGGCAGATGGCGGTACTTAACTAGTTCACATATCAGTGCACTTTCCATGCCGTTGCATCCTGTTGGACCTTCCCCGACTAGCAGTTCCCCGCTAGCTAACATGCCCCTGACCCTAGACATGACCTTAACCCTTCTGTCTATCCTCGCTCCACCCACCCCTCCTTCCCACCCGCCACCTCCTGCTCACCAGCAATTCCACCTCCATGTCCACCTCCCGGCACAGCTCCCCCATCAGGATCGCAAGCTCGCTGCCGGAGAGCGACCACAGCGACGACACCCCTGCGCCGAGCACGGGGCGGCGGCGGCAGCGGGGCTGCTGGGGCTGCTGCCGGGGCTGGAGATGGGGGTGCTGGACGAGGGGCTCACAAAGCTCAAGGGTGCGCGAGGGGACGGGAGGAATGTGGGGGAACGGAAGGACAGGGAGGGAGCATGGAAGCCCCGCCAGCGCCAGGAGCGCTAAAAGGTTATGCAGTTTGTGCATCCTAGTATGAGCATTGGCCGTTCCGCAACTTTGAACCCGGACCTTCCTACGTGGCTCTTGCGTTTCTTAAATGCTGCCCTCCTTTGATGCCACCAAGCAGTTCCAAACAGGTCCTTGCAGAACTCCTCCGGCTTGGTCAACGCTAAACCTGAGGGCATGTTATGCTAACTCGCCCGTTGCCACCCGTCACCATGCACCCGCTACTTCACCCCGCCCCGCCCGGTTCCCTCCCTGCCTCCCTGCCTGCCTCCCTGCCCCTCAGGCGACTTCTACCAGGTGGCGGATGCGGACATGGACGCCATGTTTGCGCAGGTGGGCGGCACCGGGGTGGGGGAGGGGAGGGAGCAGGAGAGGTGGAGCGGTGGAGGACGAGGCGCATGCCGGCATGTTTGGCGAGAGCGTGGATGCGGGCATGGAGAGGACATGGAGGCCTTACCCTTATGCGGGAGTAGCAGTGGTCCGTGTCAACCATGAGGGCCGTAGAAGGCTTCGTCCTTGCATGCGAAGTAGGCACCGATGTGGCCCAATGCATACTTCGTCTCCCGCGCATCCCGCCTTTCACCCCTCATCACGTCCCCGCCCGCACACACCCCTCCATCCCAGGTCCGCATTGAGTAAATGGAGGAAGAACCCAATCACCCGAGCTAGGTGACAGGCAAGGCTTGGGGCACGACGCCCACAAGCAAGACGACGTGCAAGACAACGTACTGAAGAACCATTTCGGGCCCCTTCCCATGCACGCGACAGCTCGCCCATGCGCACTGGCCTACCAGACAGCTCAATCAAGGCGCTCACACTGCACCGCAGCAGATAGCGCCAGGCCTCGTCCTGGGGCCAGCGGCGCATGTGGATCTCATTGTCAAACGCCAGCCCCCAGGCAAACGCCTCGAGGCCGTCAATCAGTGTCTCTGCGTTAGCCGGCTCCAACTGGGTCCGCATCCACACGGCCTCCAAGCAAAGAGCGAAACTCGCAGTCACGGCATCTGGTACTGCACCCGCCGCCGCCATGTCGTACTGTCCGTCGACACCGCGGCCGCACGCCAGGCGATGTAACGCCCGCGCCAGCCGCAGCGACAGCCGTACCGTGTCGGCGGCGCTGGGGCCCATGGCATGCGGGTGTGGAGAGTCGTGGAGTTGCTTCCAAACGAGGTACACTTCCTTCACAACACTGGCGTGGAGAAGCTCCAGACGGCAGCCGCCTGCGTAGTCCGCCAACGCCCCTGAGAGGGCCTGCCCTGCCCGAGCGCCGCCATCATTGTCCGCATCGCCACTGCTTCCACCGCCACCTCCATCTGCCACCACCGTCTCCACCAGCCTCCGCTGCAGCTCTACCACCTCGGGAGCCGCCAGGACCTCCAACAGGGCCTGCTTGTCGGCGTCAGCTGACGGGCCCTCGGATGTCTCAGAGAGGTCGCAAATGAACTTCGCGAAGTACATCATCCTGTAGCTTGCGCGCTGTAGATCTCCCACGCCCTCTTCCAGGGCCGAGGCGCCAGCGGGCAGGTCCCACAGCGGCGGCGCGGCAGCAAGCGCGCCGCACATTGCCGCCATGACACCGCTCTGTCGCAGAATCTGAGCCAGCAGGTGCAGTGGGGACGGCGGCGGCGAGCCCGGCTGTCGCTGCCACCGGCTGCCACCCGATCCCTCGCAGCAAGACCCCATGCAGCACAGCGCTCCCGTCACCAAGGGCACAATGCAGGACGCCTTGCCCCATACTTGCAGCGGCAGGCCCGCCATACCGCCTTGACCGGAGGAGGAGGCGGAAGCAGTCGGCAATGTCGAAGGCCGAGAAGACCTCCGAGAGCCAGTTGAAGCACGCTGCGCTGCCCCGCCTCCGCCCCGACGTCCCTGCCCTGCCTGCTCCATCCGCTGCTGGCCCACTAGCGGCCAGACCTCCGACTGGACGAAGCGCACGGCAGCGGTCATGGCGCGTCCGACGGTGACGTCACACAGCTGCTCGTACAGGTGCATGCGGGCAGCTGTAAGGGCGGCGGCGGTTAGGTTGTTGGCGCCGGCGGTAGGTGGGCCTCCAGCAGGGCTGGCTAAAGAGGCGCAAGCTTCAAAGATCGTCATCAGGGTTGCCATTTGAGCCGTCGCGCTCGCCAGCTTCGAAAGCGGGAGGTTTCTGGGTGCGCCGGTTGCCACAGTGTCGGGGCCGGCAGCGGCGACAGAAGCGGCGGTGGTGGAGGAGCCCGCAGAGGTGGAGGCGTTGGAGTTAGACGCTGCTGCTGAAGTTGTTGCTACTGCACTTCCCCCGTGTCCCCCGCCGCTACTGGCTCCCACTACCGGTATTGACGGCAGCAGATCGGCTTGCAAAGCTGCCGCGCGCGGTACGAGTCGCAGCTCAGATATCAAGCGGACGAGCTCTGGTGACCTTGTAACGTTGTCACTTTGAGCCCTGACATGGTTCAGGATTTCCTCCAAGGTCTTGTAGCACGCTTCGATCTGGACCTGGATCTGGTTCGGTAATGTATTGCTCTGTGCTTGGCGGGCGCCTGCATTTTGCAAGGTGACTATCTGGTCCAATGCAGAGGAAGCTTGGCGAAGCAATGTGCCGACGTCTCGTGTAGCCGACATTTTTTGCAGCTTAACTCAGGCTGTCGGCAACCGAGCCGCCTAGGACATTAGGTTACGAACACGCCACGAGGAAGGCTACTGGGCATAGAGAGCGATTAGCGAGGAGACACTGACTTTGTGCTTACGTGAAGGTAACTGGGATAAGTGTCGAAGAGCAACGCGCAGTACGTCTATGACGCCGATCGCATCCGCGTTCGGCAATGGCGCACAGACATCCCCACGCCAGCAAGATCAGGTACCCTGTTGCAAGATGTAGTAATTGGCATTGCGCGGTTTCTTCCATGCGTTTGCGGCAAAGACATTTTCCTTTCTGGGCGCCCGCTCGTCCCTCCGGACCTCTGGACACTAGGGGCGCTTGGATGCTGCCGAGGAAAGGCTTTCCATCCCGGTCTCCAGCACTGTGCGCTGCTTTGGGTTGTATAACAACGCTAATCTTTTCGTGTCGTCGCTTTGCAATCTGGCGAGCACACCCATGTGACACTAACGCGCATGTCCCCAGTTCAGCCCTGCAATCTCTCATCCGTTTCCACGCCCTTCGCACACCTCCCACACGAGCCACTCTAGCAAACCGCGCGTGCCAACCACGTCGGCAACTGCGTGAATGGAGTTTGTCCCACAAATGATGGAGTTTGCGGGTCAAAGAGTGCATTGATGACAACGTGACCGCTAGTGGGCGGAAAAGCTCAAGCGGGTGACCCATGGGTCAGTAGGTGCGGGGCAGCAGCGCCAGTCCACACTCGCAGCTAATGGATGACTGAAAGGGCAAGTGAATCATGAATGATGCAGGCGAAGGGGGGTAGAACCTATACATCCTTGACTGGGGCTCTAGGTTGGCATGCATGGTGCCTCCCTGTTGGAGCACGGATATAAGAAAGCAGCAGCGCAGGGTAGGAAGGTGTTGTGATTCACGAAACGGTGTCCCTCGTAGATCGCTTCAGGAGGATGTACGGCAGGGATGCCGTCCAAAGCGTATAGTAACCCACCTGATGGCCATACGAGGGCACACTCCCGTTCATGTACGGCTTCCATGTCATCCCCGCCATGCCAACCTTCCCTGGCAGCAACCTTCACTCCGCATAAAGTCACCACGTCGCTTCCAGCCGCACACCAGCCCCGCTCATGCTACACTCAGGAGCGGTCAAATTTGCAAACACACACCTCAATCCTGACGTTCCTCCTCCCGACAGCTCCCATTGTCCATGCATCCCACGTCCTTCACACCAACTCACACGTCACGACCGCTGTGGCCTTGCTACCTCACCTCCTACATCTCATCGAGCGCTGCGGCCCGCCTTCCCCTGCTGCTGCTGCTGCGCAGGCGGCGCCAACACGTCGCGTTGCGCCCAGGCTGCCGACAGCACCCGCTCGTCCATGTACGGCTGCAGCTTCAGCATACTGCCGTACACGTACAGGTCATCCGCGCTGGTTGCAAGAGCCACGGACCCAGCTACACGGACCTGCATGTCGTACGGGGTACGGAAAGGTGGCACCATGAGTTTCTGTACGGCAGATCGCGACACATTTCTAGTTCACATAGCTGTGCACTTTCTATGGCGCTTGCATCCAGTTGGACCTTCCCCGACTAGCAGTTCCCCGCTAGCTAACATGCCCCTGACCCTAAACATGACCTTGACCCTTCTGTCTATCGCCGCTCCATCACCCCTCCTTCCCACCCGCCACCTCCTGCTCACCAGCAGCTCCACCTCCATGTCCACCTCCCGACACAGCTCCCCCATCAGGATCGCAAGCTCGCTGCCGGATAGCGACCCCAGCGACGACCCCCCTGCGCCGAACACCGGGACGGGTGCTCCCACGGCTGCTGCTGCTGCTCCTGCCGCCACCTGCGGCTGGCCTGACCATGAGGAGGCGGTTGCTGCCGCTTTGGCCGCACCTCCAACCCCGCTGCTGCTTCCCCCGCCGCCTGGGGCCGCTGTGGAGGTGGCAGCAGCAGGGGCAGGCGGTGTGCCGGCAGTGGTGGCAGTAGAGCCCGTGGCGGCACCGTCGCCAGCGGCGAAGCAGGAACGCGGTGAGGTGGGGACGGGGCCTCCTTCAGCGTCGGAGCCGCCTCCGTCTGCTGCTGCGACAGCAGCATGTGCGGATGTGCCGGTGCCGCTTTCAGTAGCAGCAGTAGTAGCAAGGGTATCAGCAGCAGCAGCGGCTGCTACACTGGGGAACAGCACGATATCCACGTCCACGTCCTCCTCGACGCTGCCGATTACACCACTGCCATAGTCACCCTCATATTGGACTATCCCGTATTTAGCGCTCTTCTCCGCTAACCGTCCCAACTCCCCGTTACTGCCCTCCCGCTGGGCTGCCACTGCCGCCACTGCTCCCTGCCGCAGCTCCTGCAGCCGTTGCAGCAGCTGTTGGGACTTGCGAGCCGCGTTTTGGAGGACGATGTAGTTATCCTGCGTCTCGCATGCTACCAGACGAGAGGGAGCGGTGAGGCTGCTGCTGCTCAAGGCCCCTCCAGCGCTGTAGCTGCTACTGCTGTTATTGTAGTTGACAGCGCTGGCAGTGCGTGCGTTGGTTGATGCTGCTGCTGGTGTTGGGGTTAGGCGTGGCGCCTGGGAGGTAAGCAAGCACAGGCCACAGGCGGAGCAACCTGAGTTACCGGAGTTTGCGTAGGTATGAGCAGTATGTAGGGCTCTTGCGACTTGTAAGGTAGGAGTAAAGTGGGATCTGGCGGGAGTCATGAAAGCTGGTGTACGTACCAGGTTATGAAGGGCATCGCATGTCGCTTGGAGACCGCTGCCTCGGCCCGTGCCGCCGCTGCGGTTGCTGCTGGGTCCTGTGATGGCGCTTGCCATGGACCCGCCCTGTGGTTGCAAGGTTGGAAGGTCAGCGTGCAACTCCTGGACCACCGAGTGCGCGACTTGATGGTTGAGGATGAGCTCCTGGACGGCATGGGGGTGACATTTCGGCTAGGAAAGGACGCAAGTTAAGGATGCAAGTGGCATGCCACGCTCATGGCGGCACGACAGGCAGGACATGTACCAAATCAGGAGCAGCCCTAAAGTTTAAACGTGTCGTAACCCTCACCTGCAATACGCTACAGAACCGAAGGAACGATTGCTGGGCGTCCGACAGCTGCTCGACTGCGGCCATGTCTCATACCTTAGGCAGGGGAAACAATCAGACTATTTTCACCAAAGTCTGCTGACAGCTGAATTTGTATAGGCTTAGGACAGGAAAGAAAATACATGGCGCTGACTGGTACGCTGTACAACAGTCGTCCTCAACCGGTGGAAGCAAAGATCTCGCTTGGTTGCAATGCCTTTTCAATTACTTTGGGCCACCTAGTCGCCGTGTGCTGCACGTATCGCGGTACCGGCGGCAACGTACACAAACGGCCTCTGGCTCCAACTATCCCGATTGCAAGGCTTTACTAGATTAAACCCGGTGATCATTGCTTGCTATGTCAAATATGTCTAATACGCTTTTAAAAGCGCGCAGCAGCGCGGCTGCCAGAGTCCAGACTCCTGCCTTACCCTTGGTTTCTGCCACCAGCTCAAGCGTTGTGCACACCTCATCGAGCAGGACAACATGCAAACGTATTCGCCACATTCTGCACCGCCGGTCCTTGTCGCTTCTTCCCAGCGACGTTACAGTCGTCTGTGGTGCGCAACCTACATCGTCGGTCGCAGCAGCATCAGGACTAGGCCTTTTTCCCTCCGGCGCTCAGCAAACGCGTGTGCAGCTCCCGGCGGTGGTGCTGCAAGTTGAGGCGTCGCAGGTCCTATCGGACCCAGCGATGACTGTTGTCATTAACCAAGCGCTGCAAGGCGGTTGCAACATGCTTGTCCTCTGGGACAGCCAATCGAACGCAGCAGCGATGTATGACGCAGCGCTTCGCATCCAGGACCTCTTGCGCGGCCGAGCAGCGCTATTGCTAGTCGACCGTACGGACATTGCGCTGGCCATCGGTGCACAGGGCGTGCTCCTTACGGATCAAGGTACGATGCTGGTCGCTTTTGCTCAGAACCCAAGCCTTGTATCCCCACGAACCAGGGCTCCTTTCCTAGAATCTACAGCTTCCTCCCACCCCTCCCTTGCTCTGCGCTTCCGTCCACAGGAGTGCCGACTGTGGTTGCTCGGCGCATGCTGTCCGGATCTGGGTCAGCCCCCGGATCCGGGCCGGGGGCATCCGGGTCGGGTTTCGGAGCTCTTGTCGGGCGAGTGGTGGCGGATGAGGCTGCAGCGGTTACAGCGGCCGCAGACGGCGCCAGCTTGCTGCTCGTCACGGTGAGAGGGCGAGGGTGCCGCGAAGAGTAGCTACCCGTACGGCAGGGGGTAAAGGGGCCGGTACGGCTGGCGGGGTGCAGGGTCCAGGCCACCTCCGCACGACCTCCTCAGCAGCCTGACGTTCCTACCACACAGCTCACCACAGACCGCATTCTCAGCATCGTTCCTGAGCTGTATCCCATCCCTTCCCATGACGCCACCTACCGGCTGTGCTGATGCTCACCCAGCCCCGCACACGCCTTCCCCCTCCCTTCCGTCCCTGCTGCACTACAGGGCCCTGGCGGCTCCGCCCCCAGCGCCGCCGTACTAACCACCGCCAAAAGCGGACAGCGCAGCGGCAACGCCATCCCCGTCATCATGTCCGTACGGGTGCCTAGCAGCAGCAGCAGCACCACCATTTCCACGGACAACGGCAGTGAAGGCGATGTTGCCGGCAGTAGCGGCGACAGCAGCAGCAGGGGTTTGGTGGCGTTGTCATCTTCCTCGTCTGAGGCTGCAGCGCTGCAGGCTGACATGGATGGCGTGGCGGTGAGCCCGGAGGCGCTGCCGGTGTTGGCGCGGGCGTGCTTCGACCTGCCGGAGGTGAGCTGAGCTGCAGAAAAGGGGTGTCCAATTAGGCCAAACCCATGTGAAATTAGGAGAAGGGGGGGAGGAGCAGCTGGGGGTAAAGAGGAGCCTGACAAGCTGTGTATGACACGGGGGTGGTGCTGGGATGGAGGGAAAGGCAGGGAGGAAACTTATGGGAGGGAGGGTGGTGCTGCAGAAGCAAAAGAACTCCCTCCCTCCCACTCCTTTTAAAGAAGTGGTGCAGCACTGGAAGGGAAGGGATGCGGGAAGCGAGGTGCTAGAGCTGACATCCTCGCACTCCCCTCCTGCCCGCACCCCACCCCATCCCTCTCCCCCCCTGTCCCGCCTCCCGCCCGCCAGACCTCCGGTGTGACTGACTTCACCACCGCCATCCTCACCCGCCTCAACGTCAAGGCTGCCACCTCGGGCGCACCCAAGCGGCCCCTGCCACCACCCCACACCACCACCACCACCAATACCACCAGCAGCAGCACATCAACACCGCCATCCTCACCCTCTGCCTCCTCAGCCACACAGCAGCCGCAGCAGCAGCCGCAGCCCCGCATGCCAGCACCAGCACCAGCAGCCCCCCTGCCCTCCTCGCCGCCCGCCGTCACACACCCCCGCCACACCCCCACTCATCCGCCTGCCGCCCAGCCCCAGTCGCTGCCGCTGCGGCGGCTGCTGGACCCGGCGCAGGAGTCGCTGCTGGCGGCGGAGAAGGAGGTGCTGGCGGGCGTGATGGAGTTTCTGGAGCAGGTGCGCCTTTCTTGCGGGTGGGAGGGGGCGGGAGTTGGGGTGTGTTAAACTTGCCGCGGGTAGGAACGTACTGGACTGTCGGAAGAGTGGTCAGGGTGTGCAGAGCAGGGGGTAGGGCAGATCTCCGAACTGTGACACAAGCGAGGGAAGGCAGGAGGACGAGGTTGTTGGAGAAGCCGTTGCTCGCCGACCGCCAGGCGTGTAGCCCTAACCGCCGGCAATCTCCTCGTGAAGTGCCTGAAGTGCTGCGGTCCTGTTCAGCCGCTACCGCTGCCCCCCCCACTGTGTGCTGCAGACCCTCCCTGGCGTCAGTGAGTTGTCACTGCTGCGAGATGCGCTCAAGGTGAGGGTGGGCGGGAAGGTGGGGGGATAGGCGGGATACGAGGGATAGGTGGGGGGCGGCGGGAGAGTGGGATAGGCGGGATGGCCATTGGCAAGGGAAACCAAGGAGCGGAAAACGGGGCACCGGCGCAAAGGGAGGCAGCATGTTGGTCCTCCACCTGCCCCCCCCCCCTGCCTGCCTACCACCTTGCCCCATGCAACCCACCTTCCCATCCTCCCCTCCACCTCCCCCCCTTTTCTCCCGGCAGTCCCTGGACGAGCCCTTCCTGGTTGCGGTGGTGGGCGAGTTCAACAGCGGCAAGAGCTCCGTCATCAATGCACTGCTGGGCAGGTAAGAGGGTGGGTGGGAGGGTGCCTACCTAAGCTCAAAACCATTACTGAAACAAAGAAACGTAGTAGTAACGGGCGTACCTCAGCTGGTGTGCCTGCCGCCCCTCTCCGCCTCTTTCCATCATCACGCCTACTCACACACCTACTCACCTTCACCTCCCGTCAATCACAGTACGTTCCGACTCGCGGCCAGCTTTCTTAACACACGCACCTACTCCGTACCCCCCTCCCCCCACCCCCCCAGGCGCTACCTGGCTGAGGGCATCCTGCCCACCACCAACGAGATCTCCATCCTCAAGTACGCGCCGCCCCCGGGGACCGCACCCCCCGCTGCTGCTGCTGCTGCCACCTCCACCTCCACCTCTTCTCCCGCCTCCACCTCCTCTCCCTCCTCCTCGCTGGGTCCCCGGCTGGAGCAGCAGGCGGACGGACTGTACGTGCGCTACCTGCCCGCCAAGCTGCTGCAGGTGTGTGTTAAAATAACTGGCAGGTGTGTGTGGGGGGGGTCTTAATCTCATGGAAGACCAAACAGTGGGAATCCACGAGTTAGGGTTCAAGGCGTAAAACAATGGGAGAATGAGGCGGCAGGTGGTGGGGAGGGCGGGGGCAGCGGGGTGGCCGCATGGGGGCCTGTGGCGGACAGCGGAGGTGGCATAGAAGCGTGGCACATTACAGCAATAGCGCTGGGAGCACGAACACACATACTCTTTCAACACTCACACCCACACTCCACGGGTGTTCCATCGTCCCCTCCCCGCCACCCCACTCCTCCCCGCCACGTCTCCCCTTCACTTCCCATATATACCCCCTCCCCCCTCCCCAGGACCTGCACATCGTGGACACCCCCGGCACCAACGTCATCCTGGAGCGCCAGCAGCGGCTCACGGAGGAGTACGTGCCGCGAGCCGACCTGGTGCTGTTTGTAATGAGTGCGGACAGGCCCTTCAGCGAGAGCGAGGTAGGGGGGGGGGGAGGGGAGGGGGGTGCTGGGGTGTACCGGTGGTGCATGGGGGGGAGGCAGGATACCGGTAGGGCGGACTCCATCCCCGGTTGTACAGCTCTGAACCATATGATTGCACCCTCTTATTGTCCTCTCCCTCCCGCCCCCCCCCCCAGGTTCGCTTCCTGGAGTACATCCGGCAGTGGCGCAAGCGCGTGTTATTCGTGGTCAACAAGGTGGACCTGCTGGGCGGGCGGCCCGAGGTGACCGCGGTGTGCGGCTTCGTGGCGGATAACGCGCGGCGGCTGCTGCAGCTGGACAGGCCGGATGTGGTGGCGGTGAGTGGCAGCCACCGCCTTGAGAGGAGGGATCTAATGTGTTCAGGGCTGCCTGCCATGCCTGTTCGGTCGCTCCTTGACGGACGCTTTCCCTCCCCCCCTCCTCTGTGGCCCCCACCCGCGACCGCCCAGGTCAGCTCCCGCCTCGCCCTGCGCGCCAAGCTGCAAGCCGCCGGCCTGCCCACCACCGCCCCCGCCGTCTCCTCCCCCGCCTCCACCTCCCCCGTCTCTGACTACACCCTCGACTACTACACCTCCCTCTCCGCCTCCACAGACGCCTCCGATTCCCCCTCCACCTCCTCCTCTCACTCATCCAACAACAGGAGCACCCGCAGCAGCAGCCCTAGCAGCAGCAACGGCAGCAGCTTCCTGCCCTCCTCCTCCTCCTCCTCCTCCCCCCTCTCCCTCCCCGCCCAGCCGCACGACTCGCTGGCCAGTGCGGACGCGGAGGAGGCGGATGTGGCGCTGCGAGCTAGTCCGGTGTGGTTTGAGAGCGGTTTCGGAGAGCTGGAGAGGCAGGTGGCCAACTACCTGGTCGGAAAGGGAGGTGGGTGAGGAGGGGAAATGGGAGGGGAAGGCTTGGAGGAAGGCGGGAGCATTGGTGTTACGATATGAGGGCTGAGGAGAGCGGGGTTGTGGTTGCGTTGGTGTGTGCACTGGGTTGTGTGGACGGTACGGCAGGGGAGGTAGGGTCGGTAGTAGGGTGCGGATGCGAGCAGTGCTGAGGCGCGAGTGTAGAGGCCGGGCATGGGGCATGAAGCAGTGTCGCACCCCTGACTGCGCCCCATGCCCCACATTTTGTTCTCCCTGCCTCCCTTCCCCCCTCTTCTCCCCCTGCCTGCATCTGCTTCAGGGGCCAGCAGCAGCAGCACAGGTGGCGAGGGTGTGCGATTGAAGCTGCAGACGCCGCTGTTCGTGGCGGATGCGCTGGCGGGGGCGGCGGGGCGGCAGCTGGCGGGGGAGCTGGCGGCGGCGCGGGGGGAGCTGGAGGGGGTGGTGAGTACGGTGGAGGGGGGGGTGGGGGCGGGAGGGGAGGGGAGGGGGCCTTGGGGCGTTGCTGGCGGGTTGGGTGTTTGTTTTTGGAGGCTGTGAGGGCCAATGCTGATGTGGTGTGCATGTCGTACTGCGGGTTTGGGGTTGCACCGCGCAGCACCTGCTCAGCAGCGTGAAGTCCCCACCCGCCACACCTCCCGCCCCCTCCCCCGCCCCCCCCAGATGCTTGTGGGTCGGCAGCTGTCCAAGTTCCGCAGCGAGATGGAGGCGGATGCGGCGGCACAGCGGGCGGCACTGCAGCAGGTGGGGGGCGGGCGGGGGCGGGGTGGTAAAAAGAGGAAACTGACGAGCTGTTCATGGGGTGCCACATTCTAACCCACCCGGCCCATCCTAACCCACCACCGGTGGGGCGGAAAGTAGGCAGGAGGGTGTGCCCACCAATGCCCATGCAAACTCCAGTGTACCGGTAAAGCGCATGCACATGCACATCCCCCCCCACCCCATCCCCAGGTGTTGTCCGAGGTTGTGGGTCGGGCTGAGCGCTTCGTGGACAGCACGGTGCAGCTGAGCAACGCGCCGCTGCTGCTGTCCATCGCAGCGGGCAACAAGGAGTACCCGTTCAGGTGGGGGGAGGGCGGGGGGAGGCGGGTGGGGGCGGGAAGGCGGGTGGGGGCGGGGCGAGGGATGCTGGGGGAGGTGGTAAGTAGTGGTCACACTTACCCCGCACAGAAAAAGCCCCAGCTCAGCTCAACCCTGTTTCATTAGTTAGAACCCGTTGGCCTCCTCGCCTTTGTCCTCCCTCCCCCGCCCCCATCCTCCAATCCTGTACTCCCTCATCCTCCAACCCTGTACTCCCTCTCCTCCTCCTCCTCCCTCTCCACCCCACCCCGCACCCCCAGGGCCTCCTTCGAGCGCGAGGTGGTGGGGGGCGGCGTGGAGGCGCTGCGGCAGGCGGTGGCGGAGCACAGCAGCTGGCTGCGCGCCAACTGCGCCGCCCAGCTGGCCTACTACACCGCATTTGCGGCCGCACGCAGTACCGCGGCAGCAGCACTGGCGGGCGGGGGAGCTGCTGCGGCTGGAACTGTTGCTGCTTCTACAACCGCACCCTCCTCTTCTCCCTCTCCGCCTGCGTCCTCGCCCTCCACCTCCAGCTCCCTTGTGGCGTCCCCTTCCGCCTCCTCCTCTTCTGCCGTTTCTGCCTCCTCTCCGGCGCTGCAGGCGGTTTCGGAGTTCAACGTTCGCGCCATCTCCACCCTGATTGACGGTGAGCTGCAGCAGGCCATGGCCACCACGGCGGGCACTGCGGTGGGGGCGCCGCTGTTCGGACTGTTCGCCATGCAGGTGGGGGCGTGGGGGGGGGCATGTGGTGGTTGGGGGGGGGGGCAGGTGGGGGCTGGGGGGGGCAGGTGGTGGTTGGGGGGGGGCAGGTGGGGGCTGGGGGGGGCATGCGGTGGTTGGGGGGGGGGGGCAGGTGGGGGCTGGGGGGGCATGCGGTGGTTGGGGGGGGCAGGTGGGGGCTGGGGGCGAGGCAGGAGCACGTGGGGGCGGCGGGGGGGGGCAGGTGGGGGCCTGGAGGGAGGATGAGATGGGGGCCGTAAGGGGGATAAGATGTAGGAGAAACTTGAATGTGAGGTGGGGTGGCTTGGGTGTGGGTAGCAGATGTGCTGGAGGGTCCATGGGTCCTGGGGTCGTCCGCGGGTCGGGCTGTTTGGCATGCAGGTGAGTAAATGACATCACCCCCACCCCTCTCTCCCCCCTCCCGCCCCCCGTCCTCCCGCCCTCCCTGCAGGCCATCCACAACACGCTGGAGGACCTGCTGCTGGCGGGGCTGAGCGGCGTGGTGAGCTACATCTCGCTGCTAAACCTGCCGCTGCGCAGGGCGGACATCAAGGCAAAGGTACGACCCGGTGTACAGCATGATGGGGGGGCATGGGGGCGGGGGGCTTAATTGCTTGCAGGCATGGGGTGCTTGCTGTTACCGGTACCTGCAGTTGTTTACCACCTCCACCTGCCTAACCTTCCACACTTTCCTCATCATCGGCTCCTTCTCGGTTGCGTCGCACTCAACACTCTTCCCGCCCCGCTCCCCCCCCCCCCGCCAACCCAGATCGCCCGTGTGGCCTCCAACTTCGTGGCTGACGTGCAATCTCGCATGGAGGCCGAGGTGGCGGCGGAGGTGGGCGCGGTGGAGGCGCAGGTGGGGCAGCTGATGGCGCCGCTGCAGGCGGCGTACGGGGCGGAGGTGGCGAGGTTGGAGGCGCGGCGGGCGCAGCTGGAGGCGCATGTGGAGGAGCTGCAGGTGGGGGGTGGGGCTGGGGTGGGGTGGGGGTGGGGTATGGGCGCGGAAACGTGGGAGTATGGGGTGGGGAAGGGTTAGAAACTTAGATAGGTATGAACTGATAATGGTGCAGCATGTTGGCGGCCCCATACCGTTCAGCGTGGAGCAGCGCATGGAAAGTAGTCCGCAGGTCGGGAGGTGGGGGGCGGGGCATAAGGAAGATGTGGGATGGATGGAGGACCTCACCAGCTGCCCGGTACCTTGCCTTGCCCCCTTCAGGAGCTGCAACGCCGAGTAGCCAACCTGGAGTGAAAGCACGGCCGCAAGGACAAGGGCTGCTGCAGGGGCCACTGACCCACGGGTCGTGTATGGTGGTTCAATCTGGTTGAAGGGGGGTGTCACTTGAAGGGAGTTGGCTTGGAGAAGAGTCATTGCGAGGTGTTGCAAGGACTTGAAAGTGGTGGCTCTACCCCAAACTCCTCACAAGGGACCTTCGGTTCTAGGTGTGGTATGATGCGGGATTGAAAGCCTGGTGTTAAGTAGGTGTTGTGGAGGCGACAGCAGGGCAGGTGGGGGTTTAACTAACACGGACCCGGTTAGCAGGAGACACACGACAATAGGGGAGAGGGGATGCATTTAGCGTGCTGCATCCCAAAGGAACCACAGAGAGCAGAATGACGCGGTTGGGTTTGAGCTTCGCTGTGCAGTGTTCGCGTGAAGATGTCAGCAATATGCATGGTGTGGCTTTGCAGCTAGATAGGGTATGCTGGAAAGGCAGGAAGAAAGCAGGAGAGAGAGGCTGGAGAAGACCAGCAGAAGCTTTCAATAGGTGTTGTGGGTGGTAGAGGCGAGAGTTGAAAGCGCTGAGATATCCGCGAGTGATGCCTGCCTTGCGGAAGGTCAGAGACGGGCTGTGTGCGCGGCATGTAGGGGGCCGCAAGACGGGGCCGGGTCTGCAAGTTATGCACTTGCACGCAGGGGCTGGGGGAAGGCGCAGGTAATATAGGCATTGCATGGTTGTCTTGGTTGCGGTGATGGTGATAAAGGTGTGCAGTATGGAACCACGGCAGCCTTGTGCACGGAGTAGCGACAGAAGAGCCTGTGGAGCAGAAATGAGAGGATGACGGATTGACGACGGTGTGTCCGCATGCAGAGATACCGGCATTGCATTGTGGTGGCGATGGTGGCGGTGGGTTTGTTTGGTGGCGATGCAAGGTTGGCCAATGGCTAAGTGGGCTGTGGAAGGAGATGAGAGCTATAGCCCTCATGCAGGGCTACCATGTGAAATGCAAATTACTTTTCCACTAGATTTGAATCGGCAGTGGGGCTGCGACGCCTGGCATGGACGGTTCAGGTTCCCACGGCAGCTAGCATCCTGTCTTCCTGAGTGTAACCGGGTCACCTGCCGTACAAGGACAGGCGCGCATGAAGCGTTTCATCTGGGTCTGCCTTTGGTCATGGAGAAGGGGACGTAGCTAAGAGCTCGTGAAACATGACCCGCTTCTGCCATATGACGTATACGGTATCGGAAAGGCGCGGAAGAGGTACACGATGACGAATCAAAGGATTTTGGCAGCGGTGGCAACCTACGGTGACCTTTTGCGGTTTGCTAAGTGCCCCTTAAAAGCCCATCTAGGCCTACGTAGGTATCGACCTGGTCAGGTAAAAGCTTGATGCGAGCGGGGCTTTGGGAATCACATAGGGGAATGGGGCGGAGTGTGGTGTGTATAGTCCGCCCGCTTGGTAACATTTGCCTATCAGCGGCGTGCAGCAAGGCGCTTAGCAACATTGCTAATAATTGCAACGTATGCCACCCTTATTGGTGGTAAATTGCCTCGTCGACGCCCATCCGCGCTTTTGTCCATCTGTCCCATGGGTCATCCGGAGTCCGAAAGTGACAGGGCTTGAAAGTTCCTGCGAAATTCAAACCCCGCACCCTTGCCTCTTCATAAGTAATTCCTTAAGCTATTCCTAAGACATGTTGGGCGAGAAGATGGTTGCATAAGACCTAGTTGCAATCCTTCGAGGCTTTGGGCCGCAATCGTTTTCCGGTCCGCACCATCAGTCTGCACCCCTGTACTTAACCAGCGCAGCCCTTCACTTCATAGCATCATATACAAAGTTATACTACTGCTTGCCTTAACTCAAGACTGTACAAGACTGGCTTGCCTGGCTGACAGGAGTCATCCGAGACCCCTTTGCCAAAGCTGAGCGTGCTGGGCACCACGATTTCATAATCAACGTGGAGCGCGCGCATGTTGCTGCTTGCCACGAGGGTGTAGATTTAGCAGGTAAGTTCGCAGCGCATGGCGCATGAGGTCGCTCTTTTGAGCTTATAAGGCATCAAGTTGCTGCTTCTTGGGCTGAAACGTAAAGCTACAAATGCTAAACTGGCTCTCACCATTCCCCCCCCTTTGGATTGCCTACATCCTTAACGACTGCTTGGCTTGGGGCGCCCTTTCTTCTCGAGAGGCAACCACAGCTGTTCGCGCCAAGCGACAACAAACTCCCCTTCGAGCGCCGTGGCCTAGGCTGTGGCCACAGCAAACAAAGGCTGCCCCAGAGTCACAACTCAGACACGGGCTTTCAGGCAAAAAGTTTCAAACCAAGAGACAGAAGTTTGTAACGTTTGCGCCTCTCCTCTTAATCTACTAGCCCCAGCCCTTTCTTTATCTCAATCTACTTTTAATATCAAGCGCCATGGCTCCTAAAGATCCCCAGAAGCAGCAGGAGCTCCAGCAACAGCGCGCTCAACGCCGCTCCTGGGCCTCCTCCCTAGCAGCCGTGGCAAAGCGCGTGGTCGACCCCTTCGGCCTTTTCACCGGGCGCCGCAATGCTGCTGCCGCCGCGCGGCGCTCTCCCACCGGTCCGACCTCCAGCCGAAGCGGCCGACAAGGCGCCGCGGAATCTGAGGACCTTCGCCCTGCCGCTGCCTCCTCACAACAACAACGTGAAGGTGGTGGCGGTACCGACAGCGATGAGGCGGAGCGCGCTAGGCTGATGGAGGAGCGTGTGACGGAGGAGGATCTGGTCGCGGCAATGGGCGACTATCTCGCGGCGGAGGATGAGCGCGCTCGCGCCGACGCTGCCGAGCGCCGCCGCCGGGTCGCCGCCGGCGAAGTAACTTCAGCCGACGCCGACGCCGACAAGAGCTATGATGGTGAGCTGGATATGGGCGACGGCCTGAGCGGCCCTGAGATGATGGATGTCGAGGAGGAAGACGGCGGCGGCGGCGGCGGCGAGGCGGACCAAGCGACGGCAACGGCGGCGGCGGCGGCGCAGCGGCCTCAGCCGGGTCGTCACAAGCCGCTGGGTGGCGGCCGGCGAGTGGGCGGCAGCTCCTCACCCGTGACTCGCTACCCGATGGATGTGTTTGAGGACGAGACGTCGTACGAACTGCAGGTACGGATGCAGTTGTTGGCGACGTAATGGCTTAAGGTGACCCATGGGTCATTTTTGGGTTTGCTCAAGCCTTAAGCGCGTCTGCTAACCTCGCCGACACATGTAGGCTAGCGCACTCGATTGCTGCCATCACATCGTGCCTGCTGTCCTCTTCTACTTGTGTGCGTCAAGGCCGCGTACCTTTTTATCTGGATCTTAAGTGATAGATAGAGCCCAGAAGCCCTCACAACCTACGTCAACGACCCACTTGGATCCATCCCACCACACTCCTCCTTCCTTCCTTGCTTCCTTCCTCCTCCCCTCCGCAATCAGGCTGACGTGCCCGGCATGTCCGAGCACGACATCCAAGTTGAGGCCGACACCAGCCGCCTTACAGTTCAGGGCACTGTGGTGGATGTGCGCTTCAGGGGGCTGAGGAGGCTGAACGCGGCGGAGGAGGCGGCGGTGGCGGCAACCGCGGCGGCGGCGGCGGCGGCGGCGGGAGTGCCGGCACGGCGGCCGAGGGCGGTCCGGTGAGTGGCGGGAGGTCAGGGGGGAGGGGCTGGGGTCAGGGGGTGGATTGGCGCAGGGGTACAGCTGGGTTACACGTGGGGGAACGGAAGGGTGAGATGGCCTTGTGGTTTGATTTCCGTTGGGGTTCTCCTGGTTTCTTGAATTGGGAACCGTTACCGATAGATGGGACCAAGGGTGTTGGGAAGCCCTACTGGTTTGCCGCTCTCTATGCCGCCTAGCTCTTGTCTGATAAAGCTATACCGCACTACCCTCATTACAGACCAGAACTATCCTTCCTGCCATTGCCACTGCCCCTGCCACCCCCGCATGCAGATGCGAGCGCCGCCGCCGTCGCAACTTCAAGCGCACCTTCCGCCTGCCCCACGACGTAGACCCCGCCGCCATCACCGCCTCCCTGCGCGACGGCGTCCTCGTCGTACGGCTGGCCAAGGTTGTCGTACCCGAGGAAGCCGCCGCTGCCTCCGCTACTCCTGCTGCCACCTCGCCGCCGGCGTCCGGCCCCCGCCGCGTGCTGGTAGACCGTCTGCCGCCGGCGTCTGTGGATCCGCATGACATCGCGGTCGCCGCCAAGGCCGCCGCCGTCACCGGCGACGAAGGTGCGGAGCCGCCAGAGGAGGCGGAGGCGGTGCTGCCAGGCGTTCCGTTATCGGAGGCGGTCGCTAGGGCGCCGCCGTTGGCAGCGGAGGTGCTCGCTAGGGCGCCGGAGGTGTCGGCGGCGGAGGCGATCAAGATGACGCGGCCCATCGCGCCGGAGACGGAGGCGTACGGCGGAGTGGTGGTGCAGTACGGCAGCCCCGGTGGGCCCGGCAACAAGGTCCCAGCGCCGCCGCAGACGCCGCGCCAGGCTAAGTAGGTGTACGTGAGAAACGTTACTCACGTCTGTCTACGTATGCTGCGTATTTGCGTGAAGGTTGAGGATGGGCTTGCGGGTTGTTTAGGCGTTTCCAGAGGCTCCACGACTCAGAGAAGGGGCTGAAACAAGCCCATGAGCAGGGCAACGCAAGATGCTTGGATGGTTTGAAGTCATTGACAGGGTTTAGCATGCTGAGCAGGAGAAGGGACGAGGAAGGGGGAGTGCAGAGGTTACTAGCAGGGGTTACTAGCAGGCGCAGGCACTACGTGTGTTGTGGATTTGGGCTGCCGGTTTGTTAGCACACCACTGGTACCGTCTGGCACATCTTCAGGTAGAACTAGAAGGCGACTGCGTGAGATCGGGAGCTCTAGCATGAGCGTTTCGCTAGCTGCAGGGGTAGGATGGATGACCCATGGGTCGTTGTGGGGTGTTGATGTTGCTGCTATTGCACTGCTATTGCAAAAGGATTACTACCGTTTTCGGACGCTTCGTTGGCTATGTTGTTGTATCAGTAGCAAGGTTCGTAGCCGTACCATATAGCCTAAAGTTTGAAGGGCTTGGCTGTCGTTTTCCCTGTTGCATCTTTTAGTTGAACCTATCCTTTCAGTCCAAATCGCCCTGCCTACTTTGCGTCAACCCAGATCCCCTCATCCGCTCCCATGCCCCCTGCGGCTCATGTTAGCTGATAGCTTACCCCGTTGCCGTTATCCTTAATGTACAATAGAAGGAACACGCCCGTGCGTGCTGTTTGACTGCTGAGCGTGCATCTTTGGCCCATCTGGCCAACCTACATGCCTTTGCATGTTGTAGAAAAGTCTAAATCCATGCCTGGCCACATCCCTGACCTCTGCGGTCAAGGTGCCCTACCCGCCTTTGCTTCGCTCGTTTACAGCATGTATGCCATGCAGGGACAGGGCATGGGAGGAGGGAAGCAGCCCAAATAAATTACATGGGCTTTTGGTTAAGAGGCACTCAAGCCGCGCGCGGATGGAGGTACATGGCCTACATGGCGGGGTTGGTTCGCATGGCGGAGTTTCCATTGTACATAACTTACTCCTGTAACAGTACTAACCGTCGTCACGTATTGCAAGCTGATTACAGCCGTGTTGCCCGTACAGACACGTTCTCCAGGTACCAATCTATCTAGAGAATGCAGGGTGTGGACGCACATCGGCATTTGGATCTCATGTTAAGGCTTAATTGCGCTCTTGAGCTGTTACGACAGCCCCAAGACATGTTCGCCCACTACACAGCAGCTTCCCTAAGCCAAGCTCGCTCCTCGCCAGCAGTGCTTCCCATTCCGTGCTCAATAGCATAGCTTTCTTGTACGACACCCATTCCAAACTAGGCTGGCAGCACCGCGCAACCCTTACAGCAGCTACCGCTCTTGCAGACATCACTTGCAGTCTCTCCTCATTCGCCTGCTGATACCATCGTATGACGCTGAAACCCCTACATTCAGCAGTTATATCAGAATTCCTTTACGCCGCGTAATAACTAGAAGCCCGTACGTCACCGTACGAAGGATTGTGCTGCACACCTGCAATCTTGCCTGCCTGCCCGTCGTATCTTCCCAACCCTTATCACTCCCAACCGGCCGCCTGCGACCCTCACTGCTCCCTACCCCACTAGCAACCCCACCGACGTCCACACCTCACCACCCCACCCCACCATCCAATTCTCACTCGGGCACCTTCTTCTTTTTTACCCACACGCTCCTGTTCACCACCGGGTTCTTCCGAAAGAACCCATTGTTCGCAGCAGCAGCCGCTGCAAACCGAACGGAAAGCATCAGCGACGGTGGTGGCGGTGGCGGTGGCGGCGGTTGATACTCTGGACAGTAGTACGGGTACTGTTGCGGCGGCAGTGCGGAGACGACGGGGACGCACTTGTACGCCACCTCGGGTTCAGGAGTGATGTTGAATCGGGCCTGGTAAGCCGCCCACTGCCGTCTGCGATCCTCTTGGCTTGCAAGCTTCAGGATCTCGCGGCCATGCGGTTTGGCTTCTGAAGCGGGGTTGAGGACCTGTGCGATGACGTTTTGGGGTTGGTGGTTGGTGGGGTAACTAGCTCACCACGATTCACCACGATCTAGCGGGAGAGCACGAAGGGCACCAGGGGACACCGCTCCTGCAATGATTGCCTAAGTGGCCAGGTTCACTAAACCCAATGGTGGAAGACCGCCTCCCAGCAGGTGGCGGCCCCCACGCATACAACGTACAACTGCCCCCCCCCCCAAGCCCCCCCCCCCAGCCCCCACCCACCTGGAAGTCATGCATGACCACGAACTTGTCGCGCTCCCCGGGGCCCAGCGCTGCCAGGTAGGCGTAGTCCACCCCCCAGCCCATCAGCTCGCCGCTGTATGCCGTACTGTCCAGCAACTCCACCAACTTGTCGGATCTGGGATATGGTGTACGACAGAAGTAACAACACGGCAAGGAGTACCATGGCCATGGGGGCGTTTAACGGGGTAAGTTAAGGTAAGCTACGAGGAAACCGGCTAAGGGTCAGACCGTCCATGCATGAACGACCGTGATGCGTACGTGGGGGCGGACCTTGGAATCTTCATCCCCCCGGGGGCTCTATCTGCTCCAACATCTCCTCCTTGCAATGACTCCCGTAACAACCGTGGAGGCGTAACGCGTGGAGGCATAATAATAACACAAGTGCGGAGCGCGTGCAAAACAAGTACGACTAGATTGGAGGAGGCACGCCACAGCCGTACTCGTACACTGGCGATCTCTACAAGTTTTTGCCCACCTGAACACGCAGGCATTGTTCTCCACAAAGGAAGTGTACGACAGTTGCAATCCCGGTTGGTTGGCCAACAGCACGTGATCTATCTTGCTGCCGTACCGCAGACTCGGTTGGCCCAACCACACGCCGGTGGGGTCGCCCGGAGGTCCGGACAGCTGTGCGAAGTGCTCAAACATGGCTGATACCTGTGGGGCGGGTTAGGGTTGGGTTCGTGCCTCCGTAAGGCAGGTGTGCGTTTCGTTGGTTGTACGGCAGATCTACAATGTAGTACAGAACTACAAGAGCGGCATGGCCTCCGTGCGACACAACCTTGCCAAAGGCTTAGGGACTGATAGGGATTGCTTGCTTGCACGCTTTCTCCATATAATAAGAATGTACCCTGTGTAATGCCGACACCATGGGCGCTGCTCTTCTCACGAAACGGCACACCTACCTCCGCAGTCTCAATCTCTAAATCATCATCCCAAACAGCAATCGCATCATAGCTCCCAAGTAGCCCAGGATACAGCGAATGCAGCCGGTGAAGGTTCTGGTGTTTCGACCCATGGGACCGATAGAGGTAATCCGGGCGGCCTGCTCCTGGCTTGCTGCCTTCTCCCTCCTTGCCGCCGCCAGCGGAGCCCCCGATGACCCGTGGGTCGTCCAGGCGACGCGTGCCGTAGTAGGCAACTAGGAGGTCGTAGTTGCGGCCAGGGCCGGCCCACATGTGCCATATTCCCTGAGGGACGGGAGGGATGCGTTTACGAGGGGAACGAGAAGAAAGAGGTGGAGGAAGGCGAAGGAGAGCATGCAACGGCCTCTTAAAAAATAGCGCTCTTCAGTACACCCTAGCTTGCGTAGCCTAAGCCCCAAACCAACCTCACCTGGTCTCCAGCGCTTGTGAACAGCAAGAACCGCCGCCGCTGCCCCGGTGCCAGCTCAGGAGCTGTAGCCGTCGAGGTATCTCCGCCCCTGCTGCTGCCGACACTCCCAGTTGGCGCCAGCGGTAACGTTAATGCCTCCGGCATCACCAACAGGTCCTGGGGCGCTAAGGCCGGAGGCGGCGGCGGCGCCGCTGCTGCCACTGGCATTGACGGTTCAGCTGCCTCCACCGCTGCAGCCGCCGCCTCCGGAACAGCAATACGCAGCCGCATGAGGCCCTGTCGCGCCAGCAAGCCTAATTTGGCGTAGAAGGGGTTGTTAAAGAGCGGCAGCAGCGCTGCCGATGACGAGCCGTTGGCGGCGGAGGCGGAGGCGAGTTGTACGGCGGTGGCTGCAGCGTCGGCCGTGAAGGCGAGGATGCAGCCCGCAATCCACTGCGGCGGCGTCTGGAGGCTACCGCCGCTGCCGCCGCTGCTGCTTGAGCTGACATCGGAGGGTGCGGGTGAGGTCAAGGTCCAGCCAGAGCATGCGGAAGGTAGCGCCAGAGCATCCCAGCTGCTGCCGCCGCCGCCGCCGTCAATGGCAGCACCTCCGCCGGCGGCGCCCTCAGCCATGCCGTATCCCTCAGACACAGGCAGGTGTGGCCTGTACCGCAACGCCGACGTCAGGCCAGCGTCAAGGTCCCGGAGCCAAGCCGCCGGGCTGTCGTACGCTCCCTGACCCGTCGTCGCATTCACCCGAAGCCCTGTAGCACCTTCAGGCCCGCCGTCGGGATGCTGCCGTCTCCGCCGCCGCCACGGAAACGCATCATAGTACGGCAGGGGGTCCGTCACATGGTCGTCGTACGACACCGTGCTCTGCGCAGGATTGCCGCCGACACCGGTAGTCGCCCCTGCCATTGTGACATGATCAGCTCCGCTGACGGGCGCGATGAGCCGCCGCCGCCGCCGTACGGCAGCCGCTACCGCTGCCGGCGCGCTGACGCCCTCCCGCCGTAACGCTCGCTCTAAAGCACCGCCGTCAGCGGCCGCCACCCACGACAGCTCGTCTGTTACGACAACGCACGCTGGGGCCCTCCCGTCGTCACTCGCCGCTGCCGCCGCCGCCATTGGTTCGTCACCCACACCGCCCTTGCTGCCCCAGCTGTGGCGTCCTTCCGCCACACGGCCACGTTGCAACGGAGGCGGCAGCAGCTGAGCGCACAGGCGCAGCGCCGTCAAGTGGGCCTTGTACGCGAGTGCTTCGTCAGGCCACACCGAGTTGTACGGAGAGAGATCTTGTTCCGATAGTACGACAGTCTCGCCTGCGCCACCTGGGCCGTCACTGCCAACGCTGCCATCGCCGCTAACGCTGCGGTTCCCTTTCGCAGCAGTCCCTTCTCGGACCTGCAACCGGCGGCGTCGGCTGATGCTACCGCTGAGCGGCCCCCCGTGCTGCTGCGGCTCACCCGTCCTCCTCCTCTTGCCATCCAAGTCCCAGCCTTCTACCAATTGAACCAGCTCTCGCTGAACGAACGCAGGAGGATCCGCTGCCTCAGGCTCCCTGCCGCCTTCCAAAGGAGCGCCCCTGTGACCGTCATGGACTCGTAGCACCTCAACTTCTGGTGTTGTCTGGTGCAGCCTCCGCCGCCGCTTGCTCATCCTGCTTCCCCCGCCGCCGTCCAACTCTGTAGAGCGAGAGCGTGCTGCAGGCACTTGGTAACTCCAAAGGCAGAGGGCTTGACGACCGGGGCTTCTCGCTGCTTGCGGCGGCGACGACGGCGGTGAACCGTGGGTCGCTGCTCCATTTTCCTTCGCGGAAGACCCGCAGCGAGCAATGCGGAAAACCAATTGGAAATGCTTGCAGAGCACGGCTGCCAATGTTTGCTGCGGGTTTGTGTTGTAATCGAGGAGCCGATTGGAGCTGTCAAGTCCGACTGGTGAGATAGACTTGTTTGGCGTTGCCAGCTCAGACGCAGCTATCCACGCATTATATTGAGGATGTTGTCCTGTTTGAATATGTTGTTGTTGCGCATGGGAAGCAGAGGCAGCTACTTCTTCAGTGGTTGCGGCTGCAAAGACGAGTTGCAGTAACGTCAAGAGGAAAAAGGCGTGCAAGAAACGTAAAGCAAGAGCTGTGACGCGCGCCATCGCGCGCCTGTGGAATGGCATAGATTTAAACGAGAAAGGTTGTTGAAGCTAAGCAAGTTCCGCTCTTACAGCACTACGCAGTCGTACTGTATAGCAATGCAAAGATAGCTTCGTTTGCAAGCGGTACACGTGAGTATAGCTACTGCTCCAGCTTACAGCTGCATTGCACTTCTTCAGTAATGAGGTCAAGGCTACGACCATAGCCTTGGGCTGAAGCTCCTTGTTTGTCAGACATTTTGACTTCTATAACAATTCAATCAGGAAATCACCAGTGCTAGTCACGACCATAAATCTGGTTGTTAGGATAATGCGTGCCCATGCGTGCCAACGTACCGGCATCCCTCACCTCCACCTCCGCCCAATAATTCATATAACGGTGCCCATTACTTCAACCTATACACCTTGGCCGTGGCAATGAGCACCATCTTGCGCTCTAGAACGATGGGAAAGAGCTTTTCTGACCATAACTTAGCTGCACGAAGCCCTATCCTAAGTTCCATCTAGCTACTAGCTACTAAACCCTGCCGGCCAGATACGGCCCAGCCGCGCGTTCCGCTCCCACCTGCCCTGCTTTGCCTGCTCCCCCGCCTGCTGCCTTCCCCACGTCCTTCTGGCTCCACCGCCTACTGCGCATCCAGCAGCTATCAGCTTGCCTATCGCTGCGACCCATGGGTCACTGCCCGCTCACTGTTTCGCGCCCGCCCCCGCCATCACTATCTGCTTGAACCGCTCCATGTCCTGCTGTATGACTCCCTCCACCACCGGCGTGAGGGCCTGCGCGGTCAGCTAATCAGGAGCGGCTGTGACTCGGGGGGCTGCTTGATATCAGGGTTGCTTCACAGGGACGTGAAACATGGTTCAGTAGTTGCAACCCCGCCCGTTAGATCCCTAAGCCCGTATGGCCCCTGGCCGCCTTAGCCTGCCGGGGGCGTGTCTCCTATGCCCCTCGTAACTAAAAGACACGCACGTATCCCGTGTTTCACCCGGCCCCCCTTCCCAAAGGCACTCACGTTTGCAAAGGGCGCCAGCACGTCCGGCACCTCATACGAGATGATGAGGGTGATGTGGCAGCTGCCTGGGGAGGTACGGCGGAACTTGATCTGCCCGCGGTTCTGGATCTCCAGGCCTGCAGACCGCATGCGTTTGGAGCCCGCACGGGGCGTATGCTAAATGGAGATGGCCCGAACGATGACCCGAGGGTGGATGGAAAGTGTGGTTATGGCCTGGTGCTTTGAAGCCAGGACCCACGATTGGCTAATGTTGGGCCGCCAAGACTGCCGCGTACAGGCGACCAGAAAAAATACGTGCGCGCACTAAAGTGCTGCATACACGCTTGCAGTTCACGTCCATGTGTATGTATTCAAGAGAGCCTGTACGCACCCAGAGATGCGGATCCACGCTCCGAAACCCAGTGGATCTTGGTATTCTTGACGGGCGGTAGGTTGCGAGCAAGCCAAGAGAACTCCCAGTCTCGACCGAACTGATGAGTAGCGAGCGTCCAGCGGGACAGCCGGGGGTCGGAGTCCAGCACCTGCAATGGAATGCATGTCGTGTTAGGCCGTTGGCACCCGTATAGCAATCAGGAAAGGGGATCAGAGAAGGGGATTAAAGAATGGGAGGCCGGCACATCAGGGCTACGGTCCCTTAGCTAGCGCCGATTACCGCCGCCTAAGAAGCGCCATGCCCGTGCACCATGCACCATGCATGTACCGTATTGCCCAAAATTTAATTGACATGCGTTTGGAGGCCTATTTTCCAGCCCCATTTGACAAAGCGGGAATAATTTATGCCCCATTTGACTTCCTGATGGCGAATTTCTAGCCCCATTTGACATGCGCCAAACGCCCCCAAAGCCACCGAACGTGTTGGATGTAACATGGTAAGGAAAGGAGCTGTTCAGCTGTATGCATGCCGCTGTGCAGCCCCAGGAGGATAAGTGGAACACCACTTGGAAACCCCTACTGGGCATGGCGCGGTGAGGACGCAGCGCACTGGCAAGTCAGTTGCCCCCTACCTCTCCGCTCCCATCTTAGTTATCCTGCAGTCACCCCAGGCGGATTATTTTGCCCCCATTTGACACCTTGCCAGCGAATTTCCAGCCCCATTTGAAATGGCAAAAAAACATTTTTGCCCCATTTGACAAAACCCAAAACATTTTATTTTTGTCAATTAAATTTTGGGCAATACGGTACCCGCAAGCCATGAAGCACCCGAGCGACCCTAGGTAACACTTCGCTCAATGCTCAGTGGAAGAGTTTCAATCCTCAGCGGTTCAAGGCGAAGACGCGGCTGTCGGGGGGAAGCCCCTGCCGTTGCCATCTGGATTGTCAAGTACTTCATGCCGTACAACTGACTCATCGTACCTTAACTGATTTGATCCAGGGCATCCACTGCGGAATGCGCTCGCGATCCTCCCACAGCGACCAACATGTTTCCAACGGCGCTTGGACTTCCACGGAAGCCCTGTGGGTTGGGGTGCGGGTATGGCTTGCGTTACGTTCAGGGGTAGCGCCATCCGGAGTACGGCAGGGTAGTCGGCACTAGGCGGGTATCGTAGACTGGACATCCATTAAGGCCCTGTGGGAGGGCGGGTGGTATGTCATAGCAGGGGCCATGGGCTCCCCGCAGGCGAGGAAACACAGCAGGAGAGGTACCATGGATGCTGTCAACCCCAGGGCTGCTCTGTAGGTTCCGAGCTGCGCTCTGTGTAAGGAAATGAGCTGCTCTGTGTAAAAGGAATGAGCAGGGGAGGTAGCGCGTGTGGCATAGAATGGAATGCAGGGAATGGGGAGCACGGGGATGGGTAATCACGACATGGCTATGGCTATTAAGGTAAGCGTGCATAAGGGGTGTATGCGTGGGGAGAGGGGATGCGGGGGTTAAGGGAAGCAACCCTCACGGAGCAACCAAGCATTTCTTACTTGTTTTCTAGCCACTGCGCCATACTCCGGTGCATGGAGCCATTGCTTGCAAGATGTCCCAACCCGCGGCCGGTAAAGGTTGTCTTCCCGTGCGCTCCTACGACCACAGATTGTAAGGACGGTGTGGAAGGCCGAGAAAGCTTGTGGCTGCCAACATGTGCTGGCAACCCGCGCAACACCCCTAAAGCTTAGCGTTACGCACCTGGTAATCTCCGGGTGCGAAAGGATAAGCTCCTTACTCCTGACGCGCTCTGTCGAAGAACCGTGGTATGAGGGCGTGGACAACTTTGTGCATAAAGGCATTGCATGGCTTCTGCCCTTACCCGGGCACGGTGAGGTGTTGCTAAGCCGGAGGCGCCAGCTTGCAACACTAACGACATAGTACCAGATAAAGCAGGAAAAGCAACGCTTGCGATGAAATGTGCAGTCTGTGACCTAGAACTAATGGATGGACAGCCTGAAGTTAGCAAATACGCAGATTCTGCTATAAATTGAGCCTTACTATATGCCTGTTATAGGTCAGTGAAGACAATAGCCCTGCGGCATGTGCAAGCATACGTACATCAGTCGACGGAGGGTAGCTCATCCGTCGCCGCGAGGCTAAAGTTTCATCAGCGTTAACGGAATATATTCGGTGTCAATGCGTTTGCGCAATGTTCTGAACGTGAATGCAAGCTAACACTTGACAGCTGACTTTACCAAAGACGTGCATTGGAATCCCTGGTTCTCTCCTCAATCTTATTGAACGTCATATAGGAAAGTCATGCAGTCAACGGGGCTTGGAATTGGCGGGCTGGCATCGGTGACGCGGCTGGAAGCTATGCAATGGACAACAAAGGGCAACAAAGGACAAGCTCGGAACTGTTACTGGGGTTACCAGTGAACAGTGGGTTTAAAGGTTCAGTGCTTTACCCGCCATCGTTTTGTAGTCTAGTTGGACCGGTTCCAGGCAATGGGAACCAAGCCTTAAAAAGTATGTGTGTCGGTGACTACACAGCTAGTTTGCTGGTGCCATGACACTTTGCGGAGGAGGAGATAAGGTTGGGGAAGGGGAAACGGCAGTGGAACGAAGCAACCAGGCGGAGTAGCTCTGTCAGAGTTCGGGGGCTCCGTGAGGCTACGGAGGTGAGAGGGAATGGTTGCGGGGGAAGGCGGGAGAGACGCCAGGGTGAGGATGACCGGCGGCGCGGCGTTGGAGGTTCTCCTTCGACACAACGCTTGGCAAGCGCTTACTCGGCATCTTACACAAGGGCCAGGCGCTGCGTACATTGCGCTTGCTAGCTCTCTTGCATAGAGAGCTTGCTTAGCTGCTCGCCTTTGGGCTCTGGATTGAAGCAAGAGCGAGGTGAATGTGAACAGGGTCGAAGCCCTGACTGAGGGTGACTCATAAAGTACTCGCATCCTCGTCCGTATCGCTACCCAGGAAGCCAAAATGGGCTTCAAGGGCACAAAGTTGGCCTCTTGGCAAACATAGCGCTCAATACGTTGCCCCAACAGAGCATATATTCGTTACTCGTGATCGTGATCAACTGAAGCCCTGCGCAACGCGCAGTGTCCATGCTAGAGAAACGCTTGCTTGTGGCAGAGCCCTACTACAAAGAGAGGGCGTCTTGGTGTCTAACAGCGGCTGGCCGCTTTTCCTGAAGCAACGTGGTTAGCAGCCGCGCAGCAATCCAAGTCCTAGCTGAAAACAGCACAGCAAGCAGGTAGAGCCCTTGGGAGCCTTCTCCTAGTTCAGGTTGCTCTGTCGCGCTTTAGGTTGCTTTCCTACTGTCCTCTAGCCCTGTGGCTAGGACCAATCTTCGTCACGTGGGATCGCAAGCCTTGTGGACCGGCGAGCGTGACGTTGCGCGCCCCATCCCACTTGCGATTTTATATGAGCGCAAATTGTATTCTTTGCCGATGTTCCTTTTATTAACAGCCCACTCACCAGATGGGGCTCGCCTACCGGTTGCCTGCTGCTGCTTGCCCCCAGGCAACCACCCGTTCACAATCGACCCTTGGGTCAGCGTCGCTTAATAAGCAGATAACGAGCGAGGCGATAACCGGCCACCCGCGTTCAGGTAGGATTAAGAAGCTGCCGTTGAGAAGCTGCTAGTCGGATGCTGGCAGGCTTGCTGATTGCTAGATCAGCATGGAAACGTTGCGGCTTCAAGCGAGGCAACAAGCGACCCCTTTGTGCGAAACGCAGTTTCTTGCTCTTCCTCTGTTATTGGTCGCTAGTTACCATGCTAATTTGTCTTCTACGATCCAAGCAAGAGCTGTGCAGCGTCGGCACTAATCCGTTGGCGTCAGCGAAGCGTCGTGGCCTTTGCTGCGACCACTTGTCGGAATAGACGGAACCTTTTTTAGGAACAAGGGATCGTCGAGTCTGGTCGTATCAATCTTGACCTTGTTGCCGTTGCCCTGACACTGTTTCAGAGCGCCGCGCGGCCGCCAGGGCTGACAGGACGGCGTCTGAGCTGGCCGCCGATGTGATGGGCTTTGGCGCTTGGTTGCTGGCAACCGTCTCCCTTATCTGCCGCGCTGCCACGGTCATGAGGATTCGAAAGGTGGGCGACATACGCGAGTCGACACGATGTGCCTGGGAAATCCTGGGAAATGGCGTCAAGCGGCGACCTGTATCATGCCTCCCGACCGATTTGGTTCCTACATCCACAGTGCACCTGCAAAATGCCGAAAACCATGGTGCCCCTTCCTCCCCAGGTGCTGGCAGAGGGCGGCGGAACGAGGGGTGCAGCTCCCGCAGCCGGACCCGGCGGCGGCGCCGGACGCAGCGCCCCTGCCTCACCCGGCAGCGGTTGCAGCGGCGGTGCTGCCGCCGGGAAGCCCAGCACGCCGCCGCCGCCGCGGAAGCCCCTGCTTAAGCGCGCCATATGGGCGCTTGCAACACACATGGTAAGGAACCCCTCGGTATGCTGCGCACGGTGCGTTCCTGGTAGCCTGCTTTGGCCCCCTTTCCCTGCGGTTATGGAGGCCAATGCGCCTTTGTATTGTCAACCCATATACCCACCTCTGGTATCATTACCGCCCCCGCTACCGGTCTTCGTCTTCTGTCCTTTCCCCATTGCCAACGCTCGAAGCCGCACCTCTCCGTCGCCACCTTTTCTTTCAATTTCGCTTTTCCCTGTCCTTGCAAGGCCATGTAGCGTCAGCGCCCTCCTCCTCCTCCTCCTCCTGCTCTCCCTGCTCCCCCAGGTCCTAGCCCGCCGCTGGATGCTGGCCGTATTGGCTCTGGAGCTGCTGCTGGTCAAGGGCGCGTACCTTCTGGTGGTAGCCGCCACCCTGGAGCCCTGGCAGGCGGGACTGGCCATCCTGGTGGCCTCGCTGGTCACCGCGCTGCCCGACGTGCTGGCGGCGACCAAGGGACTGTCAGCGGGAGGTCCGGCAACCGCCGCTGCTACCGGTGGTGCTGCAATTTCAGAGGGCTGCGCGGCTAGCAGCCGGCGCGGCGGCGGCGGAAGGGAGGCGGATGAGACTGCGACGGCCAAGGCTTTGGTGGGCGTGAGTGATGCTGGCTGCTGCGGCGGCGGCAGCGGCGGTGGTGGCGGCGGTGGTGGCGGTGGCGGCGGCGACGGCGCGGGACTTCCGGTCGCCGCCGCGGTGGAGCCGACTGAGGCACCGGGTGGCTGTGTATATGTCAGCGGTAGTAGCAGCGTCAGTGTCTGCAAGTGCGGCGGCAGCAGCGGCACCCATGCTTATTTCAGTAGTAGCAGCAGCAGCAGCGGTACGGCAAGCCGAACAAGCAGTGCTGGAATCACCGGGCGCTGGGACAGCAACACTGGCGGTGCCAGTGGCTCGCATGCAAGCAATTCACTTGTCGATGGACCCATGGGTCGGCAGCGGCTCACCGCCCCGCCGCCGCTGCTTCTACCGTTGCCTCCTTCAACGGATATGGCATGCGATTCTCAGCAGCTGCGCTCTCCCCTGGGTCCCATGGATTTCGACAGCGGATGCAACAATACTTCCCAGTCCCCCTTCTCTTCATCCCTGACGGCACCTGCTCCTATCTGGACGGCGTCGGCTGTTCCCTCTGCAACCACTGCTTCTACAAGTACCTCCGCTGCCGATGCTGGTGTTGGGGGCTTTCTGGATCTTACGCGTCGGCGCAGCGGCGTCGGCGGCTACTTGGATGTCGTGACCCGTCGTGGCGCCGCTTCGCTGCCGTACACTGTGGGCCGCGCCGGCGGAGGCGGTGCTGCCGCCGCTGCCTCAACCGGACCTCCTGGCGCCGCTGCCGCCGCCGCCTCCATGCTGGCGACACGCAGCGCTCCTGTTGCCGGTATGCCTCCACATACCATCTCAGCAGGGCCGGTGTACGGAACCGGCGGTCACCGGGCAGCCGTGGCGCCTGCCGTCAGCGGCAGCGGCGGCGCCAACGCCACACCGGCGGCGGCTGTACCTTCGCGCCGGCTCGGCACCACAGCTGCCAGCGGCACTGCTCCTGCCACTGCCGCCGCCGCCAGTGGCGCCAATCGTACCAGCATCGGCAGCGGCACCGCTCCTGCTACTGTCGCCGCCAGCTGTGCCGCTGCTGCCACCGCCACCGGCATTACCTCCATTCGTCGACTGTCGGTTCCGTCACTCCTCGTGCGTCGCTTGCCGTCAACCCTGAGTGCGAGCTTCAGGGGAAGGACCCGTACCCTGCCTGGAGGGCTGAGTGCCGCCATCAATGCGGCTACCGTACGTCCTGTTTGTGGAGCTGGTACGAGTGGTACGAACGTGAGAGCTACGCCGACGTACAAGCCCCTCAGCCGCTCCAGGCTTGTAAGCGTCAAGGTACGTACGACAGAGGTAGCACATACAGTAGTTACGGGTTGTCGTTCTTGTCGGTTGGAGCTTCCTAGTCCATTTGCTTTGCTTTCGCTAGCAGTGCAGAGGTGGAATGTGTGCGAGGCCACACATGTCCGCGCTTTTAGGTGTGGGTTGTCGTCACCGCTTAAGCTGTAACACTCTGCCCCCTCGAACCGTCCCTGGCCCCAGGTTTCCACGCATCCTGGGACCTTCCTTGACTACGCCCCCGTCGCCTGTGAGCGCATCCACGCCTACCTCCGAGCCAATCCCTTGCCGTTGACCTTACTCGACACGCCCACTGGCGGCGGCAGCGTCGCCGCCGCTGCTCCTGCCGGTGGCGCCGCCGTCGCGTACGACAACGCTGCTCTCAATGGCGACGCAGCGAAGGCCTCCACTGGTGTCGTTAAGACCATGGCCGTGCAGGGCTGCGTCCAGGTGGTGTCTTGGGTGCATTCCGTGCCGTGCGTATGCAGCGGTGGCAGCGACGTTGGCGGCGGCGGCGCCGATGGTGACACAGGTGGCAGCGGCGGCGGCAGCGGCGACAGAGGTGGCCACGTGCCTGGCGGTGCCGGCGGCGGTGACAGTGTCTTTGGCTTTTCTCAGGGTCTGATTAGGGCTCTACCGGGGCTGGAGGAGCTTCCCGCCGTCGACGTCGACGCTGGCGGCGTCGTCACTGCATACCGCCGTACATCCCACGGCGGTGCAGCGAACATAGTCTCAGGGATTGCTGGCGTCGGTGTCAACTTGCACGGTCTGGTGGCGGAGGCAGAGGGACCGGAGGTTACGATCCTATGGGCCCGGCCGCCCTTCATGGCTGCCGTACCTGCCGCCGCCGCCGCTGGCGGCGCCGCTACGAGTGACACGATGGTCATTGAGCTATGCCTCGCAGTCGCCGACCGACGGCACGCCGCGTCGGCCGTTGCGACCGCGGCGACCGCGGCGTCGGAATCGGCGTCGGCTACCGCTCACGGCACCGCTGGCTCCCTGTTTAGTGTACGGCTGCTATTGGTGACGTCGGATCCTTGGTCCGAAGATAAGCTTCTGCTGGACGAAACTGCTGTCCTAGAGCGCGGCGCAGCCAACGTGGTTGAGCTGCGGCTGCCGGCGTTGACCGACCCAGGGGTCATTCGTGTCGTCGTCACCTCGCCAATGGCGCACCACAATGCGAGTGACGGCGGTGGTGGCGCCGCCGCAATACTGGACGCCGCTGTCATTGGCAACCAGCCTCTGGTCCACGCCGCCTGCACGCTGCTCTGTTTGCCGTCTGACGTTGCACATGAGCTCTGCAACCTAGCCGACGTCGCCGCCGCTTCGCACGCCGACCCCTCAACTTCCGTCACCGACGGCAGTAGCCGCAATGAAACGGCGGCGTTCGAGGCGTTGTCGTACATCTGGGAGAACCTTGTTGCGCCAATTGCTACCGACATGGCTTTCCTTGCGGACTGCGCCGCCGCCCTTGGGGGCGGTAGCGGTGATGGCACCAGCAACAACAGCGGCAGCGGCAGTACGGCGCGCGCCGCTGGGCCGCCCGCCGCCGCCGCTGCGATGTCATCGTCGACGCCGAGGTCGACTGCGGCGGCGGCGTTCCACATGCCGCTGTGTATGACGACGCCGGCGGGCTGGGCGGCAGGCCGGGCGGCACTGCTTGGGCTGTTGGCAGTGGAGGACAGTCTCAGGTGCGCCCATGCACTTTGGACGCATGCGGTTTACGCCTCCGTACCGTACTACAAATCATCCGTTTACCGCTTACCTCCGACGCACATCGTTAGGACCCCGTGAATGTTTTTGTGTGCGAAGCTATGGCTCCATCATTCCTCGTCCTCACACAGGTCGGCTCTGGAGCCGCTTGGAGCCCAAGCAACCGTGTCGTACATTGCCGATCTGTCCCGCCGCGCCGCCGCTTCCCTCCTCGGAACAGCCGGCCCTGGCGCGGTCGTCGCCGCCGCTGCGGGGATGACAGTGTCAGCGGCTGCGGCTGCGGTGGTTTCCTCGTCTGCGTCAACGCCGTCGAACTCAACACCCTTGGCGTTACTTGCTGCTACAGCCACCGTGTCACCTGGCCCCGCCACTGCTGCCACCAGCATCGCCTCGGGCGCCACCAACGCCTCCGGCGGCAGCAGCGCATGCAGCACTGGTAGCGGCGGCTTTCCTGCCGCCACCACGTCACCGCTCCGTACCTTTCTGGGCCTAGGCGCCAGCGGAAGCGCCATTCGACGGTCCTTCGAGCTCCCTACGGCCGCCGCCGCGGCGCAATCTGCCGTACGAGGTCCCGGTCGTATGTCGTATGACGGCGGTAGCGTTCGCGTGGCGTCCTTCCTCAGAGACACCATCTGGTCTCGTCCACGTTCGGCGGTCACTACAGAGGCCGCCGCCGTTGCTGCTGCTGGTGGTGGTGCGAATGACGGCGCTGTGGCTCCTGACGACGCTGCAAGTGCGGCATCGGCGTGTTCCTCGTCCTCTCGCAGCGTTGAAAGGCCCCAGACGCCAGGTGGGGTTTATAACGGTGCGTTTTCATTGCTTCGGACTGCTTTTTTCTGCATGTTGTTTTGCTCCAGCTCACGACACGCTTACAGCACACTAGTTCTACCGAGTATTTGGCACAACACCATCGCTGATTGTCATGTGTATTATACTGCGCGCTGCGGTACAGGTCCTCGCGTACGACGCCCGCCGGTTAGCGCGTCGTACCGGCAGTTGCTGTACGGCAGCGCACGTGTCAGCTCCGTGAACGAGGGGCCTCCTGCGGGCGCCGAAGCGGAGTCCTTGGGCGACGAAGAGGAGGAGGGCTCCGATGCCCTTGTCGACGTCACTGACGTCGACGGTGCTCAAACGGTGACGCCTCTCGAGCTGACATCACCTGAGGAATCCGACGACGGCAGCGGCAGCGGCGGTAATGGAGGAGGCGTCTCCAGCCTAACAACAGAGATTGGCGCTGGCGCTCTAGTAGCAGCGGCGGCGGCAGCTGGCACTTTGCCAGAGGCAGCGAAAGGCGACACTGTGTCACTATGGCGCCGCCGTCGCGACGGCTGCCGTACGGATAACAAGACCCACTCGCATGCCTCCGCTAGCGACTACGCCGCCAGCATCCTGTCGCGCCGCCGCCGGCTGCTAATGGCGCCACTGACCGGGTTCAAGTACGACTCGTCGGTCAATGCAACGGTCAACGGCGAGTTGCCGTCTGCTGCGGCCAGCTGCTCTGCCGCCGGTGCTGGGAAGGGCAACGACGGTGGCGGCAGTGCTGCTGCCAGTCGCTCTGACGCTGGTGTACGGTTTGAGGGCGATCTGGAACGGCAGTACGAATTGTACTGCAGTACACTGCACCATGGGCTGGATCTGGCTGGGTTTGCGATGCTGCTGACGATGTTTGCGGTGGTCACCTGGTAAATGGGTGCTAAGAAAACTGGCCGCCAGTAGGAACGGGATATTCCCACAACGCCAGAAGTGAAGTTCGATAAAGTCCGTTGGCTATCAGGCTATGTGCCTATGACCTCCGCTGCTGTTTGTGCCTGGTTCCGCTGCTGCTTGGTACTCCACTTCCTACGTTCTGCTGTACTACTAGGGCTTGTTAGCCACTGAACTGACGCATGCTGCGCGGCACATGCTGGGTGTGACACGCTGTGTAGGCGCCTGCGCTCAACAATCAATCACTGTGTTGCGCGCATGCCATGTCACATGTCACTCGCCCCATGGAACGCCGCGTATTCCAACTCTCAACGATGGTGTCCCTTGCTGTGTCTCTCTCCCTCCGTCCCCATGCGCAGGCGCAAGCTCTGGCTGCCTGCGTCCATGAGAGCCACAACCTGGGCCTACAACCTGACCATGCTGTGGGTGGTAGCCAGCACCCTCATGTTTCCGTACGTCGTACAACTGCTACGGCGGGACGTGTACAAGCGGCACCGGGAGACGCTGCACTTGTCCTGCCAGGTACGGCCTAGAGATACGGTAGGAACTAGGAAGAACGGAGTGCTGCTTGTGCTGTGTCGCCGTGGCTACACTGCTAACGACTGTGTTTAGCTGTTGCTGCTGCCACCGTGTGCCAGGCTATGTCGGGATGACTGTTGCGATTCTGTCACCGTCTAGTCGAAGCAATTTTGTAAGCACCAAAGATGACAATGTGGCTGACTTGCTCTTTTATACAGGCAATCAACGGTGTGGTGTACGGCATCTTTGCTGTGGGTCTGCTGCCCATGCCGCCCGAGATGACGTTCCACTGGAACCACAGCCACGTACTGCAGCGAGGGCTGGTACGGCCGGTACGGAGGCCGGTGAGTACGGATGGTACGGCATCCAGCTTCCCGACCTTTGCAACAGTTTACATCTCGTACATATTTACATTAGTAAGATCGTAGCTGCTTCAGACGAACCTAGCATCAAAGTACCTCAAGAATGACGTACGTTGCCGTACTTGCTGTAGATTAGGAAAAACTGGCTGTGACGGCCCTTAAGTGTTGTTCACGGACCGGTACATGCTGCCATCTTTACGCAGGTTCGTTTCACCACGCACCTGCGGATGATGGCGATCGAGGTGGTGTGCATCACTCCAGTCTTCCTGTCGTACAGCGGTTGGCGCCGTACACTTACAACCACCCTCATCACCTACAGCATGTCCGCGACAGTAGGTAAGTATTGCCCTAACCCTGCTCCAACCTTTCGGCCCATCCTGTATCGTGACCTGATGTCATACAATGGTTCATGCATTCGACGCGTTCGTTCCTTGCCTGGCTGTGCGCGCAGTGGCTCGGCTTGTTTCTTTCATGCCAGCACGTTTACCACTAATGTTCAACCGTTAACGTTCCATAAGTGCTGATACACAAGATAACAGTATCGGTATCCGTACAACGCAGCCGTACATCCTGACTCGCTGTCAGCCCTGACGGCCTGGCAAAAGCCGTAACTAGCTGTTCTTCACCGCACTTTGGCTGCACGTTCCCTTTCCAACCTGCATGGTGCGCTACCTCCCAATAATCTCCGCCTCAGGCTACGCGCTCGATCTGGCCATGCGGCGGGTGTTCCTGTTGTCGCTGGCGAGGCAGCGGAGCAACCGGGGAGGAGGACACGAGGTGCGCAAGGAGGAGAAGGACTGAGGGGTGCTTCCTTCCTTTCCTTCAACCATGCCAGGTGACGTGGGTAGCCAGTGCCACCGGCAGTAACTGCGGTAGAACCTGGTAGTGGCCTAAGCAGGGGGTGCTGCAGGTACTGTGCTGTGCAGGAGGAGGGGTGTGGCAGGCGCTGACAGGGGGGTGTAACCCGGTTGCTGGCAGGAGGGCGCGGTGGGCTGTGGGGCCGGGGTAGCTGGGATGGAGCGCTTTTAGAGGCAAGAAGTTTTGCTAGCAATCTAGTTGCTTGGGGGGGCGCTGGAGCGAAGGAAGAGATTGTTTCATTGATTCAGCTTATTGTTGGTGTAGAAGCCCCCGTTGACAGTTGCTTAGATCCGTTAAGTGTGTGTAGAGTGAAGAACGCGGGCTATAAACGTGGGTCAAGAATTGGAAGGGCAATGAACCATGGGTCAGTTTCGCTCCGCGCTGCCTCTATTAGCACGTCCACTACTGCGCTTAGGCGAGGAAGACGAAGCAGGATGTCAGGAGTTGGGTTCAAGTCAAGGCTGCTGCAGAGGTAATCGCGGGGAAGCCATGCCATTCTTTTCGAGGATTCTGTCCAGTTGAACAATGGCAGAATGCAACCAACCTTCCAATTTAGTACGAACGGCTAACCTTCCAATTTAGTACGAACGGCTGCCCCCACGGCACGCCGGTATCTGATTGCCGTCGGGTGTACCGCTTATGAAGGTTCGGCGTCCGTACAGGTCTTGTCCATACCCGTGTTAATCTGTATGTTCCGGCTGATAGGACGTGCGGCCCATGCATTACATTACTTGCCGGGTTGAGGCGTCAGGAGGCCGGTGCCTACCGCGGTCACAGCTGCATCGAGGACGGCTAGTGCTTGTACACTCCAGGCAAGCCCTCAACCTCGGGTCTCCGACCCATTTTTGTACGAAACTGGAATCATTTAGTTCAATGCGTATATCCATAACCGGTTATGCTACGCGTTTTAAAGTGGCTCGATGTATCCGGGCTGCTCCTACTGCATGTTCAGATATCCGCCAACCTTGTTTTGTCTAGTATAATCTCTATACTCTTGGTAGGAGGTTGGTGCCGTGCGATTGGCTCCTACGGCGTTGGCATGGGGCTTATCTTGTTGCTACAGTATCGAGGGTAATACCCCCTGTGTGTAGTGTCTTAGGTTCTTCACTGTGTGTGTAGTGGAGTATATTTGGTACTACACCTTACGTACAGTGGGGGACCTTGCAACGCATGCAAGGTACGGTTCAGCGCGTCCCGGCGTACGCCTTATGCATTATTAGTTCCGGTTTTCCGGTGTGCTGGCGTTGATGTTGTCCGTTGCATGTGTTTCCAGCGGCTCCCGTTAGCCTATGGTTCACCACTGGAGGACTCCAGGACTGACGCCCGATGGGCGGGGACTGTATGTTGTAACATTGTTCACGGAGATGTACAAGCCTATTCTGGATCGAAGCACCTATAGCGATGCGTGAAACTGGCCCCTTGTGCCATACGCGCACGTGTGCAGATTGTTGTGTCGCAAAGGGAGAGGGGGAAGCGAGCGGCCAATGTTGTCGCCCGTGGGTCGAATTGTCCGTTTGCCTCACGAAACAGCAAGCCCTGAGACAAAAAGATTGGTTAACGACTGCAGCATGTTATACTTAGCCTCGGGTTGCAACAACAACGGCAATCGCCATTTAGTACATGCGTTGGCTTGCCGGACTTCGCTTATGTGTTGGTGCCACTTGGCCACGTTTAGCAATAAAGTTCTATAAGTAGCCGTGCGTAACAATACGCCTAGAGCAATGTACGTATTTATGGTTTCCTGCAAGCGGGCCAGGGAAAGCAATTGCAGCGGATTTATAACATTGATGTTCAGACATACACAAATGCACTCGATCAACCTGTTGGATCTAGTGGGTCTCTTACCTGCATCTTGACCTAAGCGGCCCGCCGTACAGCGGAGATGCAGACCGCCGATCTATACCTCGCATTTCACTATTGCGCTAGAGGGAAACTCGTTTATCGGACCTTTGTAAATTGTTAAAGATGCAGTCCTTGAACGCTAAGTCTCTTCAGGGCAACCGCCCTTTCACTGGGCAGCGCCCAAGGTCCGTTCGCGGTAGCGTCTCCGTCCGTGCCGTTGCTGCTCCCCCTAAGCTGATCACCAAGCGTTCCGAGGAGGTAGGAGAGTTCGAGATCCATAATGTCTTAGGTTGTGCGTCGATGCCGGAAAGACGACAATTGTATCTAGGTTGGCAACAGCCCTGACTCCACACCGGAATTGCGCGCGACAGATCTTTAAGGAGGCTCAGGAGCTTCTGCCTGGTGGTGTCAACTCGCCTGTGCGTGCTTTCCGCTCTGTGGGCGGCGGCCCAATTGTGTTCGACCGCGTCAAGGGCGCCTACTGCTACGATGTCGACGGCAACAAGTATGTTGACTACGTAGGCAGCTGGGGCCCAGCTATCGTGGGCCATGCCAACGATGAGGTCAACGAGGCCCTTAAGGCTCAAATTGAGAAGGGCACCAGCTTTGGTGCTCCTTGCGCCCTCGAGGTAGGAGAAAAGCGGAATTGCATTTTTGCAATTACTTTATTTATCAAAGCCAGAAAACATGTGGATCATGCGGTTGCCGATAGAGGGACAGGGTATACTTGCTCGATGTGCATACCTATCGCGACAGCGCGAGGGACAGCCGTAGCTTTTTAGGTTTATCTCCTTTTAACCCTCGATTTTTAATGCTCGCACCCCCCGGTGAAAGATATAGGGCAGCCTTTCCCTTCTACCGGGTTGCGGTGCAATAAGCGCGGAATGTGGGTTAAGGAGAAGCAGGGGTGGCAGCTTTTCCAAAGGCGGGTCGAACCATGTTTATGTACCCCGTCCGCAGTTGCCTCCCATAATTAGAGGCAGTAGGCAAGCTTTGAACGACATTCACATGACCGCGCACCACACACTAGCCACACCTTAAGCCTGTGGCCCCCTCACCCTCTCCCTCCCCCTCCACCCCAGAACGTCCTAGCCAAGATGGTCATCGACCGTGTTCCCTCCGTGGAGATGGTCCGCTTCGTGTCCTCCGGCACTGAGGCCTGCCTTTCCGTGCTGCGCCTCATGCGCGCCTACACCGGCCGCGAGAAGGTCATCAAGTTCACCGGCTGCTACCATGGCCACGCCGACTCCTTCCTCGTCAAGGCTGGCTCGGGCGTCATCACGCTGGGCCTGCCGGACAGCCCCGGTGTGCCCAAGAGCACTGCCGCCGCCACCCTCACCGCCACCTACAACGACCTGGAGTCGGTGAAGGAGCTGTTCGCGGCCAACAAGGGCGAGGTTGCGGGCGTGATCTTGGAGCCGGTGGTGGGCAACAGCGGCTTCATTGTGCCCACCAAGGAGTTCCTGCAGGGGCTGCGCGAGCTGTGCACGGCGGAGGGCGCGGTGCTGTGCTTCGATGAGGTCATGACGGGCTTCCGTATTGCCAAGGTGGGTGGGGCATGGGGAGTGGGTGTGTGGAGGCGGGGAGGAAAGGGTTTGGAGAAGGCAAGGGGTGCATGGTCGGGGTCGATTGCACGGGCTTACCAGCTATGCGAGGGGAGAGGGGTGAGGTCGTGCATGGGACACGATGGGCTGGTTGTAATGTTCAGGGCTGCAGTAAACCATGAATACCTCTTGTGCCCCACCTCCTTCGTCCCGCCCTCCGCCCCCTCAGGGTTGCGCTCAGGAGCACTTTGGCATCACGCCCGACCTGACCACCATGGGCAAGGTCATCGGCGGCGGCCTGCCGGTGGGCGCGTACGGCGGCAAGAAGGAGATCATGAAGATGGTGGCGCCGGCGGGCCCCATGTACCAGGCGGGCACGCTGTCGGGCAACCCCATGGCCATGACGGCAGGTGAGAGGAGGGGGGTGGGGGTGCGAGTGGGGGCAAAGTTGCTAAGGGAGAAGGAGAGGACATTTAAGTTTATGAGTAATCGGGTGGGAGTGAGGGTGGCGTAAGAGGACGACGAAGATGGAAAAGAGGGTAAGAAGGGGGAAGGGTGTGTGCATGAGATGCAAAAAGAATCAGTATTGGCGGCTAGAGTCACTAACGCGTCGCCGTCAGTGGCGCGTCGGTGCTTGCGCTTGCCTACAAGGATGACAAGATGTATGTGTTACACACATCATCTTGCACGGCCGCCCTCCAGTCATGCCGCGCCTTGGTGGTGTTGCTGGGCGTCCGTGCACACAGTCACAATCATTCACACCCTGGAATGCGGCTGCTATTGCCCTTTCGTCCTTGCGCAACCTGTACTGTGCATAGCACAATTGCTGGGTATGGCATCCGGCATGTAACTGCATATAGGCTTGGTGTGTTTGAACGGACCTTCCTGACAAGCTTGAGGAGGTTGGGTTTTCCTGGATGGGGATGTAACGGCATGGGCAAGGGCGATGCAAGCAAGGAGCACTGCAAGGCTGGGCCCCTTTCGCCTCGGCAAGGGATCTTCTAAGAGGTGCCGCAGCGTGGCCAGCTGCTCTGTATTATTTCGTATCCCAAACCAACTCGCCGCCTCCTCACTCTTGCCGTCTCCCTTCTTCCTGCGGCCCCTCCTCCTCCCGCTCTCCAGGCATCAAGACGCTGGAGATCCTGGCCCGCCCCGGCGCCTACGAGTACCTGGAGAAGATCACCGCGCGCCTCATCGACGGCATCATGAGCGCGGCGCGGGAGCACGGGCACGAAATCACCGGCGGCAACATCAGTGGTAGGTAGCGTAGCGTTGGGGCCTGAGGAAGGGTCGGGGCAGGGAGTAGGTGGAGAGGGATGAAGTGTACGGATGCATGGCATTCAAGGCGTGAAAAGCATGGGGGCCGGAATTAGGACGGCGGGCCGGAAGCGGGTAGGGGAGAGGGAGTGGGGTGTTGGAAAAGTTCGGAAGCAGTCTGTGACTGAGCCATCCTGCCCTCCCCGCTGCTCTCCCTTCCCCCTCAGGCATGTTTGGCTTCTTCTTCTGCAAGGGCCCCGTGCACTGCTTCGAGGACGCCATGGCCGCCGACACCGCCAAGTTCGCTCGCTTCCACCGCGCCATGCTGGAGGAGGGTGTGTACCTGGCGCCCAGCCAGTTCGAGGCGGGCTTCACCAGCCTGGCGCACACGGACGAGGACGTGGACGCAACCATCGCCGCCGCACGTCGCGTGTTTGCGCGCATTTAAGGGTGTGGATGGAAGCCGCCGGCGCGCAGCTGCGAGCATGTAAAGGATACGAAGGCGGGTAGACGAAGTAGGGGAGGGAGGCTAGGGCAGGCAGAAGGTGGAAGTGGATGACATAGCGGCGCCGGATTCAGGTTTGACTCTGATTTGATAAGGGGCACACTGGTGGTAGTGCTGTCGTGCATGTGGGGGGTGCATGGGTCCAGGGGCAGGCCGGACCGTGCTGTCGGCAAAGATAGGCTGCCGTAGATGGGTTATATTCCATTACGCTGCGGACTCTGACATTGACTTAGGAGAGACTCAGAGAAGAGACTCGAACGAATGCGGGTTTCGCCGCTATGGCCTCATATTGACTGCAAATATCCCAGGGTTTGGCGGCGAAGCCTGCGCAAGTGCTGCCGGGCTTCCGCATGAGGAAATGCCTCCTGCCCTGAGGTTATGAGAAGCCATATTTGTACATTTACTGCTGTGTTTTAGTTTGTAGGACTGTCGGTGTAGGCCGCGGACGGTTCGCACATCGGAAGGCGGGTCCGAGTGCTGTGATTGGGGCAGTGGGGCTGGGATCGGCCCATAATTCAGTTTTGGCAACGTTTCCTTGCCAATCACAAATGTCTTTCCTCACGCCCTGGCGGGCCGTGTAAGCTAAAGACGCTGCAATTAGCAGTTCTCGTCGGGGCATACGGTGGTTGAATGCCGTGTTCCTTATGGGGGTGGGGCTGCCGGCAGCGGCTGCCAGGATCTGCCATCTGCTCTCCTGCCCAGGCTCCAGGGGCAGCCGGCAGCCAGCAACCACTCGCAAGCCGGCTGCCCTGCCCAGGCAGCTGTAGTCAAGGAATCTCCCCTGACATGCCTCCAGCTGCCCAGCAGCTGCCGCTGCCTCAAGATCTTTGGCTGTCAGGGCGCATCCCGAAGGCGCATGCTGCCATCTGAAGGTTGGGGAGGCTGCCGGAGGAAGCGGTCAGGCACAGCAGCTGCCGGCGCTGCTTCAGCGTCAGGCCCCGCATGGCGCCCGGACTGCCCCAAAGGCGTGCGGAGGAGAGGGCAGTAACAGCCGTACAATGGTGTACTGAGCACCATTTTAAGTGCGCAGCAATAGCTTTGTTGGTAGGGCGCCTGGTTAACACGACCTCGTTGGCCGGCAGGAGGTGCACGATCGACATCAAAACCTCATGCGGCAAATCGCGCGTGGTAGCTCTGGATGGCGGCTCATTTCAGCCATTTCATCAGTAATTGCTGCAACTGTTCAGGGTTGGTATGTATCTTCTGCCCTGATCAGTTGCACGAAGCGCCAGGTTGATGGAGCTTAGCCTTTGTTACCGTTTGCGGGCGCCACTGCTTGATGGTGCTCCAACCTAAGACACAGTATTCTGGGCGCAAATCGGAGCTTCTTGCATCTGCTCCAAAGGCCAGCACAGCAAGCGCACGGCAGCACGTGAAGCTGCTAGGCTTCTTCCTACCGTAAGGAGGTTGACTTGAGCGTCAATCCCCAGTCGAGAGAAGAGACATGTCTTAATGGTTGATGTACAGGTATGTGCATACCTGTACACACAGCCCCTGCATTGGAGCCTTTAAAGGCGCTTACTGTTCCCGCCACCTGAAACCACGGCTGCGAAACCAAGACCGGCTCGGGTCCCCGCAGGCTATGAGGATGACCATGTCTTTCAAATAGCCTTTGCTTGCTATCTACTGCAAAAGATTATCTGCTCCTCTTTAGCTGCGTACGAGCTAGACTGTAACGCCTGTCACAGCGCAGAACAGCCTGGCTCGCCTCTAGTCTCTTTAATGTACTGTGATAACACATTACTTCGAACAGTTTAAGGATGTTGCTTGAAAGCTGAGGTGTGTGCACGGCTTGTCCTGACTTCTGTCGCTCCGATGTTGCACAAGCTAGTACTTTTAACGTGACTTCAAGCCCACCGATGAGCACCTTCGGCTAAAAAGACATCAATTTGGTTGCATGATGCCTTCGTCCTCAAGCTGGTTAGGGCGCCTTCAGCCATGGCACGTCGTAATGCTGGCCGGCTTGGTCCGCGCGGGCCTAATCTGTTGGGCTGAGTACCAGGATCGATATCTGTCTGTGAAGTACACAGACATCGACTATGTCGTCTTCACGGATGCGGCTCGCTTCGTGGCGAAGGGAGACTCGCCTTACCGCCGCTCCACCTACCGTTACAGCCCCTTGCTAGCGTACCTTATGCTGCCCAACATCTGGCTGCACCCCGCTTTTGGAAAGGTATGGTGGAATGGGTCATGGGCACGGGTATCTTGTCGCGGCAGGGTTTGGAGCGGCGGATGGTTCCTACGGTGGTACCTAAGGTGTTTCTGATATGGGTCGGTTGGAAGCGGCCCTCCAGCAGTGATTGGCAAACGGGGATGTAACTCTGACTTCATCCTGATGTCTGGGATAGCATGCCAGGTTCCTGTACACTTTTGCTTGGCAGCCTGCCGCTGGCTCTGCTCCTGGAGCCGGGCCAACAGCAAGGTGTTTGCAAGGAAACGTCGTAAGAGAAGACAGGCTGGGTTCAAGCAGCTGCTCTCCCTTTGACTGCCGTACTTGGCTCCAAGGCATCCTTTGCCTTTACCCTTCCCCTCCCGCGCCTCTCCTCCATTCACCAACCCCTCGACCCCGTCCCTCGGTTCCCGGTATACTGATCAAACTGTTGCCTGATCAAACCGCTGCAGGTACTCTTCTCCGCCGCAGACCTGGTCGCTGCGGCACTCATGTCGTACATTCTACGTCGTACAGCCGCATCACCTTCCCTTCGCACCCTCGCACTGCTCGCCTGGCTGTTCAACCCCTACACCGCCACCATCTCGACTCGTGGCAGCTGCGACGTACTAAGCGTGCTGCTGCTGCTGAGCCTGCTGGTCTGCCTGCTGCAAGGCAGGACGCTGGCGGCCGGTGCCTTGTACGGCCTTGCCGTACACTTTCGGATCTACCCGGTCATCTACGGACCCGCAATCATGATGTTTCTGGCGCGGAGGGCGCTGGCGCTGCAGGGAGGGAGACAGGAGGACAATTTGCAAGGCCGGAGCCACCTAGGCGAGCAGCAGGGCGGCGGGAGACAGCAGCAACAGCTCTTGCTGTCGCGATCTGGGTTGGGTGGTTCTGGTACCACCAGTGCTCAGAGCAGTCCGAATAAAGGCTGCAAGGGAAGTGGGACGGCGGCAAAGGGGTTGGGCACGGGCGGCGAGCAATCGAATCGCGGCAGCAGAAGCAACAGCAGCTCGCCTAATGTACGATGGGACAGTGCCGCTGCTGCTGCTGCTGCAACAGGGGCGGCGGCAACGGCATCGCCTTCTAGGCCAGAGGAAGACGAAGGGGCGGCGGCGACGGCGGCTAAGACAGCCGCCGCGAAGGCGGTGGCACTACGGCGGAGTACGGCAATGGTGAATGCGTCGGCGAAGGCAAGAGCGGCGGCGGCGTGCAGTACGACACGATCTTGCGCACGGCTAGGCTTCGTACGTAAAGGAGTGGCAGCGTTGAGGCCCCTCACGCTCTTCTCGATCGCCTCCGCCGTGACCTTTACCCTGCTGGCTGCCGTGTTCTACGGACTGTACGGCAATGAGTTCCTGCATGAGTCCTTCCTACACCACATGACGCGTAAAGATCCGCGACACAACTTTTCGCCGTACTACTATCCCATCTACCTCGGCTACGGTGTCTCTGGAGGAGGCACCGGCGGCGGTAATGTCGCGGTCGGGGAGTTCGGCGGTGGTTTCGGAGGTGGTGTCCCAGGCAAGCAACCCCGTCACATGACGTCGGATGCTCCCTCAACGAAGGCTGGAAGCAGCAACGTTGGCGGCGGAAGAGGGACCTTACAGTTGCCGCCGTCACCGCCACCGCCGCCGCAAGCACCGGCAGCTCCAGAGCAGCCGCAACCGCCGCCTTCTTTAGCGCTGTTGCCGCCGTCGTCACAGCAGCAGCAGCACCACACCGACGGAGAAGGCCCTTCATTCGCACTGTCCTTTCGTCTTCCGCCCTGGGTTCTAAGTGCCTTTGCAACCGTACGGCAGTTGCTGGATGAGCCTTGGCGGTTGGCGCTGTTGCCGCAGGCCGCAGCGCTGTTGGCGGTTGCGACTCGCTTCCATGCGGACTTACCAACCGCCTGGCTGCTGCAGGTGTGTCAGGTCGACTGACCCATGGTTCACTATGGTCGTATACCGGTGGTACAATCGAGTAGTGTGGGAGGACGTCAAGGGCGAGGAGGGCGGACCATTCCTGCTGAACTCAAGCTCAATACCTAACCTGCATGACAAAGGCGCTTGACCTCCACCTCTGCTCTATTGTCCATATCTGAACCTCATTCCTCTCTTCACACATCCTCCTCACATGGGCCGCATCCCCCTGCCCCCTTCCCTTCCTTCTTCCTCCTCCCTCCTTCCTCCTCCCACCACCTCTCCCACCCCACCCCAGACCTGGTGCTTTGTAACGCTCAACAAAGTGGTCACCGCGCAGTACTTTGTGTGGTACCTCAGCCTGCTGCCGCTGGCGCTGCCCGCACTGGCGGCGCAGCGGGCGGTGTCGCGGGGCGCACTGGCGGCTGGTGCGGCGGTCTGGGTGGGCGCGCAGCTGCACTGGCTGGGCTGGGCTTACCTGCTGGAGATGAGGGTGAGAGGGGCGGGGACGGGAGCTGGTGAGGTGGAGTGAGGTGGGGAAGGGTGAGGGTTGATGAGGAGGACTGGGGGCAGGGAGAGCGGGGAGCGACATGGGCACAGGCTGTGTAGAGATGAGATGTAGTGTTGGTATGTTCCAAGGCTAGTGCTGAAGGGTTGATGGTTTGAAGCGGCTGTGGCTGTTGTCTTCGATGTGCGCGCTGGAGCCTTCCGGCTAGATCGACAGTCCCTTCTCACCCAATCCTCTTCCCCCAACCCCGTGTGTGCCTTACCTCATACGTAACCCCCTGACCCCGCCCTCAGGGTCTCTCCGTGCATCTGCCGCTGTGGGCCGCGGGGCTAGCCTTCCAGGCCGCCAACACCGCCCTCATCGCGCTACTCATGCGAGCGCTGCGGCCGCATTGCCGTACGCAGCAGCCCTGTCGTACGCTGCATGCGGCCAGCGGCGGCGATGAGCAGGTGCCGGGAACCTGCACAGGTGCATGCGGCGACATGGGTGGTGGTGGTGAAGATGGGTGCAGGGGCGGGGGTGTCATGAGCTTCCTACAGGCGAGCTTGGTGCTATCCCGGCCGGTACCGATGGCGGGCATCATGCTGGCAGATGTGAAGAAGCGACTTTAGCGTTCCTGGTGTAGATTCGAGTTTGTTAGAAACATGAGAGGGTGCAGCAGCGCTTCAGGCAGGCGAGCAGGCAGCAGGCAGGCATGTGCAGGATCATGTGTGCAGCAACCGATCATTGCAGCAGGGCGCACGTGCGGCGGAAGGAATAGTGTACCTGTAGGAAGCAGGAGCGGAGATATGTCGCAGGAGGGGGTTCATGGGATAGCCGGCGTACGGCTTGAACTGAGTTCCAATCTGTTTCCTCGATGCGCCATGTACGATACTCAACTTGCGCTGTTCTTATCCTGTACTGTGCCCCCATTCGTCTGATATTGGGCAACATAAAGAATGTTATAGCTATAGATTTGTAGCCTTCACAGGTAGATATGGCAGATAGGCATTGCATGGATTCCCCGAGTAATACTATGTGTCGTGAAGATGGAACATCAGCAGACCCCTGCTGGGGGTGCTGATGGGGTGTTACCGTTACTCGGCGCTCGGTCCTCAGCTGATCTGATCTGTTCCGTGCTGTACCTTGTACGTCATTACGTCCATTTTGCGCCGAACTGATGTAGCATACCAAGTGCGTGACGTACCTTGCAATACGGGCCCATTACCACTGCGATGTAGACCTCCCATAGGAAGGCAGACGTGAGAGCGGCCTATGGGCTATGCCCGAGACGTCCGGTATGGCAAGGGGCTTCAAAGAGAGTGTGCGTGAGTAGGGTACCTGTAGTGAATCCTGGTATCGCAACATGCATATACTTGTCGTGCGTACAAGATGCACTTGCGCGTACGAGCACCTTGACCCATCGGATCGGCTTGATGCCAAACTTTCCTCTTCTCCAACCTGGAACGCCTCCACACGTCATTACGCACCATGCATAGCCAAGACATTCTCTTGCTTCCACTCAACCGTCGTTCAACGAATCCGACGCCTACTCCAATCCCCGCGATAGAAACACCCGGGGAGCAACTCCCTCACAGGCACCCATCTTGCTACGCCGCATGGCACATCCGGAAACCTGCTGCATGCTCCTGCGTGTCATCCGTGTCAATTGCGAGCACCAGCATTTGCAAGGCCACGCCATGCCACATGCCACCCTCCACACTTGCGCAGAGGCCACTATGCGGCTTGACAGTTAGTCCGAGTTTCAATGAAACGAAAGCAATTAATGAAAAGAACACAAACAGCCCGCGCAAAAGTACCCGCACATCTCCGTATGCATTGGTGTCCGCATCCTAACTAAGATCCGCAACCCGGCGTCACTAGCAAACTAACAAACCGTCCATAACAATGCCTCGAAGTCCACAGCGCAACAGTAGGGCACCCAATTGTCTTCATCTAATGGGCCCCTGCAGGATCCCTGTTCTCCTGACAACAACCCTACCTGCTAGTCGAGCATGTGGTGGGTGTCTTCAGTACGGCAGAGGGAATCCTCATGTGTGCGAGGCATACCTGCAAAAACCCTCGCCGACCCACGGGTCTATCACTTACTTCCTCCATTGTGCCCCTGCCTACTATCCGCCCCAATTTCCCACTCCATCCCCCCCTCCTCAACTGGGGCTGCGTCTTCACTCCGATCCTTCCTCCTCCCCACCATCCTGCTCTGCCTGCCCCTCCTCACCCTCGCCACCGTCACCTTCCTCGCCCTCAGCCCCCTCCACGTCCTCCTCCTCTTCCTCCTCCCCATGCTGCTCCCCCTCGCCCTCCCGCCGCTGCTGCTGCGGGGCCCCGGCTGCGGCTCGCTGCTTGGCACGCTCTCGCTGCTGCCGCCGGCGTTGCGTGGCAGAAAGTGCCCGAGTACCGGTGCGCCGACGGCCCTCCCGTGCCTGACTCTGCTCCCCAACTGCCCTCTCGCCGGACCCAGCGGCAAGGCCCGCAGTGCTTCGCAGGCCTGGTGGCGACGGCGGCGACGGCGCCGCCGTCGTCGCCTCCGTCGGGCTGCCCGGAGCCCCTTGCCGTACCGAGGCTCCAGCCGCGGCCGCTGCGGCGGCGGCGGCGGCGGCCGCCGCCAGCGGCGCATGCGGCGGCAGCATGTGCAGCTGTGCTGCCACGTTACGGATCTGGGTCTCCAGCGAGCCCAGAGCGGACTCCCGGGAGCTAATGGCCCTCTCGCGAGCCTCCGCGGACGCCTCCCGCGCTTGTACGGCACTCTCCCTGGCGTCGAGGGCCGCCTCCCGCGCCGCCAGCGTCACCTGCCAGCCCGACATGACGCAGTGCTGCATCGCCGCCGCGGCAGTGGGACTGAGTGGCGGAGGCGGCGGCGACGCGGCCGCTGTTGTGGGTGGTGACGGATGTTGGATTGTTGGCAGGCCCGCCGCAGCTGCTGCGGAGTGGGGCCTTTGAGGCAGCAAGCCGCGTTGCTGGTAAGGGCTGCCGGCTCCAACGGGACTTCCCGCCCCGACGCCGATTGGGACCCCAGGCGGGGAAAAGTGACCCGTGGGTCGCATGGCAGGACTGGCTGGAAGGCTTGGGGGCTGGTGGTCTAGGTACGGGGGCATGTGCGCTGGGTGTGGTTGGTGCGGGGCCGGCAGGTGGTGTCGGGAAGACGTGTGGGGTGGCACGGGAGGAGCGGCGTAGGCTGAGGGACCAGACGGTTCGTACAGATGGTACGGTGCCCTCTTGGTCAGGGGCTCAGGGGGTACGGGCATTGTCGTTGTTGCTGCTGTTGCTGCTGCTGGGATAGCGGTGGGTCCGGTGGTGGTGGGGTGGGCGCCCGTGGGACTTTCGGTGAGGCCTCGGACGTCCGAGGATTGGAGCGATGGGCCATCCCCTGAAGCGCTTGAAGCCATGCTGGTTGCAAACTGTGTGCCGCAGTTAACTACTTAAAGTGGTGAAGTCACTCTGCCCTCTTGAGCTGTAGTACTTGCGTGTGCTTGCTGCACGGGTGGCGAGGCGAACGCCCCTCGGTGCCAGTTATCCTGCGGTTGCAAACGCAAGCAGGCGGAGAATGTTGAAGCAAGCAATCCAGTTGTTGTAATGGCTTAGACGCTCCATGTGAGTGGGTTGTCAAGTGATGCAAAGCGGCATGCGAGAGCGTCATGCTCCTGGTTGCATTCGAATGATGAATCGCCCGAGGCGCGGAGCTTGGTTTCGCCTGCCGGCCAACTAAAAGATGAAATAAGCATTGTTGTGGACAACCTGGGTTAGGAGTCATGTAAGCCGCCAGCAGCCGCCATGCGTAGTGCTTTTGGCCCGTGCCTATAGGCGGAGACACAAAGGACACCGGTACTCACGCCAGCAGCTTACCTTCGTCCTTAGCAGCAAGGAAAGCCGCGAACGCGCACTTCAGGACTAAAGTAAACAGCTAACATGAAACAGCTAATGTGCGAAACGGAAAAGTCGAGAGTCCTGCAGTTCTTGCTGGCGCATTGCAGAGTGCCCGCGGGCCTTCGTCAGCTGACATCATTACAAACAATTAAACGGCTATCGCACGTGATCAAGCGCTTCCTACTGAAGCGTTTAATACCCTATGGTGCAACGACTTCCACGCTGCTGGAGAATGGAAAGCCCATCGAGCGATCGAGCGCAATCGGTCCCATGTCCCCCGGGTGCAGAGTTCATGCTGCTCATAGCATGCTTTCCGACGTTCCCCAAAGCGAACAGTCACACAAAGCATACTTTGTCAAACCTATTGCGGAGCAACAGCGAATTGCGAAGAGTTTTCGGTGGTTTGCCTTTCTGCTCCGTAGGCGAACCGGGACACAAGCGCACAAGAGCCGAACGTGCCCACCCTAACAAAGCTGAGGACACATTAACGAAGACATGCAGCCAAGATTTAACATGGAGGCTTGGTAACTCCTGGTCCTGTATCCGGTGCTGAACCATGGGTCACGAAGTTTGCATGAGGGTCGCTCTCCTGTCTGCCTGCACATTATAGAACTGGAACTGTTGCTTGGTGAAACCGGTAACGCTTCCTTGTGTGTATCCAAGTTCCCAAAACGTCGTACATTCTTACAGATCGTGCTTAGGATTGCTGGCCAAACGGCATTTCCAGAGCGCAATCCTGCTTTGTCATGCCCGCAAGCCAAGGATCGGGCTACCATAACAATTCACTTCCTCCGCTGTCATCCGCCAACCGCCCGCATCACAGCTAGAATTTGTACGTTGCCAGGGCCTCCCGGCCTGCCAGCGGCATCCCCCAGTCCGGCATGACCCCGCATGAGCAATCCCGCAGTCCCAGTCATCATCTAACGGCACTGAACCAAGCGTTGTCTTCTCAAGTAGTGGACCTTCCGGGTCATTCAGTGGTGAGTTAGGGTGAGCATGCACGAAGGAACACTGCACACACTCGTAAGCGACACCTCCTGCCGTACTTTTACTAATCATTGTGGATCAAACAATCACACCTACCCAATCCGTAACCCCAGTAGTATCTACCCCCCAGTACGCCCTGCCACGCACGCACGCTAGCTCTATCGGATGCAAGAAAACTAGACCCCAGAACAAAGCCCACCAACAGCCCAAGATCCGTCCGCCTTGCTCCACATGAGAAGCGCCCTTGAAATTAACCAATTCTCCCTCTGCGCAGCCCTCAAAATGAGGTCTGCATCATTCTACTTGACGTCCACCAGCTCAACATCGAACTCGAGGGTGGCGTGGGGCGGGATGGTGCCCTTGACGCCGCTGGTGCCGTACGCGAGCTGCGGCGGAATGACCAGCCGGCGCTTGTCGCCCACGCGCATGCCCTCCACGCCCAGGTCCCAGCCCTTGATCACCTCGCCCACGCCTGCGATGTATGGTGGTTGTGGAGGTGGTGATGGAGGTTATGGCATAGGTTGGCAAGAACCGAGACGAGGCGCGATTGCGAGGAACCGAGGGCCTAAACCGAGGAGCTAAATGTGCCCCCAAGTGCATATACCTGCTACCTAGGGTCATACATACCAGGGTCAAGACTGTCAACCACGGGAGAAAGCGGGCACACTTCCACAACCGACCCGGGGCCACAAGCTCACCTAGCCGGAACTGGAAGGGCTTGTTGCCGCTCTTGTCAAACACCTTTCCGTTGGACTTGAGGCGGCCCGTGTAGCGCACATGCACCTTGCTGCCGGGCTTCGCAAGCTTGCCGTTAGGGGTCCCGTACGACACCTCCTCAATCTGCACAAATAGCAAGTGTTCGGTACGGCAGGGAACGGTACGGCATAAATACGGAGGCAAGTACCCAAGTACACAATACAGTACAACGAGCTGACGGTTAGCGCAGAAAGGCACGTCTACTATGGCGGCGCAACCCTATATGCCGTGTCCCACAAGCTATCATAACGACCGCAACTCGCAAGCCCGCAAGCAGCAACCCACCTCAAAGCCGTTGGGGTGACGGCGAATGTTCTTCTTGCCCGCCTTGCCTGCCTCCTGCTTAGCCTCCTGCTTCTGCTTCTGCTCCTGCTTGACCTCCTGCTTCTGCTGCTTCACCTCCGACTTGGGCTCCTTCTTGGTCGACTTGGGCTCCTCCTTGGGCTGCTGCTGCTGCTTGGCTTCCGGCTTGGGAGTCTCGGCGGGCTTAGCGGCCGGCTGCGGCTGCTCCTGCCTGCAGGCACGCAAAGACACCAATTGCAGCTCTGAACGGCACATCAGAGCTGGACCAGGACCTCGGCGGGACGTGCTGGCCTCAGCTGTGAGGCCGTGACCCGCTGACCTGCCTTCCCCATGCAATCTGACCCCTCCCCATGCGCACTTTCGCACCACCCATCCCATCGCATGCATGGCACATGCTTCTTGGCATACCTCCCGACACACAATACCACCACCGCCACTCACCCCACGGCCTGCTTCTTCTTGGCTGGCTGCTCCGCCTTGGCAGCGGTTCCGTTGGCCGCCGGCGACTCCGCGGGGCGCTTGCCGCCAGCAGCCGTGGCCTGCTTGGAGCCCTGCTTGGAGCCCACCGAGGTACAGGATCGGTGTTGTTAGCCCAGGGCGTGACTCAGGTAAGAAGCACAGGCTTGGGGCACCAACGTACAGTGGCAGTGGGGATTGACACACGCAGAGTAGCGCATACGTGAGAGCCACAGGCGTCGAAGGCAGCATAGCGTTTCCCTTGCTATTTAGAATGGAAGGCTCCTGCACTTAAAGAGCACCCAACCCACCTTCTTCGGGGCTGGCGTCTCCTTCTCCTCCTCCTCCTCATCCTCTCCCTCGGTGTTCAGGTCCGCGTTGGCCTCCTCCATGTCCTCGTCCTCCTTCTTTCCCTGTGCAGGACAAACGGGCGCGGCGACAAAGTGGTAAAGCGAGGAAGAGGAACGACACCTACATGCGAGCAGCTCCCCGCACCCACCCATGCCTCGCAGGGTCCTCTTGACCCGTGCCCCCTCCCTTGCCCCTCACCTTCTTCCCCGCCTTCTTCTCCTCCTTGCCGGCCTTCGGCTTGCCCTCCTCATCGAGCTCCTCAATCACCACGCTGGGCTTCTTCCGCCGCGGCCCGCTCACCACAGGGAACCCAAACATCTCCTCGTCGAGGTCGCCCTCCAGGTCATCATCTTCGTCCTCGTCCTCGTCTTCGTCCTCATCCTCGTCGTCCTCATCGTCCTGTACAGGAAAGCCGGTTTTGGTGCGTGCCGTACATGACGTGGCGATTGATGCAGTTTGTACGAGGCACCCCCTCTACAAGGCCCACGTACTTTATCTACGGGTACAACATGAACGAGCATGCAGCCAAAGCTGACCTGGGTCGGCATCTCCACAACAACCCAAAACCCGCATCCCTGACCCACATCCCTGACCCACATCCCTGACCCACATGCCTGACCCACATCCCTGATCCGGACCCCTGACCCACATCCCTGACCCACCTCCTCGTCCTCATCCTCATCCTCATCATCCTCGTCATCGTCATCATCCAGGTCATCATTTAGCGGGAAACCAATCGCGCGCTGCCCATACTCATCATCCTCGTCCTCGCCCTCCTCGCCCTCATCATCATCGTCAATGTTCTGTTAGGAGAGGTTACACGTACGGGACGGCTGTGGGAGGCGTGTGTGCGCAACATGATATCCTGCACTATGCTACTGCTTTAACAGAGCGCGATGCGTCCTGAAGTTGTCTAGGTTACAGCTACAGCACGTTCGCAGTCCCCTACCTGAGGCGGCGAGTAGTACCCAGTCAAATGCACGGTGTGCTCGCCAATCACCGAGAACTCCGAGTACTGCGAGGCGAACGGATGTAAGACGTCAAACGGCGGGAATAGGGTAAGACGGTGATCCCGGGCTTAGCGCGAGGGAAGAGGGCGGTGCAGGACGTAGCAAAACGGGATAAAAACCTGCAGCTATCAGAGGGAGTACAGCATTGCAGCAATTCCTAAATACATTGAAAAAGCTACGGACTGTTCATCCGCCTTATTTTCCGGCAACAGTCCGCAGCGAGCAACAACGCACCTGAGAGAAGAACAAGTCCAGAGCCGCAGTGTCCACACGCCCAGCGGTTAGGGTGCAGAGGATGATGGGGTCCTCGTCTGTGTCCACCTTGACAGCGACGGCAACGCGCTTTCCCTCTGGCACAGTGGGCTCGAGCGCGGCTTGTGACAGATGCAAGTTCCAGTCCTCCGGCGGCGGCACAAAGGCATGTGGCTTGCCAGGTTTAAGAACAGCACCCCAGAATGCCATCTTGGCTCAGGTTAGTCAGGCTGCTGGGCTTAAGCCGCCGGTAAAGGTCTGGATGGATCTGTAGGTGCGGCGGGCGCAAGGGCCTGAGCCAAATGTTCTTCAAGAGTAGTTCAAAATGGAATTATACAACTACTTATATATATACTGGTAAGCGCAACTGTTTCTGGCGCGCAATCTTTTGTCACGGAGCCTACCAACCGTCGGCCTGGTTTTGAGTCCCAACTCGCATATGGACCTAAACTCAGTGCCCAAGCTACTAAATGCACCAAATGATGTAGATACCCAAATAGCCAGATTCCATATGTTCCGGAGCGTATACTCCGTACATCCAGCAGAAGAGGAAGCGGCACCGGCGGATTAATATCGCCTTGTGTTATGCACGTTGTTTAATTACATACTTTGTCTTTATTCTAGTTAGCCTGTATAGTTGCTCGTAAGATTTGTTAAACAAAGCCAAGTGCCGCTTCGTTGGTTCGGGTAGACAAGGATCATGTCGCCCTGTTGCACCCGTTGGGGCAAATCATCGAGCGAAGCGGTGAGGATTATATGCTGTTGGGCCTTGCTATCCTTGAACCGCGTCGTTGATAGCATTCCAGCAAGCTTAGGATGCGCCTAGTCGTTTGTTCCACAAATGGACATACTTCCCAACCATAGGATCAAGCGCTGCTTTGGGATCCGCCTGATCTGTCTGGGTGGCTGGACAAGGAAGGTGAGCGCTTGTCTTCGTGCCCCTTCCACTCCCCACTCAAACCATGCGGACGCCAGGATCACACTGTTCGGGATTAGCTTCATGCTTAAACCGCATACCTGCGCTTCCACAGGGCGCAAGAACGCAAACTGGAAGCGACGGTTCTTCGTGTTGAAGGTAGAGGCCCATGCCAGGGGTCGCGACGTATCATGCCTTTTACATAGGAAAATTGCAGTGCACATGAAAGCCTTCTCAGCAGCTGTGAACCTTACAGGCTCTTACTGTTGTACCTTGCGAACCGGTTCATATAAAGAAGTCGCATACAGAAGTCGCATCGTCACGCCAATGACCATGCTCGATGGTTCACACCAGCCGAAGCCGTATCCTCACGAGACACCTGCTTGCCTTCTTCAGGGCAGCAACTTCTTTTGGTTCGATGGCCAAGGAGCTTCCAAGCCACGCGGTTTCATACCTTTGGAGGGCGCAACCATTACATGCCGCACGGTTGTCAACCGTAACGGGGAAAAGCCGTACGCTGTCAACATCCAACTGCCAGTTCAGGCATACGACAGTTGCAGCCGTCAGCAGCTGACGGTTGCTGCAATTAGTGATGAGCTGCAGGTGTGTTGCTGTCGTACGGCACGTGTTCAATCAACTGCCGAGTACGTCCCAGCTGTACCACAAGCGTGTCGGTGGACCACCAGAAAAGAGTGCCGTACATACGTCACAACGGCTGCTTGTCACCTTACGTCTACGTGTCTCGCTCCTACCTGTTGTTGCACTGCTACCGGTATATGCTGCTTCCCATCCTTGCACATCCGGCTTCCCTGTGCCCTTCTGCTTGCTACAGATGCTGTGGCACCGAGCCCTAACCCAAGCCTCCATTCCACGACCCGAATTGCTGGCGCGCTTGCACCAGGAGGGAAGGTAAGCTGGTAGGAAGCTGGTAGCAGGGAAGGTACGCTGCCAGGATCCGTTCGTACGGTAAGTTCAACATATCCTGCACAGGAAGCCCAAGCAAATCAATGGCATCAACTGCAACCGTCTGCCACATCCTTGCCGACGGTGAAACGACGGCGAACTACACTGCCTAATCCCTTAGCTACGAACTTACAGCCCTCCGCTTCTCCAACAACATGACTCAAATCATTGTACATGCCATGTTAACCTGCCGCACGCAGGCTCGATGAGGTCACCGGCGGGCGGTTGACCGTCGCCTCCGCACCGCCCGCCCCTTTCGAGTCCACATGGCCCGGCCTGGCCCCGCACAGCCACCAGCGCTTCCATTCCGTGGCTGCCGTACAAACCACTGCACCGCTCGCACCCCTCATCGCCGGCGGAGGCGGCGAGGGCTACCATGCAAGCCTATCATTCAGGCCGGCGGCACCAGCAGCTGCCACCGCTGCCAGTGCTGCTGGCGGAGGCGTCAACGGCAGCCGGGGCCTGGATCGTGGATCCCGGACGCCGTTCATGGAGGAGCAAAACGACAGCGCTTCCGCCACGTCGTACGCGTCCGAGCCTGCCGTACAGCTGCGTCGCATGACGGCCGCCGTCGGAGCGCATCGTCAGCTAGCTAGCAAGTCAGAGATGCCACAGCGCCACGGCTACGACGCCCATGGCGGTGCCGTACGAAGCCACAGGGGCCGCAGCAGGGACGACGGCGGCGGCCGCGTGCCGTACGCTGACTGCGCCGAGGGAGCTCCCCTCCTCGGAAACTGCGGTGGCGGCGGCGGCAGCAGTGGCGGAAGCGACGACGTCGGCGGTGGTCACTGGGATAACGCCGTTCGGCGCAACACCACTAACAGCCGCCTCGGCGGCGGCGGCGGCGGCGGCGACGACGGCGAGGGGCGGCGACGCGACAGGTCCAGCACTTATGGTGAGGGGGCTGGCGGTGCGCGGCGTGAGTCAGGTACCGGGCCCCGCGGCCGCAGCCCTTCCATGGGTAGCCGCCGCGGCGGCGATAACCGTAAGCCCGCCGACCAGGACGACAGCAATGACGAGTCGTACGACCGTTACGGCGCGGGAAATGACCCACGGGACTCTCGTCGGCCCTCGGCAGCGATGCATCGCAGCCATTCTTCCTCCAAGCCTCGGCGGTCGTCTGCCTCGCCGCCGCACCGGCGCTCATTCACGGATGCGAACGGTAGCGGCGGCGGCGGCGGCGAGCGACGGAGCCAGCGACGTTCATCGTACGCTGGACGCGGTAGAGGTGAGGTACCGCCTTCGCCGTCGCGTCGTCGAGGCGACGCAGACGGCAGCGTAACCGGCAGCGGCACCGGAAGCCTTTTGGATGCATACTTGGAGCAGCAGGCGCCCCTGGCGTCGTCGGCAGGCCACCGTACGGCCGGTAGTGCCGATGAGTACGGCAGCGCGTCTGACTGCGGCGGAGGCGGACGTGGCGGACGGGATGGCGATCATCAGCGTGATCGTCGTACTGGCGGCGGCGGCGGCAGATCTTCAGCGCGCCCCAGTTCAGCCGTCGCCAACAGCAGCAACCAGCATGGAGACAACGGCGCCGGTAGGAGGTCGGTCAGCCCCAACACACGTGGGTCCGTGTCGTGGGCAACGAAGCCACAGCTGCTGGCAGACCCACGGGTCAGTCAGAAGCAAAGCCGCAGCAGCAGCGCTGTCCCCGCCGCCGCCGCCGCTCCCAGCAGCCATGGCAGTTCCGCAGGCGCCGGTCGGGGTGGCGGCAGCACCGCCGGCTCTACTTCCTCCGCGTCCGCACAACCTGCCCGTGCGTCAGGCACGCCTGCAGGTGCCCCGCCCACTTCCTCACAACGCCCCAGCCGTGCCGTACAGCACGGCCCAACGGCAGGTGGCGAATCTCCGCATGTGGATTCGGTTTCAGAGCAGCAGATGGCGATGGTACGCAACAAGAGCTATGTCGCCTCGCTAGAATCTCAGATCTCGGGGCTGCAGCAATCCGTTGCGACCGTCCAAGCTGTCCTGGTGGACATGCACACCACGCAACAGCAGCAAGCGGCCGTCCAGGTTCAGGCCCAGGCTCAAGCGCAGCTACAGCAGCTAGCCCAGGCGCAAGCTCAGGCGCAGATGCAGCTGCAGCAGCTGCAAGTGGCGGCGGCGGAGGCGCGCGCTTCCGCCATGTTGCAGCAACAGCAACAGCAAATCGCTGCTTCACTCTCGCGACAGATGAGTCAGACGGGCGCAGCGGGTATCCGTGCAACTGGGCTATCCGACGCGCAGACACGCGAGCGCAGCATGGGGAGCATTGCCGCGAATGCGGATACCCCGCCCAAGGCGGCCGCAGGCGCTGCAGCAACGGCGGCGGCCGCCGCTGCCGCACGAGAGCAGGAACGTGCCGCGCTCGTCCAAATGCAGCATACGTTGTTGCGCATGTTGCCTGTCGTACAGCAGGAAGGCGAACCGTCGACGCCGGCGGCGACTGCGCATTACTCGGGTCATGACGCCGCGACCCCGACGGGATACGAGGCGGCCTGGCATAACGCCGTCGCTGACGCTGCTGCCAGCGTCTACTCTGGAAGCGCTGGCGGCGGTAGCTCTGTGAACGCGCCGTACTATGCTCCGGCGGTAAAAACATCTGCGCCGCCGCCACCGCCGCCGCCGCCGCCGCCGGCACTACGTACAATGACGCCGCCTACACCGCCGATGCCGTTCGCTAACCCAGCCGCTGCGCCGCAGCCGCCGGCCCAGGGCCGAGCCCCGCCACCTATCGACCTGCATGCAGAGCTACTGGACCAAATCCGAAACCAGGCGGAGTTCAAATTCAAGAACCATGTACGGCGGGAGTCCTTGGCGCCTGTGACAGCGGCTCCTGACGCTCGTCCGTACTACCATCCATCGTCTCCGTACTATGAGGCGCACGCTTCATACAATGCTGGTGGGTGCTTGGCTAACCTATACAAAACTTCCAAAGCCACCTTCCAAAGCTACCTTGTGGTGCAAGGGGCTGTATCATGTGTAGCTTAGAGGAATGTAATATAGTCACGGTAGCCTGTTACCGGTAACACCTTGTTAGCCCGGCCTAGCAATGCGATATCACTATGGCCACACGCGTCTGTTGCCTGTATCCAGACACTGCCCGTTTGCTACCGTCAACCAAACTGTTCAATCCTGTGGTCATTCCGCCCTTCCCCAGGTGCCCCCTTGCAGGTCTAGATGACGGGGCCGCGATCTCGCCAACCGCCGCCGGGGTCACCTCACCCGCACTACATGCAGAGACGGCGGCCCTGCCGATGGCCTCCGGCTGGACCCCCTCAGCCGCCTCCGCCGTTGCAGCCGCCGCCGCGGCGACAGCAGCGGCCGGGAAGCCTCCCTTAGGCCCATCCGCCCCGTCTGGACTGCCGTACAGCCTGCCCCTGCCACCGCCGCCGGGTCATGTCCCAAGGCCGCCATCCGTTGCAATCTCAGCCGTGTCGGAAGCTGCCAGTCGCCCTGGGTCCGTGTCTTCTCGAAGCAACCCGGCATTCCAAGCGGCCATGGCGGCAGCGCAAAAAGCAGTGGCGGCAAAGGTGGCGGCAGCGGCTTGTACGGCACCGGGGACGCCGCCGAGTCGCGCCCCGTCCATGGGCTCCTTCGCCCGAGGAATGCAGCGGGGACCGCCCGGGTCGGTTTCGGATTACTCCAGGGACAGGCGGCAAAACAGCAGTCCGGCGTACGGCAGCGTGTACGAAGCGCCGGTTGTCGTACCCGTGATGGCGGAGGGGCAGTACACGCCGGCTGTACGGGAGGCGCTGACGAGTGGGCTGGCGGCTTGGCGGTCGCGGTACAGCTCGTCTTCTTCGCAGCCGCCTAGCGAAAAGTCTATGACCGTTTCGGGTCGATCGTAGATTGTTTGCATTAATTGCGGGTGGGGTTCAGGTGGGGTTTATTACGGTTTGTACTGAGACTGTGACCTAGGTGTGGCTTCGTGCCTAGCACACGCCTTCCTATTGCAATAAAAGTATATACTCCGACTGCAATGTCGGGTTTCTTTCCTCGCTTTGCCGTACCTGCATGCACTGCACACGGGAGGCGCATGCTTGTGGGGCGGTTGGGTGTGTTCGGTTACGATACGGTTGGTGGTTGGTAGGGCCGCTTGCCACTGCCGCGGAGGTGCATTGCGACCACTTCTGAATTACCATTTAGGGGAAGATTCTTCAAGGTGGAAAGGATCGCATGGAGCACATTAGGAGTCCGCACATTACAGAAGAGGTACGGTAACCCACCTAACCTTCGGTTGCAAGCACTTAGAACGGAAGTCTGGAGGCGAGATAACCACGTCGTTAGGCCTTCTGAGGCCATGTGCAGCTGTTTGCCCCTTGTATAGTAACAACGTATGTAAGAAGGGGGCACTAGTTGACGTATCGGCAGCGTTTCGTTGCTGACTGCTGCTACCTTGTGTGGGGGACGGTGGCGTCTTGACATACACGCATGCCCTCGCCTGTGCGGCTTGTGCACGGCAACATGCCTTGTTTTCTCGTGCTACGAGACGGAGACTTATTACGGTACTTAGGTACGCGCGGAAGACGTGCGTACGAATGAATAGTCATATAATCCGTCTGAGACATGACGAACGTGGGGTGCCGGAGGACTCGACGAGGATGCGATAATAGCCCGTACGTGAGCAGGGGCGCGCTGGCCCCGTTAGGCCAGCAGGCAGGAAGCATGGGAAGCTGGTCGTGGTGCGTCGAGGGGGCAGTGGCTGTGGTATGGAGAGATGTGTGGAGATCTGTGTGACATTGGACACGTGCCCGTACTGCAATGTGTGAAATGCCGTATTGTACGACGGTTTGTTGCGGACCACAGGAAGAACGATGGGCGCACATGCGGGTTTTTGCGCGTTGAGGTGACTTCTGTCCTGTTGGTAGGTGCTCGGAAGCATTGACTGCATGTTGGTACAGGTTGCACCCGTCGAGGTTACAGATTGTATTGGCAGTCCCAGTTAATGGCCGGGAAACGCAGGCCGGTTCAGGAATGTGGGAGCAGGTCTTACAAGGGTGAACCCCAGGATGCACCCCTTCCCGCATGCTCGAAAAGTGGACGCCCTATCGCGTTTATGATTATTGCGCTGCGCTAATGGTCTATAGCTTGTTTAGCTGCGCGCTGCTCGATACCGGTATATGATATGGCAGGGTAAGGTGTGCCGAGGGGCCCGCGCATCATAGAACATTTTGACGACAATTGGCGACAGAACAACAACGCACAAAACTCTCCGTTTACAAAGCTCACCCCGCTCGGACGCAATTGCAATACTGGCAGCAGTCGCAATAACCATTGCAGCCAGCAACGGACCTATCTAAGTAGTGTTCCATCTGCACGCATTGCTTCATAAGCCCCGTTGGCCAATAGAAATCCCCATTCACAGCACACAACCACAGCGCTCACAGTCTTCAATGACGCCAGGACGCTGCGTGTCAAGGTTACTCCGCACGAATGCGCGCAGAAGGGCGTACAGCAACCCAAAGCCCCACGTCTTGCGGCACGTGAATGCATGTGATTGCAATTGGGGCTATGACGCTGTGTCAGGGCGGTTAGAATTCCACCGTAAAGGTCTAACAACGCCAGCGCTGCCCGTATGTAGTCTATTGCTCAAGGAAAAAACTTGCCCTTTCACCGGTTGGATACCGGTAAGTGGATCCGAAGACCCCATCCCAAGTACTTGGCGTGACACGGTGTATCACACTAGCGGAATATCATGTGCTCATGTCGCGTCATCAGTACCTCTTAAAGACGCCAGTCTGGATTGCCCCCCCATCATGGGTCGCAGTGAGACAATACAAGTTGGCCCCTGGCAGTCACTACAAGATATATATACAAACCCAACATGCCATCATACGTTGCATTATCCAAAGAGATAAAAATGGACCCCGCTGATCACCAGTGGCACATCTTGCCTCCGCCCTCCTAAACCCCCATGCCCTCCAAAGCCTTCATAAGTGCCCGTCCTATCCTGTTCACAGCGCAAACCCCAGCTGGCATGCAAGAAGAGACCCCCCCGCTCCCTTCCATCTGCATTTCCACCCGCAGTAATCACGTCTCGGCCGTCCTCTAACACGCCACATCCAACTTCATCCCACCCATGCCACATACCAGCTGAAGCCATTACCTGATCGCAAACACACTCACAATCACCCCGCCTAGTTGGCGCTGCGCCTCTGCATCCTCCCTAAACACCCCACCCGTGATTCTCCCTAACCCACCCCAAAACCTTGGCGTCAATGCCAAGCAGCACGGTAAACGCTCCCAGGAGTCCGCTTCAACAGCGGAGACCCCAACAGTTGCCCACTACCTCTCCCTGCAGCCCCCACCGCATCCACCCCGCCCCCAGGACCCCGCCCCGCCCCACCCCTTACTGGACTCCCCGCTGCGCGCTCGGCTCCCGATGCAGAGAAAGCCGCTGATGAGCTGACCCGGTACAACGGATTCATCGCCGGAACGCTGCCAGGACCTGCCCTAGGGCCGCGCTCGCCAGGCTCGCTAACCCCGCCGCTGCCGCTGCCGGCGCTACCATTGTCCCGCGAGTGGGGCCCCAAGCCTGCAGCTGAGCGATGCAGGCTGCCGGCGTGCGCGTGCGAAGGCGACCGGTAGGCTCCGCCGGTAAAGGTGCTGGCGCCGGCGAGGGCCGGCGGCACTGCCATGGCTGCGGATGCGGTGGGAGCAGGAGCGGTGGTGGCGCTTGCCGTCCGCACGGCAGCTGGAGGCACCATGCCGTAGGGGCCACTCGTGCCCGCGCCGGTGTAAACCGCACCAGGTGCAGTTGTGGATCCTGTAGCTGCTGCTGCTGCTGCTGCTGCTGCTGCTGCAGTTGATGTGGCGGCGACTGCGGTGGTTGAGGGGGTTGCAGAGCCCGGGGTGGTGTGGTGGCCCCCTGGGAAGCTGTACGTGGCCTGCGGCATTCGGCTTGTCATGGCAACGCGCGCTGCCGCATTTGCTGCGGCGTTAAAGTTTGCAGACGGGGAGGAGGCGGGGGACATCGTGCTTCCGGCGGTTGAACGCATTGTTGCCGTCGTTGACTTGCCATGAAGCCCATGTTGACGTGCTGCAGGTGAGCGCGGGCTGCCTGGCAAACGTCCCGCAGTTGCAGCTGCTGCCGCTGCTGGCCCCGCCAGCATTGCCGCCCCGGCGGCCAGCACAGGCGCACCAACGCTGTTCGCCCCACTCCCTGCGGAAGCCGGCCCTCCAACTGCAGCAACAGATGCAACGGCAGGAGCTCCATACAAGTCTGCGGCAGAGGCTGTTGCTGCGGCTTGAGGGTATAAACCGCCGTACGGCAGACCCAAACCACCCGCCAACAGCCCATGCGGCGGTGGGTACCCGGCAGGAACCCCAGCTAGTACTGCAGTCGGTTGGGCAGCAGCCCTAAGCGACCCATGGGTCTGCTGTGGAGCTTTCGCCCCGCCTTGGCTCGAGGCGCCTGTCGGGGCCGCCGGCCATGCCGTCTTTGCCGCAGCGGCATGGGCAGTGGCGGCAGCGCCAGCGGTGGCCGAGGCAGCATTGGTTACCCCTGTTGCTGTAGTCGGCATGGGCGGCGGCCATCCCAGGGCTGACAGCGACGATGCCTCCACTGATGCGGTCAGCAAGGCGGCTCGCATGGTGGCACTGTACATGGGAGTGGCTACTGAAGACGAGGTGGGAGTTGCAAGGAAGCTTGACGCCAGGCGGTCGTGTGTGGAACCGGCAGCGGCTGCGCCGGCGGCGCCGCCACTTGCAACCGAGTCAAGGCCGCCGGTCGAGGGCATGCGGAGAAAGTCCTGGATGTGGATGCTGACGGTTGGTGTGAGCGGTGTAAGAGCCGTGGAGCCTGCAGGACTGAGGGCAGCATGAACCGAACCCGACTCTTCAGCAGCGGTGGCTGATACGGGTTCCCAAGCAGGTCTGGGAGCTGCGACCTCCGTCACCGCAGACTTCCACCCTCCAATAATGGCATCAACCTGCGCCGCTGCGGACTGCGGCGGGTGCAGCAATGGGCGCACGGGCGCATTTGCGCCAGGCGACATGGGCGCATGGCGCCAGTGGGTAGCGGCATTGGCTGGCTGTGTGGGAACACCCGACATGGGTGATCGCGGCAAGGTCGAGGAAAGCGGTCTTGAGCTGGGCGCGCTTCCGCCAGTGGAGGCGGCTGCGGCTGCCGTTGCGGCGGCCCTGCCGACAAAGCCGGCGGCCCGAGGAGACGCAAGGCTGATGGAACTACCTACGCTACAAGCGCCAGGGCTTACAGGTCCCTGGTAGCCGCCGGGAGAGGTTGCAGACCCATAGCCCAGACCGTGGTAAACGCCGGTATTCGCTGCATGATACGCCCCCTCATGCGGCCGGCGGTCGTGCTGCTGGAGGCTGCGGCTTGATCGCAACTCGCGCCTGGCGCCCGTCGCCACCGTCATATCCAAGCCGAGGCCCAAGCCCAGGCCCATGTCTAAGCCTCGACCCATGGGTCGCTGTTCCTGCGGTGGGGTGGGATTGACGCTGCATCCTCCGAACGTGTGCCCGTGGCTGACTCCGTGATCCGGAAGGGCTGGGTTGGGGTGCATACCGGCTGCGGCGCGACTGTGCGGGAACGAGAGCGAGGGGTTGAGTACGCGTTGCCCCGCCTGCGGGTGGTAAGCAGTAGCAGGAGCTCCACCGTGTCGACTGTCGTACCCGCCGGTGCTGGCGAATTGCCTCATAGCAATGTCAGCCCCTGGAGTGCAGCCGCTATCGGTCGCAGCGCCGGCGCCAGCCCCGGCCTCAAAGCTCCAGGCGGCTTGCACCTGGCCTGCTGTGCCTGTCAGAGTGCCCAACGCATGCGCGCCCGGCATGGCTGCCCCACCATGCGAGGAGGCCTGCACTGCAGAGCTGGGCTCGTCAACCGGCCAGTCTATGCCCAATCTGGCGCCTGAGCTACCAATATCACCGCCGCTGCCGCCCAGGGTCCCGCCAGGGGCGGTGCGTGAAGCGCCGGCTGCGCTGTCGTGAGACCATCGCTCTCCCGCATCCCCAAGCACCGCCAGCAGCTCCGGGGCATCCGCAGCGGCATGTATGCTCTGCACGCCATGCTTGACACTGAGCTCACACGCCAGCAGACCCGCAGAGCCGCTAGCTTCCGCCCTGACCTGCTGAGCCCCCGCCGCTACAGCGCCGCTAAGCTCCTGCTCATCTCTCGCGTCATCGCTCGATTCCAGGTTCGCATGCGGGCTCAGCGTCACGCTCTCAGTGCCGGGTATCGCATCCACCGACGGCGAAGGCGCCCCCGCTGCTGTTGTTGAAACGGCTGACCTGTTGACGGCGAGTGCGGTGTTGCTACAGGCGCCGCCGCCACCTGCGACGCTGCCGTTGTCACCGTTTGCCTCGCGTACAGCAGCACGGATCTCGCTGAGCGCATTGACGTTGAGGAGGTACGATAGTGTCGGCATCTGCTCGCCCTCGCCTGCCTCCGCTGCCTCTGATGTGCTCGCTGGCTGGGTCGTGCTCGACGCTGACGCATCCGCCGCCACCGGTGCTGCTGCTTCCCGCCCCTTGACAGCGACAACGCTGGCTGCTTCCGCACCTGCGCCATCAGCTGCCGCTAACCTCGAAGCAAACTCGTGGATCCCCATTCCGGAAGTGCCCGAATCCGCCGCATGTGCATCCAGAATCGCCCTGCGCGACGACGACGCTGTCAACGAGCCGCTAAGCCGCCCCAGGCCGCTCAAGTTACTGGACCTCCGTACAGCCCCGTGCGGGTCTGGCGACTGCGGCCGCGTCGACGCTGGCGATGGTGATGCCACGGCTTCCGGCGACGTCAAGCCACTGCTTGCATGGCGCCAGGCTGACGGTCTCCCATCCATGCCGCTAGCGCGCCCGCTGACCCGACCGGAGGCATCCGCGGGCGTGCTGGCAGTGGTCGAGGGAGGCGACGTAAGCTCCGAGTTCTCGTCCCAATACTCGGACAGATTGGACGGTGTGGGAGAGTGCAGGCCGAAGGCTGGGTTGATGTGCCGTCGTATGGAGGAGGGCCCATGGCGGTCGGCCGACGCCTTGGCATCAACACCCACCGGCGTGGAGGCGCATGGCGAGACGGAGGGGTAGCCGCAATCGCCGTCACCGTCCGTCAGTGCGGACAAGGAGAGGCGGTCCGTGTTGCCCAAGCCGCTTGTGCTGCCGGGGGATAAGGGCGCGAAAGCCTGGAGCCCAGGTCGCAAAGGCGTGAGGAAGCGCGCGTCGTCCTCGGCACCGCCGCCCTCGGTACCGCCCTCATGTAGGGCGTCCGTTGGCATGGAGGCTGAGTTCCCGGATGCCTCGCCCGCCTCGGTTCCCTGTTCCTCGCGGATCTGTGCTGCACGGTTGATAGAGACCACAGCTGGAGCCGACCCGTCAGCAGTCCGGGAACCGGACGACTTTGGCGGTGCCGCCCTGGGCACTGCTGCCCACTGCCGTACATCCAACAACGACAGCAGCAACGCCTGTGCACCCTCAGCACATGGCACGCTTCCCAGCCCCTCCACGAGATCCTCTGCTGGTGCCGCTGCTGCTGCTGCGGCGGCGGCTAACTCCAAGCCTTGCATCCTTTTGGATTTGCTGCCAGCGGCTCTGTAGCCAGGCAAGGCCGAGGGCTTGGTAGCATCAAAGTCATATGCTGCCAACGTAGCCGCGGCCGGAGCCGTACTTCCATCCGCGCCGTACAACACGGGGTGTACGAAGCAACTGGCCAGGCCGCGGCCGCCTTCCAGAGTTGCTTTCCAAGACACGGTCGCCGTCACGGAATGCGCATTGCGCACGAGCTCACCCACGAGGCACTGCAGGAGCGTACTGTGCTGCGTCATACGCGAAACAGCCTTGCGGGATGGCAAAGCGCGCGACCGGCAAGCGCCTCCGCCGCCGCCCCCAGCAGCCACAGCTGAGGATGACGACGTGCCGCCAAGGGACGTGCATGAAGGGCGCTGTGACTGCATCTCCTGCGTGCAGCTTTGGTTCGAGGAGGAAGGTCCCGCGGATGACAGACCGCCGGAAAGTGCCGCTGAAAGGCCGCTAGGCAGCGCACCCGAGGGGTCCGCAAAATACTCGAGCAGCTTAAGGCTGGTGGCACGGATCGCTGCCTGGGCCGTCGCTACCGCCAGCTGCGGGTCCGGGCGAGGCACCGTGAGCGCCGGCTGGGCTGCTGACAGGGGCGCATGCGACAAGGGTGGGTCGACTTCTGTTGCCTTGCCGCTGCCCTGCTGGCCTTGCGCATGCGTGGAATGCGATGCTGGCAACGAAGACGGGGTGGGCTCGGCCAGCATGGAGGTGACGGAGCTGAGACAGAAGGGCAGGCTGGGCATGGAGAGCGAAGTGGTCGACTGGTGACCCTCAGCGGTGCCGCCGCCCTCTGCTCCTGCGCCCTCCCTACTCTTGCCGCCAGCGTCACCTTGAGGTGCTTGCGACGATGCGAAACGGCTCAGCTGCTGAGCTCCTCCTCCCGGCTTGCTGGAGTCCACCAGTGCGTGGTGAGGAGCTGCACCCTCCAGTGATGACCTTCCCCCAGCTGAACCGCAGCCGCCGCCTCCCAGGTCTAGTTCAGCTGACCGGCCCGCAGGGGTTGGCGATGGCGCCATGGCGCCGCCAGGCATATGCAAGTGCTCCTGCCCTGTAACCGCCCCCTCATGAGCTGCAACGGCTGGTGCGGTTGTAGATGCGGGTTGCTGCTGCTGCAGCGGCGGGTGCTGATGATTAGGCGGGCTGTTGAGGGGCGTCGGCATGGGCGAGTCGGCGGCGGCTGGTGGCGGCGGCGGCGGGCCGCGTTTCAGTCGCTTGACCTGCTCCGCCAGGCGAGCGTTGAAGAGGCCGCGGCGCCGAAGCGCCTTGTCGAGTGCCGTCACCAGTTCCACGGGGCAGTTGTTGACCATGGTGAGCACGGTCAGCATGCAGCTCTGCGGGAGGGAGGAGGACAGACCAGGTGGACAACAGTGGCATGGCGTGAGAGCAGCACACAGCAAAGACAACATTATCAGCACAAGACCCGTTTGGCTACCGAGCCCTCATGTGCCTTCCATGTACAGCAGCGCTTGAGGCATCAAGCTCCCCACTGCCGCATCCAACACCTCACTACGGGGTCTCCCTGGCGCCTCATCCCTTAAAAACGCAAGGCCCTCCAGTGGAATGCGAAACCGTACACCCTTACCTGCACGTCGCTTCCGCTATGGAAAACGTCCGCTCGCACCAACGCTGCAGCCCAAGCCATGAGGGCACCCTGCGCCGCCTCCAGCTCCTGAGCATGTGATACAGGCGTCGTTGGTTGGCCCGCACCATACCCACCGCCGCTGCTGTTGCTGCTGCTGCCGCGGGTACCCCGCACGGGCGCTGCTTGCATGGATGCCAAGCCGGCCGGCAAGTTCGTAAACGGCGTGTTCAGCAGTCGGCGCGCCGCAGAAGGCACTGAAAGTCGGTCGGCGTGTTGGTTTGTGGATGCGGGTATTGTTCCTTGCGGCACAAAGGCGACGGAGGCTGCTGCAGCTGCTGCCGCGGTCTCGGAAGCCATGTGTTGGATGTACTCCTTGAATGACCGGTGACCGTTGGAGGCCCGGGAGAAGGAGCGTGGGGAGGTTACGCTGCAGGGTGCGGAGATTTGGAGGACCAAGGGGCGGTGCCCGTGCCCGTGCGGCCCCTGTGGTTCACTGCATGCGGGATGGGAGGCTGCCAACTCGGATGCAGGCGGCGGAGGGGCCTGGAGCTGCAACAGCCGCAGCATGAGGGCGCAGACCTGTGCAACGCAGGCAAGGATAGGAACTTAATTAGGCAAGCGTTAACCAACATGACCCAGAACTCCAATGGCTACAGCTGTACGGGTTTACAGCAAACGGCGCGACGCTCACCTGCGCTCTGCAGTGCATGGCCCACTGCAGCTTCAGCAGCAGCTTCAGGCAAGACGCCGCCAGCTGCACAGGCGGCAACGCGGATACCACCCCGGAGTCCTCCAGCATCGACTCCACCAGCTCATCCTCCTGCTCCTCCTCCGGACCTCCCTCCTCCGCTGCCGCTGCGCTGCTACCGCCGCCGCAAGCCGCAGTCCCGTCCGGCCCCGAGCTGCCTCCGGCAGCAGCAGCCGCAGCGCTGGGAGACTGGCGCCACAGCAGCGGCAGGGCCTCAAACAAGAAGGGCTGCAGGGCTGCCAGCAGCGTGTGTTGCAGCTGCGACAAGTCCAACTGGACGGGACAGCAGGACAGGGCATACACGAGTAAGAAAAAGCGTCAAACAGGCAACGTAAGAATACTGTAGCCAGAGCCGACATCACAAGTAGTAACCATAAACCCAAGGGCAACCAACACCAGGGGGGAACACGGCACAAGGCGGGGCCGCTCTCACCAGCAAGGCGAGCTCATCAATGTCTTGCAGCCCACGCGCTGCTGCAGCCGTGCAAGCGCTGGTGCCCGTCGTCCCGGCGCCTGCGCCTGCCCCAAGCACCAGAGGGCACTCCTCGGGGGTACCCACGCTGAGCGGCGCCGGGCCGCCGCCCGGTGCCGCTGTAGCGGCTGCTGCAGCCAATGCGGCCTTTATCACGGCTGCTGCATCGCTGGCTGACATGAGGCCGCTGGCCACAAACGCATCCTGCAGGGCCGTCGTAGCAGAGCGGGTTGGGTAGTACTAAGAGGCACTGTCACCTTAAGCCACACAGGGAACCTTCATTGTGACCAGAACCCTCGCGCCAAGCCTAAGGACCACAGCGGCAAGGCACCCTGCAGTGACGGCAGCACGAACCCCAGTGTGCGCTACCTGCAGCGGCGGCAACACAGCATCGGCATTCCAGTCCGAGGTGTCCGGCAGCAACATGATGTCATGCACGCTCTCGGCGAGCCGGGCAGCTGCGGCATCCACACGCGATCCGTCGTACGCGCCCTGCCACCGCAGCAGCATGCGCAGTGTGCTATCGACGGTGGCGTGCTCGGCGATCTGCGGCACAAGGAGCACCCATAGCAACCGGGGCTTGGCTTGGTGGGCATGATGCCGGTCTAGCTACCAACAAGACCGACGTCCGTCCACACACCTCCATGTTGGCGCCGTTCCCCACATGCGGCCCCCAGGCCCCCAACCAGGCAGCCCCTCCCCCAGTCCCACCTGCTGCACGGTGTCCCGGAGCGACACGAAGCTGCTGCCGCACGCCGCCGCCAGCCTCAGCTCCTCCAGCACCGTCGCCACCGCTGCGCCGCAGTGCGACACCAGCTGGGAGCGGATGCCCGCATGGCTGATCTCCAGCAGCGGGGGAACTGAGCCGGCGGGCAGCAGCGGCGTGATGCACACGCGCTTGGGCAGCAGGTCTACCACGCGGGTACAAACCTGCAGGAACAAGGGGGCAGCTTGGTATATCATACATAGGGTGGACTTGTCTTACCAGGGTTTCTGTTCAGGTAATGCGAGGGTCAACCAGGGTGGCTTTCGTGATCCTGTGGGTGCAATGGTGAGGGTGTGAAGGTGAGGGGTCTTACCTTTTGCAGCAGCGACACATGCACGGAGGAGTTGAGGCCTAGCAGGCGGCGAGGCAGGGCCACCAACTCCAGCAGCACGCCGCAAGCGTCCTGCACCTCCATCTTTTGGCACGACCCAACCTGACGAAGAAATGAAAATAGGGCAATGCGGCGTGCGGAAAACGCCTGGGCAAGGCAAGGCGACGGGCTACCCGATCTGGCAGAAGCATGCACACCATGATTGTCAGCCTCACGCCGGTCATTCCGGGATTCCTCACAGCCAATGAAAGGACTGGGAACAGGAAAGCATCGTTACGGCGCTCCACTGCGCTTTCCTTCCCCACCGCACGACCCACCTGTGACAGAAGCACACACTGGCCCATCCGCAGACATGACGCCCGAGCCGCTGCAAGGACGCTACTGCTCGCCCGGCTGCCTGCATCCCCAGCGCCGATCCCCGCCGCACCCGCCGTCGGCCCCACAGCGCACTCAGCACCCGGGACCTGCACAACCGCGTCAACACCAGCTGGCCGCTCGTCCACGCAGAGGCTCCGACGCCGCCGCTTGGGCACCTCCGCCGGCAGGTCCGCCGTCCCACCGCCCATCTTCGTCAGCGCATTGGCGCATGCAAACGCAAGCAAGGCGGCACGGTGCCAGTCGTTCAAGTGCTGCCAGACCACCACAGCATGCGTGGCGGCGGCAGTGGCGCGCAGCAGCGCCCAGTTAACGCGAGCTGTCCCCGCACCAGAGCGCAGGATGTGGCCCCGCTGCAGCTGTTGCTGCTTGTCGCTGTCAAGCGCATGCACGTGCGCGTTCAAGCCTTGCTGCGAACCCGCTCGCTGCATTGCGAAAGCATTACGCATCGCAGCCATGTCACCAGTGACCGCTGCGGCGCCTGTTGTGGCCTTTCCAGCTTGCGGCCGCTGCTGCTGCTGCTGCGCCTGTTGCTGGCAAGGCTCGCCCGCCCCATCTCCAAACACGTGGCAATGGGAATGCTGCCGTTCTTGCAGCTGTGCGGTGCATGCGTAGGCCATGAGCAACAACCCAGCTGCGTAAGTCGGTTTCAGGTACACGGCCGCCGCAGACTGGCCGAGCTCCGTATGCTGCGAGTTGGCGTCTTGCCAGAGCTGCGTCACGTCAAATGCACAGTGATGGACTTGCAGGCGCATGGGCGTTAACATGGACTTGGTGGGCACGATGGGGCTGCTAGCATTGGATCCCATGCCTGACGCCGCCAGAGATATGGAGGCATCAGCTACGGAACCCCCCGAGCCCATGTGCGCCGGCTGCTGATTCTCCTCCTGCGAGCCGCCCGATGCATCTGCTGTTGACACAGGCGGCTGCGGGAGGTCCTGTCCGGTGGAAGTTGGCGACGGCGGCTGCGGCGCCGCCTGCTGCGACAAAGGCTGCCAAACCACCGGGATTGGAAAGCCAACCACTACCGGCGCCAATGGCGGCGGCCGAGCGACTCCGCTGCTGGCGCCACCGGCGCTATGGCTGCCGGCGCGGTGAGGCGAGGCGCCGCCGCCACTGCCGCCTTGGTGGATGGGCGGTGAGCAAGCCAGGCCCGCTACGTTTTGCCCGTACATGCTGGGGCTGCGCGTCTTAAGGCTACGCATGCGCATGGTGCTGCTCAGTCGCCGCATGGCCTGCCGTGACAGCACCCCTGGGCTACGCGGGCTGCTAGGACCCACTTGCAGTGACAGCATGTCGACGGCAGCAGCGGCGGCAGCTGCGCGGCCCGCGCTATGCGCGCTGAAGGCGATAAAGGCCATGGCATGGCAGGCTAGCTGCAGCAGCTGCAAGCAGACCCGCAGCATGCTCTGCAGCGCTGCAGCCGCGCCATGCGGAGCCAAGCAGGCACTGCAGCTGCCGCAGCCATCGTACAACCCGGGTTCCTCCTCGCCCTCGTCGCCCTCTTCCTCGCCCACAGCCGCAATGTCCGCAGCCGCCTGCGCGGCTGCTGCGGCATGGGCCTTGTCAGCAGCGGCCCCCAGGGGACTGTCGGCAGCGGGAAGCGCTGGGGAGGGCCCATCGTCCGTGGGGATTGGAGGCAGCGGAATGTAGCCCACCGCAGAAGAGATCATTGTGTGGGGCGCCTGAGCGTTGAGCTCAGTCTCCTCAGGCACAGACTGCATGCTGTGTGTGCTTGCATTGGCGTCCAGCAGCGTCTGCAGCTGCGAAGCCGAGATGCCGCCGCCGCCACTCCTGCCGCCCACCCTCGCAGCAGCAAAACCAGCGCCACCGTTGCCCGCGGCTGCTCCCATTTCGTGCCCCCCAAACGGCCCCGACCCTGATAACGTCCGCTCGGGCCCGCCGGAACCCTGCTCCGAAGACATCGCGGACGATATCCCCGGCGCGCTAGCAGAAAAGGGACCCAGGGTGTCCCGGAACCGGTCCATGGGTAACCGCAGCCTAGGCTGGCGCTGAGGGCTGGGATCCCGGCTATGGGTGCCCCCACCTCTCGCGGGCGAAGAGGGTTCGTCAACGCTGCGGCAGGCCGCAGGCATACTTCCGGCACCGCTGGCATCACCCCTGCACGCTTGCGGAGCGCCCGACGGAGCGCCCGACGGAGCCCCCACACCTCCGGCCGTTGCGGTTGTGGTTGTGTGCGTTACAAATGCCTCAGACAGGACTTTGGCCATAGCAGAACGCCAGCAACGCCGGAGTTCGGCAGCTGTGGAAACAGCGACAGCAGGGTTCGGGCTGGCGCCGCTGCCGGTGCTGTCGCTGCTGCTGGCTGCGGCGCCCTCGGCAGCATTGCATGCTGCGCTGGAAGGGGCGCTGTCTCCAGCAGGTTCCAAAGCAGCGATTGCTGATGCGAGTTGTCCCGTAAAGTGTGCGTAGGCGCGCAGGAGCCGGGCCGCTGCATCCACTCGGTGCAGATGGATCAAGGCCTGATGGCAAGATTGTATGGAGCAGGAGGAGAGCAGCAGACGCCAGGTAGGATTAAGAGGCACAGCATGAAACATGAGGGACAACACCGCATTGAAGTGTTTCAGTACTCATGCTCGTCACGTTTCCCATGCCCTTAACCCTGCATGCCCACCGTTTAAACCCCTTTGCACCCTTCACCCAATGGAGGTGCGCTGTCCTCACCAGGAATGCCGGCAGGAAGCCGTAGATGTGCGCGCGCGGGTAGTGCTGCAGCGCCTGCGCCATGTTGCCGCGTAGCACCTGCATATTCCCCTCTCTCAGCGCATGTAGGGCCGCCGGCGCCGCACACACCACCCCTCTCTGTGACGACGCGTTCCTGCGCCCCGCCGCTGCTGCTGCCCCCGCCCCGTCACCGCCAAACGCTGGATCACCAACGCCGCTGGCCACCGGATCTTCTGGTAACGCCGCGCAAGAGGAGGGACTGAAGAGGTTCACAACGCTGCCCGCAAGCGAGGGACACGGACCGGACGCGCGGACTAAAGACGGCTCCAGCCGGCCAGCTACTGAGGACCCTGCCACGGAGGATGGAGCCCCTACAGGGTGCTGCTGTTGGCTGCGATTGCTGGGAGCCGGCGGAAGGCCGGCAGCCGTGCCTGGCATGCCTGAGTGCGGCGGCAAGGTGTGCACCGAGTGCCATACCAGCGGCCAGGCAGGAGGCACGCCCCCATCCGAAGCGACGGAGCGGCTGCTGAATGTTGGTACAGCTGGGGCAGCCGTGGGGCCCCCGTTGATGGGCTGCAAACCCAGCATGTACGGCGTGGACACTGCGCTGCTGCTGAAGGATGGAAGCGTGCGACCCAGGGTGTCCGACCTAAGGGCAATGCTGGAGAGCGCCGGCACCGAGTCACGGTCGTCTGGCTGCTCCCCACTTTCTGTGCTGCCGAGGGCGACAGCAGGTGGTGGGGGCAGAGCCAGCACAAAGGCAACGCTGTTGCAGCAGTACGCTTCGGCAGGCGAAAGGATATCCTCCGATAGGTGCAATCTTGTCATTGCGACTGCGGCACCGTTGCATATTGCTAGTACCGGTGCGTGCGTTGCCGTGTGCATGGCTGCAAACGCCAGTGAATAACGAGGCTGCGGAGGAGCGTCACCGGGCTGCTGCTGCCTGCGGCGATGGCGTTGATCCGGTAGCAATCGCGAATCCGTGCCGTTGCCGCCGCCACTGCTGCCATGTCGCTGACCGCGGGCGAACCGCGGAAAGTCGGCCCCAGTACCCTTGGAGCTAGCAGGTAGCGGCGCTGCCTTACTCAGGATCGGGCCCAAGCGTATCACGGCGGATTCGCCGTACTTAATGGCCTGTGGTAGGAACGGCACGCAAGGGGTATGGCACATGGGACGCCCTGAAGCGCGCTAGCTACCGGTGCTAGCATTCCTACTAAGCATGTAACCCGCCCCAACCCGCTTCCGGTACCAAACTGGACCTGATACGACCATGCGTTATATAGGATGCCATGCCTGGCAATCAACCACCAGCATTAACCCACGCAGTTCCTTGCAACATGCGTGTACATGCGCATGCGTACCTACCCCGCACAAGACAGCAGCACCCCGGGGGCTGCCCCGGGTATCTAGCAGACACAGGTTGCCGTTGTCGTCCATGACTGCAAGCAGCGACGTGCGCGGTACCCAAGCCACGGAAGCCGCATGTCCGCCTCCAAGCCACCCCGATGCAGGTTCTGGTACATGCAAGAATGGCAGCAGCGTAAGCGACAGGGTAAAAGGGACTAGCGTCAGGCGCTGCTTACCAGCATGAGCATGGCCCGCTGCAAGGGGGACACTGGCGAAGAGCCACCGAGGTATGCAACGTTGGGCTTTGCACGCAATTGCTACGTGTGATAACAAACCCAGCACCCATGCGCTTAGCGCCCACAACACGTACCAGACGGAGACATGGGTTCCAGGTCCCCTTCCCAGCGCCTGTGCCATAGCGGCTGCAGCGTGTTGGCATCCAGCATGACCACGCAGCTGCGGTTGCTGCCGTCGGTCATGCAGATTGCCAAGACACCGCCTGCAGGTTATATAACAGCGTCAATAGTTGGGACATGTGCGGCACCTGATCCCAGTATTTGCACTTGCACTGAGAGAGACCAGCGTGCAGGCGCCATGGTATGCCTAAGCCCTCACCCTGCGGGTGCCATAGCGTGTCCACGGTGGCCAAGGCGGCACCCGGCCCCTCCGACTGCTCGCCGTCGCAGTATGGGACCGCCGGCCCAACGTACTCGTAACCCTCCGTTGCGAGCAACACATTCCACTGCCACTGCTGCTGCTGCCCGCCAGGCTCCGCTGCACAGCACCCGTCCTCCGCTCGCCGCTCGCCGCTGCCAACAGCCTGCCCCATCCGCATAAGCTCGCCCTCGGAGAGCCTCCCCACCGCGAGAACAAGCTTCCCTGCAAGTACAATCCAGGCCATGCGAACCATTTATCTATTAGCAGCTGCAGACTGTTGACAGCCGTGAAAACGGATCTTGTAAGGAAAGGGATGCATTACCTGGGCAGCTGTCCCGCCAGTAAGCATGGGCAACAAGCACAGCACGTGACGCGGCCACTCCCGCGGGCGGATCCACCAGCACTTGGCATGACGTTGAATGAAGGTCGCTGGCAAGGGCGTGACGCGGGTAAAAGGTGACCGGTAGGCCCAGGCCCAGCGCTGCACCTATTGGCCAGCCGACAGGGCTTGGCGGGGCCGGTGGGTGAGGCGGGTTTCCTGTTTGTGGATTCAGGAAGAGCCATGGGGGCACCGAACAAGGGCGGGGAAGTCAAGAGGTGCTACGAAGCAGCGAGGCTACACTGGCGCTGACCGCCGCTAGTTGCTACCGGTATACCCATATCTGTCAGGAGGGCCTGCGGTATCTAAGCTAATCGAGTGCCTGCTGCACTAAGCCGGCAGTTAATAGACGGCCGCTGAAGCCACGGGGTGGTTTCGAGGCTGCCATCTCACCTCGGAGCTGCTCTACACGGGCCAACTGGGGCTGGTCAACGTCGTCAGCTTCCAGGATCCATGAAGTTGGTTTCGAGGAATCGTGCAGCAGTGAAAACTGCACACCAAGGCTGCTCGAGGGCTCAAAGTACTGTTCTTGACGACTGCTCGCAAACAAGCCGCACGAAAAGCATGGAAAACCACGCCGCTGATGCTCCTTCAACTCCTGCAGTAAAGGTTTGATTTCTTGGCCATTGTCCATATATACACTTAGTTTGAAGCGCCGTGTGCACCTGCAGTGTCACATCGCTCTTCTCCTTGAGGACAAACGGTCCCGCATACGCTCCTCCAGTAGACGGCAGCTGCAGGACTGATAAAACATCTAGCTGCATCCCAGCTGCGTCAACGCTCTGCCACTTCCACCATCCTTTGCCCAGGCACCCCAGCCCACGGCCATGCTAATGGACGTCCATAGTAAACGTAGTTATTAGTTACTTTGGAATTGTGCAACAATCACATCGCTACGATAGCGAGCTGGCTAAATGTAGACAGACACTGAAAGTCTGAGAAGTAACAAATTCACAAGCTAAGAATGTGCTGGTACGTTACTTTCATACCCCTAAAGCTTGAAAATAATTGTGGATTGAAGTGGCACACGGTCAACTCTACGATGGTCATCAGCACGACTGATGATGAGTAGTCGCAAGTAGATAGAGTTCAAGTATGCCAAACCCAATACGGTAATGCATCATTCCATTCGCCTGATCCTACCAAACGCTACTAGACAGTAACCTTCTTCATGCTGCTGCTCCTCCTTTCAGCGCTGTTGCAACAGTTCTGCGCCCCAATGACAAAAGCTGTAAAGCCGTCATTTACCGAAATCTATGTAGGAAAGCAGCCATTAGCGCAAAGAGGCCGACGGGGGAGGTAAGGATGCCCCAAAACCGAGCGCCGCGCTGCAAGCGTTGCGCCAGGCACCGAACCTGTCGGCAAGGTGGTGCACGCAGTTATCACTTACATGGAATACCTACATACATGTAACTCACCCTGCCATGGGGTAAGCCACTAACCCTGCCTTTAAGTGGTTCTGTCATCAAGACTATGCGTGCCGCAGTCTGGGACATGCCGCACACAGTCATGTACCATTCACTGCATGCGTGGACACGACCTTGCACCACTCACAGTGCATAGGCATGGTGCCTGCACTTGGGGTCTGAGGACACTAGGGCACACGGACACGGGTGGCACGCACGGTGCGCGAACTGTTTGGATCAAAGACTTGCACAACATAGCTTACCTGCGGTTGCAGCTCCTGCAGCGTGCCGTCATTTTCCACCACAATCTGAGCCAGCCTCCGTTTTTCCTCTAGCGGCATTTGTGAGCCAATGCGTGCCAGCGCGCGCTCTGCCGTACCACCGTCTCGCGCCATCAGCCGTTCCAGCTTTGTGCGGGCAATTCATGCACATGCACAGCGCAACAAGGTACGTCAGCGTGGGTTGCATAAGTCCGGTCACATGGGTTGTTTTGACGGTAATGAGGGCCAGCATCCATCTGGATGTGTCATGCAGCCTTATGGTCAAACAGACCTTACCGAGCCTTGCAGTAGCCACCTAAACCCTAGCTTTTTATGCATGCGGTGTGTACGGGGGGTGCAGATATTCCAAGATATTTTGCCCCGGAAGAGCCGCGTGCGCATTCCTGGAGGCCTCACCCCCAGGCCTCACCTGCTTCTCTGGGCTGCATGCGACGAGAACGTTGGGGAGCATCAGGCGGTCCATCTTGGTCTCGAACAGTAGCGGCATATCCACGACCTGGGGCCGGTAAGGTTCAACTTCAAGACCAAGGCGCAGTCCAAGTTCAAGTTCATGACCAAGTTGTTATCCTCAAGCGACGGTACGGCATGCCGCATGGAACCAGCAGGTGAAGTGGAAGACTCACCACGACCCATTTGAACGTAAGCCAAGACAGCATCAGGCGCCGCGCCAAGGTTACAGCCACGGGAAGGTGGGTGGCCGCATTAAGCTGGCGCCGTGCCGCTGGGTCGTTGAAGATCAACGCACCCAGCCGCTCTCGGTCAAGTTCGCCTGCGCCATGGAGCGGGGCCTTACTCTGAGCTGCATGCGTAGCAAGCACGCGTAGCTCTATGAAAAGAACGCTGTTTGCAGTCCTATGAGGACCGTCGTGCTTCCCGGGCAAGATTTACGGGAAAACCCACAGTCCCACACGAACCGTCAGGGCGAAGAACCTCCCGCCCGAAAGCTGCCACTACGCGACGCCACCCCCATGTGCCCTGAGTTCATTGACAAACGGGCACGTGAGGGTACACGCACGATACCAACCCCGGCGCAAGCCGTCCTGCGATTAAGGCAAGCAATGCTGCTGCTACGCGCCGGATACCTTGCGTGTTGCGTCCTTCGCGATCTCGTCGCAATCGATTATGGTTAGCCCTTCTGCGGCAAGCTCTCGCGACACGGTGCTCTTTCCGGTCGCAATTCCACCGGACAGGCCGACGATGCGCATGGCAAAAGTGCTTTTGAAAGAGTGTGGTTATTAGAGAGGTACCGAAGAATGGCAAACTGAGGCTTGTGATAATGAGTTCACAGCTATATCACCAGCTCACGGTCGAGCACTAGCCGAAGAGCACCCACTAACACAATCTTTTAGATATAGCTCCACTGTTCACCATCATGTTTTTGCTGTGAGTCATAAGCGGCATTTCATGCGTAGCACGGCCAGGTTTACTAAGGACGTACCACTGCTGAGGCCAGCCTTTTCATGGGCACGACGCCGTGGTGACACTACCCTGTAACGGAGAGGATTATAGCCCTACACGGCAGACATAGACCTGCTGGATTGGATGCTACCAGGCAATCGACTGTGTCAGCGGATGGGGTTGCACAGAGCAAGGGGTCATCCTTGGGTCCAAGCACATTCCCTTTCGCCCATAGTTGCTGGGGCTATGGTCGTAGCCGTTATCGATATCCAGATACGGCTCGAATCCTAATTCTCATGCGCCTACCGGTAGCCTACCGTATGCCGCACGTTGACATTGTTTAGTGCACCCACACATTACAACACTATACCTTTATGCAAAAGAATGGCCGCAGCATCATGACAACGTGTCACCTTCCGTCCTGACATGTGCTGTCACGAAGGACCATCAACTACTGCTTGGCTAGCAACACTAGACCCCATGGTAAGTGCAATGAATCCCAGGCAGCGCGGAAGCGCTTATCCACAGCTGTCCTGCCAATGCACGGCCATTGCCGCTACAGTCACAAACACCACCGCCTGCGGCCAACATAGTCACAGCGGCACCTCTTTTCAAGTTCCAAAACAAGTGTGCCGGCGGCGGAGTCCTCTTGTATTAACACCACACAATGGTCTTGATAAGACCCCATTCGATAAGCTTACGGATATACCTGCAAAACCGTGATCTCCAACAACCACCCGTCATCATATACAGCCCCTACCAATGGGAACAAACGTAAAACCCTTACGTAATATGCTTTCCTTACGAACCAACAACCCTAGAGGCGCCTCTCAACATTGTCATCAATCTCATGTACAAAGTGGAGAAGGAAAGAGGGCGTCAAAGATTCCTCATGCCGGGCTAACATCTTTCAGGGGAAGCCCATACTAAGCGTACAAACCAAACCAACAGTTCACAACACACTCCAAATAAAGACTCCTGTCGCTCACCCTGCGGTGTGGAAGGGCTTGGGGCACTAGATGTTTGCTACACATCTGCCACCCAAGACCCGAGTTCGTGTTACCACACATGAAACATCAGGGAAAGGGAACAGGCCTAGCATGCTGTTCAGTCTTATTGCTTGAGTTTACTTGAAAGTAAGGCTCTGCCTCTCGCCCAAGCGGACGCACTAACACCAGGAAATCCTGCGGAATGAGCCACATCTGTGGTATGGATTCCATTATACACAGACAATGCACAGGGCGCATACTGTCTCTGGAAATCAGCTATGGTGCCACTTCTCCATCACATCACCGAGGCATTAAAGCCTAGCACACTTCCTTCCGGATAGCCTCTAGCCCAGCAAGCACGCTCTCAATGGTGGGGCGCTTGCTCGGGTCCGACTCCATGCACGCCATCGCCAGCTCCTCGAATGCGGACGGGCATCCAGGCGTAAAGCGCAGCCGCGCCCCCTGTGATGAGGGTTCGCGACAAAACGAAGGACGGATAAACCACAAGAAACAAGAAATTTAACAGAAATCCCGCACACACAAAGGGCAGCATTCATGAACTATTGATGGCCAGCCATGTATCGTTCAATCCTCACCTGCGTCACCACCATCACGATAATTTGGCCGTGTCGCAGGCCTGCCCATGGGCGTGATCCCGTGAAAAGCTGCCACAGCAAGACGCCCATGGAGTACACGTCAGTCGCCTTGCTTATGACACCGTCGCGAAGCGTCTCCGCCGGCATGTGGGTCAACTGCAGGTACCGTATTCAGGGTAAACATGATGGAGGGGCCTCGTTATTACGGGCGAGGACGCACAAAGCACATGGTTCCGAAGCTGACAAATGCTGCGAACGGCCACTTGTAGCGAGTACGATAACAGCTGCAGGATAAATGCACTGAGCTGTCTAGGCACTCACCGTTCCGTAAGTACGCGTCTGAATTTTTGTCCGGATGTCCAGGTGCCGCGCCAGACCGAAGTCCGCAATCTGCGAAGGTACCAAATGCAGGCAAGAGTCAGTCCCTTCCTGGGATAGGAATACCTTATGGGCATGGAAATAGGGTACTCATCGTCAACCGCACCTTCGCCACGAAGCCACGACCGCCGACAGGAGCAGTCGAGCCTGAAGTGCAGAGCATGACGTTCCATGCTGACAAGTCCCCATGCACGATGTCCTTCGAGTGCAGGTAGCTCAGCGCTGAGGCCAGTTCAATGGCTGTTGCCAAGACGGCATCCATCCGGGGTGCACTATTCTCAGCTGACGGTGAGGTGCGGAGCCATCCGCGGTCAATGGCGTCCTGAAGGGAAGGAACGGACGACGGTTTCCAAAATACAGGACAAGAAATGGTTGGTGCAAACTTTAACACGTGCTTTTCGGACGGACGGACGGACAGCCAAGCCAAACGCTACACAATATGAGGCGACACCCAAGACTCGTACCTGTAGGCAGCCACGGTCACAGTACTCCATAAGAAGCCATGTTTGGTGTCGAACGAGAACCTCGTTCTGCCACTTTCCGCTGGTGTTGCCAGACATGCCGCTATGGGCAAGCATGGCCGATGTGCCACCGGCGCCTCCGGCCTGCTGGCTGCCGGGCGGAAGGAGGAAGGGGCTCACGTAGCTGTCGCGACCCACATCGAAATCGTCATACGCCTCGCTCTCATGGGTGCTGCCGTGCGAGGTGTCGCGAATGTCACCTTCGGCACCTGTGCCGTCTTCGGCGGCGCTGGGACTGGCAGGCGTATTAATACGGAGAGCACAGACATCGGCTTCGCTGGCATTTCCCCCAAGGGTACAGTTGACGGCACCAGCCTGGCTCTGCGACTGGGAGAGTCCCTGCGAAAGCGCTTGAGAAGCGCCCCCCTCGAGGCCCACTGCGGAGGGCTGGGCTGAAGGCATGTCGCTGGTCGGCGCGCTAGAATCGCCGTTGCAAGTAGAAGCAGCGGTGGTCCCGGCAGGCGATGAACTGCTCGGCCCTGCATTATTGCTGTTGGTATCGCCAGGAGCCGCACTTTGCCCGAGACGAGTGTTAAAGCTGCCCTGCAGCCAGCCGCCGTCCGGGCCGCAGCTGGAGCTGTTGCCTGTGAGGCCGCTGCCACCCGCCCTGCGCCGTGACGCAAGGCAGGAAGCTCCAACACTGGTAGGACCATTAGCACCCTCAACGGAGCGTGACACACGGGCGGTATCGTCGCTAAACGCCCCAGTGCTGCCATCAGGTGTTAGGTTGGAGCCGTCGCCGCCACGCCGCAAGGCGGCCAGAGTGCTGCCAGACACCGCATGAGAGCTGCCAGAGGGACCCACAATCCGGCGGGCGCAACGCAGCGTCGCGACGATGTGCGGGTGACGCAATTCCTTGCTAAGGATAGCCTCTAGCGGCGGAGCCACGGATTCTACGCCGGGCGGCAGCTCCTCGTCAATGATCTGCAAGGATGAGCGAATGCCCGTTTATAATACCATGCGCAAATGTTTAGGGATGGCAACGCTCAACACCAGCTTGCTGCTGCCAGGAAGCAATGGACCCGAGGCATTCACCCCGCTGCCCAAGACCGCTGTCCAAGACTACAATGCATACCTTGACGGCCACCGGGGAGCCATACCACACGCCGTAGTAGACGCTGCCGTAAGCACCCTTGCCAAGCAGATGGCCCACGGAAAGCCCGCTAATGCTCTCGGGAGGCTGCGATAGCTCCTTCTCGTGGCTGAAGGCAGACGATGCGCTGGACGAATGGCCCGACATTGTCCCCGACGCCAGCTTGGCCTCCGCTGCGGCCTTGGCCTGCGCGGCCGCACGCTCGGCCTCCAGCTTGGCAGCATCCTGGAAAACCCGGGAACATTTCATGGAAGGAATCGTCGGTTTACGGAAACCCTTTCGCAAAGCCTGCCTAGAATAAACCAGAAAGATTAGGGCTTTGACATCCTCAAGTAGGCGCGAAACACCTCCACCACACTCCGCCGCACCTGCAGCAGCATGAAGTACAGCCGGTCTGAGCGGCGCTGAGCCTTGCACAGCTCCTTGCCGCTGCTGGCGACTGAGCCCTCGGAAGGGGCGAACTCGATCGCCGTCGGGGACGGTGGGATGAGGGAAGGCACGCCGATAGGAATCGCCCCACCATCGATGTCTTCTCGGGACGCAGCCCTGTTTCACAACGCAGGAACATATAGCGTTGGTACACCAGGCACCAGGTCAAGCCCATAAACGTAGGAGTGCGTGTGGACAGGCAGGGCAGCGACCGCGTGGTTTTGAAACATCTACTAGGTCGCGGCAGCGGCTGGTGACGGCTCGTCCCACTGGTAGCATACCTGAACGTCAGCACGAAGCGGCGGGCGCGTGCTGCGGCCTTGCCACCAACCTCCTCGCTGTCCTTGTCATCCATCTCCTCCACTAGGGGGTCCGACAGGCGTGCGGTCACCTGGAAATCCTGCCCCTTCTCCACAGCCCTCTCTTGCTCATCAGTCGGCAACATGGCACCGTTATCATCCGTCATCAGCCGCGAGATGTAACTGCCTTGCAGGACTTCACGCTCAAGACCTACAAGGGAAAAGGGGCCTTCCGTCAATAAGGCAGCGAGCACGTAACAGGTAAGACCGACGAGCTTCCCAATGCATCCCCTGCGGCCTGCGAGATGTACGCATGCAGGCTTATTAACAACGTGGGCGCACCCACCCAGAGTTTTGCAGCACGGGTTGTTGACGAAGAGTACGCGCCAGCCTGCGCAGCTCGTGTCGACAAGTGCGACGCAGTGGTCGAAACAGTCCAGTGTGCGGCGCAGGTTGCCATACGCAGCTGCCAGACTGTTGTTGTCGTGCGCACGGAGCTGCGCAGGGTGTGAAGAACGGCGATTTAAGGGCAAAACTCTGCTGCAGGTGGCGCTTGTAGGATCACATCGCCTCTAGGTCTACGGCTTCTGGACGCAAAGACTGCCTAACAACCGCTGCTCATATGCACCGCCCTGCCTCGACCCACCTGCAGTGCTATGTCCTTCTCCAGATGCCGGACAACCAGCTCCGCCAGGTTGTTGAGCACAACGCAGCGCGAGGCGTCGAACTCACGAGGCTTGGTGTCCGCAAAGCATCTGTGGAAAAGCGTCGGGCACGGTTTGGATGAAGACGTGACAAAATCGTAACCATAGGTGTATTGGTCAAAAAGCAATTCCTTGCTAGTATCCCCACTCGCATGCTATGACAACTCTATCGTGGCATTTCCCCCGTGTTTCGTGTTAATACACAACTCCTCCGTATGGACACAATGCACCATACAGGCGTAGTCCGTGCGCCTACATAATTGCGGACAACTCACAGTGTACCGATGCGGTGGCCGTTAGAAGCAACGAGAGGTGTCCCGCAGTAGAACCGCACGCCAGGGCCGCTTTTAACCATGGCATTGTTGCAAAACCTGCTGGCACCGTGGGAATAGGCACACGTTAATATGCAGCGCCGATTCCCCGAATACCCATTTTGGCCTGTTTTAGGCAGAAACATGAACAAACCTTGATCCGCTTATCCACCAAAACCCACACGCCCAGCGGGCACAAACCCTAGGAATACGCCATTTATAACCAAAACCCACGCAGCCCTCACACCTGGCATCCTTAGTGGCATCGGGAATAACCATAATTTGGTGGTTCTTGGACGCCATTGTCCAGCCACAGAAGGACCAACGCCAAGGGAAGTCGCCTCGCTTAAAAGCGCCCTCGGCGTCTCGCACAAAGATCCGTCGATCGTCAAACAAGGCAACTAGGGCAGCTGGTGCCTCAAAGATAGATTGCACCAGCTTAAGAATGGAGGCAATTTCCGGGTCGGGAGGAGCGTCGATGGCGTCAGCGTCCATGTTAACATTCCCAGCAGTCTTCAGCGCGTTTACAGTGCGCATCCGCAGGTCATCGCACGGTGGAGGTGGAGGACCGCAAACGTGGAACTGCAATCGACGAAACAAGAACGAAGGCTGATGTGAGCCATAATGCCTAAACCCCATATGCAGACTACAGTTTGTGAAAGACCGGCAACAGCCCTTATGGCCCTCACGTAATACCAGCAAAGAAGGCAATGCGCATCCACACCTGGTATGGAAGGCCCTGTTGTGGCGCAAGCTCGGGCGCAACCTGGAACGGATCCGTTGTTGCAAACGCACCACCATCCTTTGCAGTTGGGGCGTCGTTGCCACCACTTTCAGGAGGTGGGCACTTGGCCGAGGTGGCTGTGGAGGATTCCGCTATCAGCACATCCCGCTTCTGACCACAAACCTACATGGCATATAGAATAGTAATGTGACAAACGAGATAAACTCTGGCAACGGCGCGCAAACTTCGCAATCCTGACGTTTTCGCACGTGGGAAAGCACGACTTACCTCGCTTACTTCATACTTGTCGTTGGGAGCAACGCAACAAGGCAGGGACGCCTGGTTGCCCATCCTCCCCTGGGTTGCGCCACCCGCCCCTGCCCTGAAGCGCTAAGCGTCCTGAAGACCCTATGCTCACATGCACGTTCGACCTATGGCATAAATAAAGCCTCTTAAAAGTTTTGCATAGAAAGCACAAGGTAAGGGACAAAAGAGTACCAAAACTAGAACAGGAGTGCAAATTTGCAAAAGCCGAGCGAGATACGCCCTATGTCTGGAAAATATCAGGTGCCGATTTAACGAAATAAACACACCCGTTGGTAAGTGACTAGATACGGTAAGCAGGTGTCGTACAGGTGCCCTTTGATGGAAGCAAGAGGCCTCCCCACGAACTTCGTAACAATTGATTAGTTTCACTAAAACTTTATTTCTTGTTTACTGTGGACATTAATTCTTGACTTCCTGACCGAATGCCACCGTAACTTACCCAACACGCCCAACTGTGCGAACTTCTGGTAATTAATTAGTAAGTGAAGTCTTTGCGATAAATTCCTGAGTATAGGAATATTGGCATTGCCTTTGACCCAAGATTGACTACGCTGTACCCCAGCACACGCACAGTTACGGCTTTTCTGGCTGGCGTTCATGAAGGGATATTCCTAATACATCAGCGAAAGTGGCAAGTCCCCGTCACGCTAACGCTCGTCCTGCCTGGCAGTAGCATTTCAGCTCGGTCCGCAAGTATCTGCCCTCCGTGAATTTCCGGTGGCGTTGCGTTCTCGGTTATGGACGGCCAGTCAGGGGCAACACTAGATGATGTATCAGCACCGGCCGATTCGTCGGGGATGTTGCGTGATGCGAGTAGGTAAGGGCCAGTCGACGTCAGCATCGGTCATGGGCTCTCATAATGGCCATGAACACTCTAAACTCTTGTCATCAACATCCTTGTTGATAGGCACGTGGAAGAACCGGAGGAGTTCGGGTTGCTTGCAGACACAGGCGGTGTCATGCCCGGGTAAGCCTCCTATGTATGCAAGCTGTGTGGATCCGCAGCCATTCACCTCGGAACCATGCGTATTAACAGGCCACCGTCGGCGGTTGAACGGCCGGCTGTGCTGCCAAGCGGCTTGCCAGAGGAGATACAGTCGCAGACAGCAGACCTAAGGTCCCCATCCTTACGACACCATGAAAGCGCCGCTAGCAAACTAGGGAGCAAAGCCATGCGGGCGGGATCTAGTCCTGGTCAGACCTTGTAAGTTACTCCGCTGAGGGACCCGCCTTGCTTCGTAGATACCGGTGCGCACACTTACGTGTGGACCCGTTCACACATGCGCAGTGTTTACAAGGAGCATGCGGCGTCTCCTGTGCCAGCTAAGTCACCGTTCTCGCCCGACAGCACGGCGCAAATCACGGGATCACCACGGCCGCCAGGATTGCAGGGCAGCCCCGGCATGGTTCGCCGAGTAAGCATCAGGTACGTTAACAAGTCCATGTCCTTCTCTCTTTACTAACAACCCACAAAGCAGCAAGTTAAGGGCTAATATTTCTGTGTTTCTTAAATGGAAAAATCATCATGGACTGAGCTGCGTGGCGGTACTCACCATGGCTCTTAAATTGCATGAGCTAGTTCCATGTCGCGGTCCTTGCAGCTAACTATGCCTACTACTACTCGCTGCAGGGAGGGACACACTGTGCACCCCACCCGAGTGCTTGCAAATGGCGACGCATTCGTTGAAGACACACCCATGCAGGGGCCTCTGCTGTCAAAGGAGGAGGAAGAGGACATCGCCAGGACTTTCCGTGCTGGCATTACGCGTGCTGGCTGGCTGCACAAGCTAGTGGGGAAGACACCCCTGGACGTGCACTGGAAAAAGTACTGGGTGAGTGAGGGGAGCAAACCCATTGCAACTTACAAGGCAACCAGCTCTCAACAGACATCTCTACAACGATGCACATGGCAGTCCCGTTGTTGAAGTCCTTGGGTGCATTATAGTCCCATTTACACACTTTAGGGGCAAGGTACAACAAAAGGCAAGCCAACGAAAACCACCTAGACTCCTGGAAGCCTACGTTAGCGCTTTGTTGAGGCGCGTGCGAGCAAAATTGGAGGTCCTCTTACGATGCATAAAAGGCAATGAGAGCCAAGCATAAGTCCGCGGAGCTAAAGCGATCGTTGCAAGGTTAGCAGCCCTTAAGCCTACGTTCCACGGTGGACCAACTACCTAACGACCCGAACCATCAAACATCCTGCCGAAACCCCGTTCATTCTCTATTTATATCACACACGCTTATTGCTGGGCAGCGGCGTACCGGGAAGCAACAGCATCCCAGTTGACCAGCTTCTCAATGAAGGTGGTCAGGTAATCGGGGCGGCGGTTCCGCACGTCGATGTAGTAGGCGTGCTCCCAAACATCCACAGTGAGGATAGGGGTCTTGCCCTCGACCACGGGCGTCACGGCATTCGGAGTCTTGCTAATGCTGAGCTTGCCCGACTTGTCGGCGTTCAGCCAGGCCCAGCCCGAGCCGAACTGGGTCATGCCGGCAGCCTTGAACTCATCCTTGAACTTGTCAAAGCTGCCAAAATCGCGTGCAATCGCGTCGGCGAGCGCACCGGTAGGAGCACCACCGCCATTCGGCTTCATGCTCTCCCAGAAGAAGGTGTGGTTCCAGACCTGAGCAGCGTTGTTGAACACTGGCGAGGGGTTGCCGTTGTTCCAGCTGGCCACAACAACCTCCTCGAGGCTCTTGCCCTCCAGCGGGGTGCCAGCGATCTGCTTGTTCATGTTGTCCAGATAAGCGCGGTGGTGGTTGCCCCAGTGGAAATCCAGAGTCTCCTTGCTCATGTGTGGCTCAAGGGCATCTAGAGGGTAAGGGGGCGACTTAAGCTCGAGTGCCTTGGTGGCCACGGCGCGGCGCCCAGCGATAGGACGCGCGAGGCGCTGGCTAGCAAGAAGGCTCGCGGCCCGGGCCTGAAGTGCAAGAGCCATTTTGGGTGGTCTAGCAAGTAGAAATAAACAGAATGGATACACTCCGGTGCTTTTGTTTGCGTAGTAGACTTTAAGGATAGCCAAAGAACCGTCGGTACGACGAAACCAGTAACCATTTCGTCCGGAGCCAAACCGATAGTGTAACCCCTTAGGATTTACCAGTAATCCTTCCCAAGATCACAATTGTGTTGTTTTTTGTCTGGACTGCTGCCTTGGTGCAGTTCTACATTTCGGAGGACCGTCTTTACTACACAGCGAACGACAAGAACGCGTCTACAGTACGGTACATCTGCCTCGATCGTGTTCCTGTGCGTCCGCTACCGCACAGCAGGGCTCCCCGCAAGGGATGGGTCGCGACGGTGCCGGACATTGGCATCTCACTCGTCGACCCGGCGTAAGTCATATGATTGCATAGGCTAGCAATAAGAGCGAGCCATATGGTTCTGCGCTTGATTTATCTTTACCAACCTATACATGCACCGGTGCGCAACACCCCCCGATCGCGCACCGCCGGCGACCTCCTATTTAAGATGCACGGGTCTCTTCGCCTTATGTGACTTCTTCCTGCGCTATTTAGCATGTTTCACGATATCCCTGCAGGAGCTTGCACCGGAAGCCCGGTTTCCCGAATCCGGTGACCTCACCCCGCGGTACCGCCATCCACGAGAAAAGCAGCGTCATTGGCCTCGTGTCCGGGTCGCACACATACTTCCTCGCGGCTTCATCCCACGAGGAGGTAGGCAGAGACCTCGTACTGTCGTACATAGCACCCCTTGGCAGCCAATTTGCGCTCTTGGGACGTCTTGCACCGGTTCCTCTGTGAGGCTGGCATGTGCACTGCACGAGATCAGGACGTGCGTTTGAGCGGGGTTTTCGTAAGTGGGGCTGGAAAGCTGTTCATGTTCAGCTTGCGGCCACAGATCAGCCCAACGGTCCCCTGGAACCTCTACAAAACCCGCAATCGTACCACCACGCAGGCGGAAGCATGGCTCAAGGCGCTGCGGGAAACCTGGTACCACTGCTTCAAGCACACTCTGCGCGCAAGCAACCTGCGCAGCCAGCAAGGGGTGAGCCCACAAGCAATGTTGTTGTGACAGGGCGTCTAATTGCTCTGCAAGCTGTCGTGCTTCTTCAATGGTGATCCTCTGGTACCTGGTCTAGGGGTACCGTCACTTTTCATGACGGAATTTTTCTTAGGAGGTCCTCCTGCTCTGATCCGTGTCTTCTATGTCCTTCCTGGTGGCTAAAAACAAACCAAAGCACACACCGCCCTAACTCTCAATCCACCCTCTTCTTGCTGCCCAGTTGCACACTACCTCCAAGGTCATGATGGAGAACGTGGCGCTGCGCGAGAGCGTGCGCGACCTCACCGCTAAGGCGCAGGGCATGGACAGCGAGTACTGGAGGTAAGCCGCTGTACTCGGCAGCCCCAGCGTGCAGGCTATGTTGGGACGGCATGTTGCTGTTGGACAGCACAGCTGTTAACACACGCCAGAAAAACGTGTTTTGGCAGCCCCGAAAGCGCCCCATTACATAGTGACCCGTGGGCGATGGCTTCGACTTCGGCACTGCGCGGCACTCAGCACAAATACTACTATGGCCTCACGTTGGCTGCTGTCATACGCGGCTTGACCGTTGCATTCATTGGTGAACACGTTGTGTTGCTGTTTCGCAGGCAATGGCTGGAAGAGAAGGCGCGCAACCGCTTTCTGGAGCAGCGCAACGCGGACGTGGCCGTCTACGAGGTGGAGGTCAAGACGGGCAGGATGAAGGTGGGGATGTGGCGGTGTCGCTGCACCTTAAACAGTAATTGTTCTGTAAGCGCGTCCATATGGGTCCTTCAGTCATGCAAGGCAAATAGCAGGACTTCGAAGCCGGCATGGTAAGGATAACCATGGGCAAGGGTTTGGTAATGCCTCCCAAAAGCCCCACAGCCGATGCCAACATCAACCTATTCAGTTACAACCGAACACCACCACCCAACCCTTATCCAGGGTTCCTCCACGGACGCGCGCGTGTACTTGGAGATGTACTCGGCGCACGATGAGGGCGTGGCGACGGGGGAGGTCCGGCTGCTGGATAAGGACACACACGCCAAGCCCTTTGGACGCGACGCGCTGGACCTGTTCGTGGTGAGTTTTAACCGCCGCTGTCTATCCCGTGTAGACTGCGACGACAAACTGCTGTAATGACAAGCCGCTGCTGCTGCGCCGTCAGCTGCTGCTGCTTTGGTTGCATGGCAACGCAAGGTCCATGACGCACCTAATCCATGCGTGCACAGCAACGACGCCCGCTAGCAGGCCGCCCAGCATCGCAATGTGCCATATCTTGACTCGTACCCTTCCTGCCACGCACTCCTGCCTCTTGCGCGCAGATCCCCTGCCGCGACGTGGGTCTTCCCAACCACATCAAGGTGTGGCACGACAACACCGGCCGGCGGCCCGACTGGTTCCTGGAGTGGATCCGCATTCGCAAGAAGGGCGCCGTCAACTGGACCGTCTACCCCTGCCAACGCTGGTTCTCAACGCACCTGGATGACTCACGCATCAGCCGGATCTTGTTCGCGGGCAGGTCCACGCCGTACGTGCAGTACAAGGTACGGTAGCACATGCGTTAGGTAAACCCGTACCTCGACCGAAGTCGGGGGTTGCGCTCTCTTGTCGGCGGTCCCGTTCTCTTCTAATGCCGGTCATACATTCCCCGCGCATGCCATGCCTAACCCTCAACATACCCTCCGTTGTAAATACGTACGAAATCACAATGTCTCTCCTATCCACCTCATGCGTCTATACCGGTTTCTTATGAGCGGGCGCATGTGATGACCCATGGGATGTTCAGGTTGTGACCTACACCTCGGACCTGCGCGGCGCGGGCACGGACGCCAACGTGCACCTCATCATGCACGGAACCCTGGGTGACAGCGCACGCCACGTGCTGTCCAGCGGAGCGGATGACTTCGAGCGGTGCGTGTGTGTGTGGCTGGGGTGTGCTACGAGACCTGGCCGTGTGTATGGAGGGGGAGTGGGGCATGTTTGGATGCACCGGGGGCCTGAATGGATATCACGTACCGGCATGCTGTCCTAAGACCTAACTGCCACCCCCCTGCGACGACACGTAGCCCCTGAGGAGATAACTTCGATGCTGTGAAGCGCTTGGCCTGCATGGGCGATTCTGCTACTGTGTTACATTACTGATGTTTTTTTCCGCAGTGGCATGGTTAACGAGTTCACCCTGGACGATGAGGAGCTGGGGGACCTGCTGGAGGTAAGCAGTGGGGGGTTTGGAGGGCTTTGCACTGCGGTAACGTAGGGCAGCCGTAGTCAGCAGCTTCCTGTGGAGAGGCTGCAAGTTTTGAGTGAGCTGCCGGGGCATGCAACGGTTGGGCATACAACACGTGGGCCAGGGCCAAAGCGCAACCCGGTTGCGCTTAGCTTGGCAGGGTTGTGTTGGGTGCCCAAACGTGTCCCCAGAACCATCAGCCGACCTCCTTTCCTGCCAACTTTCCCCAACTTGTCCTCACAAAGCCCCCATGCCCACTGCTGCGCCCCCTCAGATTACCGTCGGCCACGACAACACGGGTCACGGTCCCAGCTGGCACCTCGACCACGCGACCATCACCAACATGAAGACCAACCTCACCTACCTCTTCCCCTGCCGCATGTGGTTCGACTCGCGGCTGGGGGATGGTGCATTGGAGCGCACCCTGCAAGTAGCCGAGTGAGTCGCTGGCTGGCTTGCAGGGGTCCTGAAGGGCTTGCAGAGGTCCTGGTATGGGTGCTGGAAACTTTTGGAGTTAGCAGTGGAAGGGGGCCGGTTGCCGGCTTGCCGCATGCACCACCTTGCTGCACTCAATGCAATGCCCAAAACACCTGAGCTTCATGTAGTATGCCGTTATGCACTCAGTGCTTGCTTCCTTTAATGTACTCCTTTACTGTCCGGTAATGGCACGTCCCCTCGCCCCCGTCGTCTTCACCCTCCCCTCGCAGCTCGCTGCTGCAAGACACGCACTACGTCTTCCACATCACCACCAGCGACATCCGCGGCGCGGGCACCGACGGTAAGCCTGGTGGCATGCCTAACCCTTGCCTCGCTAGCCCCCCGAGCAGCCGGCCGTGATACCGGCAGCTGTTCCTATTTCTTATAACGTATAATGTCTATTCGCTACCGGTATCGTTAATTTTTCAGGCCGGCCATTGCAACCTCCTTCAATACCCGCCCATCCACTGGTTGGCAGAGGCATGTAGACCCATCCAATTTGTTGCTTGCGAACCCCATTCGTCCAACACAATCCAGTCATCCTATTCCTACAACCATGACTCATTTCTTTAATTACCTCACCGTTCTCTCAACGTTCCTCTCCCTCTCCCGGCCGGCCCCTATACCGTCCAGCTGACGTGTTCGTGACGCTGCATGGCGAGCTGGGTGACACGCCCGCCACCATCCTGCCCTCGCAACTGGAGCACTTTGAGCGTGGACAGACGGATACCTTCAGGTGGGGGGTGGGAACGTTTGGCATCGTCATGACGCGCCAAGAGGATGCACCTTTTGGCAAATGCTGGTTGGGGTGCCGAGGATGATCGAATGTGGTCCGTTACATCCCTTGCATGACGACGACCTGGATCTGGCGATGGATTGTTTGTTAGCGCCTACACCTGACTAGGCATGCCACGTGAACCGACAAGCAGGGACCCAGCAGTTACCCGTACTTCGGGACCTATCAACAGCTCCCTCTCCTCCTCCTCCCCTTCCCACCCCCAGGCTGGCGCTTCCGCACGTGGGCAAGCTGCGCGCCCTCACCATCGGCCACAACAACAAGGGTGAGGGGCCCGACTGGCACCTGCTCATGGTGGACGTGGCGGAGGAGGCGGCCGGCGGGCTGCTAGGGCCGCCCACGCGCTTCGTGTGCAACAAGTGGATCGGACTGGGGCACCCGGACCCTGACAGCGGCGCGACGGAGGGCGTGCTGCAGCGCACGTTGAGGCCGGGTGGGGAGGACCCTCGGCAGGAGATGACGGAGTACCGGGTAGGTTGGGTTGCGGCATGTGTGAGTGTGTGTTGGGGTGGAAGATGCCCATGCGTTTGCAGGCATGCAGGCATGTGCTATGCATGGGCTTCATGTTCCCGCCCGAGTCTGTGCGGGCCAGCACTTCTCGTGGCTCTCCATCCATTCTATCCGGACCATTGAGCACGCCTCAGCTTCCCTATCCAAGCCTCCAAGCCTCCAACTCAACATACCCACCTCTGCACCAATCCCTGCCAGCTGGAGTTCCACACTGGCACGCTGCGCGGCGCCGGCACCGACGCCACCGTGACCTTCTCGCTGAGCGGAGACCGCGGCGAGAGCGGCCCGGTGCGGGTCGACGCGCCGCTGGAGGCGTTTGAGCGCGGCGGCATCGACGCCTTCACGTTCCGGTTGCGGCGGTTGGGCAAGCTGCGGCGGCTGCTGGTGTCGCACGACAACACCGGCAAGAACCCGTGAGTGGTGCGGTCGGTGGTGCGGCTTAGGTGCTGCTTACCTCTCCCTGTGGATGAGCTCGGATGCGGGATTTCTTCAGGATGTGCAGATGGGCAGCAACAGCATGCGGGTACGGGGTGTGTGATGAGGGGAAGCGTGACGGGATCGGTCGTTAGGTGGTGATGGTCAGATGTGACTGTCCTTCCTTGCTACCCTCTCAGGGCGTGGCACCTGCTCAAGGTGGTGGTCACCAGCTCCCACCCGGAGGAGGCCGAGGTGCGTGGCATGCGGGTTCGTGGGGATGACCGGTTGACCGCGGCTGGATAGCAGGCAGGCAGGGGAGGGGCGGAAAGGAGATGCCAGGACGGCACGAACGCCTCCTTAACGCAGAGAAGAGCCGCAGCCCCAGGCATGCAGTGTCCTTTTTGCGACACATCCCAGTCCTTCTCCTCCTGCGCACACGCCTACCCATGTACACCACCCGCCCACCCACCCCACCCCCAGCCCACGGTGTTCATCTGCAACCGCTGGCTGCAAGACGCCGAGCGCTCGCGGCACCCCTCCGTGGAGCTGGTGCCGGGCGGGGAGCTGCCCGCCACCCTGCACTACAAGGTGGAGGTGGCCACGTCGGACATCAAGGTGGGAGGGGGTGAAGATGGTGCGCATTATGTCCCCTTATGTTTATAAGGGGACCGGTACTCATATCCAGGTGTCGTTTGTCCGGGTTGTGTGAGGCCACTGCTCAGCCCTCTTGTACGCGCCTCTTCTGTCGTGTTCCCCCGCAATGCCTGACTCCCTTAATGCCGGCAATAACAGCATCCCTCCCTCCCGCCCTCGTTCCTTCTTGACACCCAAGGGTGCCGGCACGGAGAGCCGCGTCTTCCTGGAGATCCGCGGCTCGCTGGGCAAGGTGGGTCCCATCCACCTGGACAACCCAACCGCCTTCGAGCGCGGCGCGCGCGACACCTTCGTCATCGACGCCCCCGATCTGGGTCAGCTGCTGAGCCTGTTGGTGACATGCGACGGCAGCGGCATGCGGCCGCTGTGGCACCTGGACTGCATGACGGTGTGGCGCGACGCGGGGGAGACGGACCCCGAGGCGGGCGTGTACTTCCCGTGCAGGTGGGGAGTGGGGGTGAGGGGGTGGAGGGCGCGGTAAACGGGTGGAAGATGGAGGGGGAAGAGAGGGGACGGAGAGGGGGTAGCGGTGATGAGGCAGTGGGTGCTGGTAGCCGTTAGGGGCAGAGGAGGAGCAAGGCGAGGAGTGGAGGAGAGTGAGAGGAGGGAGGGAGAGAGGGAGGGATAGCGCGTCCATTGTTTTCACCCGGCCCGAGTGCTGGTATCCTAAAAGCAGCAACTTGGCTTAACGCGCCTCCCGTGATGCCATACGTTTGATTGTTGTATTACATATTTTTATTTCGTTGGCGTCCGGCTCAGTATGCTTTGTTACACCCCACTCACTCCGCCCCACTCCGTAGGGCCTGGTTCGACAAGGACACCGGGTTCGTGAAGGAGCTGCTGCCCAGCCGCCGTACACTGGACGTCGTGAAGGTGCCGTACGTCCTCAAGGTAACTCTTATCGAAAACAAACAACTTTTGCTTGACGACAGACTTACACAACCGCTTAGCATCTGAACGCAGCCACGCTTACGTTGTGTCGCTGCTGGCCCCTAGCTACCGTAACCCAAATGGTTGCTGTATACAGGGTTATTATGTAAAGTAACCGCTCCCCCCTCCGCAGGTCTTCACGGGCGACCTGAAGAACGCGGGCACGGACGCCAGCATCAGTGTGAACCTGGTGGGCGAGCGGGGGGAGAGCGGCTACGTGCCGCTGCTGGCCAACTACGACACATTCGAGCGCGGCCAGGTATGACTTTAAGACGTCTCATACTGCATGGCTGAATACCGGTACCTAGCTCCTTCGCCCCAGCTTCTGTTCCATGCACTCTTGCAGCCCACCGCGCTGCGCACCATATGCTTCTTACCCGCGATCGCCTTTCCTTTGTCCCGCCGTGCCTTTGCCTTTCCTGCTTCCCTTGGTTTCTCCTTATGTACCGGTATTACCACACGCTCTGCCCGCTTCCTTCCTGCCTCTATCACCCAGGTGGACACCTTCGAGCTGCTGCTGCCCGACGTGGGCCGCCCCTCGCACCTGCTGGTGCGCAGCGACGGCAGCAGCCGCAAGCCCACCTGGTACCTGGACTTCGCGGAGCTCACCGCGCACATGATACCGCCCACCTACTTCGTGGCAGGTAGGGTATGGGGAAAGAATGCAAGGGAATTAGGTAGGGCATAGTGCATAGGGAAGTAATGCCAGGGATGATGCGTGTAACAAAGGCACGATGCGTGGATTGAACACGGGTAGCTGGGGCCGGCTTTGGGATGCATTTTAGAGCTGTGATAATGAGATTAATGACTGATTGAAGAAGTCTTATGTGTGGTGTCGGTACATAATAATAGTTTTTCGTGCATGTGTGGTGGTGCGGTGCGGCAGGTCTGTGGCTGGGTCCGGAGACCGGGCTGGAGATCCGGGTGCCCGCCAGCTACATGGACCCACGGGTCGATCGCGCCGAGTACCTGGTGCAGGTCTACACCTCGGACGTCAAGTAAGTTGGCACTTTGTCGTACGTCACATCTATTCTCTCACTGTCTCGCACATACGATTTGCTAAATGCGCTACGACAGCGGTATTACATAACATGTGCGACCCCATGGTTCCACCTGCTTGCTCACTCGTTCGTTCGCTCGCTCACTCGCTTGCTTGCAGGAATGCCGGCACGGACGCGGGCATCTGGATTGAGCTGGTGGGCGAGCGGCTCACCAGCGGTCGCCAGGCGCTCATTGACACCAGCAAGGACACCTTTGAGCGAGGCCAGGTGGGGCTGGGGGGGGGCGTGGGTGGCCGTGATGGAGCGGAGGAGGAGGAGGCTGAGGAGGGAAGGAAGTACCGGTATTGCACATGCCGCCTAGCTACCGCGTTGACCCTGGTATTCCCGTCTGTCCTTGCCGCTGATGATGTCCCCCACCCCCCCTCCCCCTCCTCTTCGCTGCCAGGTCGATGACTTCAAGGTGCTGTGTCGCCAGCTGGGTCCGCTGAAGGCGGTGCGGGTGTGGCACGACTGCAAGGGAGCCGCATGGCACCTGGACATGGTGGTGGTCACCCTGCAGACAGGTGTGTGTGGGGGGGGGGCACGTGGTGGGGAGGGAAGGAAGTTAGTAGCCTTTACGGTATCAACTTCCACAAATGGTTGCCCTAAGCAACCTTGGGGTTTTCGAGCTGTAACGAAGAGTCGGAAAAGTCATGGAGACCCAGCTCCCAAGCATGCGATATGCTGCTTTCCTGACCCCTTCGCTTTGCATCCCCCGCTGCCGGTGCGCTGCTGTCGCTGCTGCTGCTGCCGCTGCTGCAGGCGAGAAGTACTTCTTCCCGCTGGCCAGCTGGCTGGGTCCGCAGACCCCCACCGTGGAGATCCCGGTGGGGCTGCAGAACCCGCATGCGGACCGCCGGACATACAAGGTAGGGCGAACTCCGTTTCTTACCTCCTCCTGCTGCTCACCACCACACCTGCTCCTGCTCATTCATGCTCCCGTGCCACTGCCGCATACCGGTACGCCCTCCTCTTCACTCTCACTCCTCCTCCACTCCTCACCCTTTCCGCCCTCCTCACCCTCACCCGCCCCTCCCCTCTGCAGGTGGTGGTGCGCACCTCCGACCTGCCCGGTGCCGGCACCGACGCCAACGTGTACTGCGAGCTGCGCGGCACCCGCGGCGCCACCTCGCGCACCACCCTGCGCAACAAGGCGCTCAACTGCTTCGAGAGAGGACAGGTGGGAGGGAGGGGGAAAAGGAGGAGACTGACGAGAGCTGTATGACGAGGCTTCACCATGGGTTGCTACAGTGGACCCGGCCCATTCCACCCCACCAGAATTATTCAAGGGAGTGGGAGGGCAGGAGGTTGTGTGTGAGCCTGGATGCAGGGCTACTACCCCTTTCCAGGCTGCATGCTACCCTGCCCAGACCGTATGCTAACGATGTGTGCATGTGCGTTATTCCGTCCCCAGGCGGATGAGTTCGAGATCAAGTCCAACGACCTGGGTGCGCTCACGGAGTTGCTGATCGGCCACGACAACAGCGGTGTGGGGCCCGGCTGGCACCTGGAGCAGGTGGAGGTGACGGACCCGCTGTCCAACCAGGTAGGGGGCGGGGCGGCCGGGTGCTTGGCTTGCGTGGATTTGCTTTGCAGTCTTGTTGCGGCGGGGCTGTGCGGTGTAGCACTGCTGGGTTAGGACGAATAAAGAAGGAAGGCGACGTGCGGTTCATGTGTTGGTGTCCTCTTCGCAATTACGTCCATGCCAGGCTGCATAGTGTCAGCTGGCTTGTTGTGCTGCAAGTGTGGTCTGTGTCAAAGCCCCGCTCCACCTCCCTGCCCGCTATCACCTTAGTCCTACCCCCACCCCCTTGCACTCCCCCACCCCACCCCACACACTCAGGTATGGTACTTTGAGTGCAACAAGTGGTTTGACTCCAAGGAGGGGGACCGGCTGCTGGAGCGGGTGCTGCCGGCGTCGCTGCAGGTGGGCAGCCAAGGGGGTGGGGGAGGGGGAGGGCGGGGTTGACGCATGCGACTGAGTTACCTTATGCCGTGGTGGGGCCCTGCGGTGGGGGCGCTGGATGGATACCGGTAGGAGCCTAAGGGTCCTAAGCAGGGACTGCAGGCAAGCAGGGGGGCAAACATGAACAGGTCTGCATGGGAGGGACTGCATGGGAGGGACTGCAGGGGCACAGGGACCAGAGTCGCAGTGAGTTCTAGGAGTGTAACGGGTGGGACATCGGAGGTTGCCTGCTGCAGGCCCTCCTCAACCCTCGAACGCCTTCACCTAACGCAGCAGCAGGGAATACACGCATCCCCGGTACCCTTCTACGCATGCCGCCCCCTTCTTCCTTACGGGCTTGCTGCCCCCCCCCCCAACGCCCCGTGCCTTGCCTCCCGTAGAACCCCCGCAGCAACCGGGCGCTGTACAAGATCCGCGTCAAGACCAGCGACCGGCCGGGGGCGGGCACGGATGCCAACGTGTTCATCGACCTGCGGGGAGACATCGGAGCCACAGGTGCGGCGTACTGTAGTTGTCGAGGTTTGCAATGCTAATACGCATCAGCAAGTTTAGGCATGTTTTCGGATCTTTTCAGACGTCATCCACGCCTTCTCGACCCACTGCAGGCAAGACGTTTTTGAAGAACCGCAAGCTCAACAACTTTGAGCGCAACGGCGTCGATGACTTTGAGATCACGCACCGACCCCTGGGTCGGCTGAGCGAGCTGCTGATCGGCCACGACAACAGCGGCATGGGCGCCTCCTGGCACTTGGAGCAGGTGGAGGTGGTGGACGGCACCACAGGCGTGGTAAGTTTCGGACAGCGGAATGAGCATGGTTCCCTCAGGTACCCCTCCTGGGCACGTTGTAAAAGCGTTCGTGCCTTACAGACCGTTTGCCCCCCCTCCTGACGCATCGTGCGCCCCATAAAAGGTTGCTACTATTCGTCTTCTGATCTGCTCGTCTACTGAACCTCATTCCACACTCAGTTACTCCCATCCTGACCCATAAGCGGTCCCTATCTCACCCCCAACCCTCCAGACCACCTACTTTGAGTGCAACGCCTGGCTGAGCGCCACGGAGGAGGACTGCCGCCTGGAGCGCCTGCTGCAAGCCTCCCTGGAGAACCCAGCCAGCAAGAAGACGCAGTACAAGGTGCGGATGGGCGGGCACAGGGGCATAGTTTGGTAGCGGACCGAAGCCGGCGGATGATGCTGTCAGTGATCACTGCCGTTGATTGATGTTCGTAGGTGCAGGCCATGCATGCTCTGCGCCCCATGCTTGTCACCCCTGCTTGTCACGCCCTTGCACGCTGCCGCCACCTCGCCCCCGCAGATTGCGGTGGTCACCAGCGACAAGATGGGTGCGGGTACGGACGCCAACGTGTTCATCGACCTGTACGGCACGGACGGCGCGCACACGGGCAGGGTGCTGCTGAACAACAAGGGCAACGACTTCGAGCGCGGGCAGACCGACACATTCACGGTACGTCGGGCGACGACTTCTGATTCCGAAGCGTGCTAACCACCCCATATGCCTTAGCCCAGTCTAGCCCCAGCCACTAAATGGTCTGTCTTCTCCTCTTCTTCAATCCGGTCCCACACAGATCGCCAGTCGCGATGTGGGTCCCCTCAAGAAGATCCGGGTGGGCCACGACAACTCCGGTGTGGGGGCCGCCTGGCACCTGAACCGCGTGGAGGTGACCAACCTGAAGAGCGGCGAGCACCGCATCTTCCCCGCCAACAAGTGGTTCAGCAAGAGCCACGAGGACTTCCAGATAGAGCGGGATCTCTTCCCGGGAGACGTGCCGGATCTGAATGTGCCGTACGAGGTGGTGGTGGTGACCTCGAACCTGCCGGGGGCGGGTACGGATGCGAATGTGTTCGTACACATGTTTGGCAGCGATGGTAAGCGTGGGTTGGGTTGTGGCTGTGTCTGCGGTTGGCGCTTTAATGCTTGGGTTGCGCTTGGGCCGGTGGCCCTGGGTTAGGGCAACAAACCGGCATAGCGGTGTGGCCGTGCAGTTCATTGTTTTCTGCTGACCTCATCCGCGCCCTCCTGCTCCCCCCTTCCGCAGGCGAGGCGGGTCCGCTGCGGCTGGACAACCCGCGCAACAACTTCGAGGCGGGTGACACGGACGTCTTCCACATCCGCGCACCCGACTGCGGCGACCTCAAGAAGATCCGGCTCTTCCACGACAACAAGGGCATGGGCGCTGCCTGGCACTGCGAGATGGTCATTGTGAGTTGTGACCCGTGGGTCCATTAGTGGGCGGGTGCGTTCGCAGGTGTTGACGTTAACTTCTGGTGCTTGGCGCGACGCAAGGCTCTGGATCCCATTCTTAACCTCATCTCTCCCCTGCCACATCTGAATCCTGCTTTACCCCTTGCTATCTTCACACTTGCCCCCTCTTTTAACCTGCCCTTGTCGCCCCCCACCCCACACCGCACGCCTCCCACAATGATCATCCCAGATCACCAACAAGCTCCGCAAGCGCACCTGGTTCTTCTACTGCGGCCAGTGGCTGGACAAGCGCTCAGGTGTGGAGAAGCTGCTGCACGCCTCCGACACCGACCCACGGGCCAGTCTGGTCACCTACACCGTCACCGTGCACACCTCGGACGTCAAGGGCGCCGGCACGGACGCCAACGTGTGCATGGAGGTGCACGGCGTCAGGGGCAGCAGCGGAGTGCGGGAGCTCAAGGGCAAGGGCAACTTGTTCGAGCAGGTGCGTGTGTGCGCGTGTAGCGCGGGTAGGGGAGCAGGTGGTGGGCTAGATGTCACCACGCCACCGTAGATGCACCCTGCTCGCATCACATTGGACAAACTTTATTGCCGTATGAGTGCAGCCTATGTACCAGTCTGGGTACATAGTAGCTGCGTCGACGACTCCTTATCCAGCTCTACTCCTCCCGCCCCACCGTGTGCAGGGCAAGTCGGATCGCTTCATCTTCAAGCTGGCTGACCTGGGCGACCTCACGGAGCTGGAGATCTGGCATGACGGCAAGGGCTTGGGAGCCGGCTGGCACCTGGACTTTGTGGAGGTGCACAGCAGCGCGACTGGCAAGGTGGGTGACAGCGGCTGGGTGGGGCAGCAACTGGGTGGCAGAGCGGCTGGGCGGGGTTGCATGTTAGGAGGAGGGAGGGGGACAGGAACATGAATGGGATTTCAGAAGTGCTCGTACATACACAAACATGCAGCACCTCATGTTCTTTGTCGCTTGTTAAGTAGCAACGTGAAGCATTGGTATATTGCCTCTGTTCCGGCGCCTCAGATCTACTACTTCCCGTGCGGCCGGTGGCTTGACGTCAAGGAAGATGATGGCGCCATCCGCCGCCGTCTGCCCGTGTCGTACAAGGACCCACGGGTCTTCAAGTCGCAGTATCGCGTGAGCGTTACGACGTCGGACATCCGCGGCGCCGGCACGGATGCCAATGTGTTCGTTCAGCTGTTTGGCGACGAGGGGCAGACCGGGCGTGTGAAGTTGGACAACCCGGGGAAGTGAGTGGGGGGGCTGGTGCTTAGTGGTGAAGTCCGCATGCGGGCTTAGGAGGACGCTCGCGTGGGCATGACTCGTGACTGCGAAAGACTGCTGGCGCATCTTTGCCACCCTTCCCTTACGGTCCTCCCTCTCCTCATGGCAGCCCCGTGACAATATTCCATTCTTACACATTATCCCCTGTCCACAACCCCAGGAATGACTTTGAGCGCGGCAACACGGACGTGTTCCTGTTCGAGGAGGCCAACGTGGGGCCCCTCAAGAAGATCCGCATCGGCCACGATGGCAGCGGTTTCGGAGCTGGCTGGCACCTGGCGCGGGTGGTGGTGGAGAACCTGAGCAGCGGGCAGGTGGTGGGCTTCGAGGTCAACAGGTGCGCGTGCGGGGTATGCTCAGTTGAGTGTCATGTGACAACAGGGGTAAGCACCTTCGTTTGTGGCAGGGGAGGTTTGGGTTCCGGACAGCTGACTGCTGATAAGCCTAGGGGCTGAGGACGGCGGATGCCCACGTGCTCCCGAGGGGGCTACGGTGCCCCCAGGGCATCCGCCTCTATAATGCCATGCACCGTTCGCCCTTTTGGCCTTACCGAGCACACCTTACCTTACATCCTCGACCCCCCACGCGACCCTCCCTTACCTGGCTCTCACCCGCAGGTGGTTTGACAAGGGGGAGGACGACGGAGCCATCGAGCGGGACCTGTTCCCCAACGTCGGGGTGGCGGCCGGGCCGGGGGCGGCAGCGGGCGTCAACTGGCGCCTGGTCGTCGTGACGGGTGCGTGTGTTAAAATAACTGGCCGCGAGGCGAAACGTACTGTGATTGCCGAAAGATGAAGTCAGATGAGGGGAAACGCATGAGCTGTGTCTGCCGCACTTGGCACGCTGGGGCTTGCAATCTCACGTTTTCCTCCTCCAAAACCCGTACCAAGTCGCCTTACCGGCATCAGCTTGCCGCGTGGTCGCAATCCAACGCCACAACCCCCTTTGGACCCACCCGCGCGGCCGTCTCCGCCTTTCCCCGTCCTCCTCGCCCTCCCCTCTCCAGCCAACGAGTCCGGCGCCGGCACCGACGCCGACGTGTTCGTCACCCTGGCGGGCGAGCAGGGCTCCTACGGCCCCTACACGCTGCCCGCCGCCAAGGCCGCCTTCGAGACCGGCACCACCGACACCTTCAGCCTCACCACCCCCGAGCTGGGGCGCATCAAGTCGCTGACCATCGGGCACAACAACAAGGGCTTCGGAGCGGCGTGGTGCCTGGCGCGGGTGGAGCTGGAGAACATGAAGACGGGTGAGGGGGTGGGTGGCAGGGGCCATGGAGAAGGAGGGCTGGTGGGCATCATCAGGTGGAAGGGGAATAAGGAGGCTGGAAAAGCTACTCCTGTCTCAAGTGAACCCCAGGCAACAGCTTGACGCCTTTACATATGGTTAGAGTACACCCCCCTTTACAACCTCCCTGGCTGTTGCTCCACACCCTCTTGCCCCACCACCCCACCCGATCCCCACCCCCACCAGGCGAGCGCTACCTCTTCAACTTCCAGAACGCCTGGCTGGACAGCAAGCACGGCACCAGCCGCACCCTGGCGCCCACCGCACTGCCCGAGGGCGCCGCAGCCCGGGGCGCCTCCTCCACCTCCCTGCTGGGCGAGGCAGCCAGCGTGGCCACCATGGCGGCTGCGGGCGAGGGCAAGGCCAACTACCGGCTGGAGGTGGCGACGGCGCTGGGGCCGGAGGGGGCGCTGGCGCCGGGGCAGGCGCAGGTGGCGGTCAACATCATGGGGGCGCAGGAGCAGACGGGTGAGTGAGGAGGTTTGCTGGGGCTGGGGCGGAGGTGGAGGAGGAGGTCGGAGTGCTTGCGGCCTTGTGTTGCGCTGTGCAGTTCACGTCAGGGCGCTGGCGCGGCGTGTGTGCTTAATAGCCTAGGTCCGTGAGCCGATACGATTCGTTCCTCCGCCTGCTGTACCGTATGCATGCAGGCTTCCAGGAGTTGGAGATGCCGTCCGGCGGCTTCCAGCCTGCTCGTGTGGAGGTGTTTGGGCTGGCGGGGCTGCCCGCAGTGGGGGCCATGACGCAGCTGCAGCTGCTGCTGGCGCCTCCAGCGCAGCCGGAGGGGCAGCAGCAGCAGCAGCAGCATGAGGGGCAGCAGCCCATGCAGCAGGGGCAGCAGCCCTACATGGGAGCTGGGTTGGTTCCTCCGGCAGGCATGGCTGCGGGGATGATGATGATGGGGGGTGCTGGACAGGGTGTCGGCGCTGGGTACGGTCCGGGTGGGGGTCAGGTGCCACCGGCGCCGCCGCCACTGGCGTGGTGGGGCGTGCGGCACGTGCGCGTGATCAACGAGACCAGCGGCGAGACGGCGGTGTTCGTGCCGGAAGGGTAAGAGAGGGAATAAAGAGGGAGGGTGGAGGACCGGTAGGGCATGGGAAGTCCGAGGCGCGGTAGGGAGACGCTATGGGTTGTTGGTTTTCGAATTAGCTGGTATCAAATTTGCTGTTTTTTCTCGGCTCACAAAGCCGCGCGCTTACCCCTCCCCACGCCCTCCCCCCCCTCAGTCCTCTGCAGCCCGGCGTGCCCTGCCTGCTGCCGCGGTGGCACCCGGCCCCATGCGACTACCGCGTGGAGGTGCAGACGGGCGACACGTTCGGCGCGGGCACGGCGGCGCAGATCAGCATCAACATATTCGGAGAGATGGGATCCACGGGTGCGTGTGTGGGCGGGGAGGTGGGGTGCTGCAAGAGGGTGCGTTTGTTGGAGGGAGGGCACGGAAGGGAGTGGCGGGAGCTTGTTGCAGGGCTGTAGAAAGGAAGCATGCAGGTGCCGGGCTGCGACGGCCCTCCCTACTCTTTGATGCTTGCCCCTCCCTTTTTGGCATCTTCGGCTCACCCTTCTCACCCTCCTTCCCCAACACCACCTACCCTCCCTCCCTCCGCAGGCCGGCAGCACCTCTCCCACGAGGCCGCCTCAGCGGGGCCCGCCGCCGGGGGCAGCGGCGCGGGCGGGCTGTGCGGCGACGTGTGCGCGCGCCACCCCGCCCCCTTCGAGCGCAACTGCCTGGACACGTTCCTGCTGCGGGGGCTGCAGGACACGGGGGACATCCGGCAGATCGACATCGGGCATGATGACAGCGGCGCAGGGTCGGGTGAGAGGGAGGCGCCGCGGGAGAGCAGGGGGCGTGGCTGTACAAGTGCTGTTTACAGGAGGCGCCCTTTAGGCGATACCTCTTTCTTGGCGCTCGTTTTCCTCTCCTCATTTGTTGGTGCCATAGTATACCCGCCCCTTTGCATGTCCTTGGCAGCTCAACCTATATCATGACCTGCACCAGCGCTGCGCGCTTTCCCTGCCTTTGTGCCCATACCTGCACCGTGCGGCACTCCCTGCCCACCCACACCCTACACCCTCTCTCGCTCCGCAGCCTGGTTCCTGGCCTGGGTGCGCGTGAGCAACCTGACGACCGGCGCCTCCGCCTACTTCCTGTGCGACAGCTGGCTGGCCAAGAACAAGGGAGACGGCTTCACCCGCCGCATGCTGACAGCCATGGTGGGTGGTGGGAACGGGGGGGGGATGGCAGCGTATGGGGTGGGTGGGTACAGGGAGGAAACGCTTTGCATGCATGAGCGCACGGGGCTGTAGGAGGGTCGGTTCAGCTTCTGGTTCAATTTCTCCTTCCTTCCTCAAAACTCAAAACCTTCTCCTGCGCCCCCTCCCTTTCCCATCCTTCTCTACTCCCTTCTCTACCCCGCCAGACCACCGCCGGCCCCTCGCTCGGCAACCCCGGCATGCCCCCGCCGCCCGACGGCACCGCAACGGCCCACGTCAGCATCCTCGGCCCCTCCTCCTCACCCCACTTCCAGCAGCACCCCGCTGCCGCTGCCCCCCTCTCGCCCGCCGCCCTGGAGGCCCTGAGCCGCAAGCTGGGTGGCCTGGCCGTGGGCGCCCCCGGCTACCAGCTGACGCTGCACACCTCCAACGTGTGCATGGCGGGCACCGGGGCGGGCGTGTTCTTCGAGCTGATCGGGGAGTTCGGATCCTCGGGTAAGGCAGGCGGGGACGCATGGCGGTGGTGGTGGATGAAGGGGCGGGGGTGCATGTGGCTTACCGTAGTAGTGGGCGGGTGCGAAGGTTGTACTGCTCGCTTACGTCTCATAGCCAGGTGTAACTTCTTCCCCTCCCCTCCCGTCTGCTCCCAACCTCACCGCCCCCCACCCCCCTCAGGCACCGTCGTCATCCAGCCCCAGCCTCAGCAGTTCAATCGCGGCTCCTCCGACACCTTCCTCTTCCCGCGGCTGCCCTTCCTGGGTCCGCTGCTGCAGCTGCGGCTGGGCACCACCGGCACCGGCCTGGCCGCCAGCTGGCACCTGCGGGCCGCCGAGGTGGTGCACCTGGCCAGTCGGGAGCGCACCGTCTTCCACTGCCACAACTGGATCGACAGGAAGGTGAACTGGCAGCGGGTGCTGCTGGCGGCGCCGGGGCCGGGTGCGGGGACGGGGGCGGGTGCGGGGATGGGGGCGGGTGCGGGGATGGGGGTGGGGATGGGGAGCATGGTGGCGGGGAACATGCTGTGAAGGGTGGTGGGGGAAAATAAATAAGTAAAGGAAGGAGGGAGGATGAAGGGGCCGCGGGAGGAGAAGGATGAAGGGAAGGTGTGGTCAGAAGGTGCGGCTGAAAGGAAGAAAGCCCAATGGTAGCCCCCCGGAGGGTTCGGACTTAAGAATGCTTGTGGTGTCGATGTGGGTTAGGGGGAGAATGGAGGCTGCTGGTTTTTTGCGTGCAGTTAAAAGCCCCTGTAGAATGTGATGTGTATATTGATGTGTATAAGGTTGGAGAGCCGGGTGTACATATTGTATGTACGTAGGTGTTTGTTTATGGTCTCTAGATTCCGGTATGTGAGTATCCATCCAAGATCACCTAGGGATGGATGCACCGACAGTGACTAAGGCGCGCAATTCATACTGATGCGTGCGCATTGTTAATATGTATCTTTGCATTTGTGTCCAGCTTTCTTTTACTCCTTTGTTCTTTGGAGTCCCCTAACTCTGCTGTCTTTTTTGGATAGGTGTGTGCCAGTCGGGCCGGATCTGTCGGTGGATTTGGTTTGTACGATTGTACCGGTCCGATACAGTCTAGTCATCGCCACATGCGCGCTTGCACAAGCAGCCACAACAGAGCCCAATGGAACAGTCTGCATTTATACTTCCAGCTGGTAACATTCTCCTCTTAGTTATGTAAAAGAGCCCATACCAGACGGTGTTTACGTCACTGCACCATCGAAGCCTCAGACAATCCTTTCCTAACGCGAAATGACGCTCCAAACCGCGGCCCAACGCGGTTTGATAGCCGCTCTGCAACCCGTCAATCCTATATCCAGCGTAGCGGCTACCAGTGTTGTCTACAATGCCCTTCACGGCGGCAAGACGGCGCAGCAGGCGTTGGAGGCCGCCCTTTCGAAAGCCCTAGCCCTAGGACCTTTCGCAGACCGCAGAAGCGTGGCAACGGCCCGCGACATTAGAAACAAGACGAAGAACAATGTACTGGCGGCGGTAAATAGCTACGAGGTTTCGTCGTCACGGAGGGCGATGGCGTCGCGCGGCGCCGCGGTTTCGCAGCAGCAGCGACCCATGGGGCGGCTCTTCCTGGAGGCGGCCGTCAGGTGCGTGGTACAGCTTGTTTGGGCAAGGATAGGAAAGATTAGTGTAATTTGAAGGTCTGGGATATGATTGCGCAAAGCCTTTCTGCTCAGCTTGCTGCGGGCTGGGTTCTGCCCTCCGGTACACCGTTGTCAGGTGCCCTGTTTTCCATGAGTCATTTGCTTTTGGGCCACTGTGATCGCCTTTGTTTTCTCATTGCTGTTTAACTCTTTGTGATAAGCTTCTGTTAACTCGTTATTGTGCTTTAAGCGCCCAGTCCAACCATGCTCGACGAAGTATTGCGTTGCAACCAACCGGGAGCCGTTCGAAGGCTGTTGTACTCGCGCTCGAACAACAAAGTTCTCCAAACCACGCTCACCGGCACCCTGCCCCATATCCTTCTCTCCTTCCTCCCAGGCCCGCCTTCTTCACCACCTCAGCCCGCCCCTTCGCCTTCTCTCCCCTCTGGCCTCCCTCCTCCCTCCCCGCCTCCACCTCCCTCCTCCGCCACTGCGCCTCCTCCTCCTCCTCCTCCCCCTTCCAGCCCCCCTGGGACGCCACCGGCCAGTGGCTAGCCTACCCACCCAGCCGAGCCCGCGGCCTGCGCTCCACCCCCCCCCCCGCCACCCCCCAACCCCACCCAGCCCACGTCAGTAACACCCACAGCAGCACCAGCAGCCCCTCCTCCTCCTCACCCTCCTCCTCCTCCCCGCACACCACCCTTCCCGGCGGCGTTCCAGCACACCCCATCCTCTCCGGCGGCTCCGGCACCCCCCTGCATGGCACCCTGTTTGGGGGCGTGCAGCCGGGCACCCCCCGCGGCCCGGGACCCGGACTGCCCATAGAGCTGGGCGGGGCGCAGGGGCCCCTGCCGCGACCCGACCGGCTGGGGCCGCCGGAGGTGCTGGGAGACCCGGTGACACTGGCGGGCAGGGAGCATGAGGTGGGGTGGGGTGGGGTGGGGCGCAGGGTGGCTCCTGGAACGTGTCTGGAGGGTGGGTGTGTGGATAAGGAGTGGGTGTTTGTCACCTGCTGTCCTGCTAACCACCACCTGGCTAACCACCTGGCTCCGTCGCAAGGTGTCTCCTCCCCCGACCACTGCGCCAACGCCTACACACCCACTCTTCCTCCCACGCCTCCTCCCACTCCCCACTCCCGCTCCTCACACCCCCTCCCATTCCGCAGGGCGACCCCCGCGAGGTGCTGCACCGGCTGCTGCTGCAGTCCACCCGCGGCCCCGACCTGCCCGCTTGGGGCAGCGGCACCTCCGCCACCACCACCACCGGGGCTGCGTATGAGTGGGGTGGTGGCGGAAGCCCACAGGGTGATGGTGGGGAGGGTGTGCAGGAGGTGGAGGTGGATGCGGAGGAGGTGCTGGCCACGGGCGGGTGAGGGTGGGAGGGGGCGGGCGGGTGGGTGGGGTTGAGCTGGCGTGCGGGTATAGCGTGGGGACTGCTGGGGGCGGCAGGGGTGAGGTCAGGTGGCGTCTTGCGGTCCACACCAGGAATACACAACAGACACAACAAACACACGATCTCTGTTCCCAGTTCCCGTGGGTCCCGCTTAACTCTTCCTACCTCCCTCCCCGCCCTCCTCCTACCTCCCTTCCCCCCAGCCCCGCCCCCGCCCTGCCTCCCCCCCACCTCCTCTCCGACGCCGACCTCGCCTCCCGCTCCGTCTCCCTGCTGCCCCGCCTGCCGCCCCCGCGGGTGGCCCAGCTGTCAGTGGCGCTAGCACGGTTGGGGCTGTTCGACCTGCCGTACAAGACCGCCCTGGTGGAACATGTGGTGGGGCGCATGTACCAGGTGGGTGGCTCCGACAGCAGGGTTGCAAGCAGCCTCGGCCCGACCGCTGCTTGTTGCCAATGTGTGGCCTGTCCCCACCTGCCAACACGCCGGCCCCAATGTCTTCGAAGACGCTGTTCGTGCGAAGGGGGTCATCTCGGACAAGGACCAGGAGGACTTAGTGGTAAGTCCTCCTGGTCCTTGTCGGAGCTGGCCTCCCTCGCACGAATAGCGTACTCGGAGACATTGGGGCCGATGTGTTGGCAGGTGGGGTGGCCTGTCACCGCTCTCCTCCCTCGCCCTCCCGCTTTTGCCTTTGCCCTCATCCTTCTCCTTCTGTTTTTCAGAACCGGGTTTGGCATTTTGCCAGACTGGCACTTACCCCCTCTCCTGCAACCCCCCTCCCCACCCCTCCCCCCCCCTATGCCGTACAGTTCACCCCTCAGCAGCTGGCTGACGTGGCGTGGGCTTTCGGGGTCAGCGGCTACTACGACATGCCCTTTCTGGAGGCGCTGGCGGGTGGGGGGGCGGGGGGCGAGGGAAGGGTGGTGAGGGGCGGGGGGCGGGTAGTGATGAGGAAACTGACGAGGAAACTGACGCACTGTATGGGGGCTGGTTGTGTTTAGGAGCAAGGGAGGTTATTACCGGTAGTGTCGTCTGATGGGTGGTGACCGGGCGCTGCTGCGCTGGAACAACAGCGCACGCTTCTGCTTATCCTTCCCCACCCGCTCCCCATGCCACGTCTCTCCCTGCTTTCCGCTCCCACCTCCCCTCCACTTCCCCCTCCTCCCCCAGGCCGGCTGCGCGACACCGCCGCCCAGTGGGACGCACGCAGCCTGGCTCGCGTGCTGTGGGCCTTCGGGCGCTTCCACTTCGTGGGGGAGGAGCCCTCTGTGGGGGCGGAGGCGCTGGAGGCAATGGTGGAGAAGCTGCAGGTAGCTGGGGGTGGGGGTTGAGGGTAGAGGACTGCTGAGCGGCTGAGTTGTGATAGTTGTAGTTGGGGAACAGCGGTTGGACAAAGCGGGACGGCACACAAGGGTTGGTAGGATAGAGAAACCTCCTGTTCTCTTGTTGTTTTCTGCGCATTCTTCTGGTTGACATGCAGCAACTCTATTGTTCTGACCTCCAAACCCCTATGCGCTCTCGCGATCCGTAACTGTTCCCTCCCCTCCCCCCTCCCACCCCCCCCCCCCTCCCCCCTCCCCCCCCAGTCCGACCTGGACGGCAGCAGTGTGGCGGAGGTGGTGTTCGCTGCGGGTCAGCTGGCGGGGGGCGGGGTGGGCGACTGGCAGGACGGGCGGCTGATGGGGCTGGTGGCGGACTTCGCGGTGGACAACATGACGGTGGGGGGGGATTGGGGGGGGGGGAGGGGGGGGAGGGTAGGAGGGGTGAGGGCTTGGAGTGGCTTGTTGAAGGGACTGGGGGGTGAAAGGGGTGTGTGTGGTGGTCGCAACGGGAAGGTGTAGAGGACGGCTGTGTCTATACTTGCTACTGGCCGTACATGTATGCATGCATGCTTGGAGCCTGCTGCGCTTCCCGCATACCCCTGACTCCATCACTGCTTCAACCTGGTCGCCTGTGCATACCCCGCCCTCCCCGCCCTCCCCGCCCTCTCCCCACGTCCCCCACCCCGCGCTTCCTGCGCTCTGTGCTTCCGGACCTTCGCACCTACCACCTCCCACGTCCCTCCCCCGCCCCCGCCCCCGCCCCCGCTTCCCTCCTGCCACAGGCCTTCGGTCCCGAGGCGCTGGGCAAGCTGGCTGCCGGGCTGCACGGGTTGGGTGCGGGTGGGGTGGAGGAGGCGCTGTGTGCCGCGGTGGGGCGGAGGGCGGCGGAGCTGGCACCGCGGCTGGAGGCGGAGGATATATGCCGGTGAGGATGGGGTTGGGGGTGGTGGGGGTTGGGCGATGGGCTGAGATGAGGTGGGAGATGACGAGGAGGAGTGATGGCGGATATGTGGCCATGAGGATACGTACAGGGAAGGGGTTCCAAGCCTTCCCCGACGCGCCGCGCTTCATTGCCCCACCGGTGTCTACACAACCTTCCCCGTCCTCCCCTCCTCCACCCCCTCCACCCCCCCCCCTCAGCATCATGGAGCTGCTGGCGGCTCACGGACAGTACGACGCCCCCTCCCTGGAGGCACTGGCAGCGCGGGCGGCGGAGCTGGCGGCAGCGCCGCCGCCTTCATCTGCCGGCGGAGGACCCACGGGTCAGTTCCTGACTCCCATGCAGGTAAGCGAGCGATGAGGCCAGCAGCGGGGTACCCTGATGGCGGCGTTGCTGTTCGGGTTCCGTTACGTGGCGACCTTGGGGCGAACTCGCCTCCATCGTATGCCTTCCCTCATATCCCCCCGGCACCCTTCCACCAGCTCCCTCCCTTACTGCCTTCCCTCCCTCCCTCTTCCTCCTCTGCCCTCCCAACCCGCTGCACCCCCGGCCCCCCCGCTGCTGTTTGCACCCCTTGGTGAAGCCTTGTCATGCAGCTCGTTAGTTGCCTCGTCAGTGTCTCATTATACCGGTACTTTTACCCCCCGCCGCTCCCCCCCCGCTGCGCCCCCTCCCCCGCTGCGCCCCCCCCCCCCGCTATCCCCCCCCCCGCTGCCCCCAGGCTGGCGACCTGGTAGCCGACTTCAACAGTCTGGGCCATGTGAGCGCCTCCGTGCTCGCACTGGCGCAGAGGGCGCACACCGGCATGTCGGCGGGGGACGTGTCGGGGTGAAGCGAAGGGGGAGGGGGAGGGATGAAGCGAAGTTGGGGAGGGAGGGTGGAAGGCCTTTCTTGCTGGGTTTGGTAGGAGGGTGAGAGGACGGGATCGACGGCAAGGAGACGAGAAAGTGAGCCGGTGCACGGGACTGGAGAAGGGTGGGATGTAGAGGCAGGGAGGGAGGCACTGGAGAAGAAGAGGTGTTCTGAGGTAGGAGGGTAGGTGAAGCGGTGAGGCAATGCTGGGGTAGGGAGCGCTGGGCCGGCATGACTCGGAGTTGAAGAGGATACCGGTAGTTGCGGGTTGAGGAGGGGCCGGCAGGGGTCCCGCATGAGGGACGGCTTACATGAGGGAGGTGCTGAGCGCGATGATGAATAAAGCTGGTGCGGTGCGGGCTGTCCCTCCCGAGGGAGGGAGAACGACTTCCGAGCTGGGCCCAAAGGATTGCGGCACTCCTGTGTTACCGTATGCCTGGATGGGCCGTCAGGGAGGGCCGTGTGCAGGAACATGGTAAGTAGGTGATATTGGGGAGGACAGGAAGTGATAGGAGTGGTTGTCCCTAAACTGTTGAAGCCCGTCGCCGGTCATTGGGTACCGGTAGCAACTGAATGAGCGGTGTGGGGGTGAAGATGGCGGAGCAGGTACGCGTGGGGTTGCAGTGCCTCTGCCCTGCCTGCATGTGGGTTCGCAGTTGGACGTCAAGAGCGGGGTAGGTACACAGGTGTCCTTGCTGCGCTGCACCGTGCTGTGCAAGGAAGGAGTGTTGGCTCCCATTGCATGATGGGATTCGTTGCGGAAGGCCTCGGCCCACGTGAGCGATTGGAAGCTGCTTTGCTAGCTGAGGGGGCTAGGCAGCAGTGTCAATTGCGGCCTTTGGCAGTCCCAATCTAATCTGTGCTTTTCACAGGAAGTATATGGCTGATTGCATAAAGGTTATACATGTGCAGTAGTACCGTACCGGTAGTAGCGTGGCACAGTGTACCGGTATGTTGGAGAAGGGCTGCTGCCTGCGTTGTAATCTTACTAAAACTGTCGATAAGTTCACATTGTGCGCCTTCGTAACCCCCGAGGTATGTGTAAGCGCATGCCATGTTTAATAGTTTATGTGTGGGTTTGGCCCCTAGTGTGCTTTTTAGATAAATGAATTTGGCCTGCGCAGTATCACAGGTGACCCACGGGTCGCTGTTTGAGCACTGCTGCTGGTGAATGGAGAGCAGCGTCTAGTCTGCTCGGTAGCGCACGTAGCTTTGCAGGAAGGAAGGTTCTAATCGGTCTGTACGACTAATTGGTGTGGGCCCTGGCCTTACTAAGTGCTCCCGCCAGCCTGCAGCTGGTACCGGTATTATCTCTTGAGGCATCAAAAATGCTGCTGGCATGGGTGTTGCATGGGGCTCAATCGGGATTCGCCGAGCGTTCAGTGGCATGCAATGCTGAGGAACTGTGGTTTACCTCCTGGACAGCAGGCGACTAGAATATTGTTCATTCTCTCATAACTTACAGCATACCTACAGCATGGCTACTTGCAGAGAGCCAGCAGTGCTGCCGGGCGGCTTTCGAGCGGGACATGTCGTCCTATTGTTACGCCCCAGAGGCCGCCAATCGGACCACACCTATACCGTATGTGTACAACAAATTGTTCGCAACCACGAGCGACCCTTTGCAAGCAACAAGCGCAACACCGCCACGTACGCCCAACTTGGCATCGCTACCGGTGAAAAAGCCGTGCGCTCCACAGCAACCAGTAGTAACAACCTCGCCCACAACAACACCTGCGAAACAAGCAATTGACTACCGGTGCAAGTTAGGCAACAATCACTGTTGCGTCGTCACTCAACACAACAGCTGTAGCGGCCGTTTCAGACATCATGAATGGCAAAGTCTTTAGATCATCCATGGTTACTCCGTCAAAAATTAGAAACCAACACCGACGCCAACGTTGACAATAAACGTTCTCTGTCGTACACCACGTCAAAAACCTTTTTTCAATGGGAGAAACTGCATATGCTCACCACGACGTGTAACAAGGGACGTCTCAACCAGTACCCCAGAAAACAGACAACAAACAGTACCCGCTGACTTATGGGGCTTGTCGCAGCCCCTCCCAACGTTCCCACATCGCACCACCAGGTCATCAGTGACTTAAGATCCCACGTGAACCTATACACAGCCGCCAAAATGACTCCCTGCCCATCGATCCGTTAGCAATGAGGTAACAATTGCATCAATGCGGATTCTAATGGGTCACAAAACATACCACAAAAGTTTTACATAAGAGCGCCCTCAAACCCAGCTTGTAACACTAGTTGATGAATGGACTAACGCACAATGCGCTGGCATGATGATGTCGGCGCCCCAGCCACAAGAAAACTTCATCACAGGGGTACAGCTAGGTGCGCTAAAAGCCTCCCCCTCCCCAGCACATGCAATACATCTACAACATGCGACAAGAAGGGACCGCAGCATTCAGCACGCGGTGTGCACGTGCAGGCAACCAACATCCTGCCGAGCGTCCAGGTGAGAGGTGATGTCTGTTGTGTATGATATATGCATTTATGTCAGACCGATGACAGCATTGCATTGCAAGTCTGCAGTGCAGCACAAGACAACAACTATCAACAGCGTCCAGCGTCCAGCGGTCAAAGAATGGGGCTCTTGCTGCTGATCTTGATATTGGCGAATAGGCATGTACGCATGCAATGCACATGAGCCCTGCGATATTACACAACCCATAACACAACCCAACAACACAGCACACAAAAGCGCATTAAGACTAAACGTGTCTATCAATGAACGTGTATTGGAAAACACAATCGTGCAGCAGCGCGAAGTGCACGCTGGCTTTAAGTGTCATCCATGCAAAACACCATCACATGCATGCTATACACCCAAACCTAGAGCGCGTCTTGGAAGGCTTGGGGAGGAGCCCATGGCGCCACAAGATGGCTCTCCCCGTCACCGTTACTGCCCTTTGCGGTTGCCGTCCCTGAATGCGTCACAGTGCAACCGCGGCCAGCTCATTGCCCAGGGCATCCACGTCCGCATTAGCTGCCGCCTCCTGCGAGCACAGGTGCACGGCGACCATGCGTTAGTCCACTGACCATATGTGTATAAGAGGACCAAGAAAGAGCCTCCAGGGAAGAGCGAACAGTGGTTTCAGACGCCAGCAGGTTCCGAGCATGACGGTCCTCCAATTAGGCAAGTAGCGTTGCCAGGAAGCAGCCCTCCAAACAGCTTTTTGCTTTTTATGGCTTTTTCATACTACTTCCATTTCGATGAACAATACCGATAGGAACCCGTATAGAACTCATTACAATGGTACCGGTATACGAATAATCGCCCTCGCTTGACTTGCCTCGTTCCCCTCTTGCTCCGTCTCCTCTACCGCCACCGGCACCTCAACGCGGCGGAAGAGTCGCAGGATGCTGAGCACGATGTCTAGCTTTCCCGACTTGGGCAGACGCGGCGGGATTCTCTCACCCTGTTCCCGGGCCGCTTCTTCACTCTGGGGCCTCCAAACCGCCACCAGTGTGGCAAGCCAGCATGCCAAAGCCTGCGTATTTTAGTTGGTGGAACAGGCCCGCTGCTTACCCGGAAGCCGCAATCAACCAGATACAGGTCACCATGCTAAGGGCTATTTATTGAATTCGCAAGGGCTAAAGGTTCACACCCATGTATGCCTGCTTTGTCGTGGTGTACGTGGAACTACCCCTCACCTCCAGCTGCTCGGATGTGCAGACAGCAATTGCATTAACTGTCTGCCCAATGACGGCCTGCTCGTCCGCCCCGATGTAGACCAGCGTGCTCCTCAGCTCCTTCGCAAGATCGAAGGGCTGCTGCACCTCGGCTGCCGCGTCTGGATCGGCCGTCAGGTCCGACAGGAGACGGATGACCGCCTCAGCGTCGCCACGCAGCAGGTGGCGCCGAAACGGATCTATCACCCTCAAGCGTTCCCAGAGGTTAACTGCAAACTCCTGCAGCTGGGTCTTTTCATAGTTCCCGATTTGAGCGTGACCAACGGCCGACTTCAACGATGCACGAGTTCCAGCGACGGTGTCTTGTACTTCTTGCGATCGGTGTTGTTTGAACTTCAGGAGGCTTGACACCCAAGGCTGAAGCTGATTCCTTGGAAGCGAGCGGAAAAATGTCTGTATGGCCTCCTCGAGTGGCTCTATTGCCACGAATTCCTCGCGACCCGCGGCACGTAATGAAGCCGCGCGAATGCAATGAATAATCTTGAGGTCAAGTCCCTGAACCGCAGGGAGTATCTGGTCCATCGCTGTTCGGAAGAAAACCGCCCTGGACAACGTCGAATTTATGCCGCAAGTCTGATAAGCAGGATGCCCGTAAAAATGTTTGCACTGTCAATGACAATGTGCTTAGAGCGCCTTTGGAAAAAGTCAATGCAATGGCCCTATCAGGCACCGTCGGCCGTACGTCGTCCGACCATCTCCCTGGAGCCATCCACAACCACATCGCCAGCATGCTTACAGTGCCTTTGTCCGGTGGTAGATGCTTCGTCATGATAGAAAACGTTGCAAGAAGTCGGGATTTCGTCCTTATGTCGCTTGCGAATCCTCCGCAGTTCAACTTTCTCCGAGGAGTGCTTAGGACGATATAACGATATCCACGCGATATAACAATATAATGTGTTATCCGCCACATGATTTTCGGCGCTCCGGGCCCTTGACGTCTACTATCGACATATACCGGTACTGTTACATGTACTGTTGGCGGTCAACGCTAATTATATCGCTGCACTGGTTGCTCAACTTGACAGGCAGCCTCATGCCTTGCGTCAGCCGCCTCGCCACCTCCTCCACCTTGGCCCCGCTGCGGCGCTGTTGCTCAGCCGCCTCGGCCTCCTGCGCCGCAGTGTAGTGCAGGGACCAACAGCGGCAGCAGCAGTGCTTTAGCTCAGCCGTCAAGTGGGAATACGGAATGGGTTGCTGCGGATAGGCCAAGCACGAACCCCATCCAGGCGCTCCGGCTTTTTTGAGTGCTCGCCCCATGCCAGCCCAGCTTTCTGCTCGCAGCAGGTCGCTACTGGAAATACCGGTACTGCATCTTGTACTGCTTCCATCCCTCGCCTCCACCTTCCTTACTCCCGCCCCCAGACCACTCACATCCAGCACGTTGCGACTAACCCCTTGAGCACAACCCCTTCCACCCCCGACTCATACCCCCGGCTCATGCATGCCCCCGCCCTCCCTCCCGTACCTGCATCTCCCTCCGCACGTGCTCTCCATAGAACCGAGCCAGCTGCCGTACATCCGCCTCCACCGCCCGCGCCCGAGCCTCCAACCCCTCCTGCTCCTCTCGCCTGCGCTCTCCGCCTGCCACCATCGCCTCCTCCAGCTCCCGCCTCGTCCTGCCCAGCAGCCGCAGCAGCTCCCTGAAGCGGCGGTAGTCCGCATCGAAGGAGTCCAGGAAGGTCTCCAGGGAGGGGGCCAGCTGGGGGCGGGGGGGACAGGAGAGAGGGAGAGGGGGGCAAGGGGTATAATGGACGTGTTGGGATGTACCAGAGAAGGTCAAGGAAGGGCTGCAGGGAGGGGCCTAACTGCGAGAAGAGAGCTCGGGATTCGGTAAACATATGGAAGGCTCTGCGATGCTTGAAGCGGTGTGAATTCAGCTGGTCACCCTTTGGGTGAAAAGAACAACGGGGCCTGTGTGCAGCCATTAGCCCAGTACTCCCAATGCTTCTTCCCCCCACCAGTCCCCGCGCCCCTCACCGGGTCCTCAGCCAGTGCTGCCACCGAGCTGTGTGGGGGCGGAGTGCAGGGGCCGGTCAGCAGGCCTGGCAGCAGCTGCAGCGGCTGCTGGGGGGGCGGCAGAACCACCACCGGCGGGGAGCTGCTGCTGGTGGCGGAGGCGTCGTCCTGGGGGCGGGAATGAGGGGGTGGGAGCAGGGGCAATACCCAGGGTGAGGGTTCAGGTGGGTGGGCTTCAGGTGAGGGTTGGAACGTGGGGCGCATGCGTGGGTACCACATGTCCGTCATGTGAGCGGTTCCGGCTTCTTGCAGGTAACTTGCGGCCTACAATTCGAACCAGATCTGTTGGGTAAAACAGATCCACTAGCTTTCGCGAGATCGCTTCTGATGGTCCCAACCATTGCATAAATGTATACCGCGCATGAAGCCCAGGATGTAAGCTGCATGTTAACAACCCACGTCTGCTGTTGCTGCCACTTGCGCTCGTCCTGATCGTGACACCGGAGACAGGATCCCAGGAACCTTCCTGTCACCGAAAATACGGTAAACAGGCAGAAGAGCACAGCCCTCTCACCCCTGCTGCATGTCCGGCTGCGGCTGCGGCTGCAGGTGCAGGTGCCCCCAGTTCCGCCAGCCGGGGTGCCGCCCACTTGACGAACAGCTCCATCTGTTGAATGCGCTCGAGCAGCCTGCGAGGGTGGGGTAGCCGGGGCGTGAAGGAAGGGGCGTGAGGCGTGCAACAGCTGCAAGGGGCTCTGCTGGGACGATGTACGATACCACGTGCGTGGGCGGCACCTTACACCGTACATGTATTCCTTTATGTTGTAGGAATGCTAGCACAGAGGTAGCTTTGCGTCTGCTTGTCTTTGCTCCTTACACCGTACAGAGGCCCCAAACGGGGGAAGGCGAGGACACGCTACGGCACACCATGCAGCTGTGACAGAAAAGAGTGCCCAACAGTAACTCCCAGGAACGGCGCGGCTCTCTAATCCCAATACCGGTACAGGTGCAGGTACAGCCGTACACCGAACAGTGGACTGGGCGCTGTTGCAGGCGCCGCCAGGTGCACCCTGCTACTCACTTCTGCGGCTGAACAGGTCGCTCCTCCTCCTCCTCCTCCTCCTCCTGCAGCAGCCCCTCCGCCTGCTTCAACTCGGCCTTGCTGCTAGCCTTCCGGCCAACACTCCTCTTCACCGGGCCTGCGTCCCTCGCTGCTTGCGCCGCTGCTGCCGCTTGCGCCGCCGCTGCTGCTCTCCCTCCGTCCCGTCCAAACAGCTTGCTGACAGCGTTGAGCGACGCTGCCTCCTGCTTCTGCTGCTTCCACGCTTTGTCCGTCGCTTTGTAGCGGTCCAGGTAGCTGAGCTCCTCGTGACCCGTGGGTCGTGATGAGGAAGCAGATGAGGTTGCTTCCGCCGCAGAAGTGCAGTACCAGCGCTCAAAGAGCCGTTCTCGCAGGTCTAGAATGTAGCTGGGAACCTAAGGGTGTAGGAGACAGGGGATACTGGAGTTCGGAACGCCGTCGTGACCGTTCGGAGATTATAGCCATGCCGTTCTATGCATGCCCTTACGCCGGCCCTTACTGACACTGTAAACATCATCCTTCAACCATTAAGCAACAGCTTTTTCTGCCCTCAACCACGACCCAACTAACCACCCCGGCACCACTCACCCGAACCTGCTGTAGTCGGTGCGCCCCCACGTCTCGCGGCTTCAGTTCCCGCAGCAACGCGAACAGCTGGTTGTTGTCACCCTGGCGAGGGGAGCGGATGAGGTGTTGGACATGTGAAGAGCGAATGTGAGATCGCGGACCGTGTTGCCGACTGCCGCAACAGCAGGCTAAGTCACCCGGCCTGCCAGTCGGCGCTGTGTGCTCCCCAAGTGTTGATCCCGATGACCCATGGGTCACGCCCAGCCGCTGCCCCTCACCTCCAGTATGTGCAGTACACACTTGTCGTACACTACGAGCAGTCCTGTGACTCGGTCGTGCGGCCCTTCCGAGTACTTGCTCAGCAGGGGCTCCCAGAAGCCTGATGGGGGGGAGTGGGTTTGGGTGCGGGCAGCAGGGAGGATACCGTACGTCATAATCCAAGTTGTTAGCTTGTTCGCATGCAAGATATCACTTACGAATGTGAGATGTACTTTACGGTACGTAAGACGTGACTTACGTTTGGCTTGGGACCTATGCAGAGCGCCTGATTGCCGGGCTAACGATTGGTCCAGGAGCCCACCAGCAGGCAACAGTCTGGGTACGGGCAGGCTGAGAGACGGGATGTGTCGGTCACATCAGACCCCACCACCGCCCTCACTTGCACACTGACGCCGGTTCTTACTTGTTCGTGATATCACCTCCATTAACCCATCCCGTCCCCAGGAACTTAACACCTAACTGCCGTGCACAATAGCACACTACGCACACTCACGTTGGTGCCACTCCAGGCTGTCGCACGCGGGCTCCCCGGGGGAATCCGCGGAGGTGGAGGGAGGTGCCAGGGTGGCGCAAAACACGACACGACCCAGGTTGTTGGATGGCTGCTGCGGGAGGGCATGCGGCGAGGAGGAAAGGAAGGAAAAGTGGGGAAGCGAAGCGAAAGGGGGGCGGAATCGAAAGGGGAATTGAGGCAATGTTAGAACCACGGAGCCGGGAGCCAGTTCGGACAGAAAGCTGGAATTGCCGTGCTAGCATGCCACATCAGCCGTGCTACACGGCAAGCCCCTCCATGCCCCTTCTATATCCGCAGGGCGTTGCCAGCAAGCTCTCAGCACCCCAAGCGGGAGGATGCTGCCCTCGGTCTGTCCGCATGCCGCTACCCAGGCCAGCTCCACCCTCTCAAGCAATGCGTGGCTCAGGCGCGGCCCACGGGCACAACCCCGTCCACGCATCCCTGCCTTCCGCACCCCCATCCGCACCCCCCTACCCGTACCTACCACTGCCGCCACTAGTTGCTGCTGCTGTTGCTGCTGTTGGCGGTAACCACCCGCATCCTGGCGACTGTCGCCAAGCACCTCCGGCTCTACCACCACCTCCACCGCCGGTACCGGTATCGCATCTGTCGCCTGGTGGGCTGCTGGCTGTGCTGCCGTTGCACGACCCACGGCCACCGCTGTCTCAGCCGCTGCCTCAGCCGCAATTACTGGCGCAGCGGCTGCTGTGCTCCCATCTGCCGCCTCAGGCGCATCAGAGTCAGCAGGTCCGAATGCCTCTGGACCCCATTGGGACGGAGGACGTTGGCGGTTGAACTGACGCTGCACTTGAGGCCAGATCCGTAGCCAGAACAGGACCGCGGATCGAACCAAGTTGAAGGCGATGAGGAACAGGAAGAAGCAGCCGATGAAGCGGACTGGCGCGGGGAGGGCGTCAAGGGAGCCAGGCGCCGGCCTGCCGGCGGGGTGTGCAGGGGCGGTGCGAGGTGGAGCATGCAGGGTTGGTGTCGAGTGTGTTCACTGGGCGCATGATGTGCGGCTCAGTGGTCGACCATTGCATTACGGCTTTTTACGGACGAGGGACTTAAGAGGGGCAGGCAGGGTCATCGTCCATAAGGTGGGGCAGCGCATGCGAACCCCACCTTGCCAGCCCCCTGCTGCCGGGGCCATGTACGGGTTGCGTCCTCCAATGCTGCTGTCGGTTAGCACGACAGGGCTGAAGCCGAACACTTGCATGTCGTGCTTTTACACCTAGAAGTCTAATGCCGCACACATGGCGAGAAATGCGGCCTGGCTTCCGGCATGGCGCCGCCGTGGGCGGCAGCGAGACTGGCTTGGCCGCACCGCCGCCCGTGGACAGCATTTAAGAGCTTTTTGTTTAAATCTGGAGCACGAATTAATTAAAGCTGACTGTAATTGAGGCCTTAGCAGCTTAATGCGAAGTTGGAACGTCGGAAGGGCTAAGGCTAGGTCAACGAATGGTAACTGTCCACATTATAGTATAGAACATTTGCCCCTGGCAGCTGGGAAACAATTGGAGGGCATTAATGAGCTTTTCTCGTCCACTTGCATCGGCAAGGCATCGGCCTTATCAGAAGACCGCACGGAAGCAGCTAGCTTTGCTAGTCCCATTGCTGACCTTAACACTAACTGAGTGTACAAAGCGCCCTTGCGCGCTTCTTGCATTAGTGGTTCACGTGCAAATGCTAGCATCGCGCGTGCACGCAACTAGCTTCGCATTCAAAGCTCGGTCGCCTCTTCAATACCGGCAACGTGTTAGCAAAATGGTTTGCAGTGCGTCGGCGCCTGCTTCTCTACAGGTATCCATCTTGCAGGATGGATGTAGGTGTCACAAGCCTACGTTTTCTTCGGTTGTCCTTCTGTTTACTTCTTTTACATATTAATCGCGTTGTGCTTTTTATCTTGTCACCAAGCCGGCAACAATGTCGTGGCACGGGCCCGCAACCTGCAAGCCCACATCCATGGTGCAGGCATTCACCATCGTCGGCGGAGGGCGCATCGGCCAGGCAATCGCCAACATGGGCCCTGGAAACGACGTAAGGAAGCCACACCCACTGTTTCTTCATGTACTCTGCACTTGCACACACGACTGTTGTAGGACTGTCCCTCCTTCAATCTCTCCTATCTTCCGTCCCTCACCTCGTACCTTACCTTTCCACCAGCATCCTGCCGCACACTCCCAAGCTCAGAGCCGCCCACCTCCTTCCTATCGTGGCCGTCCAGGTGGTGGTTGGTCGGGGTGAGGCGGTGCGAGGGCCGCCGGGACCCATCCTCGTGTGCACCCGCAACGATGACCTGCAGGTGAGCGGGGGCCCGTTGGGGGGCAGATATTTACCAGAACTACATGTTAGGACAACGCAATTGGGAAGGGGGGACGTTACGGGAAGGCTATGGGGAGGCCACAGATCTAACCAACCACTGTGACATGGTTCGTGACATGCGTTACAGGTATGGGGAATGGGCGCACGTGTAGACGATTGCTGGCGAGGCAATGGGGAAAGGGGACGAGGAAGTGGTTGACACGGGGTAAAACGGATGATGGTATTAGTATGGCTGGGGCTTGTTGCGGCGGCGGAGGACGCGCAGGGAGGGGAGAGGGGCGCCCTGGGTACGGTAGCGAGGGCGCCGGAGTGGGTACGTCGCCTGGACACCAGTGCGTGTGTATTGGAGTACAGGGGCGGGGGACCTGCTCTGGAAGGGGCGGGCTGATTGGGCCGCCGTGACAACAGTACGTTGTGTCTCCTCCGCCCTGACGTCCTCCTTCCCTCCCGGGCCGCCCTTCCCGCGCTCCCCTTGCAGGCAGTGGTGGACATGACACCACCCGAGCGCCGCAAAGGTAGGCAGGGTGGGCCGGGCGGGTTGTTTCCCTCCTTGGGTAGCAGTCGCCTTGTACCGGTAGTAACGGGCCTAACAGCTCCAGACCCAACTGGTGCTACCTCTTCGCGATTCCCACACCAACCTCCCAGTACCCGTAACCTAGTGCTGCCCTCCACTACCTCCTCCTCTCTGCCCTACTCCTCCGTCCCCCTCCGCCTCCCCCCCCTCCGCCTCCCCCTCCCCCTCCGCCTCCCCTTTGGCTTCCTATGGTTCGGTATGGTCTTTGATCCCCCTCCCCCTCCCCCTCCCCGGCCAGACCTGGTGTTCCTGCAGAACGGCATGCTGGAGCCCTGGCTGAGCGGGCGGGGGCTGCAGGACAACACGCAGGTGGGGTGGGTGGGTGGGTGGGTGGGTTGGGTGGCAGCGGGCTGGGGAACTCCCTTTCTTAGTAGTAGCGGCGAGCATGTACATCGTCGTGGTGGGGTGTGTGGGGGGGGGTTGCTATGTGCGCCATGGCACACGATCCGATACCTCCTACATGTGCGGTAACCAACGGCCATGTTTAGATGTTTTGCATGAGCGATGTGCCATAACTGCGCGTTAGCCATAACGGTTGGCTCCTCCCCCGCTCTGCCAAGTAACTATCCCAGCCCTTGCTCAACCCTACCTGGCTTACCCTCCCTGGTCGGTGTGTCGAGGAAACTGGTCGCGAAGAGCAACATGCGGTGTGTCTCGGTGTGTTAAAATAACTGGCCGCGAGGCGAAACGTACTGTGATTGCCGAAAGATGAAGTGCCCTCCCGAACTCCCACCTGCAAGCACAGGTCCTCGTATACTTTGCGGTCGCCAAGAAGGGTGACACGCCCATCGACGGCAAGACGGATGTCAACCCGGAGGGGCTGACCGCAGGTGTGGGGGTGGAGGGGCGGAGAGGGATGTGGTGCGGGACCGTACCAGGCTTAGCGAGGCATGCTGGGATGGGATGGAGTGTACGGGTTGCTCGGGTGGATGCCGGTACTGCTACTGCTGGTACTGCTACTGCTGCTGCTATGCCGCTGCTTGACTAGCGCGTCAAAGCTGCCGCAGCGCCGCATAAAAAGTCGCCCCTGCTCTCGCTGCTGCCGGCCCTGCTTCTGCCGCTGCCCCTGCTGCTGCCGACTGCTTCCTGCCCCTGCTGCTGTCCTGTCGTGGTGCCACAGCATGGGGTCCGCATGCCGAGGCGGTGGCTGAGCGGCTGCACGCGGGGGGGCTGAGCTGCAAGGTAGGGAGGGGCAGTCGCGGAACAGCGGCTGGCGCTGTGACCGGAGGGGATGGTGACGTATCTTTGGGCGGCCCTGAGGGGTTGTTGGGGCTGAGTACGACGCAGGCTGCAAGTTACCGGTACCTGCCAACGACCTGTTGTGACTCGGGCACCGCCTCCCAACAATTGCTCAGGTGCTGGGTCGTGATGTGTTCCGCCTGGCCATGTTGGAGAAGCTGGTGTGGATCAGCGCCTTCATGCTGATGGGTGTACGGCACGGCGGCATCAGCGTGGGCCAGGTGGAGCAGCAGTACGGCAGTACGGAGATCTCGGATCTGGTTTCGGAGCTGTGTACGGCAGGGGCTGCGGAGCTTGGGGTGCAGCTGGCGGGCGGGGAGGTGGAGAGGCTGAGGGCGTATGCTCGCAGCGTGGCGCACTACCCCACCGCGATTAAGGAGGTAAGGGGGGAGGACTAATGGTACGGGAAATAGGAAAGTTCTCCCGTCATGCACCTGCTGCCACTGCTATCACCTGCTGCCACTGCTATCAACCTGCTGCCACCCGCGCGCCCCTCATCCTGCCGTACGCAGTTTCCCTGGCGCAACGGCTGGTTCTACGGACTCACGGCGAGGGCGCTGGCGGAGGGGCGGCCCGACCCCTGCCCCCACCACACCGCCCTGCTCAGGGAGGTGGGAGCCGTGTGACATGTGAAGGAATCGGGAGCCGAGGAGGGTGCGTGGGAGGTGTGAGCTGTGTAGTTGAGTAGGACAAGAGCAAGCAGTTGGGATAGGTTTGCATGTGAACCGCGAGTACAGGCAAAACCGCGAGGGAAAACAGAGGTGAACAAACCTGAAACGTAACTCAAAAACTGGTTAAACCGCTGGTGCTGGATGTAAGAAGAGTGGCGGGTTGACGACGCATGTCGGTGATGCTGATGGTGTCGGGAAAAACTAATTACTGCTGAGTACCTAAGGCCGCTGACCAACTCGACGCCGGGAGCCCCCGCTCTGGTCACGCAGACATGAAGTGGCGCGGTGGCGAGGGAAGCCAACGACTGCAGGTGTGAGACAAGCGTGTACTGAGAGTGTACAGAGACCGTTAGTAGACTTGCATGAGCTGTTTCCTGGACTTTTGGTTTCTGCTTTCAAGCTGAATTCACGTAGATGTGGAGGCACAGGTTTGGGTGGCGGGGCAGCCTAGGTATGCCTCAACAATCGTGTTCACCTGCAGCGTTTCGCCGTTGTCCGTACGGCACCAATGTTACCACTGGCCCGGTCAAAAGTGAGTATTCTTTTTTTAGCGTAAGTTTGCTGATTCGTGCGCAACGACCGCTGCACCGACCCGCCGGGTCACCAGCCGCTGGGTAACCATGCACGAAGCCGCAGCGAGCATACGTGTGTCAGTACACTTGCCCGCCGCGGTATGCGTGCCAGCCGTTAGCCCACATCAACACCTGCGTACACGCTCGGGTACTGGCCGGTTACATGACAGACTATCACGGGCGGCAACTACAGCACGTGCAACGCACATGTTGGCTTGACGTCCCCCTCAGCAAACCCCACATATATACAACATGTGCATCCCGCATGGAATCATAAACATCCATCCTTGTTTCTCCATCCGGTGCGTCCCGGCCATACAAATGCCGCAGTGCGTATCCACCTAGCCGCAGCGTGGGATGTACTCGTCAAGCCCTAAAACTCACCCATGACCTCAATTTGAATTTGCACTGCCGGGCTACCGCTTTGCCTTGCCCTCGGCTTGCTACCCTTCAATGGGTCTCCGCTAAAACGGGCTCCGTTCAGTGCACTACATCGTCTACACGACTACACCTCCGTATGCCTGCCGCCAAACCTACTCCGTACGGCACTCTATGACGTACACCCCTAATGAACGCTGCCGTACTCCGAACAACCATTGAACGGCCCCAGTGAACGCCATTCCGAGCACTCCTCTCTCACGCACTTCTCATGTACCTGCCTAACGCATACCCACCGCTCATCAACTGCTTCTACAAGCAACCTAAGCAACCGGCCACCCAGTGCCGGCATCAGCCGCCACACCGCTGCTTGCTACACTCCGCCCCCCAACCTTAGCGTTGCCGCTTCCCCACCTGCCCACCACCCGCCTCCTGCTCCCCACCCGCACCCCCTTCATCACGCTTCCGACGTCCCGGGATTCCGCCTCCGTCGCCTCCCCCGCCCACGGTGCCCCCCATGCTGCCTCCTGCGCCTGCCCTGCTGCTGGCTCCTGCGCCTGCCCTGCTGCTGGCTCCTGCGCTGGGGCTCATACCGTGAGTCGGCAGCATTGAAGCAACCATGGAGGCTGCTGTCGAGGCTGCTCCGGCGGCAACAGCATTGGCAATAATTTCTAGCTCCCCTGCCCCCACGTCACCTCGAGCCGCTAGGTGCATGCGAATGGCAGCAGCTACTGCCTCCTTTAGTGCCGCATCCCCGCTAGGGCCAACCACCCGACTGGGGAGAGGCGCCGCAGCGGCTGCGTCGCTGCTTGGAGCAGCTGTCGTTTCAAAGACTGCGGCGGGTGGTGGGGCTGTTGCTGCCACAGTCGCGGCCGCCTCCTGCTGCTGCTGCGGCTGCTGCGGCGGCGGCGGCGACGGCGGCATCTGCCCCTCATTCGGCTCCTCGGTTTTCACCCGGGGGCTAAGCTGCAGCAGCTGCGGGTGCTGCAGCGCTGCCAGGCCCCCTCCGGCCCCAGGCGCGACCCATGGGTCGGCTTGCGGGGTCGCAGGCATGGGTGCGCTTTTCCTGGGCTGCACCAGCCGCCAGCCGCTGCCTCGTGGACCGAGGCCGCGGCCAACAGGGCCAACAGGAGCAGGGCCGGGAGCAGGAGCAGGAGCAGCGGCAGGGCCAGGAGCAATGGCAGGTGTTGCTGACCGGGGGGCTCGCCCGCTTGCTGCTCCGCTTCCAACTTGAAGTTGCAGCAGTTGTCGAGCCCGCAGGTCGTCATCAGCCGCCGCAGTAGCATGCCTGACGGGTACGGTTCCCGCTGCCGAGGGATCTGGTGGCGTGGCGGGTGCGGTAACGGCAGCAGCGGCAGCAGCGCCTCCCGACCCCACACCTGGCCCGACTGCTGCTGCTGCTGCTGCTGGCGGCTCCTGTTTCACCCCTGCATGCGGCGGCTGTGGAGGTGCCGGCGGAGGTCCAGGGGCCGCACCGGCGGTACCCTGCACCGCAGCCGCCAGGGCCCCGGACATGCCGCCTGCTGCCGCCGCCACTACTCCAGGGGAGGTGCTGCCTGCGCCTGCTGGCTTGTCTGCCTGCCCCTGCTGCTGCCCGCTGCTGCCCTGCACCTCCACCACGGCCCTCCCGTCCCGCACCACCAGCTGCCACCCCCCGCCCCTGCCGCTCCCGCCCTGCTCCTCCAGCCTCTCCCCCAGGCCTGAGGCGCCACGGAAGTAGCAGCGGCCCTCACTGAACTCCAGCCGCACCTCGTGCCGCTGCAGGGCGCCACCGGATGTGGCGGCGTGCAGGGTGAGGGCCTTGTGCTTGAAGGCAGCGGGAAGGACCGCGCGCAGCTCCTCCGCGGCGCATGACAGCTGCCTGCACTTCAGCTGCAGCCGCACCGGGACTGACGGCGCCGGAGGAGGGGGCGCTGAAGTGGCTCCAGGGGTGGCGGCCGCAATGGCAGCGGCAGCAGCGGAGGCCTCCTCCTCCTCGTCCGATGTATGGCTGCTGTCGTCGCTGGCATCACTGTCATCGGCCGCGTCAACGCTCTCGTCGTCATCACTGCCGCTGGCGCTGCTGCCGTCGTCCCCGCCCTCACCACCCGCCTCCGCCGCCTGGATGGCCCCCGGCCCCTGGCGCGGCCCCACCTGCTGCAGGGTAACGCTCACACCGATGATGACGTCACCGCTCCCGGGCGCCCTCACCGCCGCCAGGTGCAGCAGGTCCCCGGCCTGAGCGTGCTGGGACGCTAGCCAAGAGGTGAGGCCGTTGATGGTCCATTTCCTACGCCGACTACGAGGAGTAGTACGATGCTTCATGGTTCCTGCGGGCTGCTCGGATAGTCGACCTGATGCATCCATTGTCCACACCCGGACCTCCTGACGCCCTCCATGGTACCCGTCGAGACCGAGCAGCTGCACCACCACAGCCGCAGGAATATAGACGTTTCTGTTGTCCAGGAACGACTGCGTCAGCTTCACTACCCCGCAGTCAGGCTCCGGTGGTTCCACATCTGCCTCCAGCACCACACGCCCATTCGGCGGCAGCTGCTGCAGCTGCACCTCTGACCCATGCTGTAGGCCGAGGTCCTTGGCTAGCTGGGTGATGCCTGTCAGAAATGTCCCCCTGACATCCACATTCATGTCGTACCGTCTGCTGACACCGCCCCGAAACAAGACGTCAACGTGGACTGGCTGACTGTGCTTTGCACTCTTCGCTGCGGCGAATTGCTCCCTGAAAAGCTTCCGAATGGTCTGGGCACCACTGAAACGGTTTTTCCTGCCGAAACGTAGGGAATGTGTGACGCCGCCTGCCCGCCCGTCACCCCCCGCTGAGCCAGCGGCCTCCCCGGCTCCACCACCGCTGTTGTGGCTGCTGATACCGGCTCCATCACGGTGCCTAGAGTCCTGACAATCAATCTGGTCTCGGTCACCACACGACCTAGCGTTCCGACCACCGCCATCGCTGCTGCCGGGACCGATGCCGCCGCTTCCACCCGCCTCACCTGCCACGTCCAAAAGGCCGCCCGCAGCCGCCGCTGCTGCTGCCGCCGCCGCTGCCGCTGCTGCTGCACCGCTGCTGCTGCGAGGGCCGTTTGCGTCGTGCGGTCGGGTGGCTACAGGATGTGCGCGTGTGGATGCGTAGCGGCGCCCCGGGTCGTCCTCCTCTTCCTTCACTGCTACCCGCTGGACTGCCTCCATGGGCGTAGTGACCTGCGCTGCTGCTTCCGAGCAACCAAGTAACTACTACTGGAAGAGGGTCTTACACATACAAGGAACTGTGCGGAAAGTGTCTATACTGAGACACTCCTTTCACCGCGTTTCTGAAGGTATTGTAAGTGACCGGGCCCAATGGTAGCGGCAAACAATATCCTTTCTGTGCTGCTCTTGTATGAATTTAGCAAACAGATAGGACAGTTCCGAGGATGAGCCTTTGGTGCATCAATGAAGGGTGCACTTCAGCGCTCCCCGAAACCAGTAAACCAAATGATGGATAGCTAAAGCGAATTACAAAACGTTTGCTGCTTTATAGCAAGAAGTTACAAGCATATCCAGATTGTTGAACAATGTACCGCGACTCTGGTCGTGTGTCTCGACCGCGCCACCGACCCGCCGGGTCACCGACTGTTGGGCTGCGGCCCACCCGCATGCCTCAACCTGCCATGCCACCAGCCCCGCTGCCAACCACAAACCCACATGTTTCCATACCTGTGGTGGACGCACCCGGCTCATTCACGGCTCGCATCCCCTGCTGCCCACCGAGCATGCCCCGTGCTGCGTGTGGCCAGCAGTGCGCGCAGGTGTCATGCCGTCCCCTGGCGCAACGGCTGGTTCTACGGACTCACGGCGAGGGCGCTGGCGGAGGGGCGGCCCGACCCCTGCCCCCACCACACCGCCCTGCTCAGGGAGGTGGGAGCCGTGTGACATGTGAAGGAATCGGGAGCCGAGGAAAGGGCGGGAGGTGGGAGCAGTGCGTGTGGGAGCCTTGATACTCTGCCAGGTGCAACGGCCAAACAGGTACATGGTGCGGCACCGAGACAGAGCCCTTGTTAAGAGGTGAGAGATAAGCACGCAGTGGGCTGCATGGATCTGCGTTTCACGGGATAGGTATGAGCGGTGGAGCTGCTTTGGGCTGAGCTGCGCTTAGGTGCACGGTAGCACAGGTTGGAATGGTAGAGGTAGTGTTGACGCATGCAGCAGCCCGCCGGGCACGGCTTTATTTACCCTGTTAGCCGGCAAGCTTTGGTACCTCTCAGTGCCTGCAAGCTGCAGCAGACATATTATTGGAAGGGACGAAGGTCCCTCTTGATCTAATAGGCCACGAATGTACCAGTGTTCAGCACCAACTACCCATCTTACTATTACTGTACTCCCATGACTGCCACACCGACCCGGCGGGTCACCGGCCGTTGGTAATCATGCGCCTGTGCCATCAACCTTCCAACCGCTCGGTCGTTGTCTGTTAGCCACAGGAGCTGGGGTACTTTACACACGTAGTTTGGCCATTAACAGCTGGCTATCGATGGTAAGAGAATAAAGCGGAACTGGGCGGGACCGGGCTGGAAAGATGACTGGACATTACATGAGGAGAAGAAACACAGCAAGCGCGCGAGCGCTACAGCACACGCAAAACAGCCAAAAAACCAAGTCTGGCAAAGGCCGACCACCGGTCACTAACCCAACCCTCATCAACCACAGAACCGCAAACCTGACGGGGCGTGAAGGTGTCGAGCACGAGCCGCCTCAACCCAGAAGAACAAACCACGAGCCCCAAGGACGCCTGCCAGCCCCTGCATTCCCGAAACAAAGCCAGCACGGAGCGAACGCAGCGGGTAAAAACGGGAACAGGGGCGCACAAGGGCAAAACCCCGCTGCAGCTCCGGCCAGCACATAATTAAGTTGGCGAGCGACCAGGAAAGCCAAAATCCCTACAGGCAACCACCCGACGAGTACCCAGCACGTTTGTAAGTCGCACCCTGGCCTTTTACCCTCCAACTCGCTTGCCACCCTCCTTCGCTTGCCACCCTCACGACAACGCAAAGTCGCACCCTGGCCTTGTACTACTCCAACATGCTACCCTCCTCCGGACCACCGCCAACACCGCTGCTAGCGTCACACTCCAAATGATCATGGGCGGAACTTCATTCCGAGTATTTCCCCCTGCCTAGCCTTGTGCACAACCTTAGCTTCTCAAGTCATGCTTCCCACGTATACGGCTCCTCAACCCTGCCTCTACTGATCCAACAAGCAACACGGCTGCTCCAGCCCCCCGGAGCAGCCCCCACACCGCTGCTTGCTACGCTCCGCCCCTCCACCTTAGCGCAGCCGCTTCCCCACCTGCCCAACACCCGCCTCCTGCTCCACACCCGCGACCCCTTCACCGCGCTTCCGGCGCCCCAGGATTCCGCCTCCGTCACCTACCCCGCCGCCAGTGTCCCCCATGCTGCCTGCTGCGCCTGCCCTGCTGCTGGCTCCTGCACCAGGTCGCGTGACGTGAGCTGGCAGCAGCGCAGTAACCACGGAAGCTGCTGTGGAGGCTGCAGCGGCGGCAGCTGCATTTGCAATGGTATCTGCTTCCCCTTTACCCAACCCAGCATAGGCCGCTAGCTGCATGCGAATGGCGGCTGCCACTGCCTCCCTAACCGCATCCTCGCTAGGGCCAACCGCCCGAGCGGGGGTAGCCACTGCGGCGGCTGCGTCGCTGCTTGGAGCAGCTGTCGTTTCAAAGACTGCGGCGGGTGGTGGGGCTGTTGCTGCCACAGTCACGGCCGCCTCCTGCTGCTGCTGCGGCGGCGGCATCTGCCCCTCATTCGGCTCCTCGGTTTTCACCCGAGGGCTAAGCTGCAGCAGCTGCGGGTGCTGCAGCGCTGCCAGGCCTCCTCCGGCCCCAGGTGCGACCCATGGGTCGGCTTGCGGAGTCTCAGGCATGAGTACACCTTCTCTGGGCTGCACCAGCCGCCAGCCGCTGCCTCGTGGACCGGGGCCACGGCCAACAGGGCCGCCAGGAGCAGGAGCAGGAGCAGATCCAGGTACGCCATGGACTGTGCGTGTCGCTGACCGGGGGATGTTGCTGACCGCATGTTGCTGACCGCTCCCTTGCAGCTGCTGTCGATGAGCCCGCAAGCCGCTGCCCCCATCACCAGCCGCCGCAGTAGCATGAGTGACGGGTACGGCGTCCGCCGCCAAGGGATCTGGTGGCGTGGCGGGTGCGGTAACGGCAGCAGCGGCAGCAGCGCCTCCTGACCCCACACCTGGCCCGACTGCTGCTGCTGCTGGCGGCTCCTGTTTCACCCCTGCATGCGGCGGCTGTGGAGGTGCCGGCGGAGGTCCAGGTGCCGCACCGGCGGTACCCTGCACCGCAGCCGCCAGGCCCCCGGACATGCCGCCTGCCGCTACCACCACTACTCCAGGGGAGGTGCCGCTTGCGCCTGCTGGCTTGGCTGCCTGCCCCTGCTGCTGCCCGCCGCTGCCCTGCACCTCCACCACGGCCCTCCCGTCCCGCACCACCAGCTGCCACCCCCCGCCCCTGCCACTGCCCCCCTGCTCCTCCAGCCTCTCCACCAGGCTTGAGGCGCCACGGAAGTAGCAGCAGCCCTCGCACAACTCCAGCCGCACCTCGTGCCGCTGCAGGGCGCCCCCGGATGTGGCGGCGTGAAGAGCGAGGGCGGTCTGCTTAGACGCAGCGGGAAGGACAGCGCGCAGCTCCTCCGCGGCGCATGACAGCTGCCTGCGCTTCAGCTGCAGCCGCACCGGGACTGACAGCGCCGGCGGAGGGGGCGCGGAAGTGGCTGGGGCGGCGGCGGCAGTGGCAGCGGCAGCGGCGGAGGCCTCCTCCTCCTCGTCCGATGCATCACTGCTGTGGCCGCTGCTGGCATCACTGTCATCGGCCGCGTCAATGCTCTCGTCGTCATCACTGCCGCTGGCGCTGCTGCCGTCATCACCGCCCTTACCACCCGTCGCCGTCGCCCCCGCCTCCGCTCCCTGGTTGGTCCCCGGCCCCCGGCGCGGCCCCACCGGCTGCAGGGTAACGCTCACACCAATGATGACGTCACCGCTCCCGGGCGCCCTCACCGCCGCCAGGTGCAGCAGGTCCCCAGCCTGAGCGTGCTGGGACGCTAGCCAGGAGGTGAGGCCGGTGATGGTCCATTGCGTAAACGGGTAGCCATCACCATTTAGATGTATGTGATGCATCATGGTTCCTGCGGGCTGCTCGAATAGCCGACCTGCCGCATCCACTGTCCACACCCAAACCTTCACACCCAGCGGACCCCCTCCACGGTACCCCTCGTCACCGAGCAGCTGCACCACCACAGCCGTAGGAAAACGGACCCTTCTCTTGTCCAGGAAGTATTGCGTCAGCTTCACTACCCCGCAGCCAACAGGCTCCTCCGGTGGTTCCACATCTGCCTCCAGCACCACACGCCCATCCGCCGGCAGCCGCTGCAGCTGCACCTCCGAACCATGCTGTAGGCCAACGTCCTTGGCTAGCTGGGCGGTGCCTGTCAGAAATTTCCCCCTGACATCCATATTCATGTCGTACCGTCTGCTGACACCGCCTCGAAACCTGACGTCAATGTGGACTGGCTGACTACGCTTTGCACTCTTCGCTGCGGCGAATTGCTCCCTGAAAAGCTTCCGAATGGTCTGGGCACCACTGAAACGGTTTTTCCTGCCGAAACGTAGGGAATGTGTGACGCCGCCTGCCCGCCCGTCACCCCCCGCTGAGCCAGCGGCCTCCCCGGCTCCACCACCGCTGTTGTGGCTGCTGATACCAGCTCCATCACGGTGCCTAGAGTCCTGACAATCAATCTGGTCTCGGTCACCACACGACCTAGCGTTCCGACCACCGCCATCGCTGCTGCCGGGACCGATGCCGCCGCTTCCACCCGCCTCACCTGCCACGTCCAAAAGGCCGCCCGCAGCCGTCGCTGCTGCTGCCGCCGCCGCTGCCGCTGCTGCTGCACCGCTGCTGCTGCGAGGGCCGTTTGCGTTTTGCGGTCGGGTGGCTGCAGGAAGTGCGCGTGGTGATGCGTGGCGGCGCCCCGGGTCGTCCTCCTCTTCCTTCACTGCTACCCGCTGGACTGCCTCCATGGGCGTAGTGACCTGCGCTGCTGCTTCCGAGCAACCAAGTAACTACTACTGGAAGATGGTCTTACACATACAAGGAACTGTGCGGAAAGTGTCTATACTGAGACACTCCTTTCACCGCGTTTCTGAAGGTATTGTAAGTGACCGGGCCCAATGGTAGCGGCAAACAATATCCTTTCTGTGCTGCTCTTGTATGAATTTAGCAAACAGATAGGACAGTTCCGAGGATGAGCCTTTGGTGCATCAATGAAGGGTGCACTTCAGCGCTCCCCGAAACCAGTAAACCAAATGATGGATAGCTAAAGCGAATTACAAAACGTTTGCTGCTTTATAGCAAGAAGTTACAAGCATATCCAGATTGTTGAACAATGTACCGCGACTCTGGTCGTGTGTCTCGACCGCGCCACCGACCCGCCGGGTCACCGACTGTTGGGCTGCGGCCCACCCGCATGCCTCAACCTGCCATGCCACCAGCCCCGCTGCCAACCACAAACCCACATGTTTCCATACCTGTGGTGGACGCACCCGGCTCATTCACGGCTCGCATCCCCTGCTGCCCACCGAGCATGCCCCGTGCTGCGTGTGGCCAGCAGTGCGCGCAGGTGTCATGCCGTCCCCTGGCGCAACGGCTGGTTCTACGGACTCACGGCGAGGGCGCTGGCGGAGGGGCGGCCCGACCCCTGCCCCCACCACACCGCCCTGCTCAGGGAGGTGGGAGCCGTGTGACATGTGAAGGAATCGGGAGCCGAGGAAAGGGCGGGAGGTGGGAGCAGTGCGTGTGGGAGCCTTGATACTCTGCCAGGTGCAACGGCCAAACAGGTACATGGTGCGGCACCGAGACAGAGCCCTTGTTAAGAGGTGAGAGATAAGCACGCAGTGGGCTGCATGGATCTGCGTTTCACGGGATAGGTATGAGCGGTGGAGCTGCTTTGGGCTGAGCTGCGCTTAGGTGCACGGTAGCACAGGTTGGAATGGTAGAGGTAGTGTTGACGCATGCAGCAGCCCGCCGGGCACGGCTTTATTTACCCTGTTAGCCGGCAAGCTTTGGTACCTCTCAGTGCCTGCAAGCTGCAGCAGACATATTATTGGAAGGGACGAAGGTCCCTCTTGATCTAATAGGCCACGAATGTACCAGTGTTCAGCACCAACTACCCATCTTACTATTACTGTACTCCCATGACTGCCACACCGACCCGGCGGGTCACCGGCCGTTGGTAATCATGCGCCTGTGCCATCAACCTTCCAACCGCTCGGTCGTTGTCTGTTAGCCACAGGAGCTGGGGTACTTTACACACGTAGTTTGGCCATTAACAGCTGGCTATCGATGGTAAGAGAATAAAGCGGAACTGGGCGGGACCGGGCTGGAAAGATGACTGGACATTACATGAGGAGAAGAAACACAGCAAGCGCGCGAGCGCTACAGCACACGCAAAACAGCCAAAAAACCAAGTCTGGCAAAGGCCGACCACCGGTCACTAACCCAACCCTCATCAACCACAGAACCGCAAACCTGACGGGGCGTGAAGGTGTCGAGCACGAGCCGCCTCAACCCAGAAGAACAAACCACGAGCCCCAAGGACGCCTGCCAGCCCCTGCATTCCCGAAACAAAGCCAGCACGGAGCGAACGCAGCGGGTAAAAACGGGAACAGGGGCGCACAAGGGCAAAACCCCGCTGCAGCTCCGGCCAGCACATAATTAAGTTGGCGAGCGACCAGGAAAGCCAAAATCCCTACAGGCAACCACCCGACGAGTACCCAGCACGTTTGTAAGTCGCACCCTGGCCTTTTACCCTCCAACTCGCTTGCCACCCTCCTTCGCTTGCCACCCTCACGACAACGCAAAGTCGCACCCTGGCCTTGTACTACTCCAACATGCTACCCTCCTCCGGACCACCGCCAACACCGCTGCTAGCGTCACACTCCAAATGATCATGGGCGGAACTTCCATCCAACAAGCAACACGGCTGCTCCGGCCCCTCCGAGCAGCCCCCACACTGCTGCTTGCATACGGCTGCTCCGCCCCTCAACCTTAGCGCAGCCGCTTCCCCACCTGCCCACCACCCGCCTCCTGCTCCCCACCCGCACCCCCTTCATCGCGCTTCCGGCGCCCCAGGATTCCGCCGCCATCGCCTCCCCCGCCCCTGGCGCCCCCCATGCTGCCTCCTGCGCCTGCCCTGCTGCTAGCTCCTGCGCCTGCCCTGCTGCTGGCTCCTGCGCCGGACCTCATGCCATGAGTTGGCAGTAGCGAAGCAACTACTGAGGCTGCTGCGGAGGCTGCGGCGGTGGCAGCGACATTCACCATCATCTCCAGCTCCCCTGCCCCCACATCATCTCGAGCCGCTAGGTGCATGCGAATGGTAGCAGCCACTGCCTCCCTCAGTGCCGCATCACCGCTAGGGCCAACCGCCCGGCCGGGGACAGGCTCTGCGGCAGCTGCGTCGCTGCTTGGGGCCACTGTTGCTTCAGCGACTGCGGCGGGTGGTGGGGCTAATGCTGCCACAGCCGCGACCGCCTCCTGCTGCTGCTGCGGTGGCGGCGGCGGCATCTGCCCCTCATTCGGCTCCTCGGCTTTCACCTGAGGACTAAGCTGCAGCAGCTGCGGGTGCTGCAGCGCTGCCAGGCCCCCTCCGGCCCCAGGCGCGACCCAAGGGTCGGCTTGCGGAGTCGCAGGCATGGGTACGCCTTCTCTGGGCTGCACCGGCCGCCAGCCGCTGCCAACAGGGCCGCCAGGAGCAGGAGCAGGAGCAGGGCCAGGAGGGGCATAGACTGCGCGTGTTGCTGACCGGGGGATGTTGCTGACCGCATGTTGCTGACCGCTCCCTTGCAGCTGTTGTTGATGAGCCCGCAGGTCGTCACCAGCCGCCGCCGCATGCCTGACGGGTGCGGCGCCCGCCGAGGGATCTGGCTGCATGGCGGTAACAGCAGCAACGGCGGCGCCTCCCAACCCCACACGTGGGCCAACTGCTCCAGCTGCTGCTGCTGCTGGCGGCTCCTGTTTCACCCGTGCATGTGGCGGCTGTGGAGGTGCCGGCGGAGGTCCAGGTGCCGCACCGGCGGTACCCTGCACCACAGCCGCCAGGCCCCCAAACATGCCGCCTGCCGCTACCACCACTACTCCAGGGGAGGTGCCGCTTGCGCCTGCTGGCTTGTCTGCCTGCCCCTGCTGCTGCATGCACACGGGTTCATGTAGCACACACTAAGGAGGCCACGCATGTCATCCAGCGTGCAAATGAAGCAGCACACAATTGACTTGCGCATTCAGAGTAACTGATTTAACAAGTGATTCGCAATCGTGCAGCGCCACACACAGACCAACCCGAACCGCCCTCAGCCCATTCCTCACACGTGCCTCTTGTCCTCCTCGCACACCCAACCCGCCCACTCACATTGGCGCCGCTCTCCGCTACGCTCCCGCCAGTCCGTGTGTCCCCCGGCAATCCAAGTCCTCCAATGTCTGTCTGGGCAGACCCGACAGCGGCGATCGAGCCGACAACCACCGAGCCATCGCCCAGTATTCCGGTTCCCGCTGCGGGGTTGGCCTGCGTAACACACAAAAACATCCGCACACATTCACGCGGCACCCGCCGATTAGGCGACACGCGCCTTATAAGGCACAACTGAATTGGCCTTCCAATTTCCGTGCACATGAGCAACCATCGCACGCACACTAATTGATTTAACGAGCGATTCGCAGTTTCAAGACGTTTGTCACACGCGGCCCGCCCTCCATTCTCCAGCTCCCCGCACACTGGCCGCCCCTACCCACCCTCACTACACACATCCTACACGCCTCCCGCCCATTCGAACGCAGGACCCACCCACTTACTTCGGTGCCACTCCCTGCCGCGTTCTCGCCAGCCTGTGCCTCCCGCGGCAATGGAAATCCTCCACCGTCCACCTCGACAGGTCCACTGCCAGCCGTCACTCCGGCTCTTTCCGAAGCATCGCCCAACATTGCTGGCCTCCCTGCAATGTTGCCCTGCATGACACATGAAATAACGTCTCCGTGTATGTGCACATGGCCAGCATGGACATTCAGAATACCTGATTTAATGAGCGATTCGCAGTCATAAAATACCCCTTGCATGCTATCCACCCACTGTCTGCACGCCTTGTGCATGTGTTGTGACGCGCCCCACCGCTGTCACCCATCTCTCCGCACATCAACCCCCCTAACCCACCTTCACCTCATTCCTCCCGCAGACGCACACCTCCATCACATGCTATTCACTGTCAATTTTCCAATTCTCTGCACACCGACCGCCCCAGCCCACCCTCGACACCTACATCCCGCATGCCTCTCGCCCTTCTCGCACGTATAACCCACAGACTCACTTCGGCGCCACTCCCCGTTGCGCTCCCGCCGTCCTGTAGCTCACGCACAAAAAGAAGTCCTCCGCCGTCTGCATGCGCAGGCGCACTGGCGACGACAGATACAGCTCCCTCCACTGCAGCGTTGCACTACATGACACGCAAGGGTATCCATCCGTGTTCAATCAGCACACGCCAAGGCAGGCTCGCATGCAACACAAGCCACAAACGGAGCAGGCTTTCTAGTCTCATACCCAGGGCAAACGGTCGTGTGCAAAACAACTGACTTAACGAGCGCTTCACAGGTCCACACCACTCGTCCCGCACTATGCACCCTTCACCAAAAAAACCAAGACCCGATGCACGCGCAGCGAACACCCACCCTATACTCACCCGTGCCACTGTCAATGGTGTTGCGTGTACAGGCACCCATGCCCGTTGAGCCAACAAGCCACTTAGAACCGAACTCGGTGATGAATCTGCAGCCACCGTTGCTGGCACCTGTAACAGATCAAACGGCATAGCATATACCACATGGTGATCTGTCAAGCGCACTCCACGAAGCCGCCCCCAATGTTGTCACGCCCCCCCTCCTACTCCGAGCACAGAATACCTCTACTTCATTGTCCGTCGCTCACCTGCGATTGCCAATCCAGTGTGGGAATGCTGCCGCTCATTCCCGCAGCTCCAGCCATGCTTAAAGGCGGTCGTCCAGCCATGCTTCCTCCCTGCGTAGTGCAGCAGTACAATGACTAGCACAACTCGCGCACACATTCCATGCTCCCGCGCACGCCTAGTGGTACCTCCTAGTTGACGTCCGACATTCTCTGCTCATACGATTGAGCATCTCATACCTATGCACGCCGGCGGCCCAGTCGCACTACCTTATCCTCCCAAATTCACCCCTCACACCATCCTGCCGCCCGCCCCGCTGTACCTTCCCAGCGGCTTGCAGGCCAGACAGCAATGACAACCGCCAGCTCGCTGTGTATAACAGCCGCACCGCATCTTGCCTTGACATCGCCGCGCTGCGCTGTTCACCCTGCAAATCATGGCACGTACAAACGTCAACGCGACCTGCCGCACCTGTGCACATCCAATCTTCCTTGCGCACCTCAGATTCCGGTGAAGCCTCCCGCACATGTCCGGCAGTCGTTGGCACTGTTCCAAGTGGTGCAGCCTGAACCAGCGTCTCCTTCTGCAGTTTCTGCGAAGACAAAAACCATGCGTATCTCACATGGCCGCCCCGTGCGACGCATTTCATCCGCCTGGTGGCCGATAACTCACCCGTAACATGCTTATCCATGGCCGCCGCAGCCAGCACTGACCGCCCTTTGTTTCGTCATCGCAGTGCCCACCGACTCCCCGCCCCTTCAAGACGACCAACACCTCCACGATCTTAGCGATCTTCGCCTCCACCGTATGGGCCCCAAGCTCCTTCAATTTATCAGCCACGTAGTTGTTGCCGCCACGGCTAAGCCGGCTGTCGAGGACCTTGTTCCGCTTCCAATCGGCGTCCTTGCAGTCCAGTCCCATGACCTTCTCGAACGTCAACACCTGTAAAACTATAACTGATTTAACGACCGTTCGCAGTTTGAATGTCACAGCCATTGAAATGACAAACAAGGACGGCCGTGCACAACTAGTTACAGACTCTCCCTTCCATCCTCTCCCCCACGTACCCTTTTCCAGTTCCCGCCACCACCACCCCACCCCTTTCCCCTTCCACCAACGGAAACACACTCCAACCCACGTCCCCTATGGTACACCCTACACCTTGTTAACCCGCTCACCTCCGCAGTGCTGCTGCACACTGCTTGCCAATGCTGAAGCACCAGGCACTCTCCACCGCCACCTCGCACCTGTAAACAAGGAGGGCACCATCGAAACAGGTCACAAATCGCTTCATTTTTTTGCACATCCGCGCAGCGCTACCAAGCCACAACATGACGACACCTACTTACCTTGCACACCTCCTCGCCCCGCCCATACAGCCCATACAGCCCCGACGATACCTGATGCGCTGCAACCGGCCGGAACTCCATCCGCATGACATCTGAAGGCGCCATTTGTGGAGGAATAACCGCCTTGTAGCCCTTATACTCCACTTCCTCGCCTGCCTCCTTGAGTGACATCCAGGTCACCAGCACATAACAGGCCTTATTAGCTTCTCTACCCAGATGATTTGCGACTGCTTTCACTGCTTCGCTCTCTTTCACCAGACTGAGCGCCAAGCTGATAACCTGCTCTCCATCCAACCTGCCGATGTCCACCTCTTCCTCTGTCACCGGCACGTTCGCGCTGCTAGCTCCAGCCATTCACCACTATGCAAACTCCGACTGTTAACTTAGGGCGCTGGACGGGCCGAAGCGGCCCGTCCAAGACCTCGCAAGCAGAGTCGCCCGAGGCAGCCAAACCGCCCGTCCAACTGACGTCTAAAACTTGCTTGTATCTATATATATCGATATCCGTAAAAACGCGCAGCCGAGGCGGCCAACAGAAGAAATGTGCTAACTTGACTGACACCGAACTTTCTCGCCTGCTCTCAAATGCGCCTAAAATTTAGCGATTTAAATAAAGCCGACTTTTTAAAGTATATGTATGGAAAGAGTTGCGACCGCGGCGTCCGGCCGCCACCTTGAGCACCACAACGTAGTGCAGTACAATTCCCAAGAGCTCGTCCCAGACCGGCTCATTTCACGCGCATTCACTTTCTGCACACCCACAATACATACTACAATCCATCTGCGCCGGTCCGGGTGCAAAGCCCTCACTTTTGTGGTCCGCGAAAATTTCGCATTTCAATGGAGACCGACATACTGACCTTCACGATTTGACCAGCCAACCTCAACCTACGTGTTCTAGTGACCCCTTATATTGCGCAGCACCGCGTAACACGCTGCTCTCCAGCCAAGAACACGTCCCGCAACCTCCACCTGCACTCCAACTCCCCTCCACTGCCCCCCATCCCATATGGTTCACACCCGGCTACAAGCACAACGTCGGCATGCTCGCAACACTCACCGGAACACAAGAGCAGTCCTTCACTACGTACGCACCTCCGACCCAGCTCTTCATGCCCTATTCCAGCACTCCATCAGTACTTCCGTTGGGAACTACAGCACCCACTACCTCAGCACAACATTCCACATCCGCCTTGGCAACAGCACCGTCGCTCTTGGCCAACGAGGCGTTTTCGCCACTGCACCCATTCAAAACGGCACCGTGCTTGGTTGCACACCCCTCACCTATGTTGCGGCATTAGACGCACCCCAGCACGAGTGATACCAGTGGGAAGTCCACGGCGACCTCTACAACAGAGTCGCTATTGACATGTCACAGCCCGAAAGGTACACAACCACCCAGCCATCCTCCTATCCAACACGTGCCACGCCTCTAAAAGTTGGGTTATCCGCTTACATTACTCGTACAGGTACAACATGTCACACAAACTATAACTGTTTTAATGACTCATTCGCAGTTCCACAACACCTCTTCTGTCTCGCAGCTCACCACGTCCCATTCTGTACGTCCTTCCGCAGGGCAAACTGGATTCGATACGTAAATAGCTCCAGAGGCACTCAACACCCGCCCAACATTATCGGCGCCTGGTGCGGCCCGCTCTTGGTCCTATCGGCTAACAGAGACATCGCTAACAATGAAGAGCTGCTCGTGGACTATAACTACTAGATGCATCGTCTCCTATCACTGGCGTGGGAAGCGTCCCGTTATTGGAGTTAGGTCCGCGCCCGGATTGTGGGCTCTGAGCATGCTCGGAAATAATTGGCGAGATTTTCGATTTTAATAGCATGGACAAATAGACTTAATTTATGGCTATATACTAAGGCCCCGATTTAACGTGTTTCTGCACTCCCGGTCAAAGTTGCGTGACACACCCTGAACCTGGGCTCTGAGCATGCTCGGAAATAATTGGCAAGATTTTCGATTTTAATAGCATGGACAAATAGACTTAATTTATGGCTATATACTAAGGCCCCGATTTAACGTGTTTCTGCACTCCCGGTCAAAGTTGCGTGACACACCCTGAACCTGGGCTCTGAGCATGCTCAGAAATAATTGGCGAGATTTTCGCTTTTAATAGCATGGACAAATAGACTTAATTTATGGCTATATACTAAGGCCCCGATTTAACGCGTTTCTGCACTCCCGGTCAAAGTTGCGTGACACACCCTGAACCTGGGCTCTGAGCATGCTCGGAAATAATTGGCGAGATTTTCGCTTTAAAAAGCATGGACCAATAGGCTTAATTTATGGCTATATACTAAGGCCCCGATTTAACGTGTTTCTGCACTCCCGGTCAAAGTTGCGTGACACACCCTGAACCTGGGCTCTGAGCATGCTCGGAAATAATTGGCGAGATTTTCGCTTTAAAAAGCATGGACCAATAGGCTTAATTTATGGCTATATACTACGGCCCCGATTTAACGTGTTTCTGCACTCCCGGTCAAAGTTGCGTGACACACCCTGAACCTGGGCTCTGAGCATGCTCGGAAATAATTGGCGAGATTTTCGCTTTAAAAAGCATGGACCAATAGGCTTAATTTATGGCTATATATGACGGCCCAGGTTTAACGCGTTTCTGCACTCCCGGACAAAGTTGCGTGACACACCCTGAACCTGGGCTCTGAGCATGCTCGGAATGTAATAGGGAGGTTTTCACTTTCAATTGCATGGACAAATATGAGTTATATATGGCTTAATATCTGACGGCCCAGATGCCTCACTCCCGGTGAAAGTCTTGGGGCACACCCTGAACCCGGGCTCTGAGCACAAAGCGAGAAGTTCATCTTTCAAGGGTGTATGCGTACAGCTTACAGCATTGCTAAATGTTCCCACTCCGTTCGGGCGTCCGACTGCATAGCCCGCAAAATCTTCACCACATCGCCACCACGCAATTGGAACATGACACCGCCCAAGAGCGTTTGAAGAAGGGTTATGCACGTTTAGTTCTTGCTTTCAATATGTATATTGCGGTTGGGAACCGGGTGCTCAATACCTCTTATAACGTAGGTTTCAAAGACTGTTGATTTGCAAATTGGATCCATGTATCCGCTGTCGTGCATACAGCTACAACGCACTGCTTGAATATTCCGTTATTTAAGAAGATGCATTATACTTAGGTTAAGAACCTCTTTAATTGGTGCTCATCGTTTTCTTCAACAGAATGGGCACATAAGATGGCGAAGAAAACATTCCCCTCGTCTGCCTCGGCCACCGGCACAGGATTTCAACCACAAATTCTGCTATATGCACTTGGTGTTGTCGTTGTAGTCTTTTTAGTACTTAACGTAATCATTTCCAATCACTGCGAGCCGACACCTCAACGTGATGGCGAAAACGCTCCAGCTTCTGCACCTGTCAACAACGGCGCATATGGTGATGGATCTGATGCAGCCATGGCTAGCAACGAGGAGGTGGACGTTGATAATGGCCTCGATGGGGCCGGCCCTTCCGACCCGATAGCTCGGCAACGCCAGGAAGTTACAAAAGATATTGACCAATTGGCAGGTAAAGCTATATGCACTCTGGCTCTTTATGTTTCTGTTCGCTCATCGTACATTCACACACCCCCCCGCCCTCTTTCGCAGATAAAGTCCTGAACTTGACAACGATACCACGCGAAGAGCTCGAAATCTTGTTTGAATCCGGTGATGCCGACCAGCTAGTCGACCATTTCAGCAAGTTGCAAGCACTACATAAGCGCAAGCTGAAGCTTGACAAACTGGCCGGAGTTCAGGGCGAAGGGACCAAAAAGGTCACCAGGTCCGAGCCGCAGAAAGCTGATCGGAAGCTGAGGAGTGCTGACCTCATCATTCAAAAAGCACTCGTTCATGCCAGTAACGTCTACTCCACCTTCAGTATTCCCTTCCACCTCATTTACGTTAGCGTGTCTTCCGGGGGAGGCCCATTATCTCTCAATCCCAGGTTTAACAACCTCTCCAGTTCCCAGCCCAATAACTGGATGTTAGCACGCGGCTTTCTCCATCGCAGCTCGGTGCGGAACGCCATCAACGCGACGGGCTCAGCTGACTGGGACGCGGCGGACTCGCTGAAAACTATCCTTGGGGCAGAGCTTTTGAACTTGCAACCGGAGGCTCCCCCTCCGCCCGCTCCCTTCAGCTCCCCATCTTCTGGTAGGTGCCCAGGGTAGCCGTGAGGTACATGCTAGACCCTTGGATTGGCTTTCCGGAGACTTGCTTCCTGGTGTTGCTCACTAGCCATGTTTCCTGCCATGTATCTCCTGTGCAGCTATGCCACTCGCCATAGTGACCATAGTGACCTTCTCTATCGCCCACAACCCTGACACCTATAGCATTCTCTCTTACCTCCACCAAAATCATGCCTGCGCCCACCACTCTTTGTCCCTACGCAGATTGGGCGGCTGCTATTCGGGGCATGTGTGTTGACGACCTGCGCGCACTGGTTGTGGCTATGGTGGAAGCGTTTGTCGCTTGCAAGCACAAGTTCTATCAGAACGCAGCTCCTAACTGGTGGCCCCCGACGGATTTGGTCCCCTTCGTTCGTCCAAGCCAGCTAAAGCAAGAGCAGCTCACCGCCTTCCACAAGCACATCTTTGATGCTGCCGACAACGACGCCAGGGGCGGAGACCAATCAACAGCACAACGTATCTGTGCCGCGATCAAGTCAATCATGTAAGTTCCTTTGGGCTTGCGTGTCCGTACCCGACATATGTAGGTTGGCGTTACTTAGGATCTACACAATAGCAGAGCGCGCGAGCCCATTACAATCCCACAGTGCTTAGGTACTGGCAGTTCGTGCGTAATGCGAGGCCTAGCACATGCCACCCAAATGCTGTGTTTCCTTTTCGAGTTTGCCCCCGGTTTCCCGGGTTTTGCATGTGTCAGATGCCAGGCAACGGACACAAGTGACCCATGGGTTACCCGGTCGTTTGTACGAACAGCGAACGTTAATGCGCAATGTTGTGGCCCTTGTAAACGCCGGTAATTTAATTCAGTTAAAGGCACCAAAAAGGTTGATAAGGCATCGCAGTGTCATAAACAAAACGTTCAGTTGATTCTACCTCATGTTCAAATACATGCCACCAACCATTAAAGTAGATGTGTATACTAAGTAGGAGTAATCTCTTCCCAACGGGCTGTTTAAAGCCCCTCGCGATTGCAGCATAGCATAACCCCTACGTTAGCCTATCCAGTGCGGTGGTTGTATGCCTGGAAATGCGTGCCTTGCGCATGGAGCCCTGATCATGGGCTCTGAGCATGCTCCGAGCATGCTCAGAGCCCACATACTGGGCTCGTTGTTCCTAGGTGGGGCCCGGGTTGTCAAATGCCCCTCGCGATTGCAGCATGGCATAACCCCTACGTTAGCCTATCCAGTGCGGTGGTTGTATGCCTGGAAATGCGTGCCTTGCGCATGGAGCCCTGATCATGGGCTCTGAGCATGCTCCGAGCATGCTCAGAGCCCACATACTGGGCTCGTTGTTCCTAGGTGGGGCCCGGGTTGTCAAATGCCCCTCGCGATTGCTGCATAGCATAACCCCTACGTTAGCCTATCCAGTGCGGTGGTTGTATGCCTGGAAATGCGTGCCTTGCGCATGGAGCC